CACTGAACCTGTCCCCGATCACACCGAGCCTCTCCGGGAGCCAGAATCTGCCAACGACGACCTGGTCGCCTTGCCCTCTGTCCCAGTGGTCGAATCTCGTCCCGATCTCGTTCGTGGAGAGACTGTCATCTCCCATCTAGAGTTGACCCCGGCTCCGAGTGTGGCTCAGGTGACTGAGAATCACGAGAGTATGCTCTCAGCTGGCGAGACGCTGGGTCCAGCCGCTTCATTGGACGTGGCGGAACCGGAAAAACCAGGTGAGCAGTCAGTCTTTTATCCGCGTTATTATATCAATGAAAGTCTCAGAAAATGAACATGTACCTGCGGATATCTAATACCCCCTCACTACTAGTATCTACTCCATCTAGGCACTGACGACATTCACTTCCTCAGCTCACTTATCATCTCTGCTTCCGTACATATTCATTTTGGATCTGGAATACCCTGCCTGTACTCACCATGGATGGCCAAAGACGGATGGTCTGGTCGATATCTACTCGACATCTGCGTACACACTCATTAATACCACTATTAGCTTGTAAATGTTCACGCCGTCGTGAAATCCTCCAAACGAGCTACGACGCTTTGTTTTAGCTGTGAAAAACGGTCAGTACGCGCCTGGTGATCACTAGCATAACGTACAGGAGGGCTAGCCCCGGCGCCAGCGAAGTAATAGAGCACCAGCTGGGTCGCAACCCAGGTATTCTGGACCGAGCCCAGATCGCGGAATATGATCGACCGCGGCGCACCGAGGACAGGAGGAGGGACGTATACATCCAGACTGTCCTGCTTCGTGAGCGGTGTATTCGGGAATATCGTCTTGAGCGTGCGCATGGGCGCCGCAACGGCCTGCGCGTCCGCCTCCGTGAACGCCCCGCTCTTGCGCTCCTGCGCCAGGCGGCCGGTCAGGGCGCGCAGGAACGCGTCGCGGAGGTGCGTGTACGACGTCGTGCGGGTGGGGATGATGCGCAGCAGGCACGCGCTGTTCGCGACGATGTGCTCGATCTTCTCGTCCGGCGTCATCGAGGCTGTGATGCGGAGCGAGGGCGCGGAGAGGTCCGCGTACCATGCGACGGAGTAGACCTTGATGCCGAGGAAGGAGACGGTGCGCACGCCCAGGCCGACCAGCGAGAGCGTGGGGGTTTGCGCGGAGGGCGCGGAGGAGACGGGCACGTTTTGCAGACCGGAGGCGAGCGGTAGGGAGGGGAAGACACCGGGCGCCCTGATGCTACGCGGGAAGCCGATGTTCGTGGCTGGATCGAGGACGAGGTCATTGTCACTATCCAGGAAGGCTGTTCGGCGCGGGAGCAGTGCGTACAGTCCCAGTCCGGTCAAGGCGGCTATTCGGCGCGAGTTGGCGCGCGCCCATGCGTAGGAAGCCATTCGAGGGAAATTGAAATTAGAGACAGACGGAGAGGAACGGTCGAGGCCTTTGGTTCTGTTTTCCGACTCCGAATAGATTTCTTTTTTGGGCTTCGATGAGTTCCGAGTCGGCAACTCAGCCATGGACGGTATGTACGCGACAGTCCTCGATAACAGATTCAACGACAGAGCTATGATCTAGATTGAGAAGAAGCCACTAAATAAAGTCCCCGCTCCGTTTGCCGGCAGTCTCCTCCTCCCAACGACATATCGTGGTGTTGGAGGTAACAAGAAGGTCTGGGAACTGAATTTCGAGATTGCGGCAACTGAGAACTGCTGCAGATCTCTGTGTGGAAGGGCGACGACTTGAACCACATTCTCTTCGAACACTACGCAGAAGTGGTGGTGGGCGACCAACCCGGGATCAACTACATCGACGTGAATGCCCTCAGTGCAAAACGGTGCGCATTCGTCATCTGCACGGGTGTTCGGTAGAAGCTCATACTACTCGGTGCAAGGCACGAGTATCTCGGCCCGAGTCCCTTCGTCTCCGGATTCCGATTTCAGGCGCGTCAGAAGGTGATCGATGTCGAATGGTACGACGAGTTCTTGCGAACGAAGTGGATTTCAGGAGAAACATAGACGGACGTTGGTGTGCACATAGATTCTGAAATGGTTGGAGGGGTAGAACAAGCTGGTTGCATTGTCCATGTTTGGATTCTACTCGGACCCTCGACATCTCTTGCTGCAAACGCCAATAATCCGACTCGACGTATTGCCTATGGACTCATTCGACATTCGAGACTCCGCTTTGGGGTCAAGACCTGCATGATTATGCGCCAGCCCTGTAGCGGGATTGAAGGGTCATATGCTAGCCAAAAAACCCTTACCACCAGTTCTCGAGAATACAACCTTGATCAGCCTAGGACTTGCGCACGCGACGCGGGCAGCTGCCATCCACACCTGCAATGTTAGGCATAATACTAAACAGCGCGTTCCATGTGTCTCATGGCGATGTCTTTGTCCCAGAGCAATGAATGGGGGAAATGCGGCACTCACAGAGCGTGACTGCCATGACTGCACTCTTGATAAGATACAGAAGAATCAAGCCATTGCACGAACTTGACAGTCTGGTGCTCTCTGTGGGCGAGAGTCTCACTAGCTCTGAATGTGCATTCTCCAATCCCATCCGCGGGTCTCACATTCTCGGGGCGTACATATACCAGATGCCTCCCGCACAGGGACCTCCACCCCAGCTTGCATTCTACTTTCATCTGCTCCTCCCCGAGTCGAGCCATTTCCGATTTGCCCTATCTATTTCTGCTTGCATTTGCCTTCGCCTTCTTGTCGCCGGTCGCATTTTATCTTATCCTTCAACTGAAATCATGATGCACTCTACTCTGGTTGCTTCCGGTGTTGCTTGCCCCTATGTTGTATGTTGTCTCAGTTGTTCCTCGACCATGACTATAACCCCACTTCGACAGATTACAGAGTCTGAGAAAGAGAAGGAGGAGGCTAAAGCTATGGTCCAGATGGTATGCAACATCTAGCCTCAAGACGATCGCTATTGCTAATCCTTCGAAGCGTCCTGCGAAGCTCAGAGTCATTCCGCGCACGTTGAAAGTCACATCGCCGTTGGGTCTGTATCCGCCGATCAACGCCGACTGGCTGCTCGAGGGTGAAAGCGTTCTCGATGAGCAGGTGTGTGGTGAACGTCGCAGCGCGAGGCTCGCTCATATACTGATCTCCTCAGCAGCAGTCTGTAACGTTCTACAGAGTGGCCCGCACCGTCGACCCCCCTGTCACTGGTCTTGTCACAGTCATGACTGCGGAGAGGGACGCCTCTTCGTTTGTCGGCGCGGAGGGGGACGCCCTTCCGTCGCCTGACCTGACCTCACCACCGACATGGGCTAGCCTGGTGGGCTGCAATGTGTCCTTGACTGTTGAGTCAACTGGCTGTATTTCAGGCAGTCCCGGTGCTTGTATCAACAACGCTTCGTCGTCGATGGAAAGCGATACTCCGGCGGTTTGTGTGGCATCTTATCCTTCATACGAACTGGAGCTCTCGGAAGTATCAGACGAGTCACGAGATATTCATGTGACCGCGTCGTGCGAGGAGAACAGCGCGATGTCATCATCCGCTGGGCTGTATAACATCACTGCATCCGTTGCCTGCCAGGATCTACGGTCACTCTCAAACGGGCCGGAAATTGTGCGGGTCACAGCGTCTGTTGCTTCGTTCGTGGATTCTGAGGTACAACATTTGCGGCCACGTGTGTCCCAAGTACGTGTTTTTTCTCTGTGTGTCGCATCGCTGACACTCTTTCCTGTCTCTTCCAGGCTGCTCCTTTCCATGATTTTGTCACGGGATCTGTCACTCCATTGCCTCAAGTACAGTCTACTCCGGGAGCTTTGTTGTCACTGCCTTGCTTCAAGAATGTCTATGGAATTGGTCTCGGTAGACCGCCCCAGTCTTCCTTGCCTCTTTCATCTCAACCCATTGGCTTGTCTGCTGTTTCGAAAACTCACATCCAGCACTCTTCTACCACAGGACGGGGGAGATCTACAGAGGTGAAACGACTCAGGCATTCGCAGGTCTGCCCAGCGCATCCAGCCGCTCGGGACACGCTCAAGGTGCATCAGGCACCTGTGAGCATCCAGAAAAACTCGGCTGCATCCCCGTCGTCCTCGTCCGCGTCCCTGCTTTCTCTAACGTCGCGACTCACGGATCCGATTTCGCCTGTCGATGGCACTGGCGTGGCCGCCTCCGTGTGGGCCGCCCTGCCCCACTGCAAAGCCAACGAGAAAGCGCGTCGACCCTTTGTGGGCAGCGGAAAACTCAGGCGGATGACAACAACCGTAGGTACGAATGTCTGGTCCGCAGTGAGACGTGTCAGGACCTTGTTTTAGTTAATGTGTGGGTCAGACGCATTCTACTTCGATTCTTGTTTGGGATACCCTGTCTCCTCAGTTTCATTACCTTGTCTTGTCTGTTCATATACCTGCTAGTTATACCAGTCGTGGATCAATCGAAATCTTATAGTTCTGTCTCGTGCATTTCCCTGAGAAGTGGTATCTGAGGCACAGCCACTCGATCTCCCTTGTTATGGACATCATCGACTTGCACCCACCGGACGACTACAGCCATAGATTCTTCATCTGGCACGAATGGATCCAGGTCTCTAATCCTCTGCGATGCATCAAAAACGCCACTAAACTTCTCGGAAATCTAGGCCAACGGACCTTTGAATGCAGAGAACGTGTTCGAGTACTTCACGACGTCGATGTTCTACGACAAGCAGAGCAATAATCAGGTGCTGCGCATGCAAACGATGCACACGGGGACGGCTATTGCGAATGAGGCGGAGGAACTCAAGTGCGTGCGTGTTCAGGCGACTCGAGAGCAAGGAGTTCGTTGACACTGGCCTTGTTTGCAGGCGGTTCACTGGAATCGAATTTGCGGTCGTGGATTCTCAGCCGCCATCACTTTTCATCATACATAAACGCGAAAGGCTGTCGCCTGATCAAGGTGCCCCAAGTACTGTGCCCCTCAGTGGCTTGGAAGCTGACCTGCCCAGTGCGACCACTCGTCGCGTACTTCGTCATCAACAACAGGATATATCAATCGCCCGACGTGTATACATTACTTTCGAATCGACTCGTGAGTCTTCTGCCATAAAATATTGCATCGCCCTGACATCGGACGTTTCCAGCTCACTTCGCTCAGCGCGCTGCAAAGTTCTCTAGACACTCTGCGCGCTCGACGGCCAGACTATCTCCCGCGCACGGGCTTCATCTGGCCCATAGTCGACACAGCGTCTCAGATCAAGAAGAAAGCCGCGGCAGCGTTAGACGAAGGCGCAGATGAAACAATGGGCACGGAGCCGCCCCCTGCGGACGAGATGCCCGCGGAGGACAAGCCCAAAGTCGCGGCAAACAAGCTGCAGAACAACATGCTTCTTCTCAATGCGATGCGCGCCACAGCGCTGCACTCAAAGACGGCATTCTCGGCGCACATCACGGAGGCTATCGCTGAGCCGCCTGTGGGCTCGGAGGCGGCTGGAGCGCACTCACAGGCTTCGACCGCACCGGTGGCCAATGCGAAGACACCAGCTGCGGCGTCCACGCCCACACCCGGTGGCCCGCAGGATCCGCCAACACGTTCATTGCCCGGTGCGGGCAAGAAAAAGCGGAAGCGGACGTTGGCTGCAGCGTCCCCGACATCTTGAATAATGTGGTTCATTCATCGGATATTCTACATCGCACGTCCACTGGTGATCTTACTCGTCAACCACCCGATGGGAGACTTCAAGTTGCCGCCCCGGGATCCTGTGCCTCCTACTCCGATGCCGAGGGACAGTGGATTGGCGGATGAAAACGACTCTTTTCGTAGTTTGGAGGCCGTTTGGACTGTGAGGAGCGTGTTGGGTGTCTTGTTGTGATCTGGATAGGGAAGGAGCGTACCCGCATTGTCGATCTCTTCCACATTCGTTTCGAGCACGAGACCGCCCTGTATTATCTCAGCCAGGATATGATGTACCTAGATACACGATGAGCTGGTTGAGCGCAACAAACCGTTTCAAGAGAATCCGGGTGTGCACACCTCGTCGAATTGGAACACCAGATCCAGCTCGCACACGTTTTCGAAGGCGCGATCGAGGGACTCGACGAAGACCTGAATCAAATCTAGGATGCCCAGCTCGCTTTCCGCGCTATCGACGACGAAGACGAAGTGCAGCGTCGCATAGCTGCGGTACACGACGCGCCAGCGCTCATCCTGCTGCTCCTTCGGTGCGAGATACGCATCGAGCTCTGGGGCTTCGAGAAAGTTGCAGAGATTGGGGGGCCGGGAGCAGATGAGGGAGAAGATCTTGGGCACGAGCGTCTGTGCGGACTGCCGCAGCGGGGTGTAGAACTTGGTTAGTCGCGCGACGCCCGCGGTGTTGACTGATGGGGTTTCTGAGCGATGGGGTCGCGTTACAGCGCTGAGACGCACAAATGAGGACTGCGTGGATCATAGCGACGTCGCCAAATCACATCCGTTGAGCTGTGGTGCACGGCGGAAAGCAAAGTACAGATTGGTGACGTAATAGTACGTATGTAATGCTATCGGTGAAATGTAAAATACACTCACGACTCATCGCGAGGAAACTGCCAACCCGATTCCAAACGACTGGCTAACGATCCCACAGGCCCTGACAGACCTGCCTGACTCTTGAAACTTTCCAGGAAGTTTTTGATCAAGTTATAATCCATCGGCTCCTCTTCGTCATCTTCATCGCCGTCTTCCCGCAGCAGAGCTGCTCGTAACTCGCTGTCCATGGCAGCGTTTATGTCATCCATTTTCTCGTCCTCGTCTGCAACAGTCGCTTTTTGCTTGCCCTTCCCTTTGTCCTTTGATGACGACGCAGACTTTTTGGACGAACGAGAACGCGAAAGCTCCTCGTCCATGGCGATCATGACCGCCTCGAACGAGTCCAGATTCGGATTGACATTCGGACGAGGCCCAGCTTCAGGCAATTTTTCAGGGCGTGGTTGAGCAGCGGGCTTCGGTGGATTGATGTTAGATTTGGCGGGGACGTGAGTGCCCTCTGGGACAAAAGCTGGATGCAGCACATCAGAGAGTACCAAAGGCGGCAACATCAGATGGCGTACCTCCTCTGCTTTTGCGGTCGCGCAAGATGTCGCCCCACTGTTCGTCGGTGATCCCCAAGGCCTTACGAGAGAACTCGAGAAATTCGTCTTCCTCCTCACCCATGTCAACTTCGATCTCACCGACGACCTGAGGTCGGTCTTCCTCTTCCTCTTCCTCGTCGCCGTCATCAGCAAGTTCCTCATCGGTGTCGTCGTCTGAATCTACCCCATCGAACTTGTCTCTCGGGAGAATGGGCTCTCGGATAGGTTTGGATTTGAGCTCGTCTTTGGAGCCTTCAGCTGGAGCGGGTTCGACCACAACCTCTGTTTCAAGCGTCGCTTGAGCCACACGTTGGGAGTTCGCGTGGAAGCTGGCTGGCATTTGGCCATATTCAGAAGGCTCGAGACCTGGCACTAGCTTGTCCATGGCTGCATTGCGTGCATTTTCGTCCATCTCCTCGTCGTCCGAATCCGAGTCGGGCTCGTCAGTCAGCTCCTCCTCCTCCTCCTCTGACGACATCTCGCTGCGCAGAGTCATTAAAGAGGGACAATGAGATTACTAGGAGCTTACTCGTCAAAAAGTGCACCGTCTAGGCTGCCTTGACCTTCGACAAATGCTTCCACCTTAGAGGCAAGATCCTTCAACTTGTCTGCTTGTTCTGAAGCAACACGATCCTCGACAGCCGATCTTTCTGGTGTGTCGACGTCCATCGCAGTAGCCGTTCCCGTTGTCCTGCTCAACATTCCCTCGAAGTCTTTGGCATCGATGTTGAGCCAGTCATCGCTATCTTCGTACAAGGGTGTACTTGTAGTTCTCAGAGGTTTAGCAAGAGACGCGGCAACCTGGGACGCAAATGATGGCCGTGAAGCATCACTACAGGATAATTAGCAACGAAATCTCACGGTGACATCCGTACGTACTCCTCCCGCTGCGACTTCAGATATTCCTTGGCTGCTTTGTTCTCGAGTTCATTCCAGAGTTCAGATCCCTCGATCTCTCCCTTGAAAAAGCCGACAGATACGAGTGTCTGGATGTATTTGGCGTAGCCAACATCGCGTCGAAGGGCCTCTTTCCTTGCCACCAGCTGCACTTAAGGTGAGAAGGAAGTAAAACCGTGCCACATGAAAACTTGCCCATGAGGAATCAGCGCTGGGATTCTGACTCAAGTTTTCCGATTTGCCTTTGCTTTCCTGATAGAGCATTTCGAAACCCACAGCCTAAAAAAGCGTGAAAAGAGTGTTACCATCCCCGTCTCATGAGAGGCGCACAATCTTTAATCCTGTGTCTCTCCATCTCCATTCATCGGAGCCTTCGGAGACCTTCCATTGGCCGAATATTTCGGCGGAAAAAACTTTTGGCCGACGAGCTGAGCGTAAGCGGTACGGGTCATTCTCACGGTGGTCAGCTCGGACGGCTGTGGGGGGAACCGCGTCATCCGATGCGCAGCCTAGAAAGGGTGTCAGGGACCTTGGTGACAGTTCGAGTTCATCACAACCCACCCGCAGTTGCATTGCATCCCGCGTGTAGAACGTCTCGATCGGTTTCTGGATGAGAGCGGGATCCCCAGCCAGGGTTCGGCTGATATCGACCGGCAGGTACGCCTTTGTCGAGTGCACGTGACTTGCAGCGGCAGCAGGATATCTGACCAAGATTGTGACTAAGAGTGGAAAGCGATGATGCAAGACCGCACCCATTAACGCGCGTCCAGACAGCTTTTTGGACGGCGAGCGAGGCGACCGTGTCGATCGCGTCGTCGCGGATTATTTGAAGCGCGTCCTGAGCTGCGAGGTAGTCCGCCGAGTCCTCATCTTCATCGTCACTGTCGTTCCGACCAGGTAGCTTACGACGTTCACGTTTCCTCGACACAGGAGAAACAAAGTTGAGCGGAACAATGTGCAGCTGTGAGCGATAGATCCAGACCTGGACGAAAAGCTGCAGTTCACGTGCCTGCAAATGTAGGATATACCACATACCCTGTTCTCAGCATTCGTCGGCGTAATCCACGCAGGAAGCGCGTCTGCAGCCTCGATCAGCAGGAATTCTCCGTCTGAATCGAAAACGCTGGTTTCATTGAGTTGTCCCGAGGAAGGGTTCGTAAGTTAGCGAACGAACCTGATGACCATATCTTCCCACTCCGCGCTGATTTCGCGCAGAAGCCAGACCGCGCACCACTCGTCGTCGACGCAATCGCCGACTCGCATTCGTCCCTCGAGGAAGAATTTGTCGGAGGACTCGGCATTCGATGCGATCTTCAGTTCGAAGGCATCTCGGTGCCAGAGAAAGTTCGGGAGTTTTTCTTCAACCCATGAGTTGATCAAGGCTGACGTGGACAAGACACTAGCTTTGTCGGCGGCGGATGGAGATGGAAAAAGAATATAGTGGAGAGTGTCTTCAGAGATCGTAGGCGGGCGATTGAAGATATCCATAGTCGTATTTGGCAAGACGCTGCGATCACAGCACTGGAAGAAATCTTGGATCAACTAATCAAATGATTGAACAGATGGAAAAAGATCATTAGCCCACCGCGAGGGTCGAACTCGCAGCCTTCAGATCCCGCCTGTAAGAGTCTGACGCTCTATCCGATTGAGCTAGGCGGGCTGTGAGAGCCAGACTGGAGAAGACAATTTTACTGATTCAAATGAAATTCAGAAACAGGCTCATCATCTTCCAGCACTGCCACTCAGCAACCTACCCCAGTCCTGAGCCAAGTACAAGCCAAGTTCCGTTAGACTGACGCCACTGCGCATGACCCCAACATAACTTATGCGCCCACCCCCGCGTCCTCATATTCGCTATCCTTCCCGCTATCATGCTCGCGCTTTCCGCTTTTCCTCAACCTCATCGTCATCTTCCGCTCCACCACCCAACAATCCGTACACTTTCCACATCGGAGCGAGCTTCGCGGCCAAGCCGGCAGTGCGGTTCGCCGGCGAGAAGCCGAAGACGCCCTTCCCGTCGGACGGGATTATCGGGTCGTGGCGCAACCGAATGCTCGGACGCCCCAAAGCCGTGCATTCGCGAGACGCCGGGGAGGATTTCTACTTCCACGTTAATGTGCCCCCTGGTCCTGCGGAAACAAATTTCTATCTAATCAAACGCTAGATGCGCGCCAAGTCGGTAGGGATTCTTCGCCAAGAGGATCGTTCAGCACCGATCTCATTGACATACAGGGTGTGTGCCTGGGCGTTGCGGACGGGGTGACAGGGTGGCTGGAGAGTGGTGTGGATCCTGCGTTGTTTTCGCAGTGTCTCATGTACCATGCACACCGATATTCGCGCAGTGCATGGGCGGGTGCACCGGTGGATGATGATGCCGACGGCGAGCATGAGGTCGAAGGATGGGAATTGACCCCGTATGAGTGCTTGGATGTGCGTGCGTGAGATAATGATGCGTATGCTGTGTGCTGACTATTCCGGTTCACAGCTCGCCTATGGTGGGGTGCTGCGCGAGAAACTAGTTGATGCGGGTGTGTTTGCCGGCAAGGCTGCATCTCTGTGCGCGTGTGGATGACATGCAATAGGCTCAAGCACGGCGTGTATCATCAGTCTCAACGCAACTAACGGCCTGCTACGTTCAGCCAAGTACAGATCGTTTGGACCGAGCCAATCTAATCTGATCTCTACTCAGCCTGGGCGACAGCGGGTTCTCGATACTACGGGACTCCAGTGTACTGTACACACAGCCCATCCAATCCCACTTTTTCAACTGCCCCAAGTTTGTGTGTTTCTTCTGTGCCGCATACCCACTTATTGTTTGCAGACAACTGACGAAACTGCCGCAAACCGGACGACGGTTCACTCGGGCGTGTGTCGATTCTCCCCGAGCAGCCGAGACATATGAAACTCAGCTGTGCGATGGAGACATCGTCGTCGCCTACGTGCGTCATCCTTTGGGTCGTCATCAAATCCTAATGTTTACTAGACGGATGGCCTTACGGACAACGTCTTTACCTACGAGATGGCAGAAATCTGCTCGCCAGACCCGGAGCTGCACACTGATGCTGAGCAGGTGCAAGGAATGGCAGACCGCCTGGTGACATATGCCCGCGACTGCATGGCTGCGAAGTCGCGGGTCTCGCCGTTCGAGCGTGAGGCTGCCAGAGAGGGCATGTTCTTTCCTGGTGGAGTACGTCCGATTTCCTTCCGCGCTTCCAGGACTGAACCCGTATAACCTAGAAACCCGATGAGTGCGTCTTCTTTGTTGAGCTAGGCAGCACCTGACATCGTCAAGCATAACGGTTGTTGTCGCATTGGTCCGCGAAAACACTCTCGTATAGGCTTTCGTATATATCATGTATATCAATTTTGTAACAAGTAAGCCACCAAGAGTTCAATCAATGTAAATAGTCCGTCTACCACATATCGACAGGGGCTCCTATCTTCCCATCATTTTGTAATCACTCTGTCTGTTTCTGTGTGTTTGCTCTTGCTCTAAACCTCCATCATCAAATAACAAAAAGGGTCTCTGCGAAAATGGCAGCCTCTCCTTCCGCCGTGGACGATGTGCAGGAGAACTGGGGTCCTTCTGATGAAGCTGCGATGGGCTCCCGACGAAGTGCTGAACCAAACGGCGACGCTCACACCCATCTGAACAATCCTCTCGACGACCGGGGGCTCCCAGACTCCCTGGACGGGGACTACGCTCGCGGCTCTGGCCTGGGGAAAGCTGACGCTTATCGGGAAAAGCAAGTCAAGGTGCTTATTCGGTCTTTTCTCGTTCTTGTTGTGCTTGTGCGTCGCGAAGCCATGGCATCAGACCTCCTTGGGGCACATCGTCTCTTTGTTCGCACCTGCGCTGTCTCCGGCGCCCGCTTGATTGCCTATGCCTATGCTTGTGTTTTCTCACGGATGCAGCGGCTTGCAAGGCTCATAGTAACCTGCTTTCTGCTCGGGCACTGATTACTCAGCCTCTCCTTCTCGTCTGTCTTTCCTTGTCACATCTGGGTGTTCACATCCTTTCTGCTCTGCCCAGCCAAACAAAGTCTACATTGGGGGCTTGCCTGAACAGACTCGCATGGAGGACTTGCAGAACTGCTTTGGTCAAATAGGAAACATTGTCAACATCGAGCTAAAGTGAGTGATGCACATGATTTCGGCGAGTCACTTGCTGATTCTTTCGCAGAGTCGGATATGGCTTCGTGGTATGTGGGACTGTCCCGACCGTTACACTGCCTCTGACATTGAGATGTTTAGGAATTCGAGAGCCGGCAAGCAGCGGAGGAGAGTGTTGCAAAATACCACGAGGGACATTTCATGGGCAGCAAAATCCGGGTCGAACTCTCGCATGGAGGAGGGCGGACTGCAAAGTACAAAGGCGATCCGGGCGCCTGCTTCAAATGCGGAGGAGTTGGTCATTGGGCGAGGTGAGTGATTCGAGCCGTCAATAATCGATGTCTCAATCGTTGCAGAGAATGCCCTCACGAAGAGTGAGTGCCAAAGATTGGCCTGTTGACAATCGTACTCAAGTACTCCGCAGTGACGGTGGACGTCGGCCATACGACATGCCCCCAGATCGTGGCCGCGACTACGGTTCTCGGGATATGCCGCCTCGGGATTCACGCTACGACTATGGAGGGGCCCCCTCTCGAGACTACCGGCGCCCGCCTAGTCCTCCACGTGATTATCGGGACTATCCTCCTCCTGCTGGTGGCCGGGGACGCGACTACGACGATTATCGGCGCGGTCCCCCGCCCGCTGAGCGTTACGGTGGCGGCGGACCTCCCGACCGCGGTGGTCGGTACCCTCCGCCCGACTACCGAGGCGCCGGTGGTTACGGGGGTCCGCCTCCTCCTGGAGCGTTTGATCGCTATGACCGACGGTCCAACGACCGGTACGCGTCGTACGGGGGTCCGCCCCGCGGCCGCAGTCCCCCAAGAGGAAGGGATGAGTATGAACGTGGCCCGCCTCGGTGTGTATACGATGGATCTACTGGCGGTTGATCGACTCGTGGCTTATGTTTACCGTTTACCAGTAGCGATTATCCCGACTACCGAGGGCGGCCTCCTTCTCCAGCACGGTATAACGAGTATCCGCGACCAGGCGGTGGGGGATACAGGCCAGTCTCGTCTGTGTTGCGTTGTGCTTACTCGTGTTGACGGCGCTGCAGACGGCGCTCGGAAAGCCCTCCGCCGCGTTCTTCGGGCAGCGGGTACGAGCAAGGCTATGGGGCTGGTGGCGGTTATCCAAGCGGCGGCGGCGGCGGCGGCTACTCTCAGTCTGGGCCCTCTCCTGGCCGGTCTCGTGACTATCTTCCTCCTGGTCGCAACGGTCGGGACGCTCCTCCTGCTGGCGGTGCTCCCTTTGATGCTGGTGGCTACCGGCGCTCTTGAGTCCTGGAATCTAGGGGCTACCTCCACCATCATTACTAACATCTCCCTCTTACAAAAAAACAAACTAAATACTTGAATCGTTCGCCTGTTTTCTGTATGCACCGGAGACGAAATTCTAAGAGTCCATTTCTGCAAAATCTTGGCCCTGTCTCTTGGACTGTCTGGCTCGAGCGTACCACCAGATCAAGGGATCCTCTCTCTCTCTCTCTAGCTCTGCAGGCTCGGCTTGAACGCACTGATCCATATAAACATTACCAACAAACTATCTATAATCACTCAAACTATGCAAAATTGACGGCTACTCGTTTACAAGCCAGCCATCTCATATAAGGTCTTCTTGTCGCCCGACTCGTCCACCAAGGACTTGAGGACGCCGCCGGTTTTGCCCAGCAGCTCTTTGGGGCTCGCGAACTCGACCTGTTATCCGACGCGTTGTTAGTCGATGATAATAGTAATGATTAAAAACAGGATGGACGCACGATTTTGCCAGCATCAAGCACCAGGATCTTGTCCGCGTCCATGATAGTCTGCAGGCGGTGGGCGATGGTGATCACAGTCGTGTCCTTCGGCAGCTCGTTCCGCAGCGAGGATTGGATCACGTTGTCCGTCTGTGCGGAGTGAGGTTTCTGATCGCTGCGTGAGGGTGAATGGATAAATACCTTGTAGTCGATTGCAGATGTAGCCTCATCTAGGATAAGAAGCTTGCTTCCACGGACGATAGCGCGCGCTGGGATAGCATCAGCAATTGAGCTCCATCTTTGCGATTTGAATGGCACACACCCAAAGCCAAGATCTGGCGCTGACCAACAGAGAGGTTGACACCCCCACTGCTGACTATAAAGCAACAGGAAGTCAGGTCGCGTGAGGCTCAATTGTTTGTCTCACTGACCCTGCGTGTCAAGTGTAATCCGGCCCTCGTCCATCTCGCTCTGCAGCGCGAACAGCCCAGCGGCCTGCAGCGCACTGTTCAGCGTCGCATCGTCGTGCTCCTCGAACAGATCCAAGTTCTTCCGCAGCGTGCCGGTGAGCAACTCGGGCTGCAGTCTGCGTTAGCATCGTGTGCGCGGCGGTGGGGGGAAAAAAACTGACGATCTGGGGGATGATGGTGATGTTGGACCGCAGTGCATCGAGATTGAGCGAGTCCGTTGGGATGCCATCGTAGACGACGTGTCCTTCGGTGAAGATGGTGCGGAGCAGAGCGAGTGTGAGCGAGCTCTTTCCGGATCCCGTACGGCCAACGACACCGACGCGCTCGCCGGACTCGATGTTGAATGAGATGCCGTGCAAAACATCCGGTCCGTCAGCAGAATACTTGGCGGAAAGCTTCTCGACACTCAATTTACCGCTCGAAGGCCAGGCAGCAGGCGGAACACCGGACTGAATGGGCTTGGGCTCCTGCTCGATGTCGATGTAGCCGCGGATACGCTCCAGGGAGTTGCCCTGGATCTCGAAGTCGTTGAGAACTCGAACCTGGACAGGAATTAGCATTTGCTTCGATGCTAGTGAGAATATGACTTGCCCACCACAGGATCATGCCGGAGAAACCAATGGCCTAGAGCATAGTCAGTATCTCAAACATGTCTCCGATACGAAAAAAATGGTACCATGTTCAAGCTAAACCCGATGTTGGAGGCACTGTGCGAACGGTTGTACACAAGGTAGTATGCCAGCGATGCAGCCTGTTCTAGTCAATCATCCAGCAATCATACACTAATGCCAAAACTGACAAAAAGTCCTCCAAGAGCGTCAATACGGACACAGACCCAACGGTTCAAGTTGTAGAACGTCCGCGCCGTGCGCGTGTAGCTGTCGATGCGCGTCAAAGAAGTCGCGATGAACGAGTTCTGCGCCCCGTAGGCACGAATCGACGCTAGATAATCCGGTCACTTGATAGCCGATGACCAGCAAATACCGACTTACTCAGTCCAGCGATAGCAGCGCCGAAGCTAGGAATCGGATGAACAAAAAGAGCTGCATAGAAAGACAGGACGCTCACTGTCCCAAAACGGGTGCCTTGGCGTTACTCATCTCACGCTTGACACTGAGCTGCGATTTGATATAGATTTGCTAGGTCGAGGTTCAGCTTATCGGCATATGGGGGAGAAGGAGGACAAAGACGTACACCGCACAGACCACCCAAAGCACCGACAAGAACACCGGGGATGAAGAATACGGGGGTGAACAAGATCACAGCAGCGAACTTGACTATCATCGACACCGTCATCTCTGTAGAGCACGTAATCAGTATATCAGGTGAGTCGGAGAGAAAACCACGCACCCGAAAGAGCATGCAATCCCTGTGAGATCGGTCCATCGACAGACCGGATGTCCACCGTGCAGCGAGCAATCACTCGGGACGTCGGCGTCACATCCAACCACCTCAGCGTCGTGCCTAGGACGCTCTCGACGAGCTGTTGATGGATGGCCTTGGCGGCGCGGAAGACACCGGTCATATAGAAGATGTACGATAGCGAGTAGATGACCAAAGCACCAAGCATCAGGAGGCAGAAGATTCCAAGATAGCTGGGAGACGTCAGCTTCAAACTCGGGCGACAGGCCAGGTGAGAACTGACTGGACGACGTCAACTTGAGAAGGGTCCGTCACCAGACTGTATTGGCCCGCCCAATATCCGAGGTACCACGTCTGCACAGCTTGCGAGAACTCGGTCAATCCCAGAGCACCAAAGAACACGGCGAAGAACAGCAGAGGATGACTACCGCCCATGCCTTTTGTCGTGGAACGAAAGGTCAGCACGATGATCGCGTAAGCGCAAAGACTCGCACCGTTGAAGTACAGCTTAAGCGCATCCCAGCTGACATGGCCCTCTTCGATCTCCTCAGCGACGATGAGCTTGCCGTCCGGTTTCTTGGCTTCGGCAGCTGGCTCCCCATCAACTTGTTCGTCCGCTTTCGCGACAGCCTCTTCATCCTTTTTCAGCTCCTCGGCGAGGATCTCGTCGGTGGCCAGTTCTTGCTCAATGGGACCATGGCTATGCACCTGCCCGTCGATGCTCATCGTCACGACGTATTCCGCGATGGGCTTGGCCAGAGCGACGTTGTGTGTGACGAGGATGAGCGTACGGCCCTTGACGAGATCTCCTCGGAAGCACTTGTCGACGATAAACTTGGCAGTGTGTACGTCCAGGGCAGCGAGAACGTCGTCCAGAAGAACGATATCCGCTTTAGCATAGATGGCACGCGCAAGAGTGATACGGGCTTTCTGACCACCGGAAAGAGTAAGACCTTTCTCTCCGACTTCGCTGTAGATTGATGTCAGCCTGATGGGCAGAGGAATACGAGTCGACTCACGTTGCATCTCCAGCTTGGAACAGCTCCAGGTCACGTTCCAAGGCACACTGGTAGATCACCTTCTTGTACCGGACTTCATCAAACTCGGCTCCGAAGAGAATGTTCTCCTTGATGGTTTCGTTCTGCACCCAGGACTCCTGCGCAGCATACGAGATACCTCCGGAACGCGGGAGATTGAACGAGGAGCCAGGGCCAGATGGGACGAAGTGCATCTCCCCGAGAAGGGCCATCAAAAGAGAGGTCTTTCCTGATCCAGTGGGGCCGACGACGAGATTGACACAGCCGCGCTTGAAGTTGAGTTCGCCATCGATCTTGAGCATGAACCGACGCTTTGAGGGGGTCAGCGATCCGTCGATCTTTTCGCTTGTCCATGCGAACGTGGCATCTTTGAAACCAATAGTGTCTTTGGCGGCATCAGCAGGCACAAGCAGATCCGTGGCGTCCGACTCCGTGTACTGATCGAGAAGCTCTGTCTTTACGGTGGCGGTGTGGGTATCACTTCTGGCAGATCATTTCGAAGCGCGCACCTTCTTCAAGAAGTCGTTCACTCGCTCGACAGAGACTTTCCCAGTCACAGTCTGGCTCAATGCCCAGAAGATGAAATACAGCTGATTGCGGAGCATGTCGAAGACGGACATAGAAGAGAAGACTTTGGATGCGCTCAGGCTTTCCTTCATGATGATCGTCTGGAGAAAGCGGTCAGCAAACAGGCTAAAAGCACCGACACTCAAGTGCACTGACGCTGCTCTGTAGTCAGAGACAGAAACAGATGTAGACGCAAAATGCTTACTATGTGGCTAAGAGAGAATGGGAAAACCGATTTACTCCAAGTGCATGCTGGGTATCATGAGGATCACTCACCGAAGGTAGCGACCATGACAATGATCGGCAAGAGGAAGCTGGCAACGTCTTCAGCACAGCACGATATGCGCAAACCAACGAACGTACTTGAGAATTCCGTTCAAAAGCTCCAGCATCTGCTTTTTCCACAGCCAAGACAACTCTTCTGCCCGCTTCTCGGAGACTCTGTCGTTCATCTGCTTTTCCCAGCCGAACAATCTGGGACAGTCAGCAACCCAGCTAATCGTTTCGTCGATACTCACTTGATCATGCGCAAGACGTTCATAGCTAGATAAGCATTAGGACAATGCCTGGCAACGACTGAGAGCAACACCCACTTTCTGTGACGACTTGAACACGGGAGTCCGTCTTTTTCAGTCGCTGCTGCTGAACACCTTCGGGACGCCTATGAGTCGAAGCGATTAGGGAAACGAGGGAGGAGACAGCATGCCTTGGATGAGGTTCGCGACGTAACCAGGAACGGGGAACAGTGCTATCATCACACCCATGCCAACAAAGGCACTACGCAAGATGAGCACCAGTCTCTCGAAATTGTGTTCAGGACAAACCTCCATCCAAGAACCAAGTATAGGAACACAACACAGAGGGTGATCTCCAAGGGGATCAGCAAGACCAAGAACAGAAGTCGCGCGAGTCGGTGATGTTGCCGAGATCAGTGGTGACCAGGTTGGTAATCTTCCCGACCAAATTGTCCGCGCTCTCCTCCTCGGGGGCAGCGGTCTTTTCACCTGCTTTGGCCTTGTCCTTGCCTTTGCTGGACGTCGATTTGACGCTCGCAGTGCTAGCCTGAAGCGTCTCCTCCTGTGAAAGCGTTTCCGCGGCGGTACCATCCTCGCTGATAGAAGCATCGGGATCGGCAGCTTCAGCGGGTTCGGTGTCTACAGGAGTGGCAGTCCCACTGGTAGACGCCGTCTTCTCAGTCTCCGCCTTGACCCGAATCCGCAACGAATGTTCGAAGACGAGCTGGGTGATGAGACCTTCACAGCGGACAAGGGTACGAGTCTTGTAGACTCAAATTCAAGATGTTGATCCAGTGATAGAGGGGGTAACTTACAGCCAAAAAGATATACCATTGGAAACCGGTCGATCCTGCCATTGGGCCGAGGAACAACCAGATAATCCAGAACCAGGGCTTTATGAATTGTTCTTCCTCAGGTTTCTCAAGATATCTGGACGTATGGAGTGAGTAATCTCAGATGGGGAAGATCTTGCTGCGACTGACGCGAGGAGTCGGTTGATTCCAATCGGAGAGGCAAAGTTGAAGCAAGTCAATAAGACGATGCAAGCCGCCTGCAAGTTTGAATCAAAATCACGACAGCATACGCGCACCGCTGAGACTAACCATGCTCATGTACTCGTATCTGAATGTCCACACAAGACCAAAGAAGAGATGACGTTTGCCCAGGAGATATTTGAAGTTCTTCTTTTTCATGTTCAAGCTGGCATCGGAGTCGCACAGTGGGGGAAGTTGGTCTGCGGTCGCATTCAGCGAAAGAAGCAGCGGAGAAGGATCGACACTGACCAGCGCTCAGATGAGGCATTTTGTAGCCTTTCCAGACGATGGGGTCCAGGAAAAAGTAGAATGCCATCGAGAAGAGGGAGGCAGTTTGTTCAGGATTTACCTCCGGCATGGGGTGCTGCACTCATGGTTAGATGTCCTATTCAGTCTACAGATGTGAACACTACTGACCTCGGGGTCCTCAGGAACATATTGGCGCGGAACGAAGAGAGGAACAATGACGGAGGCAACGAGCAACAGCGCGAATTTGATGTGGAAGAGCACACCCTCGGCGGCGTCAAGGGGTTCACGTGTATAGGTGATGAGGGGGAAGACATTTCGATAGAGATAGGTGATGAGAGTGGCGACGAACACCGTGTTGAGGTGTTTGAGAGCAACTTGACTCCACCGCCTTCGCGCTGCTACCGTCACCAGGGAAAGAATGCTGGTGTAGAAGAACGTGAGGGAGATTCCAATTTGGAGCCACTCCAAGCTGGAGAGCTTCCCGTGCGGTTTGCGCGCATGTTTTTTCGACCTAGGGTTGGATCCCTGTCATTCGTGCGGATCGAGATCCGGAGAGCCACGCACCACTTGCCAAATGAGCCCCCCGCCCCAGAACCTCCAGGTAGCGCCAAAGTTGCAATCGACAAGCCAAGTAGCGCCAAAGACGAAACCAATCGGACGAGGCGGAAAGTGAAAATGACTGCTCCTCCCTGATGCGCGATGTGTTCTTTTACTTCTGTAGACCATCCTACAGCGAAGACTGGAGGAGCCGGCTGCGTGGAGCTCTCATCGGCCGAAGGCTTTGCGAAAAACGAGCGTAGTTTACGTCCCCATGCCGAAGCAAGGAAGAGGTGGGTGAGGAATATGACAGCAGAGATTGCTGCAAATAATGAGGGAATGACGAGCGTGTCTTGCCACCTGTTCTGTTCTAAGTTTCGGGTCTACGGCATTTGTGAGGAGGACGCGTACACTTCGCGGCTCTTATTTGAGAAGACATTAATGAACGGTTCGACGGAGGCGTAGGCCACAAGCGGATTTTGGCCTGCCGTCCAAAGGTTCATGGTGGACGGAAACCAAGTGGTAAGTTTGGAATGTGTTTGACGATGGTTATAAACATCGCCTGTGACTCAAATTGAAATCGGTTCTCGGTTCCTGTCGCGGAGTGAAATCCATGTGGGAACAGCGGGAGAAGATAACAGATGATGGGTGTGCCGATCTCGAATTGATGAGGGTTTCAACTTTCAGCTGCATGTGCATATGAATGAATTATTGTATGTGCCTGCCCACGCATGGTGTGGTGCTGTTAGTTTGAGTCAAGAAGCTCGGAGATTTGCGCATTCCATCTGAAGCGACACTATGTCACCGTCGATTCTACCGTATTTCTAAAGCATCACTGGCAGATGATGTATCTGATCCTTTCCAGCTTCCCTGGAATTATCTCCTTCAGGTGGCGATGCTTGAGAATATGCCTGAGCTGCGAACGCGCACTGGATTGTGATTCGACTAGCACGAATTGAGTGATATAGATCGATCAAGAAAGATAACGAGTATCACATTTTTCGAGTTGCGGAAAGACCTTACCAATACATTGATCTTTCAAACAGTCAGCGCAAGCTGTCAGCATAGCGTGCAGTTTCCAGTCCAGTCTCGGATGCGGCAGGGAGTTTTAATATTGTAGAGCTCGTGGAAAGCAAGATCTCGCTTTAGCTCAGCGACGGCGGTCCTGGATCAGGAACAATACAATGCTGCGGAAAGATAGACACGGAGCGAGAGCTCTGAGAAGACGAGCAAAAGTCGCCCGTAGAGGAGAGGTAATCCATGGCAGTTCACTTGCGAGAGGCGAAACCTAGAGTGCATGGCAGTATAGAGCAGAGACATGAATACGGCAATGAAGTGACAGCACAACACAACCAAGCAAACGAGATCGTGTTCGGCGCTGCCCGCCACACTCTTCCTGCGCCTCACATTGCAAGCAAGTTTCGTCCTCAAGTTCCACCATGGAACAGCCCAGCTCAGCGAGGCCGTCGGGTGACTTCTCATCCAATCCACTCTCGTCCGGGCCGATTCCGACTTTCGATGTACACCTGCGCATTCTCAACGACTCAATCATTGCCTTTTTCCAGGAAAGGTCTCTCGTGTAATGCCCTTTAATGTGTGCTTCTGACTCATCTGCTTCCATTAGAAAGCGGATCGAAGAGGTTTAGTGCGTGCCTTCTCCAGCGGCGCATCTCTTTGCTTTAACTTTACGGCCAAGTGTGGACTCGTTGATCAAACTGCACAAGAAGATCAAGGCCGTCGACGCGTTTCTGGACGACAGGGTAGACGTCAGTACAGCGAGAGGAGCATGGGCTGAGATCAGAGACAATATTGACCGAGGTGTGAGCACTTTTGCCACGGACCATTCGCGAGCTGAACGTGCTCCAAGAGTCTCAAACGCGACAGGCATTCCTCGCCTCACTATCCGTCGATGTCATAAGCCCATTAACCACGCTGAAAGTACATCATCATCGAATGTTTGGCGAGTCTCTTCTAATACTCACGCTCAGGAAACCCAAGAGCGAACGCGTAAGCGAATCAAGGAGGACTTGAAGGACTCTGGCAGCGCGTATAACGACTTTTCTGAGAACGGTTTACCGCGGCTCAAGGCGAGGTACCTGAAGAAATTCGTTGAAGTAGAGGTTTGTCGTGCTAACACATTGTCTTTCCGTGCTTGCGATGGGAACTTGACGATGCGGTCGTAGGAAACCAAACGCGCGGCCGCAGCCGCACCGTTACCGCCCATGTCACCGCCACCATCCAGCGTGGAGCATCACATCAACTCGAATCCGAAACCCACGCCTAGTGTTCCCCTGCGAGTGACGTCTCCTCAGCCATTGCGGGCGCTCGAAAGGAGGCCATCCGGAAGCGCCCCCAGTGGACGGAACCGATCGCCATCGTCGAACACCGCGTTTTCAGATTTGGCGCAGCAGGGTAAGAAACAACTCAACCAGTTGCGCGGATTTCTAGAGAAGAGTGGGACTGTGAAAGAGGGAGCTGGGAGGGAAGGACATGCTTTGAAGGCTGTGCGCGCGAAGAGGGAAGCAGACGACGCAGGCATGTCTTCCACTTTTGATTTCTCATTATTTTTTCTCACCTTGCTGCTCGCAGACAAGGAGTATCGTAACGGGGTGCATTGGCTCGAAACTTTACGCCTTCGTCGTGCAAAGATATTGGAGAGTGGATACCGGGTGAGCACGTTCATTCCAAGAATGATGAGTGTCTTCAACACGCATGCAGAGTTTGGAGCACTTCATATTCGACTCGTCAACGTTGCTCAAGCAGATTCTCGAAAAGTACACCGACAACATGATGTATGCCATTGGCCTCGCTCGTGTCCATGGCTCTAACTAGCCTGCACAGTGCAACAAGCACAACTCATACCCAGCTCTCGTTGCATGCTCGGGCGATAGTGGATAAGATCAACCCCGAGTTAGACATGGCGAGGATATCGACCCATATCAATCCATTACTTGCCGCGGCGATTCCCGACAAAATACTATACCAGCACGGTCACGTGGGCGAATGCAGCGATCTCATTTTTGGATTCAGCCTTGTGGACTACGCCACAGCCATAATCTACGCGAAGGAGACGCACCCAAGATCGTCCAAATTTGCATACAAGAGATCGATCAGCGAGGGCTTGAGGCTGAAGGCATTTATCGGGTATAATGGTCATTTAATGGCTCCAAAACATGTCTCATCAAGCCGTAGGTGTCCGGTCGACATGCTGTTGTTCAAGTAGTGAGTAAAATCCAGATTGCTCGAGAATGGTTCCGACCTTGATGCAGATGCAACACGAAATCGAACGTGATGAGTCCAAATTTGTGCTCAGACCCAAAGATGACATTTATGCCGTTGCTTCTCTGTTGAAGGTTCTTCTTCCATTTGGTTTGTCCGGGAGTGTGTGTACTTACTGACCGGGGCCCCAGTTGTATCTCCGGGAACTGCCGGAACCTGTGTTCCGGATGCCACTCCAAGAGCGGCTACAGCACACCGAGGACAGAGGTTTGTGGATTGACGTGCTTGGAGTAAGGGGCTCTGACTCATTTCCCAGTTGAGCACATTGGCAACAACTTTAGGCTCATTCGCTCCAAGCTGAGAAGACTACCGCCTGTCCATCAAGCCACATTGAAGGCAATATTGGAACACCTGACTCGCGTTGTGGCATTAAGCGAGAAGAACAAGATGGACGCCAAGAATCTGGCTATCGTCTTCGGACCTGTTATATTCGGAGAAGACGATATTGCTAGGGGCGGCAATGATCTCCTTGCATTGCAGTCGTTCAAGGTAATTGTGAGGCTTTGACTGTATTAGCTCTCAATGAATCGTCGCCTAGGATACTCTCATGGAAGACCTGATTCTTTATGCGCCTTTACTGTACGACGATGACCATCAGCATTCACCGCAGCTTCCTGCGACGCCGGCCGGAGAGGAACCGGAGATATATTACGGTTCCAAGCTAACGCAGGTCACCACGGTCCCCGCGTCTCCAATCAATCGCGCGGGAACTGCCTCCCCACAAGACTTTACACCGCGGCTCCCCAGTCGACCACCCAACAGCATTCATCCATCAGCCAGGGCGAATCCGCCACCGTCTCCAACCAAGGATCGGATGTCTCGGACGTCTCTGGATCCGGCATCCGCCGCGGCCAGACCTGCTGATCCATCGTACTCGCCAGCGACGTCGACGACAACGCTGGACACCGAGCCGTCCTATCGCACCTCTGTAGACTCGAGCGATAATTCGCAGCCACCGTCCGCGCGACAATCCATTCAGTTCCCCACCACGTCCCCACATCTTTTACCATTGGAAACGCTTCCAGAGCAGTAGCCTCTCGTGATCTGTGTCTGCTTGTAATCAGTAGTTGTCAATGTTGTATCTCGAGATTGGATCACACCGGCGTTCAATATCCCACAATCTATCTGTCTATTGAATCTATCTAACTATCTATCTAAACACGGACAAGTCGGGGCTGTATTCGGGGGAGCCACAGGCCCATACGTAACTGAATCATAGCTGGCCGGGCATTACATACATTTACAGATTGTTTGTACATTGTTGGATGGTATGGAGTAGGAATGCGTATGTGAATGGAAGACAACAAGAAGAGCGCGAGTTATTTTAGGCGGAGAACAAAAGTTCTGCCACACAAGTTTGAGCACTGGAAGCTGATGCTGAGAAACGGGGTGCACTGACTTGAACACACGGTCGATGCGGAAACTGTTTCGTTTTGTCTTCTTTCCTGTAGTAGCGGAGACCATCTTCTCAGCTATCGGTTGCTCCGGTCGCGCGGGAGGGGGCACTGCAGCCAGGACAGGCACCACAATCTCCGTCACTTCTAACACTATACTCTCCTGGCTGCCGGCTTTCCCGTCTATCAGACATCCATAAGTTCAGTCAGATAAAGACCGGATGCAGATGTCAGAGCGACTCACACATGTCTTCAAATGACAGGACTGGCGACACCCTCAACGGGCTCTGCCTGACTTCTAAAATTCTGGCGGCACCGCCACCGCCAGTGCGTCGGCGACAGTCCTGCCCGGGGCTAGGACTTCGTCGCCGCCGCCGCGACCGCGACCGGTAAGCCAGTCTGCGCAGCGCTTCCCCCGACTCCTCGTAGACGTGAGGCGCAATCCCGCTGATGAGGTCTCGAGACGAGGGGCGGAAGTTGAGCAGCGACGCCAGCTGCGAGTGTGCGTACGAGTCCGCAGCCGAGGGGACCGCGGAGGGAAGTGCCCCTGGAGACGATGGTCGATCGATGGGTGTGGGCGGTCGCGGGTACATGGACATGGTCGTTGTAGCGGAAAGGGTGAGAGAGAGAGAGAAACGAGTGTGGGAGCAAGTGGGATGCTGTTCTTGATAAAAAAGACGCGAGGCGAGGTGAGTGAATGCGCGTGTAGGCACTGATTGTAACCGGTCGCCGAAGATGGATAGGACTAGCTTCGCTCTAGATCAATGGGGGTGTTATCTAGTGAGGTGAGAGCCTTATGTAGTGCGATTCGGAGAAGGACAACTTCAAGGGACAAGGCCAGTCTCGCTTGCTTCCGGGCCCGATTGTTTCAATGTCTTCTCCGTCAGCCGTGCTCTCGCCGATTCGAATCATGCATCATCATGCCTGGTGTATCAGCATGTCAGGGACCACCGCCTGTCGTGACGTTATCTGCTCAGGCTGTTCCATGCCGAGCACGTGTGTGTGCGTTGTCTTCCCACTAACGGTGAGCCATCCCGCTCCGAATGTCATGGACGTTTTCATCGATCATCGCGGCTTTGTACCCTTTGTTGGCGGTCGCTTCCCAAGATAGAAAGAACGGATCAGAAGGTGAGGTAGAGTGCAGAGAGGAGAGGGAGTGGAGGGAGTGGGAAGCAGAAGATGTGCATAGCCGAGCCCGTGTGAGATACGCGAGCATCGGTCCCCCATCGAACTCCAGTCAATGAAGGCCGAAATGGATGAATATCCAAGTTTGGAACGAAGCGCGGCTGCTCAAAGGGATGTGATGTACATGACTGGAGGCACATCGCCACACTAGTCATAATAGTCAGTTATTTTTGCGTTTATTGGGTGGACTTTGAACGGGGTCTCGACTCACCTTGAGTCCCAAACATGCAGCGCCACGTTCCCCTAAGGCGAATTTCGCTCATCCCCTCTCTCCGCATGGCGAGAGCACTGTCTAGTGCTTCCGGAATACTAGTCCTCTTCGGCTGCCAGTTGAGTTGGTTTGGGAAGAACTAGGGCTCAGACTAGAAATGCGACAGGAGCCAACGACGAGAATACATCCTCTTCGCCTTAGGCGGTGACACAAGCGGTGGCAGATCTCTTCGCGAATCGAGCGGACGCAGCTGTCCGCGACAGATCATGCAGTGGAAACGAAGGCATTTCGGCCGCCTCCGGTTACGGGTAATGATCATCAGGTCACGCGATGTCAAAGCCACGCGTTCCCGTGACCGGCTTCGGCCACCTCTGTTGCCGAAACGAGGACGATTTCCCCACAAATACCCACTCTCTTCCCCCGCGCTCTTCCTCCACGACATAACATTTCTCTGTCAGAAGCACCCGCATATGGCTGACCGTCTCTCTCAAATCTCGAACCATCTTTCGAACGCACACGGCCGCGGTCTTCTTGCGGGAGAAGTGGCCATTATTACTGGTACGCATCAGCGACGAGCATCTCTCTAACGATGTTGATGCCGTCTGGCAGGTGCGGGGCAGGTACGCATCGGGTCCGAGCAAAAATGGTAATGGCGTGGTCCTCATCAGGCATTGGGTTTTAGGGTATCGGGCGCAGTGCGGCACTTCTGTTCGCAAAGGAGGGGGCGAAAGTCGTCATCAGCGAGTTCGTGATCATCCTAACTGTTTTCGCCTCGCACCTAATTCGCACTTACTCTCTCAGCATTGACGCGAAAAAGCTTGAGGTTGTCGAGGGGGAGATCAAAGCATTCGGAGGGGAGGTGCTTTGCGTCTCGGGTGACGTCGGCGCGGATGAATTTCCCAAGAGGATCGTCGACGCGACTGTGAAGTGCGTCCGCGCCTCAACGCATGTTGTCCGCTGTGCTTACACGTCTCCGTCTCTTCCAGGCAGTACGGGAAGATTAATCATATTGTTAACAACGGTGCACCTGGACCTCTTCCGATGACCCAACCTCGTCTCACGACCCTGCAGCGGGCTTTACGTTCGACAAGATGTTACATACAACTCCGGACGAGACATTTGACATCATCATGAAAATACACGTCCGGGCACCGTTCCGCCTCATCCGCCAAGCCGCACCGTACTTCCGCTTGAAGGTGAGTCTCATCCCAACCTTATTTTCGCTCAGGCACATGAACGCGCTCCACTGTCTCGTCAGCCTGAGGCCCGGGAAAACCGCTCAATCATCAACGTCTCATCCACGTCCGGCCTACACGGGAACGTCGGCCAGGCCAACTACGCCGCAGCAAAGGCTGCCGTCATTGGGCTGACAAAGACCATTACGAAGGAATGGGGGCCATATGGTGTCCGTGCCAACACGATTGCGTTCGGGCTGATCCACACGCGGTGCGTTGGATACGCTTTCGTCTCGGTTGAACTCAAGTCTAGACCTGTAGATTGACTGCGGCCAAGGAGGGAGGCGCGACGATGGAGATTGACGGAAAGAAAGTCGCACTTGGCGTCCCGGGTGCAAATCCCGATGCACCGAAGACGATGATCCCTTTGCAGAGAGGCGGTACCCCCGATGAGGCTGCGTCTGCTATGCTTTTGTGCGTTCCTGTCTCCTGGTCCGTTCTGTGATGTGACGGTTCATCAGTTTGGCATCTCCGTTGGCGTCGTTCGTCAGTGGACATACCTTGGAAGTCACCGGTGGCGCTGGAATCTGAGTGGTATCAGACTGTCTAAAGCAAGTGTCTTCTCAAGTTGATCGTACAAGTATAATACATGTAAGCAGATAAGTTAAATGCTATAAACCTATCAGATTCCCAGAGTAGTCCTCATCGAAATCATCGAATTGAGCATACAAGTCGTCACTCCGCGCGTGTGCTGGTTCGGGCTCGGGCTCTTCGTCGTACGACATCCAGGTGGATTCCCATTCCATCACTCGAGGATGCGCCTGTATTCTGCGGTTTACGATCAGTCGCTCTGTACACTTCGTTCCAGCGGCTAACACGGACTTGGACGGCTGCAAGTTTGCGATCTCGAGGTGTTCCATGGAGGTCGCTCGTGACAAAGCGACATAAGCCTGTCCTTTTTCAAATACTCTGTCGAGATCGACGCGGACCCGCTGGAGTGTTTGGCCTTGGCTCTTGTGGATGGATAGCGCCCAGGCCAGAATCAAGGGCACCTGAGTTCGATGCGCCTCGCAGTTTCCTCTGACCCCCTCGATCGAGAAGTACAATGGGGCACACAACATCCTGCACTCTTGGGTGAAACACACAAGAGGCCATGGCTGATTCTTTGCAAATACGACGTCGTTCATGGCCTGGAGATTAGTTGGTCGCGCTGGTTCATCTTTTGGGACCATGACAGCGATGCCACGCTCCACCGCTTGTTTGGTAGTGATGAAGTCCTCGACGATTCCGACACTGCCATTCACTAGAGAGCCTGGTACAACATTCTGCGGTTCGTAGTATGCACAGGTCAAATGATGATCCATTACACAGCAAGTGCGCCCTTGAGCTCACCTGAACCAGCATGACTTGGGCACCTACCTTCAGTCCAATGGATGGCAGCGCTACTAGACGATCAAGCAGCCGTTGGGCGCTCTCGCGATCTATGCGCTTGTCAAGTACATCAAACCCTGCACCGTCGATAGCTCGGTAGGTCACGGTCTCCCCAGGTAGTGCAGCCAATCTCTCCTGGTCTAGAATTCGAGTTATGTTTCATGCGTAGTGACTAGGAAAAGAACTCACTGCAGCGTTCCACATCGCATCGAAGGGGGAATCTGGGACAGTGGTCAAACAGGTTAGATCAAGCGAAGAGAACCGACAATTCGCTGGGCTCGATCCCGTCGTCGTAGATCAACGGGCGCGATAGTGCTGACAACTTCTGTATATGGTCATCAGACAGAGCCCCCACTCGGATGGAGGCTAGAATGTCCACGAAGACTGGGAAACACTTGAGATCTGTTCCGGATTATGCTTTGGAGATGACACTCACCGTCATCCTTTTGGCGGAACACTTGGGACAGGACAACTGGAGTGCCTACACAGCCTGCCCAGGATATGGCATCAAAAGCATAAGTAGAAGGCGACTACTCAGTCAGTCGCACTCTAAACTGGGCGTGGGCAATGCTCACGTGTCGACGATGGGATTGATCGGGCACCGGCGGTAGTTGATAGAAGTCTCCAGAGATTACCAGCTGTGGTACGATTGAATGATGTCGCGAAAGCAGCGTGAGAGACCAGGCCTACCTGGATGCCACCAAAGGGACGCTGACATTCTCGCACTTCTCTTGCAATGTATTCCTAGGAGAGCCGGTGGGTGAAATCACTCACAGCACCACGTGACTCTATGGACCCACAAGTTTATCGAACAGGACACCGTCGATCATCGAGACTAAAAAATGAGCATAAATAAGACTCCCAGTTCTTGCCGCTCACTTTCGTCGATGACAAGTGTACGGGTGTTTCTCCATCTCTGCCGCTTCATGAGTGACTTGGCGATCCGCTGTGCGAGACTTTGTTTGGATGCCTTCCCGAGCCTGTGTTTCTAGTCAAAAGGAGCTATCCAAGACAAACATGTGTTGGCGCTACGAACCCGATCCCCGCGAACGAGTGCAGAGTGCAACCACCGATGTTGAGACCGGCAACGCCTGTCGACGCCGTCACAGCAATTGTAGATGGGTTGCACGGTTCTAGCGTTTTGATGATTTCTCGCAATAAGACTGATTTCCCTGTGCCCTGCGTCGAAAAAAGTGAGCGTGAAAAGAAACAATTTCTTCATTCCAGTGAACGCACGGCAGGCCCGGTGAAGAAGACAGATTCGCCCCTGCATACTGCCTCCAGTACATGTCTCTGCTCATCGGAAAGCATGGGCGACGTTTGTGGCAGCGGTATCGGCGCAGGCATGCAGACCGGCACCGGGTTTTGTTCTTCCTCGCCACGTGGAAGTCTAGTGGGGGTGCGTTCGACATACTTGGGCATATTGGTTAACCTGATGTCGTGAAGCGGTGAGCCAGTCCGCACAGACCCACGGACGCGTGGAAGAGGAGGAATGAAAGTGTCGTCACGCTGTTATTGAAGCGACACGTGGAGGCACGTGATCGTGTCATCGACATCTAAATCATGTCGAATCCTTGTCTGGCCCTCAACAGCAACTTTGACGCATCGCCTTTATTGGGAGCCATTGCCACGAGGAAGACGTCCTTGAGACCTCGGGAAGCGGTCTTTCATTCAGTCTGCTTGAATGCGCAGAGCCCTCAAAGCTTTGCCGCAACGGAATAGCATGGCTAAATTTTACGCTGTCGCAAGAGGGCGGGAGGGTCCCAAGATCTACAGTAGCTGGGATGATGTCTGTAATTCTGATCCAGCATATTCGGTATTGCCTGACTCTGTCTCCAGGCGAAGGACAACGTGACTCGCTTTCCCGGTGCTAAACATGCGAGCTTTAAGACTCAGGCGCAGGCAGAGATGTGGTTAGCTAGTACGTCAACGCGTCGATTCAGATCATCTATGAATCTCACGGAATCCTTTAGCCACACTATCTCTCTTGGACTCCCACACGAACTCGAGCTTCGGTCCACAAAGAAGTGCCAATACGCGCCCCTCTGCGGCCATCGCGAAGCCATATACCCGACCTCCAGTCTTGCAGGGAGCACCGTCCACTTCGTCATACCCGGACTCCGTCTCCTCCTCACACGCTCCATTCATAGATCCAGAACTAGAACCAGCTCCCATCGCACTGTCCTCCGAGCAGAACGCTGTGCTCCAGCGGATACTTTCAGGGACAAACACGTTCTTTTCCGGTTCCGCAGGCACAGGGAAATCGGTGTTATTGAGAGAGATCATAAGACGATTGCGATGGAAAGGGAGCGAGTCTGTCGGGGTTACCGCATCCACTGGAGTACGCTGCCCGTCGGTTCCATGTGTTCACAGCTAAATTCACAAGATAGCGGCGATTAATATAGGCGGGTCCACAATCAACTCTTGGGCTGGCATAGGCCTCGGGAAGTTGCCAGTGGAAAAGCTGATTGGGCCGCTCATGTGGCAGCCAAAATACGCGCAGGCTAAGACGCGTTGGTTAAATGCTGAGACTTTGATCATTGACGAGGGTAAGTCCCTGGTTTATTCAAACCGTTTCCTCCCTCGAATCACTCTTCTCTCAGTCTCCATGATTGACGGGACTTTGCTGGACAAATTGGTTCGCATGGGGCGTCAACTCCTGTCGGGTCATCTCATCAGCTCCCATTCTAGGAAGCCATTGCTCGAGCAATCAAACAAAACGACAAGCCCTTTGGTGGGATCCAGGTGGGATCTCTATCAAGTTCCGCCTGGCTGGCTGGCTGGCTGACTGAGGTGATTCAAGGTCGTTCTATGCGGAGATTTCTTCCAGCTTCCTCCGGTTCCCGATACAGTCGACGGAAAGCCCATCTTGCCGACGTTTGCATTTGACTCCGCCGCGTGGTCAAAGTGCATTGACAAACCTGTGATACTGACACAAGTCTTCCGGCAGAAGAACCAAGGTTATATGCTTCGCCCTTCTCTGGATGATGCGCTGACTGCGACGCAGAGTTTGTCGATATTCTCAATGCGATGCGCTTTGGGAAGGTGCATGACTCCGAAGCTGTTAGAGCCTTGGCTCGTGACGTTCAGTACACTGACGGCATCATGCCAACTGAACTGCGAGTGTCCATCCGTATTTCGCTGTGTCTGAACCTGACGATCGACTACTAGACTCGCGAGGAGAGACGAAGTGGACCGCGTGAACCGCAGGCGACTGGACACTTTGACTGGAGAATGTCAGACATACGAGTCGATGGATGTGGCCGGCGTCGACTCCAACGGAAACCGGCTGAACGACTCGGACAAGTTTCGGATTCTCAGTCGCCTGGTTGTGCCGCAACGCGTCAGCCTTAAAGTTGGGGCACAGGTCATGCTCGTCAAGGTGGGCAGTGCTATGTAACGGCCTCGAACAGGGGTGCCCATTGAGTGCACAGAATCTAGTGCAAGGCAGACTGGTGAACGGCTCGATCGGCCGGGTCGTTCGATTTGCCACAGCTGCGGAAGCGGCGCTAGAGCGCATGGAAACATCTACACCCGATGGTCCCGGTGCAGCAAGGACGGACCGCCAGCCCGAGCGGCGTTGGCCCGTGGTTAAATTCATCGACGGCTCGGAGGTCTTCATGACGCCTTTGGAGTTCACGATCCATAACGCGGAAGGTGGGATGGAGGCTCGTCGGGATCAGGTCCGTTAATCTTGCACATGCCACTCCACCAGCTGATTCTGGACCGCATCCAGATTCCTCTGATCCTCTCTTGGGCCATCAGTATCCATAAATCTCAGGGCCAGACGATAGAGCGGGTTAGGATTGACATGAGAAATATCTTCGAAAAAGGACAAGGTGCTTATTTGATCTCATCTGATAGTCCACCGCGACTGATCTCGCTGCTAGCCTATGTTGCGATGTCTCGCGCTGTGTCATTAGATGGCCTCCAAGTCGTCAACTTCAGCTCTTCCAAGTATGTATTGTTGTTGCGACTGCGACAGCATGCTGAACGTAACATAAACAGGGTCATGGCTCATCCACGTGTGCTCGAATGGCACGAAGCTCTGGGGATCAAACAAACGGCCTCTTCTCCGGAGAGACGGCGCATGGCCCCCAGAAATAGGGAGACTCTAGAAATATGGTCCGAGGACGAAGACGGGTGGGACATAGGCCGGGACAATTATTATCGTTAGACCTTGCGCGGAGACATAGTTAATTATACATTGAGGATGCTGATACATGCGATTTCGATACATAACCACTTATCTTCAACCTACAACATCCACAAAGTTAGCAGGAAAGATGCCTTTGCGCCCGTCCACCATTCCTGTCCACCAGTCGTCGGAGCTCTCTGACCGCTTCGTGATCACGATTATATCCCCTTTGGAAAAAGAAAGATCTCCCGACTGGAAGGCTCATGAGACCCGACACATCAAACAAACGAAAAAACGCACCTGAACGGCATTGAAGTCAAACAATGCAATGGCACGGCCCAGTCCTGAGGGCAGTGGCTGACTGAGAGCGGGATTCTTCAGAAGGACTGGTGCTGGCGCCGGAGCAGTCTGCGAGAATGCAGAACTCGACGATCGCGAATGGTGCGATTGGTTATCTGCATGGCCAAACATAGGAACCTGGGGTGTGGTGTCAACCAGATCGTAGACAGTTCCCGGAGTCGAAGGCGTGGGGGATGTGAAAGGCTTGTTTGGACGATGAGAATCGGACACAAAGTCCGATTGGAATTGTGTGGGGAAAGCGGACGACCCCGCCGTGTCCCATATTGTGGAGCGAGGCCGTTCGCTTGACGGCGAGCCCCATTCATCGACTGCTGGGTTGTCGAACTTGGGTTTACCTCGCAAAGAGGCGCCTTCGACTTGCTGGCTGAAATAGGATCCACTGTCGCGTTGTTCTCCCCACGAAGCGGGTGGAAAGTCGCTCTTGCTTTCTTTTCGTTTCTTGCGTAGGTAAGAAGGTGGAGTTTCGGATGTGGGTGTGGCAAACGCATATCCGCGGTCAGGTCCATCTTCATTCACCCATTGCCGTGTGCCTGGTAAGCCCGTGCAGACCTCGAGTGTCTTGATGAAGCTGGCAGCCCACGGTGGAGGATCGACTCCGCCATTGAGAAGCAGTTTGCTCGTCACTTGAGAGCCATATGCCTGGACATTGGCGTCTTCGCGCTCGACGATGACTGAACCCTACAAAATATGAGATGTATGCCGGGTGGCTACAAGGTAAAAGCCCTGCCTCGACCGAGAGGCCCCCAAATAGGCCGCGAGTCTTCGAATAGCTGTACCTGGGAAAAGAAGTCAAGGAAAAGTCTCATGCATAAGCAGAACCCAAACTTACATTGCAGCCACCTTGCCGCTGGTGTTCACGGAGCCAAGAGCCTCTCCATTCCTTCCGAGGGGCCCCAGTGCAATACTCAGATTCCCACTGGATCCGATGCGGTAAGAGCGAGCTGAGGACAGATTGGGCATACGATTACGTACCCGAGGGTCAGTGAACCGCTTGCCATGAACGATTTCTGAAGATACGATCGGCCACATGCGATGAAATGCCGATGTGACTTACAACGGCCGAGCGAGAGTTGAGCACTATGAGAAAGTCCGTGACCTCACTCCCCAGCTGCATCCCGACTCCCAATCCCGCCGTGCCGATCGCGGCTGCATGGATGTTTCATCAGCAGATCGTTTGCGTGAGCTCAACAGGAGGTACCCACAAGGACATGACCACGTTCCGTCGGGGAGCTTGGCGATGACAATTCCCGTTCCGGCCCGAGCGCTGGTCCAGTGTCATTCCATGCATACTTGCGCACGATGTTTCCCCTTCACGCACCTGAACACGAAACCAGCCTTGATGATGGTGAATATCGCAAAGCCTTTGGCGTTTTCCAGCACATGTCGTGGAATGACGCCGTCCAATCCATTGTTAGATCCGTCAACGAATGATTTGACTGCGGATAGACAGTTCAGCACCAGAAGGACGATACGATAGAGCGGAGCCTGCTACATATTTTGGAGGCCTTCTGGCATTCTTTCGGCAGAGTTTGCGGCAATGGGGTGTTGAATTTCATGTACAGGAGAAGTGAAGAAGGTGCTCGGAGAGAGGCGAATGCTGCGGGCAAGGCCAGGCAACGGATGAGTATATAAATGAAATGTGTAAGCAGGTATGACGTTGTGTGATCGGCATTTCCCCACCGGCGGCGCGGAAAATTTACGCGTCTCTATTCCCTTTGGTCACTCATGATTACACGGCTCCGGGCACGGCCTTTGCTTTCATTTGCTCAGCGATGCTGCGTAGTCCTTCCGAGTCGTTCAGTACACGCCATTCATGGCCGACCTTGCCTCAGACTGGGCCCTGGGCCGCGACTCCCAGCCACGCGACCTTCACTGCTCCATTCCGTATATGCGCGGACAAGGAGCTACTCCGATGATTTGAGTAGCAGGCTCGAAACGGATGGGATCCCGCTGCGTGTGCGTACCCGGACCTATCTCTCTGTCCGTGTTCTCACACAAACCAGCATTCTGGGCCAACAACAGCAGCACTGGTGTCATATGCGGAAGGCAACTGGCCCAAACCCGACACCGTCCCGGAAGGATGGAGCACATCCTGGAAAGACTGGGAATACCTCCTCACGTTCTTCGCATACAGCCCGTACTACTTGCGTCTCCCGCAGATCGAAATGCTCGTCAACATCAAGCACGCGATTCCGGGCAATGTGCGGCCCGTGATGTACTCCAAAGCTCGCGATGCGATGATCTTCCTGGTGGATATCTACACAGGCGAGGAAGGAACCGGAGGGACGACCGTCTTTCTTCTCAACTGCAGGACGAATAAGCTGTTTACATACCAGCCCGCCGACCGAACCAAGGTGCCGCAAAACGTGATGGGACTGCTAGAGCTCATAGCCGGCCTGTCTGACCTCGAGGCTGCACCAATGATCCAGCTTGAAGCAGACAAGGATGGGTCTGCTGTGTTACAGCGCGTTTGGAACGCGACGAGAGCGTGATACCTCTTCTCGAGTCGAATTATCTCGGCTACGCTCCCCAGCCGACCACACCGGAGGAGGAGATGATGAATCCAGACGAGGAGCGCAAAGGCATGTTGATGAGGCTCGAGGAGGCCATCGCAAATGTGCGAGCTTTCATCGTACAGGCAGAAGCTGAGCTGAGCGTCGATGAAATTGAACTGGCCAAGTTGAAAGAGCAGGGCATGGTGCTGCCTGCGAAGGAGGGATACCAGCTGGATGAAAATGCCCATGCGCAATTCCGCCAGTCTTTGGTTGAGGCTAAAGAGAAGCTGGCGGAGTTGGAAAATTTGCGCGCGGAGCGATTCTCGTAGTTTCAAACACAATCTCTCCAATATGACATTTGTTCTCCCCTCGTTGCACTGCCTAGAAGATCATGAAGAGATCTGATTGTCAATGTGCAGTACGGCCATCGTAAAGTAACATGGAGCAAGCAAGCATCGTTACTGCTGTCTCTGAAGGCTCATCGAGAAGCTCTCCTTTCTCGTTCGTTTCCTTTCGGGATGCGCTTCACCTGATCCATGCATTAGTTGTCGAACACGGTATTTGTCGAGAAACAGGTGCATTCTAGCACCAGTCAGACCAGGAAGGGGGGTGAGTAACCACCGAATCATTCCTCTGACGAAATGTCCAAGTCTCCCGCTAAATTATTGGGGAGAGTAGATTCATTCTCGCCGATCCAAGTAGCTTGCTCTATTTCCCCAACATCTTGAGTCCTAATCAAAGGCTCAGCAGCATGAAGAGGTCATAATTTTATTGGGACATGTTGTATCTCATCAGCGGATTTAGTCACCTGACCGCGTTTCTCTGCATGATGGAGGTAGCGGACAACAAGCTCGAGCCGAGCCCGGCTAAGAGCTACGCAAAATAGCAGATGGTCCTGATATTGTCTCTCTGAATCCCCAGGCGGTTGCAGAATGTTCGGAAAATACCAAGGAAATCCGACTAAATGGAGTTACGTCGGTCACGGGACATCAGGTTGGGTTCGGCGTCCTGCGCGATACCTTCGACACGATCCCTCACGATCCTTACGTCCTTTACGACTCATGCGCTCTCTAGATACCAGAGGTACGTACAAGCAGCATCCCTTGAACCAGCTCTCCTTACGCGCATGTCGTAGGCATCATTGCTGCTGCCCAATTAGGCGTCTACACTCCGATTGCCGTGTTCTGCTTCGTTCTTGGTATGTCCTTCGGACACTGTCGAGGCGGACTGATAATAGTTGCGAGTCGTTCGATATGCTTTCCGTCGTGATGCTGGATGGTTGTTCTTGCTCTTTTTTGCTCTTGGTGAGTTCAGTCCCGTCTCCTTAGATCTATAGCTCAACTATCTATCTAGTGCGATTGGCGGGTGCAGCTTTGATTGTAGCGGGTGAACTACTGGACAATCCGGCCGTCGACTTCTTCATCGCTGCCTACATACTTTTCTACGCCGGGCTTGCATTCTTGATGCTATCTTCGATGGGATTTCTCGGACTTGCGTGCGTGTGTCGTATGGGGACGATTATACGGGCGCTTCATCTTTCGAACAGGGGACAGAATACCTACAGCGAATACACACACACTACGATGCACTTTGTTAGTTGATTTCTCCATCCTTGGCGCGTGTCTGATCATTCGCAGAGGTCTGCCCTTACGTCCTTGTATTGCAATCCCCTTGCTCAGATACTTGCTTTGAAGGATCGTTGCCGTCGTCATCGTCATCGCGATGGGGCTTTCTGTCGCTGGGGGCTTGTTGGGCACCCATGTAGCCCCGAACGAAGGGCGCATCGGTGACATCCTTCGCAAAACGTCGGCGGGGGTGTATGGCTTTTCGTATCTCTTGCTCGTTTTTACCCACTTGCGTTGTTGGAGTGAGCGGTGGGAATTGAGGCATCATCGGAGGAAGGTGTGTCCCACGTTCATCGTCCATGGTCGGTGACTGACCGACGCGAGTAGCTCCTTATGGGAGTGTTCGCCATGCTGCCGTTCCTTGGCGTGCGCATTGCGTACCAAATCCTAGCCGCCTTCTCCTCGAGAGACCTCTTCGGTCTTCAATTGTCGAGCAATCCAATCTTGCCCCAGTTCCAACCAGTCACTGGGAAATGGATATACTATCTTATTCTTGGAGTGGTGTTCGAGGTCATCGTGGCAGTGGTATATTTGCTGTCGAGCACAGTGCTTTCACGGCGGCACAGACATTGAAAGTTGATGCGGGCAAATATGTTCACATTAGTATGTAGGAGTACCAGTAGGTTAGATGTTTCCAATTATATGTATGTTATTGAACGAACGAGATATATTTGAGCGCCATAGTCAAGCATCTCCCCGTCCACGACGTGTCGTGGTTGCGCAAGCTGGGAGACGCTCCGGCTTAATTGTGCTCTTTTTCTCTGACTGTCACCTCGTTACCCGTTTCCTATGCAGCGAAAAAGAGTTGACTGGCTTCAAGGCCTAGTCGGGTGAAAGCGAGATTTTTGTAGTCACAATGTGACGGACGGACGCTTTATACGCTCGCGATCACGTGCGGTGGCAGGCGATCTATGACGTTGACATGATGCCAAATCTGATAAGTTCGAGGATCTTTCGCACTCAAGTTTAGCCGTCACCACGACGTATGATAAGTACGCAGACCACTCGTTACATCTCTCTCAACTTACCTCTTTTTCACAGGCAGACTCCGTCTACTCACTCACCAACTTAACAAAGCCAAGATGTCCACCGCTTCGCATCCCATCCATAACACGAACACTGCATGCTGCACGATCCCACCTGTGCAGTCCAACTACAGCCCCAAGGGCACATTCAAGTCCGTTGGCGACTTCAAGAAGGTCTACGTGACTGGCACTAAGACGGACGTCGCGATCGTCTGTGTCTACGACATCTTCGGGTTCTTCCCGCAGACGCAGCAGGGCGCGGACATCATCGCATCGACGCTTGGAGCGACGGTGTATATGCCTGACTTCTTCGAGCCGCATGCGCCCTTCCCCGTCGAGGACTTCCCGCCAACTACTGATGAAGCCAAGAAAGCTCTGCAGGAGTTCTTCGGCGGCGTCGCGAACCCCGGCGAGGCGACCAAGAAGCTCGTCGCGTTCGGCAATGCGCTGAAGAGCGGTGGTGCGCAGAAAGTCGGCGCTTACGGATTCTGTTGGGGTGGGAAAGTCACCGTGTGCAGTGGGGGAGAATCCTCTCCTTTTGGTGCCGTGTCCATCGTTCATCCCGCGTGAGTTGTGTTTCCTTTTATGAGTTGAACGTTCTCATGCGCTCCATGGAACAGGATGCTTTCGGTGGATGACGCGACCAAGTTGACCGTTCCTTTGGGCATCTACCCCTCCAATGATGAGCCAGCTGATGAGGTGTGTTCCCTCTCTCCAGGCTGAGGACCGAGACTGATCGCACCAGTACATGAACATTCTGAAAGAAATTGGCAACAAGCCTTTTGCGGCAAAGAACGACAACAAATATTACTCAAACATGTAAGTAATGTTACCTTGCTAGAACGAGAGGAGGGTCGACTGACCCGCACATCGCTAGGTTCCACGGATGGGTGAATAATGCTGGTTCCCTTCTCAATGAAATGACGAGCTCATGTGATTCCAGGCTGCTGCCCGCGCAGACTTGGACAACGAAGACAACAAAATCGAGTCAGTTATTGCCGTTCAGCGATGCTCGTTGAAGACTAACATCACCAAGATTCCAAGATCTCTACTCCAGACTCGCCGCTTTCTTCAAGAACGCCTTGTAAAGTGTGTAAGCTCAAGAGTGAAGAAAGCAAAATGTCAATGGCCACATCACCGAAACCGTACCATAACAATGTAACCATCCATAAAGGAAGAATAGCTGATGATGTAATACTGGTTTCTTCCTCACACCTCCATGAAGTTTCTGATACTGGGCGCTACGGGACAGATCGGTGTCCTTGTCGTGCGCGAGGTGCTCTCAACATATCCAACAGCTATCGTCGTTCTGTACACGCGTAACCCACAGAAGCTAGCCCCAGACCTTACTGAGCACAAGAACTGCGTCATCGTCCAAGGTACGATCGACGGCCGTGATCGTTGCCCTCTGCGCGGTATCCCACATCTGCCGATCCATAGGAGACTTGGAAGATGAAGCGACCCTGGGGCCGGCGCTCGAGGGTGTCGACGTCGTGCTGTCTGCTATGGGACCAAGCCAGTTCTCACACCCGGCCGGTGCGTCCCAATCTGCATTCCGGACATCTACTTCATTCGACCGTGCTGCGCAGACACCCCATTGGCGCGCGGCTACACGAAACTAATCACGGTTATGTCAAAGTCCGGCGTGCATCGTCTCCTCGCTCTCGGCACCGCGTCTATGGAGAACAAATCTGATCGGTTCAATCTGGGGTACTACGGGCTGGTCAAAGGGTCTGTTCCTCGCTCCTAACTGTACATCTTCTCCGCTCAGACCGTTCACCGTCAACAGGGCGGCTGTCACGATGCATAACGCCGTCAAAGACGTCAAGGCCATCAGCGCAGTCATCAGCTCATCGGACCTCCCTCATTGGTCCATATTCCGGGTCCCCGTTCTCAGCAACAACGCATCCAAGGACGTCATCGCCGGGTTCATAGGGGACGGCAAGACGAATAATCACCTGTTCCTCAATCGCGGCGGGTTCGCCGCGTTTATGGTGCAGGAGGTAGAGCACAAGGCCTGGGATAAAGAGGCACCGTTACTGGTATCAGCATGATATTGTGTACGGTAGATGTCGCGCTGACGCGCTATGTTACGCTGGAGCGCGGTCACGTGGGGGCGTCCCACTTTCCTCCTGACTAAACTGTATGATACCCACTCCGGATCTGAGCCATTTGCGTGCCTCGGACTATGAACACGTATACGAGCCAGCCGGTTTGTTTTTCGTCTTGATTGGTCTTCCGCCTCACCTCATCCGGACGAAACAGAGGACACCTTCATTCTGCTCGATGCGTTAGAGCAAGACGCCCAGGAGCTGTGTGACCTCAAGCCTCGCATCGCATTCGAAGTGGGGTAAGCCCTTCGTGTTGTTAGCCAGACTCGCCTCCCAATGCACCCTAGCTCTGGCTCTGGCTGCGTGTCCGCGTTCCTGAGCAAGATCACTGGGCCCTCTGCAGTGCGTGCGTTCCCGGCGAATGTACCCCATGCATCCGCCCACATCCGCCTGATCTTGCGCTGCGCACAGTGTATCTCTGCACGGACATCAACCCCCGTGCGTGCGTCTGCACCCGAGCCACCGGCGCACAGAACTCGGTCGCGCTGGAGGTGGCGACTGCGTCGCTCGCTGCGCCGTTCCTCGACCGCCTCGAGCACTCCGTGGACGTGATCCTCTTCAACCCACCCTACGTCCCGACGTACGCCGAAGAGGCGCTTGCCGCGCAAGCGGATCGGGACATCGGCGGGTCGTGGGCGGGAGGCCAGCATGGGATGCAGGTGACGGAAACGTTCTTTCCGCAGGTCGATGTTGGGCTTTTTCTTGCTTCTGCGCGTTGTCGATCGATTGAGATGATGTTCCAGCGCCTACTTTCATCGAGCGGCCGATTCTACCTGGTGGCGGTCGCAGATAATAACATTGCCGCGATTCAAGAGGAGATGTCGACGCGGTATGGTATGCATAGTCAGGTAGGTACTGGACGGTTTCTCTTTGCCATGTTTTGACAGCTCGGCAGATTGTACTGCAACGAAGGGCAGGTCGGGAACACCTCTTTGTCGTCCGATTCACAAGAACGAGCGGATAAACGAGCCATTTTATTTCCAAAGGGTCCATGTTACAGAGTCATAATTACAGCCACAGCAAGCTTCAAGTAAAGTTGGGATGTCAATGATTGTCAGTGTCGAGGAAGACGACTCTCAGTCGTCGCTGTCAGCAGTTCCAGGTCTCCGTCCGCGCAGACTGAATCGCGAAGGAGAGCCTACGGTGGAAAGGGTACGGCCCGTGTCGACTCGCGGACTCGACGCTCGGCTGTTAGGCCCATTGCCGACTGGCGCGCTCGAGTCAAACTCGAGTCGCAGACGGATCAGACCGCTGCCTTGGAGCTCAGCAGAGACTTCTGCAGCCGTCACTCCCTCGGCTTGGATGTGCCGCCAGATCTGGCAATCAAAGTGAGCACGAGAGGTGCACCACTTTACAACAAACAACTCACATCAATCTCTCCCTCGCCCAGCAATTTGTCTTTGCCGAGGGTTTTGTGATCATGCACCCAAAGATACAGTTTGGGGTGTAGGCCCCAGCGACGAAGTTGAATGACTCCTTCCTGCGAAGCTGTCAGCACTGGTCAATCAAGACACATTTGGCCTACCATTCAGGTGTGTCGTTTTCCCGGTCGGCTTCGTCTTGAATTCCTTGTCACCGACGCGGACAGTGACATAAGGCTTGCTGTCGCCACCAGACAGATCCTTCGCGTCCATGATGGTGACACGGAGGAGGCCTTCTGACGGAGGGGCTTCATTCGAGAAGGCAGACCCTTCTGCGGGACGCAGAGCATCGGGCTGGCCGATAGGGTGTGATGCTTGACCAGCCGGGACATCGGGCAGTGGAGGAACCGCATCGTCCTCCTTGCCACCCTTCTTGCCGTGGAACACACCGGTCACACCCGATATGCCGCCTGTCACACCATGCAACACGCCTTTTCCGGCAGTCACGGGCAAGCCACCGAACTGCGTCATGGCGCGTCCAGCCGTAGAGAAAGTGGACGTGCTCTTCCTCGACTTGGCAATGATTTCGGGCTGGAACATCAGCCGTATCCTGATGTGGCCGTGCTGCCCCTTCGATGAGACTAGATCCAGAGTGCGTTCGATCGCCTCAAAGGGCTCAAAGTCTGCAAGGTTGATCTGCGCAACACCCAAAGTCTCTGCAGTTCCGATTTGGTTCCAGTCGAAGATTTCGACAGAGAAATCGGCAGCAACTCGCGAGGGCTAGACTGGGGTCAGCAGGTTACTACAAAAGGGAACAGTAACAAACATACCACTTGAACAGTGAAGTTTTCATTCCAGACGGGCGAGAGCGTCTTCTTTTTCGTCTGAGACTTGAAAACCTTCTGACTGTTGAGAGAGAAGACAGCATATGGATCAGATTTGCCGGATCGATCCACTCCGCGGATGTCACTGCCATCCAGAAGGTCGACGCGAAGCATGCCCTGATCTGCAAGGAAAGGTTAGTGGCTCTAATCAAGTCATCAACTACTTCAACACGTACTGTTGATGCTCTCACGAGCCTCCAAATGCACAGGAGCAGGAACATAGCGTGACTCGATGGTCACAGTCGACGGATTTCCGCCCTCGGACTGCAGCGTAAATGATTGTGGCCCCATCTTGAGTCTGTGTTAATTGACAATTATTGGGAATGCTGCAAGTGAACTTACGAAAGTGGATTGCAGGAATGCCTTGGAATCACCCTTCCATTCAGAGACGATGTCGTCCTTGTCACCCTCATCTGCCTCATTCAAGCGAAGCCAAACACGGCCGAAATCGAGTTCCTTGATGAAGCCCTCGCCGACAGATTCCCACTGAGCTTGCGTGCTGCGAGCTTTGACTGTCGAGAAGCAAGGCCAGTAACCGTCGTCTAGCAGCACTTCGAGTCGGCCCTTCTTGCTGAGGTTACCGGAAATCACATTGAAGACAATCACACCAGATTCTGCGCGACACGTTGGTTCAGCTGATCGGATGAAGTGATGGACACGCACGGTGCGTCAGCAATTCCTCCAGGCTCATCTTGATGAGCTCTTCGGGCTTTTCGTCGTCGACAACCTCTTCTTCCTCGGACTTCGGATCAGTTGGCGAGGTCGGCTCGACAATCGTAGGCTTCGAGGTAACTTCGTCTTCCCCGGTGACCGAGGACGAATCTCGGGTGACATCGCTGCCCTCGGGATCTTGGTTTTCTGCTGCCCGCTGTAATTCATTTCCAGACGATTCGAAATGAACGCCGTCCAGAGCAATGGTTGGCACAAATTCAGCTGTGAAGTGGAGCTGTCCTTTGTAGCCTCCTCCCTTCTCCAATCGAATCTGTTCAGTCGCTGTTTTTCGACCGTTAGAAGTGAACGGGTACGTGCGATCATCGCTCTCGCTGGCTAGATCAGAGACCCGCAGGTCAACCATACCGAGAGACCGGTCCTTGGTCATATGTTGATAATCCATGCATTCCAGGACCAGCGTCTGGTGAAAATGTTTACAAGGAATCAGCCTACGCAAGAATAAGACATACCTCTTTCAAGTTATGCACTATGACCGAAGGTCAGTCACTGGTCAAGGACAAAGAAGAACAGCACACACCGGGAATGTAGACGATCTGGTCCCACACCGGGCTCAGATCTATCAACGTCGGTCAGGTCGTGGTCTCACAAGGACATCGAAACATACTGTTGTTGACGACCTCGGTTCTGCCCTTGATGACACCGTTGCACATGACACGGACGTAGGGATCGCTCTTGCCACCGAGAGTGGCTTCGACGTTCCTGTGGCAGGTCAGTCTCGAGCGCTTGACTGGAGCCCCGACATACTTGACATCCACTGCCTTGTCCAAATGAAGACGAACGACGCCGATGGGAGGCTTGTACTTGTCGGCCCCGTGCAAGCTGCCAGCCATGTTGAGCGGTTTCCATTCAGCCGACATGCGCACTTTGCCGCTCTTGCAGCGGCTCAAGGGGAACCAGTCACGTCCAGCTTCGTCTTTACTCTTCAGGAGATCATCGAGTTTGATCGACATGTACCCAATGACCGGGTCCTTCAAGAAGTCCCGGTCGTCAATGACCTCAAGCATGACCACCGAAGACGATTTGTCCGCGCAGAGGAACTCGTACGCATGCTCCCAGACAGGGGCGTTGGTGTGCTTGAACTTTTTCGTCCGGAATATCTCGTTGTGCTTGTCACCCAGACAGATTCTCGCAAACGGATTGAGATCGCCCGACATGGATTTGCTCTGGTCCAGTTCCTTGGCCTGATGGATGGTCAGACGGACAATCCCAACACCTGCACGAATGGTGAATGGCATGTCGTGTCAACGTGACGTAACTTACTGCTGTCAACTTCTTCCTTTCCTTCTTCCGGCTTGATCACCGGGTAGAAAGAAACATCGTAACGCAAGGTGCCGCGTTCTTTCCCGTCCTTCAGCAACGTTGCCTCGATGCCCTCTTTCACAGCATCGTCCTGCAGTGAAGCGAGCTCGAAGCTCGTGCTGCTGAGGAGAGCGTTTTTCCGGTGGTCGTTGAAGTCGTACAAGCTCAAGATCAGGGATTCACTTAGGGAGTTGACGAGTATGAACTTGGTCTCCATCCACGTGGGGTTGTAGCTGTCACGAATTCAGTACGTCAGCGAGGCACAATGACGAACACTTACGTGTCCGACTTGTATTTGGTGGTCGCCAGTTCTTCACGGTTGTTCAAGCTCAGAGAGATGTACGGATCCGGAGTTCCACCTCCGATCTTGGTGCCTTTCACACCACGAGCAGACTCGATTGTAACCTGCAGCACACCAATGGCCGTGTCGAGCGGAGCACCAGAAAGCATCTGCTCGAGGTTGAGCGTAAACACATTCGGGTCATACATCATCGGTGCCAGAGTTCCATGTGTCATGTCTCGGATGAAAGATGACAATCCAGGCATCTGGGAGCGAAGATCAGTCTCCGGCGGAATTGTTTTATAACACTGACATGTCCGATATCGAAGCCGAACGTGTCTCCGCCAATGGGTTTGAGCACATAGTCGATGACGGGCTTCTCCAGAAAACATATGTCCACAATTTGAACATGCGGGAAGTTGGACATGAGCTTCATACGGATACGCATCAAACCACTGAAGGTGATATCCTCAACGAGAATAGGCATAGCCGCGGTTGCCAGTCCTTTTCCGACACGGACCGAGAGAACTATCTTCGGATTGACTTTGCTGGCGGCTTGCCGAGGAGTCAAGTCTGACACGTCGTTCGGAGTGAACGAGATGCCCCAGTCCATCATGATGACATCGTCAGGTGTTTTGGGGAAAGTGCGGACTTTGTCGATGCGGGGAGCCTTAGTCCCGAGCGTGAATTGGGTAAGGCGGAGAGAGTCAAGGAATGCAGGCGTCGACACGCTCAGGATTTGGTCAACAGAGGAGACGATGGTTGCAGAAAGTACAGGCTCGTAGATGAGCCAGAATCGGTCAAGGAAGTTGTTGATCCAGTCGGCGGACTCGTGTTCGGACAGTAGACGATTCTTGACCAGTTCACGTTGAATGTCATCACGAGCGGCGCGTCGCACACGTTCAATCGAGGTCGAATAGTATGTGCTGCACACTGCTAGTATGATGAAAAGCCAGCCCCAGCCGAAATTGAAGCGGGTCAAGAAATGGGAGGCGAACACGGCCTGTGAGAAGGTCAACCGCATGGAACGTGGCATGATGAGACAAAGAGACGTACGAACACGATGATACCAGCGTTGTAGTACCATGTTCCATAGAACTGTTCGTTGAGGAATTGCGCAAGGATGCCTTTGTCAACTTCTTCGCCCTCGGGAACAGAATCTGTGCCTGCAGCCTGGCGCCAACCCACTCGGTACCAATCCGGAATCGCGTTGGCGGTTCCGGTGATAGCGCCGGGTGGTTGGGGTGTGTCTTCAGGGTCGGGAGTCGTTGAAGATTCAGCCGTCTTCTTCTCGTCCATATCCTCGACTTTGATTGTGGGAACCACATTGCTCTTACCCGTGACTACACTGAGCTCTGGTCGGGCATCAGACGAAGCGTAAGTAAGGGAATAAGGTGCACCTTTTGCCACAGGGCCAGAGTCTCCATTCACACTCTTCAGTTGGTCTCTATTCTTGCCAGCAGCTGCGCCTTTGGCAGACGGCGGTGCCTCAGGGTCAAATGTGTGAACAGCAACACGTCCGTTTTCAGGATCAGGTAGGAGACCGTTGGACTGGCCGCCATTGGCGGCGCCGTTGGTGGCCATGGGAGGGGACGATGAGGGAGGGTGGTTGGAAAGAGGGTGGAGGAGCAAGATCAAATGTAAATATAAAGGGCACAGTGACCTGGTATGACGTACTGGATGGTACCTTTCACGTCGTTTGGCAGTGCCGCCTCATTCATGCTGTTCTGGTCGCTGAATAATTTTACCGTACTGCTCCCAGACCATGAATCCTTCATAGAAACTGTCTTGAACTACAAGGCCTGTTGTTACATTCACTACTCGAAAACGCAACGCACCCCATAAGCGGTCGCGTCCGGGTTCGGCATCACACTTTCCGACTTTCTCTTATGCCATCATGACCGCCTCATCCGCATCGCTGCGAGGGTCCTATAGTGACCCTTCGTCCGCATGGTCGTTCTAACCCCCCCTCCCCCACCTTCTAACGCGTCCTCGGTCCCCCCTGTGTCTAGCACATCCCAGTATCAATGGTCTTCTAGGCCGTCTCACAATTCCATCTTCGATCTTTCGCCAGACCTTGTCGACCCCTCAGATGGCATTGACCCCATAGTTCTCGTCAAAACGTTGACCGCGTCTGCCATACTACAGTACACAAGTAGTGCCATTGCCATGCCCTGGGAGGTTGGTAAGCTCTTGCTGCAAGTGCAATGGGTGCCACGCGATGCTGGCGAATCAGACTCAGTGGAGACTGTTCACGAGGATGATGATGCAGTGCGTATCTTGGATACTTGAGTCGACCGAAAGTTTAATCTGTGGAGGGTAGCTGAGTGATACGTCCAACGACAACGACTCGTATTTTGCCGATCCGAGTGCCACTCCTCCAACCGGACCCCCTGCGGTCCGCCCCATCGATGAACAAGGGTACATCGCGCGGCGTTCCATTCTTGAAGAAAGTACCCGCCCCGAGTATATCATTCCAGTCGGAAGCGCGAAGGGTGTGTGGGGAATGATGCGGCGCGTTGGCCGATTCCGCGGCGAGGGGTGGCTCGCTCTGTGGAAGGGTTTACTAACATCCTGTGTCACCGATGTGCTGTCGTCCACCTTCCAACCCGTCATCCGCAACATGCTCCGGTCGCTGCTATACCCCATCAGCGACGTATTACGCCTCCCACCCATGCTCCTACCCGTTCTGTCTCATCTCATTATGGGCTTCGTCCTCTCTCCGCTGGATCTCGTTCGGACCCGCCTCATTGTTCAATCATTTTCCTCGCGTCATACGACGTACTCGGGTCCAATCGACGCACTTTCACGCATCCTGCGTGAAGAAGGAGGACTGAAAGGCATATATTTGCATCCCCATCTTCTCATCCCGACTCTCATCGACAATGCACTTCCTCCAATCGTCTCATTCGTCCTCCCCGGGCTTCTTGCGTCGTATCTCGGCTTCCGGATTTCGGGAGACTCTAATCCCATCGCATGGGGATTGGCCGAGCTTGCAGGCAGTTGCATTGGGCTGGTGGTAACTCTACCTTTCGAGACAGTGAGACGACGACTTCAAGTGCAAGTACGTGGAACTGCACAACCGATCAAAGGGTGTGTCGAGTTGCGACCCGCTCCCTACAATGGTGTCGTCGACGCGTTTTGGCACATCCTCACGGAAGAACGATCGGATCTTCCAATCACCCCCAAGAAGGGTAAACAAGCGGAGAATCAATCCGAGGAAGATCAGAGTTGGATGAGGACTACGGGCATCGGTCAATTGTATCGCGGGCTGGGGATGCGGCTGACGGCCAGTGTCATCATGTTTGGGCTGACGCTCTTCAGTGGCGGCGACGAGATGGAGAGCGGTTGGACAGAATTGTGAATAGTGGATAGGAATGAATCGTCACCTCTCTTTTCGAGCGCCTGAAGCTTGAGCAACGATTTAATCGCCCGCTGACACTACTCGCATAAGATTTGATCAAGTGAATCAGCTGCCTTGGTTTGGACAGCTAATATGTACTTCTTCTTCTGCAACTTGCATGACTCAAATTCTCCAGATTGCACGACGAGTTCCAAGTAGTCGCAAGTGCCCTGGAAGCCAGTAGGCCGTAGTCATCCAATGGCCATCACAATCATCTGGGGTTATTGGAGCGTGTCATGCACGTGACTCAGCCCCAAATGATTCACTGTGTGCCAATTTTAGAAATTGCTCTTTCTCCAGACTCCAAACCCCCAGACCCCAGCTCAGGATGTCGGGTGAGTTATCCTCCGCGGACTGTGCGATTGTTAAATTCAAGCGCTTGATTCCTCGCAGAGAAACCAATGTCCATCATGCCGCTGCTCTCCAAGGCGCTGCACAGAATCCGCAGCACGCCGCCTAGGATCATTGCCTCTCCTCCAACTCGTGCGCGCTTTGCAACACACGTCTGTGACGAAACTGACACATCGCCATTCAGAACCTCGAAGAGCTGCTGTTGCGCTCCTCATCCGAGTCGTCCCATCCTCCAATGCCGTTTTGACACCGGAGAATTCTAAGCCGGCTACGCTCTCCGACTTTTTCGAACTCGATTGGGTGAAGGACCCAGCATCTCGCCCTGAAATCCTTTTCCTACAGCGCGAAACTGCGGCGCCTGAGGATGCAGAGATGAGTCGCATCAGGAATACGCATGAAGCACACGTCGCGTTTCCTGGCGGCAGGACGGAGACGGATGACGAGGGCGGCTTGTATACCGGTGCGTGATTTGCCGCTCAATCGTGACGTTACTTACTCCTGATAAGCGATGCGCCAAACGTGGGAGGAGATAGGGATAGACCTTGCCGAGAAGAATTACACCTGCGTTGGCCAGTTGGATGACCGAGAAATCACGACCTCACTGGGGAAGCGCCTGCTCATGATCCTTTCACCATTTGTCTTCCTACAGCTTACGCCGCATGCGCCACCCCCTGACCCCACTCCGACGACAACACTGCACTGGACACCATTGGCTTCATTAGTCTCTGCCCATTCCCCTCCGAAATGGTCGACTGTGACTGTCGACGCTGCCTCTCGTCTAGCTCCAAGGCATTCTACAGCTCTGCGTTTGCTAGTCCAATTGCTCGTTGGCAGCATGGAGTTCCCAGCCATCATCGTTGAACCGTCATCTGTCTCTTCCATTTCACCTGACGGCAAACTCAATGTGGACAAGCTGGAGAAGGGTTACTTCCAGAGCGGGCGACCACGCAAGCTCAAATTATGGGGCCTATCGTTAGGCATGACTTTGGACTTGATGGCGTATATGGTCCTGCCATCGCCGTTGGATAACATGCAAGGCGGCGACTCGGAGTCGTCTTCGTCATTCTCACCCATCATGCAACTGCCTTACCAAGCGGGGCCAGATGGCATGAGAATGGATGTTGTTGCGCCGAGTCTTACGAGCGTGTTTCCTCGATTCTCATATCCTGACGTCAACTTCTGGATCTGGTGCGTCATGTAGTTTGTTTTTCCCCACCCGTTTCTAATGCGGCGATCAGGGTGTTTGGTAAAAGGTACCGAGAGGTGGTTCGTGGCTGGGAGGTTAGTTTGCGTAGTGGCGGTACGAATGACCGCCGGTGAGTGCACCTCTAATCGCAACAAACAATTCGTTCTGACATTTCATAGGATCAATTGGTCGGGCTCTGCATTAAGCACGTTCTATGCCGCTATTCGCAAGGCACTGGTTGTTGTCATCGTGGCCCGTGCATTGGGAGTGATCTTCGGACTTGCATTTGCCGCGTGGTGGGTGTTCGGGTAACTTAATTTTATCTTTGTCTTCGTGGATGTAATGTATAGTTACACAATAGTTTACAGTTGATGTTCACTACTGTACTGCCAGACTAGAGCCTACAGCGGTAGACCGCACACCTCGCAGTCCGAACCTCCGTGCGAGTTTTCGAATGTGCAGTGCGGGCAAATGCGAATTCCTCCTGAACTTGAACCGGATGCGGCATTGTCCGCTGCAATCTGGTCAAGGACATCCTGTGGAATGTCGTCGTCCATCGATGGCGCAGGCCGCGAGGATGATGCTATAACCATCAGAAGGTGATAAGCCCTAGATGCGATGAAACTTTACCACTTGTCTCTCGAGTGAATGTCATCAATGTATTCCATCCTTCCGATGCCAATAGAGGATCCAGCAGAGAAAGATCTTCCAAAAGGTTTGGAGATGTCACCACTCGTATCATGAGGGCGATATCGTCCTACACGATGCTTAGCCAGCCGAAATGTCGCAATAAACAAGACATACCGGCGAGAACAACTGGGTGGTTTGTAGGAAAGCAACCAGATGGTAATCGCTCAAGAACGTCGCCAACTCTCGACGCTTGTGAGCCTCTCCAGCCTTGGCCGTTCGGCTATCCTGGATATTAGGCGCATCGAGACGGGCCAGTGCGCTGATGACGCCTTCCACTCTCTGGTCTTCCAATCCAGGCCGGTTCTCGATAGCGAACTTGGCGGATTGGAACAAAGGTGAAGGGTTTTGTGGGAAACCATGAGTAACCTAGATTCTCTGAGCATGGTCCAAATACTATGGTCCAAAAACCTACATTGACCATCAGATACTCCACCGGAAAAGCGGGTTTCGCCGTCTTCTTCACTTCCAGGCCATACTCGTTTTTGAAAGTAAAGAACACGTCCGGAACGTATCGAGCAGCGTCCTGAGAACGGTCTTCCTCCTTGACACGCACGATCCCGGGGTCGACGCTCGCTTCGATCATGTCAGCTTCAACCATCGCACATGCCTGTTCCGAGACTTGGTATGCCGCAATATCGACTTGGCCCTCCTCATTGGCAGTGATGATGGTAGTCACTAAGCGGGATCCAAACTGGCCAGACGTAGATGACTTGGATGGTGTAGGGTTCGCGCGCTGCAGTGTAGCCGCGAAGATGGCTTCCAACGAGGACATTGAAAAGGACCCTGGATGACGCTTGTACACATTCTTCGATCGATCTCCCTCAACGGGCGTCAGATCAGTGAAGACATATCCGACGATGCTCAAGGGCTTCGATGCGCATCCAGAGAGTTTCCGGATCCGCTCTTCTTCTTCCCAAGGCAGCCCTAACGTCAAACCATCGAGTTCGCCCTCTTGCGGTGGCTCATAGATCGCCTCTGCCACTGCCTTGAGGCCCATAGGAACAACATCGTATGGCTCGTAATGTCCCACCAACCAACCGAACCGTTGACATCCGGTCACCCTCCACGCGTGTAGAAAGCGTTCGATGACCTCAGGCGATGCGATTTCCAGGTGATCTACCATTCGAAATGGCTGAGACTGCAAGGTTATCGCTGACGGTTGACAAGATGTGCAAATGCTGGCAGGCCATGCAGGATGCCCGCTGGGACAGGGCACTTTGACTTTGTAAGAAAGCGGGGTGAACGGCGGGAGGGATGATGTCGCAGACGCGCCGGACGTCGGCGCGATCTTCCTCAGATACGCATGGTAAGACAGATGCTTGATCGCGTGTTCCTTGTGGTAAGCCGCGTCGTACGGCTCAAGAGGCATGCAGTAGTCGCACATACCCTTGACTGCGTGTGTGCAGAAGCGCGAGTCCCGGCTACGAGGGATCTTCCCATCCTGGGAGCGCCAGTACACATCCACCGGATCTTCCGTGACTGTGTCCCAGACGCGAGTTCCATCGGTGTGCGGCTGGGTGGACGAACTAGGCTCTGGGGCAGCTGGTGTTGCTTCAGTCTTGTCTTTGTATTGGACAAAGATTAAATCAGCATGTCTTGAGTCATTTCTCCGTTAGAAATAATGGTTTAGATTCAAGCAGCACTCACCGGAGGCCCAGACCTTCCAGTGAGCGACCTTGCAATGTTGACGCTAACGTCTCATTCCCTCGCGGTTGGTTCGAGATGGTCAGAGTTGACATATCTGCACTAGGTGCAGTCTCATGAATCTACAATAAAGTCATATTCCTCCTGCGCCGTTCAGTCTATTTGAGCATCGCCAACCTTAGCTAGCAATTCGGTTATATCGGCGGTAGGTGCCAACTCGAAGCGGAAATTGCCATCCTTAGATCTGACTCGAATGAGCTAAGCACCACCGGTGAGATTTATACAGTGCTTGGACGAACTCACAACACGTACCATTAGAAAGTTATGGGAGGTGGAAAGAGCAGAAGACGCGTCAGCCGTCACGCTCTCAATCGGGAAATCTTGGTGTAATCGCACAGCCACCGGAGAGCTTCGCCGACCTTTGGCAAGTTCCAGCATTGACCAGCACCAGCCACCATGGCCGGGTCAGTGATGCAACTACTGACACTTCCACGCACCGGAAGTGCGTTCGCCGCGCTCTCTCATGACCAACCCTCCTCCCACACCGCTAGTTCCGGGGTCAGATCAGTCAAGCTCAACAAGATCAAAGTTGTCTGGGGCGAACAACCTCCAAGGTCTATCGCGTCTCCAACACTGCAACAACAAATACGGAGAATTTTGGACATCGAAAAATCATCTGGGGAGACTATAGCCTACGAGGGCATTTACTGGGATTGTCACACCCTCGTGTGCGTTCAGAACAAGGGAGAGGACTTGTATAATGAGCTGAAGCTCGAGCTCGAGAAATCGATCAGCCGTCTTGCGCGCGGACTTTTGCCAAAGGAGGCCGGAACAACGTCATCTGCGGTATCGTACATATCGGAGTTCGTTGCTTCGTTCGAGTGGATTGAGAAGCAAGTGGTATGCAGCCCGCAACGTGCCAGGTGATACAACTATAACTGATTGTTGTGCAGGCCCTCCTTCAATCTGTTCTCACATATCTCGATCAAGTCTACGTGAAGCAAGCTCAGGTCTTGAGTATCCGGTCAGTATTCGGTCCTCTGCGCTGCTTGCAATGTCTTATCCACATTTGCAGTCTATTGGCCTTCTCTTTCATTGCCAAGTTCATTTTCGCCAACCCGCAACTGAACTTGGCCTTGAAGGAGAGCCTCAAGACACTCATCAATGCCGACCGTGATACGAGGTCAGTTGTTGTCCGCTAATCTGCGTTGTTGTCCGCTTATTTGGCTTGCGTCAGCACTCACGCGGAGCACCTCCAGACAATCCACCGATTGGTGTCTCATCTCATCACTCACCAGCAGTACATTCCTTTCGAGAAGTTCTACGACGAAACGCTGCGCGAATATTACACGGCCGAGTCCGTAAGACTAGCCGAGGAACTGAAAGACGAGCCGAAGCAGTTCTTTGCTCACATTCGCACGCGCATTGATGAAGAGGCCCAGAGATCTCAGCAGCTGTTATCCGTGGAAAGCTGGAAGCTGATGCGGGATGCAACGACGATATCGCTACTGACTGGCAGGATGAGTTGGATTGCGCAGACCAGTAAGCATCCCTTCGAGTTTACCAATTGTCAATGGACTGATTGATGCCCCTCCGTAGCTCTGCAAAGCTGTCTAGAGGAGAAGGACTTCGGGACCCTGAAGGCCATGTATGAGCTGTTTGTATGCGCAAGTGGCACCAGTGTCATGTGCGCGGCCTTCAAGAATGATGTGCAAGTGCGTGTTCGAACATCTACGAGTGCTCTATCTCTGAGCCCCTTTCAGCGAGTTGTTTCAGGCATCGTCAAAGATGCAGCTGCAGATGACCGTATGGTCGAGCGACTGCTGGAATTCCGTGGCAGTGCTGACAGTGCAGTGAAAACCTGTTTCCTGGACGTTGTGTCGTCGACACCATCTACTTCAGATGCTGCACGACGACCCAATCGTGAATTCGTCTATGCACTGACTGATGCGTTCCAACTTGGCTTCCGGGCACGCCGAAACAAGCCTGCCGAAATGATTGCCCGCCATTTGGATAAATTGATGCGCAAAGGACAGGGAACTATGAGCGATGACGAATTCGATGCGCTGCTGGACTCGGTCCTGGTTTTGTATAGGTTCACCGACGACAAGGACGTGTTCCGGGGATTCTACCACCGAGCACTTTCCAAGCGACTTCTTCTGCAAAAGAGTGCATCGTCTGATTTCGAGACCAAGGTTTTGACCAAGTTGAAAGAGCGTGCGTATTTCATTTTCCCCTGTTTTGAACTACGGTCTCAAGTCCGTAGAATACGACCCTGAATTCAGCATGGGCACCGACATGTTCAACGATCTCCACCTCTCGAAGGACATGGTAGACAAATACCATGAAAAAATGAACGAAGGGGATATTGGTCTCAAGCTGAACGCGATCGTTCTGAAGCAAGGAGCCTGGCCATTCTCGCAAGATGAAGGCTCTGAATCGATCACGTTACCTGTCGAGGTAGGAGTGCTATTTTGCTATCTCGTGGATCAGTATATGACGGTTTTTCCAGATGATGAAGCAGCTCACTCATTTCGGCCAGTTCTATGGGAGAATGCGTAAACCGCTCTTGTTGCCATTCTGAGCAATGCCTCATTTCCCCTTTCAGACCAGAATCAGAAGCTAGTTTGGAAGCACTCAGTGGCAACGGCGACGTTGATTGGTCGTTTCAAGGCCGGCAACAAAGAGCTCTCTGTCAGTCTTTACCAGGCAGTCATCCTGCTTCTCTTCAACGGACCAGAGGAGTGGTCATTCTCTGATATCAAGAATGAGACACGCTTGGGTCCGCCGATTGCTTCCCAATCATTCGTTCTCTGACGCAACAGCAGACGACGGTGTCTTGCGGCTCACCCTGCAGAGTCTTGCTTGCGGCAAAAAGCGGGTGTTGACTAAGATACCGCTTGGCAAAGACATTGGCGACCACGATAAATTCCGATTCAACGACGGCTTCACGGATGCGCGAGCCAAGATTCACATCAACTCCATCCAAGCCAAAGTCTCGGTCAGTCTCACCGTGCGCTTGGTGAGAGAAGATGTTCTGACCGTCAATCAGGATGCGGAGTCCAAGCAGACCAATGAAATGATACACGTCGAGCGCAGCCATCTGCTGGACGCAGCGATTGTGCGAATCATGAAAGCAAAGAAAGAGATGGTGTACGAGAGATTGTTGTCGGCAACAATCGACGCGGTCAAGTCTCGTTTCGCACCGGAAGTCAAAGCAATCAAGACTCGCATCGACGATCTCATGTCAAGGGAGTTTGTGCGCAGAGATGATGACAACCCCCAAGTTCTTCTCTATATTGCGTAGAACATTATAGCTGTACGAGGAGTCCGGAAAATGACCAGCTTGCTCAACATGGCGTGCTCGATTCGTCAGAATGACCAAGCGAGCCAGTCCGATCAATTGCGGTAATGACCGGTCGCTTAACCTCGAGCCAGCTCAGCTAAGGTATTCCGAATTACCTCTTTGCCGGCAGCCACTGACGGTCAGCACGCCAAGAGTCACCCCAGTCATAGGAAGCGTGCCCAGGATTCTATCTACGCGCCCATGTGAACTGGAACGCGTCACGAGGTTCACCAGACGCGTTTTCTCGTGGCGCGGGGATAGAACGGGTCGTCTAATCACGCAAACCGAATCTCATTGGCGGCAATTTCGCCATCCTCTGCAAAATGGCGGCACCGCTGGGAAGGCTCCTCAGACACCAGCTTCTCACTTCTTATGACGCTCGAAGGCCTCGTTGGAGACCCCGACATTCCCCTGGAACAGGAACTAGCGCACTGGGAGCAACTGGTATTCTCTTTCGATATGCAGGACGACCAGAACCCGCGCCGCAGCCCAGACGGCGTAGACACGGATTCTCAGCGACAAGAACAGACAGGTAAGCACATGGAGATGACAGCCATGGGCGCACAGACAGACTATTTTAGACCTGCAGACCGCCGCGTTTTTAGCTGCTCTTTCAAGTGATACCCCTCCAATGTACTCCAGCCAGTACGGCGACTCCCGGGGCACTCTTTCTGTGGACACTCGGAACCTCCTGCTGCCCAATACGAACATCTCCAGTCTATTGGCCAGCCACCCTACGTACTGGGCACCCCCCATGTCGGGAAACGCTCCTTCCGCTTATCCTGCCACTCCGCAGCATCCTGTCGCCTCGGCATCCTCCTCGACATCTTCCCCCACACTCGATGCCGTTGACGAAGAATATGACGACAAGCGTCGACGGAACACGGCTGCATCAGGTCACGATCAGTTCTAGTGGGAGTACCCTGTGCTGATGCCATCCTTCCCTCCCGTGTAGCCCGATTCCGTATCAAGAAGAAGCAGAGAGCCCTGGACTTGGAGCGCACCGTCTCTGATCTGAACGGCCGAGCGGAAGATCTGGAGCGCGAGGTCGCAGATCTGCGCAGAGAAAATGGCTGGCTGAAGGTACGTCCCATGGATCGAACAGATTCCCGGAAGGTAACTCAACCTTGCCAGGAAATCGTGATCCTCAAAGGGGGACAATTTTCTGGGGTAGACCTGTCCAAACCGCTAGGCTTCGCAGCCTCGTCTGAGAGGGCAGATCACCGCGCGGCGCGGGCGGAAACCGTTGAAAGTTCCGATGGAGATGGGTCGCAGGACGATAAAAGGAGAGGCTCTAAAGGAAAGGGCAAGACGAAGGCAGGCAGCAAGAGCAAGTGATATCAGTTCATTTTAGGCTGGCTTGAGTTCAGCAGGAGCGTCTATGTAAAACTCTAGCCTCTTGTAATCTGTTGTTCACTATTGATGGCGCATCACTTTCTCCCACGCCCGGTCCTATTCTGGGCCTGGAACTCAATGAGTCGACCTGCGCTCCTACGCTCATCTCGTGACAGAGCGAATCTTCATGTCCTTCGGAAGACCACCTTCAATCAATGTTGGCTTCACACCCAATCCTCCCGACCGGGGGGCATTTCCTCTCGACCACGATGGTCTGCCAATGCACATCTTTGTTGGATGATGCTCTGACGCGGGTCGCTGCTTGCAGGAGAGTGTAAAGAGCAGATGAAACTGTACCTGGCCTGTCTGCGCGGGAACTCAAGCACATCAAGTCCCTGTCGGCCGTTAAGCAAGCAGTATCTCGACTGCCGATGAACAAGTCTGCATCAGCATATATCTCGTTCTGAAGCGCGCGCTGAGGAGCATTTCCAGGGGACTCATGGAGCGAGACGAGTGGAAGAATCTAGGATTCGCAGCACCCAAGGAGAAGGTCCCGGAGAGCGACCCGAGTCCTGAAAGTAAAACGCAGCCAGAGTCGTCTAAATGACCGGAGTTTGTATGTAGCTATTATAGCTATCGCTCACTTCCAACTGCAGTTTTACCGCTGTGCCCGTGGAAAGACCCATTCTGGCCGCCGGCATCTACTGCCGGGAAACCTCGGGCAGATGACGCGGCGACTTCCCCATTTGGACTCTACACGTTCGTGACCGCGTTCGCTATCAACAAAATTCATTTCGCAAGCACAAGGCCTCTTGGGCCGCTGAACGCGTCTCACGGCGAGAAAATGTGCCAATGTGTTGTCGCATATGCCCGGGACGTCTCTGCGACTTGTTTTTGAGCCGGGGATCCCGGGAGGATGGCTGCGATCATGCAACGTTCGTGCTCCAGGAGGAGTAAATAAGACATTGATACCTTGCACGCAGATTCCCTTGCTGACTACTAGAATGCTCCTGCTCTGTCTACTCTCGTCGCCTCTTTTGGCTGCTGCCGCTGCCGTGCAAGAGCCATACGTGTGGCGTTCTGTTTTCGATGTTCAGGTCCGAGTCTATCTTCTTCTGCGAGTCCTATGGGCGGGAATGCTCAAGCGGAGCACAGGGTCACCGCGGCGGTCGAGGGAATGCTATCGAGAACACGCTTCCGAGTTTTGCCTGGTAGGCTTTCGCGTCTGGTATCGTCTGCCCGTACAAATTTGGACAAGGGGCCTGATCGACGGCGCAACCACTCTCGAGCTGGATAACGGGATAACCAAGGACGGAGTTGTCGTAGTATGGCATGATGAGGAAATCATCCCCTCCAAATGTCGCGACACAGCGCCTGTGGCGAGCAACTCTCCACCCGAATCTCAGTTCGTTTACTAATCGGTGCTTGTCCAGACAGCGAACGATCCCGCATTTCCCTACGTTGGAAAGTACATCTCCAACCTTACTTTGGCACAAATCAAGACGCTCGACTGTGGATCTCTGCGGCAGGAGCAATTCCGTAGGCCCATCTTGCGCTTGTGGGAGCACTGATCTGAGAAGGCTTCTTAGCTTTACAACTGACGTATCCTTCTACTCGAATCTCAACTCTCCAAGAAGTGTTCGATTTCATAGAATGCGCAGATCCCGATCATCTCGTACAGTGAGTCGTTCTGCAACTGTCGTTGAGGATATTGACACGCAGCCTCAGGTGGAACATCGAGTCCAAGATCGATGCCGCACATCCTGACAGGACGCACAGCGTTGATACTTTCGTCCAAAGCCAGCATGCGATATTCGCAGCTAGTCCATACAAATCTGCTATCACCGTGAGTTGTGTACCGCCCTACTTCCTAATATCAACTCATAATTTACAGTTTCAAAGCTTTGATTGGAGATCCTTGAAAGCCATGAAAGTATGTCTGTGCTTGTTTTATATCTTTTCGTGTCTGACCAAACCTAGAAACTCGACCCAGAAGTCATAACGTCGGCTTTGATTGATCAGTGAGTCACTGCAATAGGTCCGCAGTCCTCTTTGCTCAAATTTCACAGAGCAACTGCAGCCTCGGTGGGCAGCCGGCCTTCGCCTTGGTTAGCTGGGCTCCGTCTCGAGGACTTCCCTGGGTCCAGTCGCGATATTCAGATCGTCCATGCTGCCCATTCAATCAACTCGAGCATCTTGTCGCCCGCAGCGTACGGAGACGGCTTTACAACGCGCAAAATGGTCGAGCAAGCGCACAGACTGGGGATGCAAGTCAAACCATGGACTGTAGGGCTTCTGCCGGTCTATCTGCACCATTTGACAGACTTGAACAGGTCAACAATCTGGAAGTTGCAGACGACCTTGTGCGATGGAACGTAGATGGGATAATAACAGACTATCCCAACGTCGTCCGAAGATTCGTCCAACAGCAAGGGCTTGCTGTTGCACCCAAGTACCCCAAGCGTAGAGTTCTGTCTTGTCTAGAAGCCCATAGTCATTGATCTTAGACACCATATAATCGTGTATTTTAGACGCATTTAGAATACCCATGCTCAGCGCCGGATGATGGCTTTTTCGTTCGTGCTAAACGAGTAGAGCTGGCATGGCTTGTTTGCCTGATCGGACAATCCCGGAATTTCCTCGTCCAATCACTCTTGTACCATAACCTGGTCGTTTTAGGCCGTCGACATCGTTCGCAATGTCTTTCACTTTGAAAAAGGCGGTCACTCTCACGCCCAGTGTTAGGGCTCTTCCCTCCGGCGTCCCTGTCGCTCCTCTTCTCAATCTCGCGGCGCGAGCACCCGCTGACCCCCACGCGCACGGTCATGGCGCCGCAGGACCCCGTTCCGACTCTGCTCCCCGCTGGGCTGGTGGAATCTCGCAGACACCTTTCGGAATGTCTGCCAAGAGCTATATCACCTGTGCGTCTCCTCGTCCCATGCCCGGAAACCACCGTTGTAATAACATTTTTCCAGTGTCCCCCACAACCCCTTCGAGTGTCCGCTTCCTGCACACCTCCCCCGTTGTCAAAGATGCGCCTGAGGTCCCCGACTTTACTCATTACCGTGCCAATGATACCGACAACAACCGCGCACTGTCCTACTTCATGGTCGGATCCCTCGGTCTCCTCTCGGCCAGCGTCGCCAAGTCCTCTGTCACCGAGTTCCTGAAGACCATGTCTGCGTCTGCCGACGTTTTGGCTCTGGCCAAGGTCGAAGTCGCGCTGGACTCTATCCCCGAGGGCAAGAACGTCGTCATCAAGTGGCGTGGCAAGCCCGTATTCATCCGCCACCGCACTGAGGCCGAGATTGAGGAGGCCCGCGAGACCAACTGGCACTCTCTCCGGGATCCTGAGAGTGACGAGATGCGGACTAAGAAGCCTGAGTGGCTGATCATGCTTGGTGTGTGCACACACTTGGGTTGTGTGCCTATTGGAGAGTCTGGAGACTTCGGAGGATGGTCAGTTCATTTGCTCGTCTGCGCTTTGGATGCGGCTTCATTTCATGCTCTGCAGGTTCTGCCCGTGCCACGGTTCTCACTACGATATCTGTATGTTCCGAGTATGAGGATCATTCACTTGGCTGACTTTTCTGCAGCTGGTCGCGCTCGCAAGGGCCCTGCTCCGGTACTTATGTCCCCCCTATCATTGCGATGCACTGCTCACCAGCCCGCAGCTCAACTTGGAGATCCCCCAATACGAGTTCAACGAGGCAGAAGGAAAGGTCGTGATCGGGTAAGCGTTAGACAAAAGACAACGTGTGGATCCTCCGTAGACTATATTACAATCCCATGCTGTGGTCGTCGAAACACATACCCTGGTAGTGTCGTTTGCACCATGTGCGAATATGACGACCGAGTTCGTCTGACGGGACCAAGTTCCTTCCTGAAGGTGTGATCGTAATGCTACTGGTACATAATGCGTAGATGATGAGGAAATACTGTGAGCTAATCCATGAAAATGTTTTTGAGATAATCGCTGGCGGCCTGCTTGAGCGAAGAGTCCACAACCGCACTACCAAGCAACTCCTGCAGGACATCGCTGTCAGCAGACACGCAGCATGAATAGATAGATGGACGACTCACCAGAGCACGATCCGCCTTCTGCTTCATGCTAGCGGCTCGCCGATTATGTTCTAAATCCGCCTTCTCCTGTTCCATGCGCATCCGCTCCATCTCGTGCCGCTGGATGCTGTCCCGCTCCTCCCGCTCCTCCCGCCGACGCATGTACTCCAGCTTCTGTTTCCCAGTCTGGGTCTGCACCTGCAGAAGTTGCAGGTATGCCGAGACCACGCTCTGCGAAACAGGGATGTTGACAACCTGGTCTGGGGGCAGAGCTAGTGGCGCAGCTGCTGCTGAAGAGCCGGAAAGCGAGAAAGAAGCCGAATGAGGTGTAGCGATTATGGGGCTTGGAGCCTGCGGAGCGGGCGGTGGGACGTGGGTCTCTCTGAGTGTTTGATGCAGATTGATGTATGGCACTGGCGCTTGCGGTGCCTGCTGCTGAGGTATGATGGATGAAGGACCTCCCGCGGGGGAGTCGGAATAGTCTAGAGTCTGGTCGTCGTCCACTTCTGGCTCTTCGTTCACATGGACTGGTGCTCCATTACTTCGGGCCACACTTGGTTTTGTTGTCGCAGGATCACCGTGCCATCGGCGATAGAACAAGTCATACCTGCGTGTGTGTCAGGCGACCGAACGAAAGTCGAATAAAGAAAACTAGCCATCCTATACGATGCCAGTGATCCACTGTCCTCGCTGTAATGTTGCCTACGTCACAACCTCCCCGGCGGGCCGTAGAGAGTCGACGTTCATACTCTCGTAACCGATCTGCTTCGCCGTGAGCCGTAACGGGACCGCTTCCGGCATGATAATGCTCGAACGCGTAGATCTGCTTGAACAGATTGAAATTACGTTCATAACAACCCTTGAGCGCCTGGTACGTCTTCTTGTTCGAGAAAACTTCGACCGAGCACTGGCACATGTTGTCAGTATGACATCAACGGTTCATATTAAAAGGCCGCTTCCAACTCACATCGCGCAGACATGAATTCTTCGTCGCGCGCAGTGCATTCCAGTGGTCGTCATTACCGTTACCCATCAACCATTGGAATAAAGACGTCTTCTCTTCGTCTGTCCAATGTTTCGCACCACCTCCTCCATCGTCATAAGGATCTGCGGATTCTTCCTCCCGCCGACGTTTGGAGAGATGCGAGCCATTAGCGGTGCTCAGGTTGTTCGTGTCCGTCTGCTTGCGCTTGATCGAGGACTGCCCGTTCACGCTGAAAGTTAGTGAGGTACCATGACTCGTCGTTGCGTGCGTGGGTGGTGACTGGGAGATACGGTGGAAGCTCTCTGGCGGAGGGTGCCGGCTGTGGCTGTATGGGGAGCTCTGGAGGGGCCCGAGAGCTTGGCCGAGGCTTTGGTGAGGTATGAAGGGCGTCTATGTGATTCCGAGGCCATTGAGTTGGAAGATTCAACAATCGAGTTAACGGATGTGGCGCCGCACCGAAGTAGAATTATCCTGCAGGCTCATGTCCCTCCTCTCCGACGACGGCATGTGGCCGTATTGCAGACTCGACTTGCTTCATCACGGTTTGAGGCTAAATGACAAAAAGGAAAGAGTGATCTCACTTGGGCCCTTGACCATGGCCATGGCCGCCATGGCCGTGATGATCCATGCGAGGATTGGGTTGGGTTGGTAGCCCGCGACCTGGCCTGGTTTGGTTTGTGTGTACACGGTGCTCTGATCAATGATCGGTCATGACGCGGATCACGCTGGCCCAGCCGGTTCAGTTCAATCTGGTATGCAACGTTGGCGCTTTCCGCGTCGGAGATGGACGAGCGTCATAGTCGCAGCATTGATCCTGGTCGGTTCGCTTTGTGGTAACATTGGGCCATGGCTCGTTCATACGTCTCTTTCAGCTCTCCATCCTGTTCTTTCGACGCCAGCATGGTGCATCCAAGGTTGATGACACCCATGCTCGAATTCCTCATCCAGAGCCGCCCTATAAAACACCTGTACCCGAAAAATATATGCTCAAGCCTGGAACGAAGCCGACGCGTCGAGCCTCAGCTGTCTTCGTGATTCTCGCGCGGAACAGCGATCTGACGGGAATGACCTTCACCATGTCGCAACTCGAAGCCAGGTTCAACCACAAGTTTGGGTATCCCTACGTATTCTTGAATGATGTAGAGTTCACGGAGGAATTCAAAAGGTCACATCTACGCCGATCTGGGAACCATGTACTGAAGACCAGCAGCAATGTCACGGCGTTGACGAAGGCGCCGGTTCAGTTCGGACTAGTCCCTCCCTCACACTGGAATCCTCCGCCGTGGATTGACGAAGAGAGAGCGGCGCGAGCGCGTGAGAAGATGGCCAAGCATCGAGTGCTTTACGGAGGTTTGAGGCGTTTATTCTTGCATGTTGTCATTGACGGCGCCTGCAGACAGCGTCTCTTATCATAACATGTGTCGTTTTCAGTCTGGGGTGTGTTCCCATCCCAATGAGGGTAGCGCAAGCTCATTGAAAATCCAGTTCTTCTACCGGCACGAACTTTTGAAGCCTTTCAAATATTACTGGAGGTCAGTCCGGTGCCATCTTTGTGTCTTTCGTACGAATGGCCCTCGTTTTCAGAGTAGAGTGCGTGCAAATCCTTCTCCCATCTTAGCCCTCCACTCAAGAGTGTTTCAGACCTGAAGTGATGTTCACCTGTGACATTGATTACGACCCGTTCCTCTTCTTAGAAGGCGAAGACAAGAAATACGGTGCCTTACAGCATCTCCGATCTTCTATTGACCTTTGACGATGGACTAGGCTTCACCATCGTTCTGCAGGAGGATAAACGTACCATTCCTTCACTCTGGCCGACTGTGCGAGGTATGCTTTGTCATTCGCATGACCTCTGATACTCACATAGCGCAGAGTTCATGGAAATGAACCCCGACATGATTGTCCGAGGGAATGACAGTGCTTTGCCTATGATCGTGGACCCGACCGGTGCTTGGTACAATCGATGTCATTGTATGCACGTTCGACATATCTCTATGCGAATGCTGCTGAATTGGATCAGTCTGGAGCAACTTTGAGATTGCGTCCTTGGACCTATGGCGCAGCCCGGAATATTCCGCTTTCTTCGAGTTTCTCGATCAAAAGGGTGTAAGTCACAGACGGTCTCAGTGCTATCATCGTCGCTTACTCTCTTTCAGGGATTTTCTTATGAGGTACTGCTTCCTTTGTCTCCAGCACTGTTCTAACGCAGGTTGGAAGCGATGGGGCGATGCACCCGTGCATACGATTGGTGCAGCATTGTTTTTACGGAAAGATCAGATTGTGAGACTATCCACCGATACGTGTCGTGATTCTCATGCGAATTTCAGCATTTCTTCAATGACATCGGTAACGAGATCACTTTGAAACTCGTTTCTTTTTTACCTTGCGTCCAGGATATGCCCACCGACCTTTTCAACATTGCCCCTCGGGAGAAACGAACTTGCGTGCCAACTGTGAATGCAAAGAGCAGTATAGTTTCAGTGCGTCACGAATGCATTCATGACTCTTTACCGACTATCAGCAGATCACAGAGAGCAGTTTTGTCTACGCAAATATGATGAGCTGTTCCAGAGTTGATTATACATGAGATTACCAATTCTCGGTATCCCGCCATCAAAGCCCACTGGTACATAAGAGTGAACATATTCAAGAAATCGCCCACACATCTCATGGCTCCACTCAAACTACACGGATGGGACATTGCGACCTGCACGCGCCGCGTAGCAACTATCCTCTATGAACTTCAAGTTCCTTTCGAGTTTGTGCCCGTCGACGTGATGGGTGGAGAAAACAAAACCCCTCAATTCCTGGAGAAGCAGCCGTTCGGACAGGTCCCTTATATTGTGAGCAGTTGGATCTCGTCACTTTTACCCTCGCATCTCACTGCGGACTACTCAGAACGACCAGGGATTCATTCTCTACGAGTCTCGCGCGATCTGCCGCTATATTGCAGCGAAATTTCCCGACTCTGGGCTTGTTCCTGCTGATCCCAAAGAGAACGCACTGTTTGAGCAGGCAGCCTCAGTCGAATTCAGCCATTTTGACCCGCCTGCTTCCAAGGCAGGCCTCGAATTCTTGAAAAAGTCAGATGGCTGGTAGCTTGCTCACCCATCGCCCGCGACTGATACAGTCTTGCAGAGTTCTCGGGTGGTCGTACGATGTCGATGTCATAGAGGCCAACTTGCAACTGCTCGAAGGAAAGTTGGACACTTACGAGATCATTCTTTCCGACCATCGCTACCTCGCTGGTGATGTATGTTATCTGTGACTTGACCGTCCGTCTTCTCTAAAATCAACCCAGAATATCACCTTGGCTGACTTCTTCCATCTGCCCTACGCTCCTTTGATTACTGAAGGAGGTGCTGAAGTTTTTACCAAGCGTCCTAATGTTGCGAGGTGAGTCTGTCCTCAGATCTATGATTGCACACGAGTTGCCCACAAGCTTCCATTCTAGATGGTACACCGAGCTTGTTTCTCGTCCCTCTTGGAAAGCATTTGAGGGAGGAGTGAAGACTACATTGAAGTACTAGATGCGAATCACGTTTATATAGAATATCGAACTTCGCTCGGTCTCGGACTCGGTCTCAGCGTCTGACAAGTTGCCGGTTACTAAAATCCCGGGCCTTCTCACGTACTTCTATATAAGCACGGTTCCGACTTGAGCTGCGGCAGCTGCACCCATCGACATGGTTACAACAAACGAACACACACTCACCTTGGGTACCGTCTTCAGCTTGTTTAGTACGAAAGGCTTGTATCTCGTCACCTATGGCTGGTTGTTCGGGATGAGTCTCTGGATCTCCTTCTTCGGCGGCGTCATTGCATACAAGACACTCCCCCGCGCCCAATTCGGCGCGCTCCAGCACAAGACGTTCCCAATCTACTTTGTGCTCTCGCTCTCGCTTGGCTCGACGCTGCTCGGGCTTTGGACGTACAACCATCCGAACATCTTGACTCAATATGCTAGTCCGCTGGTAGCAGACGTTGCGCAGGCGTACACGCTCGCTGGAGTCATTCTATGCCAGGGGTCGAACTACTTTATCGTTCGTCCATCGTTCTGCTTTCGATGAAGATCGGCTGTCTGATACACACGATAGGTTGGACCGATGACCAGCAAGTGCGTAGGGATGGATGCCTTCCCCGGCTTCTGCAGATCGCGCTGAACCATTTCAGGATCATGTTCAAGCGGATGAAGTTGGAGAAGGAGGAAGGAAAGAGCTATAATGAGGCTGGGGTACGTTCAATCAACCTGAACCGGGAGGAATCACGAGTAAACTCATCCCAGGTCTCCGGTAAAATGAAATATCTGAACTGGCAATTCGGAATGCTCCATGGGATTAGCTCGCTGGCAAACCTGTATGCTGTGCTTGCCTTGGGTATGTATCCAACGTCTGAGTATCTGATGATCATATCTTAAACTTTCATCCAGTGTTCCATGGGCTCTGGATCGGCAACTTTGGATTTTAGTCACATGTTGTACAAGTTGACGATGCGAATATATAGGCGACTGGAAAGAAATGCAAAATACAACATGATTAACGCTCGTCATGCTCCTACCGACTCCATTTCCGGCATGTAGCCTTCTCTCAGACTTCGCTCCAAACGCCTGACCTCCTCCATCGACGTGGCCTTGGCAATGGCGGCCTTGACCTTTTCCGCATCCTCCTTTGACATCAATCGTCCCGCCTTTCCTGTCAAGGACGCGATTTTCGGTTCGTCCGTCGTGATGACGGATTTGGTCGATTGAGTCGACACCGTCGTGGACAGCGTCGTCGCCAGAGCGGTAGGCAGGTTGTCCGCCGTAAGGAAGAGCGATTTGGCCGTTTTGCGCTCCTGAAGGAAATTCGGGTATGCACTTAAGCAACCCGTTCGAGCAAGATGGCCGGTGAGAGCGCACCTTGTCTCGAATCCTCTGGAAATCTAAAACTCTCAGCCCAGGAATTCTCCAGGCAAGCCACTCGCGATACCATTTTTTCTCCCGTACAGGGTTCCCAAGTAAACACAAGTACTTCAGGTTCCGTAGTTCTTTCAACGGCTCCAAGTCGCCCAGCTCAGTGAACTGGTTATTCGTGAGATTGAGAGTCGTGAGGTTAGGGATGGAGATGTGAATCGCCGGCGAAATGTGCGACAGCTGATTGTTCGCGAGTAGGAGGGTGTTGAGACGCTTCAAGAGAGGCATATTCCCGAGGACGACGATCGCATTGTCAGTGAAATCCATCGCGTCGTGTTGATCCTACGTTGAAAGCGCGCCATGAGCACGGTGGGACGTGAAAGGTAGAAGATCAGGCGCACCCGAGTGACACCCAAGTTTTCAATGGCAGGAATTTTGTATCCTATAGGACGTGTGTTAGGACGAGATTCCGGAGATCTAGGTGCCGACGTACCCCTCAAGTCGAGCTGTCTCTCCTTCAAAGGATTCATAGTAGAGGTGGCCTGCGCCAGCAACTCTGGGGTCAACTTCATTGTTGAGGAGGAACCAGAAGTTGGGAAAGTTTGTTCGAGCCAAACACTTGAACGTACCTCGACGCGTCGAGCATCATACCCCTTCCTTCGACCATGCGGCATCTTCACCAACGTCTGGAACTGTGCGTATGCATACCCCGGGTCTGCTAGGCATACTCATATCTCTCCAGATACACTCAGGGAAATGACACGTACATATTTGTGCCCCCAGACACGGCTGGCGCGCAATCGCTTACGGTGCACCGTTCTTCTGGAGAACTGCGCCTGAATGGTCAGTGTCACTATTTCTAAATCACGTCCTCTCACATTGGAATCTAGCATCACACTCTTTACCGCCCTCGGCTCGCCGCTCAGGGAAAACAATATACGGATTATTAGGAGTAATATCGTTGGCACTCTGTAAGCCTCTTTTCGGGCAGCTAGATTGAGACTGACACCGCACCTGAACTCAGCCGACTATGTGATTGTAATAACTGGACGGGAATTCAAGGGGCGCTTGCTCGGGCACGATGTGTACCGAGCCACTGACTTCGACCTCCTGCCCATGTCTCCCAATCTAAACACACACAACGCGCCTCACCCTGTCGAAGCACACCTGCTCGGTCTCATCCGATCACATCTTCACGGCGGCGTATTCCTGTTCAGTTACGATTGGGATTTGACGCGTCGCCTGCAAGCCCAATGGGAAACGCGCACTAGTGACGAGAATAAGGCTTTCTGGGAAACGGTGTGTCAATTTCTGGATTCCAGAGCTTTGTCTGACACGAAGGAAGGTCGATGATCGGTTCTTTTGGAACAAGTGAGTATCCATGTCTTTGGATGAGCAGTTGAAGCTAAATCTGCCAGGTACCTGCAGTCGCGGCTTATTGAACTGACTTCAGGAAATGCCGACCAGGATGTGCGTACTTGTCTTCCAAACTTCTCATGGGTTAACACGGTTTCTAGCTGAGCCCCTACATCCTGCCGATTATGTATGGAAGTACGTGACAGTCTTGTCTCTGGGTGTGGCCACTGATACGACTTTTGCAGCGTTCGACATACGCAGTGTCACCGTACGCGGTCGCCCGATGCAACTTTGTCTCATCAGCCGTCGATCGCGCTTCCGAGCTGGAACTCGCTATTTTAGGCGAGGTATTGACCATGAGGGACACGTTGCCAATTTCAATGAGACCGAACAGCTCCTGTTGGTTGAAGACGACCCCGCCTCTGGGGGTGCACCAGGCGAGATCGGAACACAGATGAGTTTCGTACAAATCCGCGGGAGTGTCCCTGTATTTTGGGCCGAGGTCAATACGCTGCGCTACAAGCCAGATCTGCAGGTCATGGATCTCCAAGATACAGTGAGCATAACCTACGATCTATTCCTGCTCCGAATCTCATTCGAACGTCAGGCCGACATGATGCGTAAGCATCTCGAAGAGCAGGTGTCCATTTACGGCGCACAGGCCCTCGTAAGCCTTGTGAACCGCAAGGGTCATGAGCAACCTGTCAAGGAAGCTTACGAGCGCTATGTCTCTGAGGTACGTCTCTGGCTTGTATGAACACCACCCTCCTGATCTCGTTCAGCTCAATCTACCCAATGTTCGGTATCAATACTTCGATTTCCACAACGAGTGCAAGAAGATGCGTTGGGATCGGATCAGTGTTCTCATCGACGATCTTAAGGATGAATTGGCGACATACGGGTTAGTTTCGGTGGGGTATTGTCAAACGCATGCTGACTAGTGCCAGGTATTTCCATCTAGCTCCAAACCAGGGTGAACCAGTCAAGTTACAGCGTGGGACAGTGCGGACAAACTGTATGGACAATCTGGACCGGACAAATGTCGTTCAGGCTTCACTAGCGAGGTGGACGCTCAACCAACAGCTGACTGTTCTGGGGATCTTGCCAGAGGGAGACACCATCGATTCTTATGAGGGTGTCAGCGAAGACTTCAGAAACAGTGCGTCAGACTTGCTACGAGGCTCCAGCCGATTGCTCAACCACTTGGGCAGTGTGGGCTGATCACGCCGACGCGATTGCTAATGCGTATGGTGGTTCGGGTGCCCTAAAATCTGACTTCACTCGAACGAATAAGCGGACGAGAAAAGGAGTACTGGAAGATGGGGTGAAATCCCTGCTGCGGTACTTCAAGAACAACTTCTTTGACGGAGCCAAACAAGACGGTTTCGACTTGGTTGCCGGCAACTGGGTCCCTCGCAAAACCCCTGCCAGCTCAATGTTCCTCATAAGCGATGCAAGGCCTTTGGTCACGCGCTCTGTGAGTTGATTTGATGTCCATTCTTCATCTTCCTGATCAAGTCCAGGTTCCTCTAGTGGCTTCGTTTTCGATTTTCATGATATGCGCTGGCTTGACTCTCCCTCGCACCTCTGGTCGGATCACTTCTTCTGATGCGAATTGATGCTGACACCGGCCCAGACTACTCTCTATTCTACTATCACCTTCTATGGCTTACTCTTCTCTCGGTTTCGCTTGTGTTCATGATCATTCACGGAATCGATTACGTGTCCTGGCCGCGTTTACTTCCGTCGACCGACTACATCTACTACAAAGGACCTGGGTTCCGCTCGGCCCGGCACGGCATGGGCCTCGGAGGCGCCAGCGCTGGTCCGAAGACGAGGTCAGGCACAACCATGAGCGCCAAATTGTCGACGAAGCGGGCAGTTCCGGTCGCGGTGGAGGAAGGGGGGCGGAAACGCGTAGATTAGATTACCTGTTGTTTAGTAACGCGACAACACGCGCAAACCCTTATTTGATATCAATTTTTTCTTCCCACTCCTGCTCACAGCGCTTTGCTCTCCCCACTTTCTTTTCTTTTCCTTCATAGCAATGGCCGGCATTAAAAGAGCTTCGGGGTCCGAAGAAGAGAAGAACCCTCTGTCCGACGTCGAAGTGTCCGATGAGGTTGCGCTTCAACTGACCAAGGTTCAACGCGACATTCAACGCGCCGAACTCAGCATGGGTCCGTAGCTCCTCCATCCCGAGCGGTCTCCCCCTAATACCTGTTCGCACAGACCGCATCGGCTTCCAGAAAATGACCCCTGTGTATGAAAAGCGCCGCGCCATCGTCAAAGCTATTCCGAAATTCTGGGCCGTCTCTCTCATGAATCACCACTCGTTCGCGTTCTACGCCCAGCACGCCTCTGATCAACTGGCCCTGAGCTATCTTGAGGATCTTTGGGTCGCCAGGGATCCCGCTGAGCCTCGTTGCTACACGATTGAATTTGTGGGTATCGGTTATTACATACGTGCCTCCTGCCACCGGCTAATCGACGTCCTTTCCTTGTTGCTCGTTCCAGTACTTCAAAGAGAACCCGTTCTTCACGAACACCGTGCTGAAGAAGACATACAAGTACAACGCTCCGGCCACCGAGGACGACAAGGCTGATGAAGATGGCATCACTGAAGCTATGCTCGACTTTTCGTGGGAGCGCGATGTTGAGGCTCTGGTGCGTTTATCGTCGTCGGCGCGTCTCTCACGTCGCTGATCTGTGTGTATGCGTGTGTGTGTTGCAGCCTACGACAATCGACTGGAAAGATGCTGAGCACACTCTGACGAAGCTCCATCCTGCTACCGGCAACGACGGCGACGACGACGATGACGACGTCGCCGACATGGGTACTTTCTTCAACTTTTTCGAAAAAGGCCCGGACCCATTCGATGTCAGTTTTGCTGCTCGGCCTTCCACGCTCCACCGTGCTGACCGTGCGTTTATTGCAGATTGGCATTATGATTGCCAGCGACGTGTTCCCGGACGCCGTGGACCACTTCTTCGGCCAGGCGGGCGATGATGAGGACCTGGAATCGGACTCGGACGACGAGGATGACGAGGACGAGATTGATCTCGAGAAGCCTCGGACTAAAAAGCAGAAAGTCTAATCGCCGCATCGCTGAGCCCCGATTTACACGCGAGTGGAGGGATATACCAAAGTAGCTAAGATAGGTACTGGGTTGCTTGAGTGGATTTTGACCCGTCGGACGCGTGTATAAAAGCTGCCTCGGAAGATTCATCCCATTCTCTGCGTGTTCCCATGAAGTGGCTGCTCTCTCTTGCTCTGCCGTCGGTCGCCTGGGCTGCTGTGCGAAGGAACGGCGGGGATTCTTCGACGACGTCCTACTCGTTCAGCTTGGTTGCAACCAACCCGACTGCTGTTCCGCTCGGCAAGCCCATGGCTCGTGTGTGCCGGGTTGCTTCTGACTTGACTGGCTGGTTGCAGCATTTCTGGGTTCTGATGCACCGAGTCAAGCGACCCATGCGATCTCGACGACTTATGCTGTCAGTCGACCGTTTCTTCGAGCACCCAGGGGCGCGCAGAGTCTGATGTCCACATAGCCTGCGTCTACGCCTTATCCGCTCCGTGGGGCTCCGCCATTGCCGAACGGTGTGTACCACATCCCGCGTCTGGTTCTTTCCGTCCGGGGATGAAAATCGTCTTCTAGCGGCGCTGTTAGCGCCGTCGGCGTACCCAAGCCTCGATGTGGTCGTCGGCACGGACTCGCCGGAGGTGCAGCAGTGGATGCAGGACGTCGCGGACTCGGGCATTGAGATCCCAGACATCGCGCCGACTGTGCCCGGGGGATGCGCTGCGAATGCGCAGGCTGCGGCGGATCCCGCGCGGTGCTGGTGGACATGCGGAGGCTGCACGCGCTCGACGGACGTGACGACCTGTCCCGAGAAGCTTACTTGGGGCCTCACGTACGATGACGGCCCATCGCCTTACACCCCGGACCTGCTTGCTTGTGCGTGCAGTTTCTCTCTCTCGCTCTCTCTGTGTGCGTGTACGTGTTTGAGTGCGTGGCTGAGAATGGATGCATGAAGATCTCGCGGCGAATAACCTCAAGTCGACGTTCTTCGTCGTCGGCTCGCGGGTCATCTCGTTCCCGGAGATGGTCCAAGCGGAGTATATGACCGGCCATCAGATAGCTGCCCATACTTGGTAGGCTTCTCTCTCTGTCTTTCTCCGTGCGCTGACTGGATCGACTCGCGCAGGAGCCATCCGTCATTGACGCAGCTCACCAACGAGCAGATCGTCGGCGAACGTGAGTGCTGTCTGGATCACCAAGCCAGTTAAATGAACGATCCATGCAGTGGGGTGGTCGAAGAAGGTTTCGCTCTCCATTAAGCCCCGGGCCTCGCGGTGACACGCGCCACAGGTTATCAAAGACGTCCTCGGCGTTACACCCACTCACTTTCGGCCTCCGTTCGGTGCGTCGCCGCGCCTGTGATCGGCAATGTTGTGTGATGCGATGATCTGTCTCTGCAGGTGATATCGAGTGAGTCGGGTCCCCTCTAATATATCGAAAGACACAGACAGACAAAAAACGTCAGCGACCGCGTGCGAGCGATTGCAGCGGCTCTGGGCCTCGTTCCTGTGATGTGGACGCGAATCAGCCCGCTTGCGACATTCGATACAGACGGTGACTGCCCTTCTCTCTTTCCAGGGACTCTTCCGATGCTAACAGATCGATGTACAGACTTCGACCTGCACTCCGGGTATTCGACCCCCGACAAAGTGCTGCAAAATTGGGACTACATCCGGGGCAACACGACGCTCATCAACACAGGCTTCGTGCTGCTCGAGCACGATCTGTTCCAGCAGGCCGTGGACATCGCCACAGGCTACATTTTGCCCGACGCGCTGCAGCACAAACCGCGCTTCAAAATCGAGCCTGTGATCAGCTGCTTGAACCAGGCCCCCGAGGAAGCCTACGTCGAACTGATGCACTACAACGCACCCCCCACAGATGGAGCGACTTCGCAGGGTTCCGCCGCCCAAGCGGCGAATTCGCATACAAACGAGGCCTTGCAGAAGTCGGTGCCGAGAGCAGTCGTCTTGGGAATTTTGGTGGTGTTCGTCGGCGCGGTCGGGTGCTCTGTCTAGATGTCAATGAATACCCAAATCTCTAAGTGCATACAGACAGCAGTACAGAGAAAAAGAAAATCTAGGAGGTATAATGCACAAGTAAGCTAGAATAGCAGAACGCAATAATGTAGGGGAGAACCGTCTAAGATCTAAAAATATATGTTTTTACCATTCACCGACGATGTCGTCCGCATCCGTCACCTCGAGCCACGGATGATCGAGCATGTCCCGTGCATGTGCCCGACGCCGTTGGTCGACGGCCAGCATCGGCAGCAGGAAGGAGCACAGCACACCGACATCGGCCTCGGACCAGAGATACTTCTCCAGCATAACCCGCTTCAACGGCCAAGGCTTCAAGGACTTGATGTACCGCAGCGACCCATGCGAGTCGAAGAGATCATGGCTGTACTTGCCGCCCTTCTTGATGTCCATCGGAAGATCGCCCAGCAGCTCGATGATCTGGGCCATGTGGTCATCGTCCTTGGTGAAAGCGTTGCTTTGGCTTTGAGGGTCGAACAAAAATTCAGCCGTCAGCAGCTCAAACACCTGAACAGACAGTGAATAAAATACTCATGAATAGATATGAATGGAAGCAGACGCACCAAACAAGCCACACTCCAGATATCTGCTCGAGCATCCCAGTCGCTGCGGCCAATGATGGCCTCGGGCGATCGGTACTGTCGAGTTTGGATATCCTCCGTAAAGTGTTTCTTCGACGGGGTTGCGTTGCCCAGATCGGTAACTTTGATGGAGAGTTCAGGGATCGTCGAGGGCCTTGGCTTGGGGAGAGCAAGACCCGGCATGCTGATGTGGGAATGCGGGGGACTCGTTGGATAGGAACTGGCGCCAGTCGGCGTCGTAGAGGTGATATCGGAAGGGGAAGAGGATGGTGGTACAACAACAGCGGGTTTACTCGGCTCGCGGTGTGACTGCATCTGTAATGATAATTGCGAAACCGCAGTCGGCGCATTGCGGTTCCTAGGGTCGGTTCGAGACAGGAGAGATGGTTGGGCATTGGCAGACATGACCGGTTTCTCGCCAGTGGCCTCCGTCGCATCATCGAACCCAGTCGACTTGGCACAAGTCCCAATAGGAGTGCTGGCTGGGGTTGCCCGCGCTGTGGCCGTCGAGCTCTGCGATGACGGCGTCACGTTCGATCCGCTCATGCTGCTTGTGCTGAAATAGTCGCCCTGCTGTTCTCCATCAGCTCTGACGACAGCCGACACAACAACAGCTGGAGCTGGAGCGGCCAGACCGGGATCTTTCCATGAGCCAGACACCGAGACGCCAGAGCTAGACCGCTTGTGCGCATTCTGGATCAGCCTCGATACTGACGATGTGGACTGATGTGAGATCGAAATCGGCGTCTCTTTGGTCAACCCAAGCTTATCCTTCCAGGACGATGATAAAGCGTCCTGAAGCTCAACAGCCAGGCCTTTACCCTTGACCGGAATCCCAACCCGATCTGGACCGGATGGAGGAGAGTATGTGGGCTTCGAAGTCGCCTTTGTCGCTGCAGCTATTCCGAGCATCGCGCTTCCGAAAGAGTTTGAAAGCGATGTGGGAGGTGTGCCGATGGATCCAGCTAATGTGAAGGGAGTGGAAGAGATGGATGATGCTGGAGACGTGGGTGAGTTGGCTTGTGAGGACGCCGCCGTCACTGGATTTGACTTCGAAAACAATGTGTGTTGTGCGGATACCGCCAATCCACTAGAGATCTTGGGTGCGCTCGTGCTCATCCCGTTGAAGCCGCCGTTCAAACTGCCGTACTTGGCTGCGTGGGCTAGCTGAACTGGAGAGACATAGCTGCCAGCGACGCTGCTGGGGCCGCTGTTGCAGCCCGGACCTCCACTGCGAGGACTCGAAAGCGGCTGTGAATCGAAGATCTGTACCTGCCGTCTCGTTGTCCGCGATTGCTGCGGTATGGACACAGAAGGTCGCGACTTCGTGGCAGGGGGCACGCCTACGCGGCGGCATGTCGGAGAGGGTGAGTGTGCAAGCTCGTTGTAGATGTGTGCTTCGACATCGGGGATGGATATTACTGAACATGCTCAACGTATAAACTCCGGGTAATCAAATGAGGACTTACAAATATTCTCCGGTTTGATATCCGTATGCACCAAATCGCATTCGTCGTGCAAATAGGAAAGCCCGAGGAGTACCTGTTTGGAGATGATCTTAACAAGCGCCCGAGGAACCCCCTTCCGCCTATTTCGGTCAATCAACGCAAGAAGCGATTCACCGAGCGGTTCGAAGACGATGCAAATATGCGTAGATTCTGGCCCATGGTGTGTGAACGAGTCCATGAAGGACACAATGTGTGGTCGGCCGGGATGTGTCGGAGAAAAAGAAGCCACGCGTGCAAGCAGCTTGATCTCATCGCGGGCCGTCTCTGCGTACCGACCAGCGGACTTGACGACTTTGAGGGCAGAATGGCGGGTTGTGCTAGAGATAGGTGATGAGAATCATGTCCAGAGTGAGGCCCATCTAGATGAAACGCACTTGGAATCCTTGACCAGCCATACCGTCGAGAAATGACCCCATCTATCGTAGTGATGACGAAAAATGAGAGGGGGTGTCAGGGACGACCTTAAGTAAAGCCACATACCCAAGCTTCCTCACCACCGTGTAGCGACCGTTCTTGAATGTGTCGCTGACTTTAACCGGAAGATAGCCCCCCGAGTTATATTCAGCAGGACTCTCCTCGTCTTTGCAGAACGGCTCTTCGACGGGTAGAATCTTGGGCCCCGTTGTGGTGACGACATATTGGAAGCTGGCGCAGCTCTTGCTGCTGGGCGCCATTGTCGGAAGGATGCCGGAGGGAGGGCGGGGAATTGTTTGTTTGTGTAGCTTGTCAACACCAATCCTATGATTGGCCGCCTGTCGCGGCTGACGCCGGTCCGCCTGATATAGTCTTCCGAGTCGAACTTCGAGCCAGGTTCTGGGCTTGAGCTTTTTTGACGTGCACCATGACCCGCCTCGAGGCTGCCTATCCGTTTCTGCCTTCCTTAGTCCGACTTCCTGCAGAGACTTTCCATCGTCCCGGCGATCGCATCAGTTGGAGCAGCACGCGGCCCGGTGGTCGGGCACGGTCTTGGACTCTTAGTCAGCGATTGACTTACTAAATGCCTCACTCCCGTCGCAGAGCTTGCACAGTCCAATTTACATGTTTCGGACCTACTCAAACATTTCAATTGGCTTTGTCACGAAATGTGACCTCCAAGCGCATCCTATCCTCCTTTCTCGACATAGACACATTCCTTCCTTCTAACATTCCTTTCGCTTTTTGAGAGCCTGATAACCGAGTTCAAGCGGATCTGCTAACGTCTACCACATCTATATCTGTCCAACTGGCCACGAACCATCCTGACTTCATTCAACTACATACTTTATGAACCATGGCACCTCTAACGGCACCTCCGGTCCCTGGTCCAACACCCACATCCAAGATGGCTCCGTCCCCCAAGTTCATCGGTGCAGTGGAGGACGAGTGGGAGTTGTATAGGTAAGCAGCGCCGCATCCGCAGATGTCTTCACAACTGGACGCATGCTCGCAGTGATGATTTCTCCGACTACACAGTGGGCGCGCCTATCGGGTTCGGAGCCTCGTCCATAGTTTATGCAGCGGAGTACAGGCCACGGTCGAGAAACAGCAAGCGCATCCCGTGCGCCCTCAAAGTACTCGACCTCGATTCCCTTCCACCTCATGCTTTGGCGCTTCTGCAACGGGAGACGACTCTGATGTCGCTTTCCAAACATCCGAACGTCCTGCGAGTCCGTGGCTCGTGGATGGACGGGCACAAGCTGTACATTGCCCTGCGGTTGATGAACAAGGGCAGTGCTGCTGATGTGATGCGATATGGCTGGCCGGGAGGGATGGAGGAGGACGTGATACGGTGCATTCTGCGGCAAGCCTTGCAGGGGCTCAACTATCTGCATGTGAATGGCTTCATCCATCGAGACGTCAAAGCGGCGAACTTCCTCATTGACGGTATGTGCGGCCTGATCTAGTATGTAGCGCATTAGATCTGACCGCGTCGCTCTCCAGATGATGGCACCGTTCTACTCGGTGATCTAGGTGTGGCGGCAGATCTCGCTGAAGACACGTCAAGACCGCCCGTTTCCCAGAGCAGGAAACCGCATATGATCACAGCGGAGGCTGCAGTTCGAGCTGTCAGTCCTGCGCAAGCCAAACGCCCGTCGCTCGAGGGGGCCTTCAATCCGGTCCGACCTAGGATGGGCAAGCGCAAGTCTTTCGTTGGCACGGTGAGGATGGTTCCTCTTCCTTTGAATGGGATGATAATCAATGAATCGCAGCCCTGCTGGATGGCACCCGAAGTGATACAAGCAAGGCAATATGATTCCTCTGCCGACATCTGGAGCTTTGGTATCACTGCGCTGGAGCTTGCTCAAGGGCGCCCTCCTCGGTCCCGCGAAAGTTCGTCTCGGGTTCTCGTAAGAATGTAGGGGCATTATATGGCAGTGTCCTTGCAAGCGCCGATGATGTTTTCCAGTATTCAAGAAGATGCGCCTTCACTGGACCGCGACAATTGCACATTCAAATATTCCCAGTCGTTCCACAAGATGATAACCGCTTGTCTCGAAAAGGATCCAACGAAAAGGTACCGCTCCCCCTTGTCGTCGTGGCCCGAAATAGAGCTCATCGGACTCAGGCCCACTGCCGAGGAATTACTGCAGAGCTCGTTCTTCAAAGGCTCGAAGGAGAAGTCGTATCTCGTCGGTGCCATCTTAAGTGCGCATGGATCACTTTTCGATCGCATACCGCCTTCTGATTTCATTCAGAGGATTTGCCCCCGTTGAGCCAACGGCAAGAAAGGCGGGTCGCTCGCAATATTGTCTCTGCTCATGGGACTGTCGACTCGTGGGACTTTGCCACAACGGTCAATTCACCTTCCCTGGTTCGGCAGGCATTTCTCGACGAGGCTTTCGACGAAGAGAACACTTTCAAGCGCCGATCCAACATCGTTTCATGGGTCGAAGAACAGGAGGAAGAGGCTGTTGCACTCGAGCCTGAATCCAGTCCTGAGGGAGAGACTGATGACCCCATATTTTCCGAACCGGAATTTCCTGGTGCAACTACGAGCGAAAGCTCACTTTCGTCTCGCAGTAGTATCGACCTGACCGGCGAAGAAGACGCCGCACTGGACAAGATGGCCCCTCTCCCTCCGCCGTCCATGGCTATCTCTGAGCCAGTCCCCGTCCCAAAGGTGCCGATGTCCGCCGCCGACATTCTGAATGTTCCCACCTCGTCCAGCTTCAACTCCTCCCTTTCGGTATCACCGAACTCATCTAGTTTCTCTTCCTCGTCGTCTCCCAGTCTGTGGAGGAAGATCAAAGGCTTGAGGAAAGCACCGGGTGAGCGACCACAGGACACCGTTGTTGGCCGAGCCAAGTTTTAGTATCTAGTTCATTATCTGTAATCCATCTGTAACACATATACCATCTGTACTTACTGCATAATATCTATTCGCCGTGTGCTAACTGCGTTGAACGTCGGATTGTTTGATGCGTAGAATGAAAAATACAAAGTGCGATGACTAAAAGTTACAATCGGTTCAGTGCCCCCAGTCAGTTTGCCGGTTCATTCCCATTCCCATTCCTCGTCGCCTGGGACCACCCGGACCTCGCTCGCTATTGCTGCTCGAAACGACAAGGTGTTTGTCAACCAGCTATGTGGGGATCAGGCTTGCGCGATACAGAGCGACAATTGACTCACGTCATTGAGAATGTTCGCAGACTTGGTCAAGGATGACAAAAACGCGGTCAGCTGGACATCCTCATATTCCTGTCGGGCTTATCAGCCTACGGAATCGGTGATAACGGATGGTATAGCAGACCGTTTCGAATTCTTCGCGGAAGGATACGTTTTCAGAAGCAGGGAGTGATGCAACGAGCGCGGCAAGTGAGCGTAGCGTAGCAGGATCTTTCTTCGCCTGACCTGAGAGAAAGAGATTGGTTTGGCTCCGGATATGGGCTCAGAAACACACCTGAAACGACGTCGGTCACGTATTTCACCAGCACCATGATCCTGTCGTGCAGCATCTTGACAGCCGCTCTTTGTGTCTGAAGGTGGGATTCCACTGATCGCAAGCCCAGTCAGAGAGGCGAACACAAACAGGTAAGCAGGGCCGTACAGCTTGTGCCACTGCCTCCGCCACGGGCCGTCCAATCCACGGCGATACGTTCGGCCTCCCCGGTCTCGACATTGTAGGGCACTTCGATGTAGACAGATCGAGACTTGCGGTCCCGGAGTTCGATCGTAGGTTCGTACGCTTTGAGGGGGAGTGTCTGCCCATGGGCATCAGAGGTCGCGAGTGTTGCGGAGGGTTGTAGAGTGAGAAGCAAAGGCGTGGAGCAGTAGCCCGTGAACTGATGAGCACATGAGCACGCATGATGCAGCTGCAAATGTGATATGTTTCCGAACCTGCTCGTGTAGCGCGATGTGGCGCGCAGTGGGCTTGGATGTGACAGTATACCAGCCGATGAATTCCAGAGAAGGGAACACCTGCTTATCTGGTGCAAGAGGTTGGTGCGTGCGCGAGATAGAGAGAAAGGTACTTACACTGGTCACGTCTCAGAACCAGAAAGTCGTGGTCGACTAATTCGGATTCGAGGTCAACGGCAAGTTCGAAGGTGTTGACGATCTCCACTTCACGGCCGTTTTGTGTGCCCAGGAGAGCCCCGAGAACTTTCCACCCTTTGAGCATCAGAATCCAAAATAACACAAGTCATACCAAAAGGTGAGTTGGTATTTCTCTGTAGCTTTAACCGTGTCAAGTGCTCAGAGATGTTGAGAATGGGAAGAGGATGCCTGACAAGCGAGATGAAGCTGATATTCTACTTCGATTGGGATGATTCCAGAAAACATACAAGGAGAGGGATAATCCCGAGAGTGTCGAGGAGGGGAGTACAACCGGGAGCTCAGTTTCAACTTCCATTTCGCTCATGGTGGGGGACTCGAAGGACGCGCGGTGTCACAATTGATGATGCCTATGGCTGATGTAAGCGGATATCGCGGTGTGACGCCGTGACCAGTCGCGTTTGCGTCTCATTTCTATCCACCTCGCCTTCCGCCCCACGATGAGCTTCAATGCAGAGAGAACGTTCGTGGTCGCTGCACACGAGCCGCCCGCCGCGCTTTCACCTGACTCGCCGTCTGAAACGGAGAAGCTTCTCCTCGACTTTCTCCTCGGATTCCGACTGGGTGGCGAATTTATCTACAGGTGCGCGACGAATTCATTGCAGCGTGGTCCGTATGGTGCTCAGATAGACGTGAAGAGATAAATTGAGAGCCAATCTCCTATTGAAACTGCATATGCTCGAGGTCGATCTGCGGCATCTAAGTCTCTACAACGACGAGCTGGCACACGCGATCCAGGACGCACCTGCCGACAACATCCCTTTGGTTTGTTTGCCGAGCACTACCTTTTCGTCGTCCTCTCAAATTTCACGCGTAGTTCGAGAACGCTGCGACCAAAGCAGCGCGTTCCATCCTCTTTCCCTTGGTCGCCGTTGGCAGCGCAGAAGAGAAGAGGAAAAACGTAGAAGACGCGGCGGAAGCGATCCCCGGTATGCAGATCAGTCTCCGCTCAGGCCTCAACATGCTGCAATTCCGTGACCTTACCGCGGACACTATGAACAAGCTCGTGCGGATCCCCGGCATCGTCATTTCTGCCTCGGTGCTGTCGTCCAGAGCGACGAAGCTGCATCTGCAGTGCCGCTCCTGCGGAACACCGAAGATGATATACCCGTCGGGGGGAATGGGTGGTGTAGGTGGTGGTTCGGACCGAGGCTTGCCTCGATTTTGCGAGGGCCGGGACGCAGGGGGGAAGACAACTGACTGTCCGACCGACCCCTTCCTGATCATCCACCCCAAGTCGACATTTGCCGATCAGCAAACACTCAAGTTACAAGAGGCGCCAGATATGGTTCCCGTTGGAGAACTTCCCAGGCACATGCTTCTGTCTGTGGACAGGTTCTTGACGGGTCGAGTCGTGCCCGGGTCGAGAGTAGTTGCCACTGGAATTTATACCACCTTCCAAGCTGCCAAGAATGTGCAGTCCCTTTACTTGGGCCGTGGCTGTCGCTGACTCTTCTGCCAGAAAAATGCGGGCGCAGCAGCTCTGCGACAGCCATACCTTCGAGTGGTTCATTTAGAAATGTCTTCTGGTCCTATAAGTGGCTCAGGCTCGAACCCTTTTGGTCTGCAGTTCACGCCGGAGGAAGAGGAGGAATTCGGAGCAATGGCACGGAGCGAAGGCTTCTACGAGCGGTTTGCGAAGAGCGTCAGCCCTAGTGTCTATGGCAGTTTAGGTGCGTCTCAGCATTTCCGTCGTGCCTACCTTGTCGACACGGTGTGCAGATATCAAGAAGGCGATTACATGTTTGCTTTTCGGAGGCTCAAAGAAAGTCCTGCCAGATGGAATGCGCTTGAGAGGAGATATTAACGTGTTGTTACTGGGAGATCCGGGAACAGCGAAGAGTCAGCTTCTCAAATTCGTGGAGAAGGTCATTGCCCTTGTTCAATCCATTCGCCTCGACTGAAGCTGTATTTTAGGTTGCGCCTATTGCAGTCTACACGTCTGGCAAGGGCTCTAGTGCTGCTGGTCTGACTGCTTCTGTACAACGCGATACTGCTTCCGTACGTCGCACTGAGTTCCTTGATCGTCTTCCTGACACACGATGTCTAACAGCGCGAATTTTATCTGGAAGGTGGTGCGATGGTGCTTGCGGACACTGGTGTCGTCTGCATTGACGAATTCGATAAAATGCGAGACGAGGACCGGGTTGCTATTCACGAGGCAATGGAACAACAGACCATCTCAATCGCCAAAGCTGGTATAACGACTGTGCTGAATTCCAGGACGAGCGTTCTCGCAGCCGCAAATCCCGTGTTTGGACGATACGACGAGGGACGGAGTCCTGGCGAGGCAAGTGGATCATCATTGCAGCACCCATAGAACGAGTACTGACCTGGCTGTGAGCAGAACATTGATTTCCAAACGACGATCTTGTCTCGATTTGACATGATCTTCATTGTCAAAGATGAGCATAATGAACAGCGCGACAAGGTGAGGAGCAGCTTATGTCACACACCGTCCCGTTCTCATGTTAGTGCTCCAGATGATTGCAAAATATGTCATGAACACGCAAATGGGACGGTCGGAAGACAACGCTGACCGGGCGGTGGGAGAGCTCAGCTTGGATTTGATGAAGCGATACATCGCTTATTGCAAAAGGTCCGTCATGCGCGCATCTATCCAAGACTCGTCTCTCATGCTGCCCACAGCAAATGTGCTCCACGACTATCAGCAGAAGCGCAGGAGATGTTGAGCAGCCATTTCGTCAGTCTGCGAAAGCAAGTTCAGCAGGTCGAGCGAGACAACGACGAGCGCAGCTCGATCCCCATCACCATCCGGCAGCTCGAGGCCATCATCCGGATATCCGAGTCGCTCGCCAAGTTGACGCTCTCGACGTCGGTGCAGAACCACCACGTCGAAGAGGCCATCCGGCTGTTCAAATTCTCGACCATGGATGCTGTGGCCGCTGGGTCGGCCGATGGCTTGTCACGCGGGGAGCTGAATGAGGAGATCGTGAAGATTGAACGGGAGCTGCGGAGGCGGCTGCCTCTGGGCTGGAGCACGAGCTACCAGAGTCTGGTGCGCGAGTTCGTCACGCAGCAGGGGTACTCCAGCCACGCACTGGAGCGCACGCTCTTCGTACTAGAGAAGAGCGATGTCATCCGCTTCACCGGCCAGAAGAAAGTGGTCCAGAGGTCAGTGGTCTTCGCCATTTTCAATCGCAGGCGCGCTGAACGAATTGCCAGGGTCGGTGTTTGACGACTTTGTGTGTTTAATGTATCGTATAGCTTGTTTTGTGTAAATAAATATGTACTGCTATCCGTCCAAACTGTCGCCCTCCAGTCCAAATATCTGCAGCAGCAGGTTAACTTGTCCAAACGGACGCTCGCTGCCCAAGAGAGTGGCTGCTGCCTCGTATTTGTTTTCCGGTTTTCTAACCTGCTGACTAATCAAGAGATAGGCGCGGGCCATGCGCTGGAGCACAGCCTGGTGGATCTGGATATGCACACGCTGGGCGGTGAGTTGGGACAGTCGAGGGGATTGCACAACTTCTGGGCCAGACAACCATAAGGAGAAGGCGCGCAGGGCGGTCTGGATCTGTGAAGGTAGCGTCGCTGGCACTCGCGATAATGGTTCCTGGAATCATTCGGACCTGTGAGCAGGCATTAGGACAGAGGGAACAGCACGCACAGTCCCGTCGTGGGCAGCACAAGTCTCCGCCACATGGTAAATTCCAGCGTCGCTCATCACGTTCTTGTACTGGAGCACCGAATGAGCGAAAGTGGCAGTGCAAGCATCCGAAACCACTCACATGTTCCTCTGACAACAGTGACACATGCTGGTCGATCACTTTCTGCAGCGCGACTTGTTTCTCTGAGGTAAAGGAAAACGGTTCCAGAACGCTCTGCACATCTCCTTAAATGGGCGATCCGGACTGGCAGAGAGACGAATCACCAGCAGGTACGTCAAGCAATTCAGCACATAGACGTCTCTGTCCCATCTTGGGCGCATACGCTTCTTCTCTTCGCCGACAGTCGTGGAAAATTCAATCGCCGGATCCACAGTCACGTCGAGTATTCGCCGGAAACCTGCCGCCCGCTCGGCTTCGTCTTCGTCGCCCAACAGCGACGATTCATACACGTTCATGATCTCGCGAAGGATCTGGGCGTGGTCCAGTATGACGAGAGGGGCAGACAGCGAAGGGTCATCCAGGTCCTGGACAGCGGTCAGATAATGAGGGGGGTAGGGCGAAAGCCAGATACTCACCAGTGTTGCGCGGACCAGATTTCGTCCTTGTGCTTCGATGGCATCGTAGAACACTTTATATGCAAGCTGTGTGATCCTGGAGAGGCATGGGATGAGTGAGATTGGATCGAGAAGGATTCTGGCACTCACTCATCGAGGGTCGTAGACAACACCGCCGTTTCGCCAATGGTCCGACGCATCGTCATCATATAGAATTGCAACAAGTTCGCAATCTTGTATGAGATGATGCTGCTCTCCTGCGATCGGATCGTTTGTTGTATCCTGACCTACAGCACCAGTCAGACAACCAAGCCTCTGAGTTTCTGGTTATTTCACCTTCAGAGGAACGCATAGCTTCTCCACCGCAGAGTCCATCAGATCACGGATCCAGTCCTCTTCCTCGCTCTTCTTTGCGAATGTCCGAACGCTCCCCACCATCCGGCCATCGCCTTGCACGCCGAAAAGGCTCTCCAAAAATTCTCTCTCGGCCGCAATGGCTTGGTGGACCCAAGCCAGCATGTCACCGACATAACGCATCGGGTCATGCGCGTGCAGTTCAATTGGGCGGGGAAGTCCTGACGGGCCGCCTCTTGTGAGGGCAGTGAGAAAGGCGGACATCAGCGTGGCCTGGCGGATCTGCGACAGGATCGCCAGAGCTTCACTACGAAGCTGGTCAGATTTTCCTGGTGACAAAACCACAAAGAGACGCACTTGAGAAGCTCGGGTCGTCTACGCAATCTGCGCACCGCCTCTCGCATCGTAGTCCCAACCTCGACTTGCATATCTTTTCCCAATTGACGGAATTCGTACGAACACCATCTCAGCAACTTTTCGTACCCTTGTTCAAGGTAGGAAGAAGTAGAGGCCATGATATCTCTCCTGCATGAGATGAGAATCGACAGAACACAGTACGATGCATAAACACACCCAGCCTGAGTGGGCCCGTCTTCACCAGCCATAAGGACCCGGCAATCGGTTCGTACGCGCTCCGTTTTGTCCATGGCATGGAAGAATTGCTTGCCAACCTCTACATCGCGGGACGTTATCGCCTCGATTTCTTTGTCGTTCAGAGTGAATCGGTCAAGGAAGAGGACACGATGGATTTCTTGCTCTCGACGTCTTGCCTATAGATGATGGCTTAGTTGTTGGCCCCGGCACGTTCTCTCTGCCTGCGCACCTTTCCTCGCTCAAGTTCCCTGCGCGTTCAAGGACTTGAGCACTCGACTGGGTGGTCATGGCCAATTGCTTTTCGGCTTCATCGCAGTCTGCGTGCATAGCAGCCACATGCGTTTGCAATTCTTCTAGTTTCTAGAGCACTGAGTTGATCCTTCGCACCCGGGGCGTTGCAGTCGGAAAGAGAGCCTACCCGATCCACTTCCTCGAACGCCTTCAGAAACTCGCGACTGCCTTCAGCCAGCTTCATCTCCATGTCGCGTCGTAGATGTTTGCGCGCCTGGGCTGCCGATTCTCCTGGTACTACTTCCGACCATGACGCATCGCCAGGGCTAGTCTCGTTTTGCAGTGCGCCGTCGATATTGAGGGTGTGTAGGGGTTCTTTGCCCTTCGCGGTGCCCTCTACCGGCCCGGCATATAGTTCGGATAGCGTCTGGAGTGCCTCTTGCGTGGATTCGTCATTGAAGTTGGTTCCGAGGACCTTGTACAGCCGCAGTGACACGGGATTACGCGGCACAGAGCGCGTTTTGCGGTCTGCAGAAAGCGTGGACGATGTAGGAGCGAGAAGCGGAGAAGTCATTACATGTTTGACGATGTGTGGTCTTCGAGCGGGGGCTGCTCTAAAGTGGCGCGCACAGCAAGCACAGCCACTCTCCTCCTTTGCTTCCCCTCTCCCATCTGCACAACTCTACGCCCCGACGCTCTTTACCGACGGTCCTTACCTTACGAATCTTCACGATACATACACACGCACAGCAAAAGCTATCTATCATCCATATGGGCGTCTCTGTAACCCCCGTCCGCATCCCGACGCTCAATCAAGCGACGCAATCTAAGCAGTTCGGCAATCTCATTCGTTCAGACCTCTGGTTCTGTGACGGCAACGTCATCATAATCGCCTGTTCAGTAGCATTCAAGGTTCATCGCGGGCAGCTGCGCCGGCATTCCGTTGTCTTCGACGACTTGTTCAGTATCCCCCAGCCACAAGACCAGGACCTGTACGATGGCTGTCCTTGGATAGAGGTATACGACTGTCCCTCGGACATGCTTTATTTCCTCAAGGCGATATATGACGGTTTGTATGTGCTCGCCTACGTCTCTGGCTTGGCGCCGCCAACACTGACGCATATAGGTATTTCAAGTCGCCCGGTGCAAATGACTTTCCCGCTGTCGCTGCTACTCTCCGCCTTTCAACCAAATACATCGTCGAATCCCTGCGCCAGCGCTGCATCTCTCGCTTGGATCTTGACTGGCCATCGACGCTCGCTGGCTGGGACCAACGCGAAGCCAGCGCGACTGATGCTCAGGGCCACTACTCTCCGCGTGCTGCTTGCCCACATCCTGTGCTTACCATAGAATTCGCGATCGATCTCGATCTGCGCACCCTTCTTCCCGCCGCGATGTACGATCTCGCTCGCTATGGACCCAGCAAGATTCTTAGTGGCACCGCGCCTGTCAAGAAACACTCTTTCGGCGCAACCTCCAGGCAAGATCCCGCTCAAGAAACCGACAAGCCGCGCCTTACGACGCTCTCTCCGGCACTGCTGGTCGCTGTTTACCGTGGACGGGAACAGGCTCAAAAGTTTCTGTCTGATTTCGTTGTCGAAGAGCTGCAGGGACGCGCGCCTGCGAGAGATTGCGCGCACTCGGAGGATTCTGCGGCGAGCCGGTGGTGCCGCGAGTCGTTCTACTTCATCATGCTCAATGTGCTACGCTCGGTCGGCGGAATCGCATGTGGGCGGGATGCGGATCCGCTTTTTACGCTGGTGCAAGCCGTTGACATGCTCTCGCGAACGGACTTTTCGGACGGACATCGGCAGTGTGGACTCAAAATCTGCCATCCGTGCAAAGTGGATTTTGCCAAGGCGGCGAACCGAGCGAGGGAGCGTGTGTGGAAACTCCTACCTGAATGGTTTGGACTCGAAGAAACACAGCCGATATCGGAGGAGAGTGACGGCGAGGCCATGGATGTCAATGTTCTGAGCGAGGACGGGATTGAGTAGTTGACTGTCTGATCGCTAGCTGTTGTCACTGTTGGAATCCAATTCGCTGGTATATACTATCCCATCAAGCTGCTACCTCCTCCAATCGTGACATGTTTAGTGTGCCGCGACTGAACGCCTCTGCCAACGCTGAAAAGCCACCCTCCTTGACTTGAGAGACGAAGAAATCGTGTTGGTCGGCGAGTCGCTCGTTGTTTCTCCGGATCTGCTGGATGACACCGTGTTCTCGGACACATAGCGGGCACTCGGTCTCGCTTTCCTGGAGACATCTAAAAGCGAATGACTATCAGCGATCCACCACAGCACATGCGGCTGTGACGACGCACCGAGGTTGGTGGAAGCTGTGGTTGCACATGAAATGCACCGTTGGGAGATCCAGCTGGCCGCCACAAGCAGAGCATCGTGTGACGTTGAATACTCGAGGATGCTCTGGGTCTGTCAGCTCTGAGACCTGCTTCAGCTTGGCCTCCGTCTCGTGACGGTAGGAGGTCGTCCACTCTTTGTCCTGTGCAACTCATGTGTGAGTATTTAAGTGGCGGAGGAAGATCGAAAACACACGGATTGGATCTCCTGGCGAGCTATCTGGATCCGAAGCATGAGCCAGTCCTTGACCAGGCCGACGCTGGCAACATCGTTTCGCGACAGCACTTGGATAATGCCGAGAGGTGTAGCGATATTCTCTTGCTCGATATGGCCCAGAATGCTCTGGACGTCCTTCTCGTGTCTGGCGAGCAACGCTGCCGAAGACGTGAGGTATCGCAGCACGACCAGATATAGCTGCGGTCGGTCTTTCCCGTATTCTGCAACGAGCCGGACAACATGGTCGGATGCGCCGTCCTGCTCCGAGTCCATCCAGAACCGCAGGACATCCTCGAACATACCCATGCGCTCCCACAGCAGAACCAGCCCGTCAGTGTAGCCCTGACTTGAGCAGAGAATCAGGGCGTGGGTTGGGTCGTACGGTAGTGTTTTGCTCTTGAGCACCTTGAGCGCCTTCTCCCGTAAAGATGGGGACGCCAGATACAATTCGAGAAGAGTGTTCCATACGGCGATCTGGTCAGGTCGGTCGTCGCGAGTAGAGTCGTCCTCAGATGCCGGTGTAACCGCGAGATCGTCGATGCCATCCACACTCTGGTCCCACCGTCGCCGGGCCACGGTCTCGAGGAAGACGACGAACTGCTCCATGTGATCCACAAAGTGGGCAAAGTATAGCCGAGGTGAGAGCAGTTTCGGTAGTGTCTTCAGTGTCAACTGCCTCTGCGATGAAGCAGCGGTGTTGACAGGCGGTGTTTGAGGAGGTGTATCGGACGGCGACTCGTGCACCGAGTCCCGACGCGACGGTGGGTCACTTGGTTTGACGGTCTTGATCGACGGAGACGGTGGAGGAGGAGGCATGTCCAGTATCACGGAATTCCGATTGCTCAGCGCGAGGTACGAGAGATATGATGGTCCGCCTGGACCACCAGAGAAGATGGCCTTGGTCGACGAAGCAGTGTTGGGTATCTCCTCTTCATTTTCGACCTGGATCGGCGTTCCGGACGTTGTGCAAAGATCAATCAACAGATCTGTCGTCCGTTCCGGCAACTTCTCCAGCATAGCTCTCCCGTAACGAGCAAGATTGCTTTCAGCCTGTCCGCCCCAGTCAGGAACATGCTTTCGAGCTGCACGTGATTGGACTCACTGCATCTCCGCCCAGCGCTCTCAGATACTCCAGTGCTTCCGAATAGTTCTGCTCGTCTTCGATCTGTATCCGCAGATAATCCTCGTGACGTTCGTACTTCTTCGCCAGGTATGCTGCGTTGGAAAAATAGCCCGCCTGTCTGCAAACACGAATCGCAGTGTCCAGATCGAACGGCAGCTCGTCCTTCTCGCCAGTGGCAGAAGAGACTCGGCGGGACTCTGTCCGGATAAAGCTGTCCAGACTGTCCTTATCCTTTAACTTGGTGTAGGCGTTCAACAAAAGTGTCGTATGATCTGAATTGGCCCGGCCCAGAGAATGGAGCTCGCGCAAGTAGGTGACCAGATTATGTATGCGCTGCGCGTCGAGGAACTTGCGGATGATATAGCTCGGCGCGACCCATCCAATAGTCTTGGTGTATTGGCCCATAGCTCCATCCCAGTTGCCCTTGTTATAAAGATGGTCGCCGTACTGCTTGTGTATATCCGACACAGTTTCACTGAAGTCTTCCAAGCCCTGTGTCTTCGCCAGATTGAGTGCGACGGGGAACATCGAGCTTCGATACAACATGTCGAGCTTAGCGGGAAAGGGCTTTTCAAGCAGTTGCGTCAACTGGAACGCGGGCGTCATTCAAAAGGGCAAAACGGAGAGAGAGCAGGTAGGTCATACACTTCCGTCGCTCCCCAAAACATACACTCCTCCCCATTCTGGAATAGAGATGATGTCTCGTACACCTTGAGTGAATGTCCCACTGTATCCCACGATCTTGTTTTCCGGATCGAATATCGACACCCGCGTGACTTCAGTGTCGCTGGAGTTGTTGCGTGCAGCGAAATTCCTGACCGTGCGGAAGGCTGCAGATGCAGTGGGCGTAATCGGGGGCGACACGATGACCAAGTAGTTTAGATACGATTTGATGAAGGACTTGTGTCCTTGCAATCGGTGAGTGGAATATCGGATGACATGTCGCGGCAAAGTCACCTTCGTATGCATAGCAAGCCCCGCGACTTTCGGCCCCGCAAACGTAGATGGCCTCTTCTCGGCTACGACCACATCGTGCCCCCTCCAGTCCATGGCAGCACAGCCCAAACCACATCCTACATCGTCGACGACGGTGGCCTTGCCATTCCCTGAACCAGACACCTGGTACGAAAGAACGCGGTTGGTGGTGACAACGAATAGTGTCTTTGAGCTCGAAAACCCCAGTCCGGTGATAGGTTCGCCCGGTGATTCGTGTACGGTGCGCGGTTTGGGGATAGCAGTATTATTGCTGACAGACTGATCGAGGTGGCGGTAGAGATACACTGTTCCGTCGGCGAATCCAATTGCGAGATGGGACAGGGTGGTCGACAGCGCAATGGTACAAACCGGATGAGGTTTGTTCAGTTGGATTTTCGTCGAGCGGATGAGCGGTGGTGCTACTGTCTTCTTTTCCAGGTCCCAGATCTTAAGCATAGGTGCGCGTGAGGACCCGTCTTCCTGTCCGCAAGTGGAGTCAGTCATAGCGTCCGCTGGTAAGTTCGCGCAGACGCACTCCGACCGTCACCAGCACCCCATTCCGCTCGGCCATATGCGTGACCCTCCCACCATCATATGCAATCCATGCACGCTGCGTCTCGAATTCGCGACTGAGAGTGTGCACGGTGCCGTAGATGTCGGCAACGAGTACGCTGGTGCTGGAAGAGATGACAGAGGATATTTCAGGAGTATTCTTGAAGACTTCTGGCGACGCGTTCAGGTCGTGCGCGTCCTTGACAGGTGCAGCATCGAAGAAGGAAAAGTTGCGCCACTATTAGCAGTGTCATGCCTGCACAGTATGAATATAATGAAGCGGCTTACTGCTGGGGCAGCAGGAGGCAGCGAAGACATGAGTAGCTGCTCAGAAATCTAAAGAATGAAGAAGATGCACGCTCTCCTCATCCAATCACGCAGAGGATGTGAGGAGCAAGGTGCTACACTGTGCGATCAGATTACGGCTGTCTGCTGACGAAGCTGATTTAGTATGCATTGGTCGAAATCGGCTTTCTTTCCGCACCACCAACGCGCGCACTCACAGGATTCGGAACCTAGAGCAATAACAAAGACAATGTCGCTCCTAAGCCTTCCGCCGGAGATTATAGAACACGTCCTCGTCGAAGCGGTGATCGCCGGGCACCCCAACTCTGTTGCTGCCGCCTCGTCCTGCTGCCGTTTCTTGCACAATTTGGTGAACGAGATATGGCGGGAGCTGTTCCTCTGTCTGTTTGACGATCCACGCACCCTCCAAGCAATCAAGGACTCCGCCGGTCAATCCACACCGGCCAACTCCACCCGAGCGAACCCATTCGATTGGACCACATTCACAGCCCGTATCGGTGCTGCTAATAGTCTCAGGAGCGGCAATGCAGGTGCAGACTTCAGGGCTCTCATCGATACTGTACACACTGCGGCGCCGAGTTCTCCTGTCCGGTCCGACCCCACTCCGCGTCGCTCTGTCGTCTTACCCCCCATCCTTCGTACTCTCACTGACAGTCCCAAATCGAAGAGTCTGGTCTGGATTGAGGAGATCCTGTCGGAAGGTCTGCCGGCGCCGCTCATCTATCGGCTCTTCAATCTGTTCAATTCCGACGGATCAGAGTTCTCACGACCCGACTTCGAAGACACCGTACAGGGAAAGGCGTTCAGCAAGCTAACGTTCCTTGCGGGGATGCACTTCTCTGACGACGAGGCCGCCTCTTCTGCAAGAAGCATGGCTCGGAGCCGTATCTACAACACGAAATACCTGATGTCAGAGAGATGCTGGGGGCCCTTCGAACCGATTGACCGCTCGCCAGACGCCTACTCCTGGCGGTTGCGGATGACGGGCACCAACTCAAATATAAAGTCGAGCCGAGTCGCATCTAACGAAAAGCAGCCGGCTTCCGAGACGTCATCTCGGAACATAGCCCATCCCTCGTCGATTGTGATAGGGCCCGATTTCTACACGGACGATGGTTCTGACTACGAGCCCGATTCCAACGTTTCAGACGAAGAATCCGACGACTCGGACTCTGATGATGTGATGGCCACCCCGCATTTTCTGCAGTTTCTGTCCAGCCATGGGATTGATTTTACGGACGTGCGGACGCACCCAACATACGTGTTTCCTGCGCCACACCGGGTAGTGCCCGACTACGCATTCCTTGCGGCGGCGCGTTATCTGATGGAATGCAACATGCGGGAACGCTTCGAGGCTGAATTCGAGTACTATCGCGATCTCTCTGCAGCCAGCGAGGCTGCAAAAGAAGTCGGTCTCGAGCCTTGCGAAGTGGTCGATGCTATGCAGTCGTTGGACCTGACAAGGATGGGCGGGGCTCCCGGCTTTTGGGATGTTTGGCGTCCAGAGATCGACGAGGAACATGTTCTTGAGCAGCTTTCGCCTGTGGACCAACAGCAACACGCACCTGTAGACAAGGGAAAGGGAAAGGCTAGTGCTGCGGAGGTCGTCGAGGGATGGGACTGGGCTGGAGTAGAGGGCGAATGGAGGTGCGCCATATCCCATGATCAGATATGCTCCGAGCTCATCCCTTCAGACGTGTCGTTTGCTGGCTTGACTACCGGGATCTCCTGAGTAATCGTCATCCAGACTTGTTCTGTATTGTTTTAACAACCAACAGTGCACAACGTCGACCTATCGCATGCCGGATTCGCCAGCTCTTCTGCAGAGGACGTGCAAGAAACCATTCGAATCTTTCCGACTTCGCTGCGAGTCTCCCACTACTCGAAACCACCCAAGCCGCCGCCCGGTTCGAATCCAAATGACCTCATATGGCGTCTACCGATCATTCACATTATCGGTGAGTCGTGGGGCACCGACACCGAAGAGGCCAGCCGCCGCAGCGTCGAAGGGACTGTCAGGATGATCGGTGATGGGTGTGTCCGCTGGAGCATGGTGCGCTCACGAGCAGTCGGACGTGACCAAAGAATCTATTACTCATGTCTCTCACATCAGGTCTCCAGCGAAGCCGCGGGTGCAGACCCAGAGTGGGCCACCGAATCGGTCCAGGTAGGGGAGATCGGAAGTGCTGCTGGCATCATCGGGCTCTGGACAGGAGCTGAGCACACAAGCACAGATCCGCTGGGTATGGCCCAGTCTTCATCCGTCCCGAGTATATCGCTCACAACTGTTGCAGGTCCTTGTTGGGCCTGGAAAATTGCCTGACGACGTCTAAACGGTAATAGCTCACATGTAATAAGTATATTTAGAAGTTGTAAATCAGTATCTCGGGAATCATACAGTGCTCGATGAACTTGATGTCGGCCGAAGATAGCGACGGAGACACGGGGGAACAGAAGGACACCGGTTGCCCAGATGAAGGATCGCTGGAAATACTTCGCTGGAGGTGGTAAATGAAAAGGAGCTGAGGGAGCGTTAGAGGGAAAATGTAGAGAACGACAAAAAGAATCATTAGCCCACCGCGAGGGTCGAACTCGCAGCCTTCAGATCCCGCCTATAAGAGTCTGACGCTCTATCCGATTGAGCTAGGCGGGCTGATGTTCCTGAATATTCCGACAGTTTATAATAGACTTTTCATAATTAGGTTTGCTTACAGACTATCAACGAAGTCCGCTCGAGCACCAGATACCCTCTAGTTGATAGTCCAGTCTGGCACTCCTAGCTATAAGGCGTATCCATAATGGGATAAATTGCTCATGGCTTGTGTTGCTCGGCCTGAGCGCCAGTGTCGGCATCGTTGGCAACCCCCGTGCATGGCGCGGGCTATATTCCCCGCCGATAGTGATCACTGATCATGATACGCAGCCGACAAGGCTGTGCGATATCCCTCTTTAACTACCTTTCCTCACTCTTGCAAGGTCTGACTCGCTCACACACGCATATCACGCCCGCACGATGTCGATGCCACCGAACACGCAGCAGCAGCACCAGCACCAGCAGCAATATGCCCACACACCCGTGTTCGATGACTTTGGGAGCACTGATTTCGACAAGGGGTTCGACTTTTCGTCGTTCCAGAGCCCGTCGGACGTGCTCGCGCCTCACCCTGATCTCTTCGAGCTCGAGCTGGATACAAACTTGGCTGATTTCGATGCGGACCAGCTGCAGCTGCTCACGGTTGACTCGCACGATGCATACTCGTTCTTCCGATCCGACACGCCCACGCGGGGCCCTGCGTCGAACATAACGGCAGCCTCCTCTGAGGGGGGCTTCGACTCGCTCTCCTCCTACTCTGAGTCTTTCTATAACTACCCGCATTCTCCGCAGCCCCCATCGAACTACTCCTTCCCACTCGATTTGGAAATGGACTTTCGGCGCATCACCGTTGATGCTGCGACTTCGGACTACGCAGCAGGTGTGGGGACTGATTCCGCAGCTTCTGCAGCCGCTGCGCTGTTCAGTCCCCCCATAGGGCATGACGCCGCTGGCCGCAGCACGGGAAAGATCTACTCAAAAGCAGGGCCGTACCGTGCTCGTTCGACGTACTCTGACTACGGTCCCTCGACACGGCGCCCCTCTGTCCCAGTCGACTTGTACGCACACCTGAACTTCAATCCCGCGAACATCCCTGGCTCCACCGTGTCCCCCGCCCATATCTCGTCCCAGCTGCCTGCGATCCCTGCTGGAAAGATGGCAGACGATGAAGAGTTGCACAGCGATGCACGAAAGAAATACAAATGCTCTGCCTGCCCGCGTGGTGAGTAATCTGCTGTGCTGCAGTGCGGCTGTCTCTGAGACGGTCCTCGATAGCCTTTGCCCGCGCATACAATCTCAAAACGCACATGGCGACGCACGACCCGAACCGCCTCAAGCCGCATGTATGTCCGCATAGAGACTGCGGGCGTTCGTTTAGCCGAAAACACGATCTGGGGCGACACCTTGTCAGCATCCACCGCGAGGGCTCGCAAGTTGACGGGTCCGTTTGCTCATCTCACCATTCCCTGGGATCTAAGAAGTCGATCGGCGTCGAACAGGGCACCAGAAGCTGGTGCGAGCGCTGCGGACGAGGACTCGTAGGACCAGCTGCCGACTGCGAATGCACATGAGCAAGCAGAGGCGTGCGTTAGATGGCCGTTCTTGTCCAAAGCTAGTTAGGTGGATGGCAGGAGCGGCGAGGATGCTGGCTGCTGGGCTTAGAGAATCCGCCGCCTGCTGTTGTGCGCCGACGCGCCAGCCTCTGGCCTGCTCGCTCGACATGTCTCGTTTCTTCCCGCTTTGGCATGCATGTATGCGTGTTCTTGGCCCCGCGACGATCGAGATCTCGGAAATTACTGTATGCGCTGTTGCGTTTACTGCGTCTCGTAAATAATTGTATGTCGGCTTTCAATCTACGATGTGGAATAAGTGATACTACCGCATGATCTTCTTGGAAGCTGCGGAGCTCGGCGCTTTATCGGGGGGCGGGCCTCACCACATGCATCCAACGCAATGCAGCATGCGCGCTGGTAGTTCTGCGAGCTGCGGCGCAGGCCGCAGGCGCGCAGCAGACAGGGCCAGCCTTGTGTGTGTCTCCATCAACAGAGTACCTGATCGGTGATCAACCCATCACGCATGCCAAGCGATCTCTCGGCAACGATCATTATTGCACACCGCCACTGGCCCACCAACTTCGAGCTGCACCTGACCGCGATTGCCCAGTGTTGCATGACGGACGAATCTAGACATTGCAGCTGAAATCCATGGCGCTTTTCGGCTCTGAGTCTGGCTTGCAAATCAAGTGGACCGATATCCGAGGCGCTTGAACGCCGGCGGTCCTGTTCTCTCACCTTCAAGAGGGACGCGCGCGGTGGCGCGTCTCGACTTTTCCGTGGATTGGATGCGGTTCTCTGGTAGTCTCACGCGGAACGTCCACGACGCGGATACTCGAGCCGCGCTCCTGACTCAACACCTCCTACGCGCACGCTAGACATGAGGGCTACCCGCACTGCATAAAAAGCATGCTCTGTCTGCATTCCAGCTCCTCACCCTTGTTACCTACGTTCATCATCCGCTCCTCTTCAGTCGAGCCATTTGCCATTTGCCCTATTATTCTTCTGTTATATTTGCTTATATTCGAGATGTCTGCCCCAGTTAAAGTGACTCAGTTCGCTGCCGCCGCCTCTCCGGCTTCGGTATGTCTTCTCCCGCCGGATAGTCTCCTCACTGCTGACGACGGTGATGAACAGGTCAAGGCACAGTCTGCACCCCCCGAGGTGAAGGGTCGTCGGAGATGTACCACGCAGCGTTCGCCGCTGGGTCGCTTCGCCCCCATCACTGCAGACTGGGTCTTGAAGATGAACAAGGAGGGCGGGGACGATGATGCGGTTGAAGATGCCGCGGATACGTCGATGAACCAGGTAAGTGCGGAACCCCTGTCTCACCTGACCGCGACACAGGTTAGGTTCAAGTTGATCGTGTGGGATGAGGATGGCGATGTCGTGATGGAAGATACAACCGAACGCACGGTACGTCTCTGGTAGCCGGTGCATTGATCTCGGCCCTCATCGATGCCCATAGGAGATGGAGATGGAGGCGGAACTCGACAGGGAGTTGGAGCTGGCCTTCTTCTCTCTCGGCCTGAATTCGGACACTTCGTTCGCGATCCCCGACGCCGACGAAGACTCGTTCGACGCTGACGAAGACTCGTCCGACGCCGAAGAAGATTCGTTTGACGCCGACGAAGACTCGTTCGATACGTCCACGCCTCCGCCAACGTGGGAAGAGCTGATGGTCTGGGATGCCGATGCCGATGCCGCTGCCGATGTGGACGCCGCCGACGAGTCTCTCTCTTCCTCGGAGCCGTTCCTGCTCGCGCTTGACTTCTCCCTGTTCCCGGGAACTGATTTGCCGTCGTTTGCAGACCCGTCGCAGCTCGCGTGCTCGCCGTCGCCGTCGCCGTCGCCGTCGCCGCTATCGAAGCCTATCTCTGCCGCCGAGTGGGATGAGGTCAGGAGCTCGTATGTGTCCGTGCATGACTCTTTCAGCAGCCTCGTTTCGTACCCGTCCCTGGAGTATGGCCTGGACGTGTTCGCGCCTCCTCCACCTCCTCCTCAGTGCGATTTCAAGATGTTCAAGCTGGATTTCAACTGCGATGTTCCTGATTATGTCGTTCCCGAGGTCCTCGACACCTCCAAGGATGTCGAAGAGGTCGAAGTTTCCAGAGTTTTCGAAGTCGTTGATGAATCTTCAGTCGTTGATGAATCCTCAGTCGTCGATGAATCCTCAGTCGTCGATGAATCCTCAGTCGCCGATGATCCTCCTCAAGCTATTGAGGTAGCCCAGACTAATGCACACCCAGCTGCCGATGTTGTCGAGTCCGCCGGTGTTCCCGAGTCCGCCGATTCTACCGAGACCTCCGATGTCCCCGCCATTACCGCCCCCGCCGCCCCTCCCGCTGCTGTTCTTCTGCCAATTCAGCCAGTCGTCGAATGTGATATCGTGATGGAGGACGACACACAGGTTACCCCTGCCGGACGCGACTGCTTTGATCTAATGATTCGAGACATCCTAGCCAAAGATCGAGCTTCCAAGCCGAAGAGGAAGAGAACCAGGAAGCCTAAGCGCGTGACAGTACCAGCTCACCGAATGATCCTTTCAGCTCTCCGGGTGATTCCCAGGACATTGAGGATAACATCGCCTTTGGCAATGCGTGCGCCGATTTCTGCTGAGGACTTGGAGGACGATGATGAAGAGGAAGTGCGTTGTTTCGTATCTATGTCCAAGAATGGTGCTGATTATGTGCAGCCGACGCCCGGCGCCATGTCTCCGACGCTGGCCACCAGTTGGCCAGCTCCTGCCGAGGAGGAGGATGCGCCCACTCTTGCATCGACTGCCGGCGAGGTTCGTAGTGCCCGACTACTGGTAGTTCGTATTGACCGGATCCCAGACGCTCGGCGGCCTCCCGAGTACCACCTCATCTCTCGACATCGCTGCGCTCGCACGTGGATCTTCGACGTCCCGCAAATCAAGCGGCCTCGGTCTCGGTCGCCCATCCACCCCGTCCTCGTCTGCGGCCGGCTCCAACTCAACAGACTCGGCCCGCGCCCCGATCGCCTCGCAGACGTTCACACAGCCGACTACTCCCTCGACATCGTCTCGCCCCAAGACACGGCATCCCAGCGTGCGACTCCGGATCAGCTGCCACAAGCGCTGCTACTACATGGCCAAGAACGCCGCGCTCAAGATCAAGGTTGAAATGCAACGCGTGGGGGGGATGGCATCTCCGACATCAGCATCTACGGTGACGACTGTGGCTACGACATCGACATCGACTGCGGTCCTCTCCAACTTGAAGTTCACGTTTACCTGGCCGCGCGTCCTGGGCTTTGCGGACTGTGTGTATCGGGTATGGAACTGGTCGGCCTCGGCAATCGGGTTGTAGGCAGGGTGGAGGAAAGACGAAGAAAATCGGAACGATTGACCCGCGGCGACGATCCATTCACTCACTGAAGGGCAACATTTTTGAAAATCTAAAAAAAACCGCGGGATGGAAGCCATATTCGGAAGAGAATGCCAAGAGGATTCGCTACGGCTGAGCCTCACCTTTCATGCACGATTCATTGCTGACTTGAGTTCTCAACAGTGCCCACGCTCGAGGACTCCTTTTTCTTCTTTTTTGCAGTGACCGGTGCTGAGGCTTGCGGCACGGCAGACGCGACCTAGCCAGTCCGGCGTTGGTGTTTAGCTCGCTTTCGCACAGAGACACGATCTGACAAGTCGTCCGTCTCTCGTTGAATTCTGGGGGTGCATAGTCGCGGGCGTCGGCTCGTGCAGTTTTGCGGGATCACTTCGAGTTCTGGGGGCTATCAAAGACGCGACCTGACAAGTCGTCGTCTCGAGCAGTTTTGCGCGAATTCTGGGGGTTATCAAAGACACGATCTGACAAGTCGTCGTCTCAATGAGTTTTCTGGGCTTTATTCGGGTTCTGGGGGCTGAAGACACGGCCTGACAAGTCGTCGTCTTGTCCAATGTGCAGCCTGACAAGCTGCGCGGCGGCACACGATATGCAACAGACGCGTCCCATGGCGTCTCGGCGGTGGCTTTGGCAAGTCGCTGCCAAAACCGACTCGGCTCACTTCGGTGGCCCAGTCGCAAAAAAACCGAAATCGAGTGTGCATTGAATTTGGCTTGGAATCTGGATCTGGCAATCCGGGTGTCCGTTGTGGAGGGTGGTCAATCTCCCTCTGGATTAAGCCAGTTAAACGTGCTCTCGATATCTGTTTATGGGCTCATCTGCATCGGGACGCCGATGCAGATGGGCCCTTTTTTGCGTTCAGTGCGTTCAGCCACGGCCCGATTAGGAAATATCATCTGCATAATGTTTTTTATATTAGTTTCCGTGCAACACAGCCTTTGATCAGAGGACATCCGATAACCAGATTGTGAACGCATGGACCCATAAACTCTCGACGCGGTCTATAATAAACGAAAATGCGTTCGTGGAGAATGCTGATTCAGACAGACTTGCGTTTGTATTCGCACGAATGGGATTGGATTACATGCGCTGTGCCTGTGTGAAAGTGTCTAGACCTCGGCCAATCTTTACCATCTGGCTTTACTTTCTCTGACGTACCGACACGACTACGAGCGCCTATGAAAGTGTTCTATGTTGTTCATCCCTTATGTCATGGAAGAGAGGCTCGCTGCATATGCTTGCAGTGCAGACCGGCCGAGCAAGTCTGAGCAACCAGCAGATCGCTGGTCGACCCAAACTCTAACTTTATCTGCGTCGATTGCGGGGGCCCTGTTCTCCAGGGGGTGGGTCTCCATCGATGACTGACTGCTCGACTGATCCTGTGCGGATGCTATACTCACTCATCTCATCGAAGGCAAACCGCATTGCACCGTCACTCCGACGATAGCATTTTGGCTAGGGGCTTCTCCGCCGATGGTGCGCACGTAGCAAGCAGACTGGCGGACTGTATGATTCTCCAGCTGCCCGTGCGTGCATCCTATCCAGAAGGTCCCCGGTGGCCATTGACTGCAAAGACACCCTTCTGATGATCGACCGAACCTAGCGTGCGAGACGCTCCGATGCTTGAGGCGAAACAGTCTGAGATGCCCCGGAGGCAAGCCAGATTGGCGTGGCTGGGTTCCTTGCGTGCGATCGAGTTAGGCTTCGCTGACGGGTCCAGTGTTGTCAGATCGCCGTGTGTTGCGTGTTGCATGGAGTGCCTGTGCCTGGCCGTGCGGATAGTATGCTTCATCGTCGTCCAGAAACCGTGGCCCGCGTCTCCGCGGGTTTCGTTTGTTTTCCTTGGCCTGACACTGTCCAGTGACGAACCACAGGACACCAGTGCAACTTCCACCCATCGGCCCGCGTGTCAACCTGCTCGCCGGAGAGATCTCGTCGGGCCACGGACGTTATGTATGTCGTATGTGAGGATCCCTGCTTCAAGTTTGGATGCCGAGTGTCAGGCCGCATGCGCTTGTTCGATCGCATGATGACATGGGAGTCCGACCTGCAGTCGTTTCGTTTCGAGCATTCTCGCGCTGGACGACTGCCTCGCTAAGCTTATGGGGTCCGTGTCAGGAACCACACAGACGCGACGGACAGCTTCAGATCTGATACCTCCGTCCACCCACCCCAATGCGCTGGACGCCGACCGAGATTGGTTTCTCTAGATCTGCTGCCGGGGCCACATGGTGGGGATGACGCTGGGGCCGCTGACAGGTGCGATGCTGGAGCCCGACATTCTGGATAAGATACTCAGCGCGGCTGTCCGATCGTGCCCAGTGCTCGCAACGTGGGGCCCGGCCAACACCTCGTTTTGATTCGGGTGTGTGTGGCGCGCACGTGATGGCGCGTTTCCGGGTTAGAAGACCTCCTGCCAGTGCTGATTCTGATTTGATTCTATGAGCCCAGGGCCGTTGTGCAAAACGTGCATATATCCAAGCGGGGGAAGATCCTGTACCCCCTGTTCAAGCCATGCCACGCTCATTCGGACAGACCGCCATTCCCGTGGGAACGTCGTGTTGGTGTCGGCTCGCTGGGATTGCAAGATCTGGAGAGTCAGCTGCGGAGGCGCGCAGCTCGTCTGCTGACCTTGTCCACTCCTGACTCAGCGGACTTCATCTTTGCCCGCGCGTCCTGTGATGAAGCCGTCTGCTTGTTTCCTAGGCGTAATTACACTGGGCCAGACACCAAGTTCTCGTGATCGCAGGACTGCGGCGGACCGCTGCTCGCTGCTTACTCAGTCTGATTCTTCACTGTTATCGCGGCTGGCGCTATGCTCGTGCTGCGGTCTTTTCCTATCACGGCTAGCAGAATTGCTTTGACCGAAGATGCCTAGCACATTCTGCACATGTTTGCTTGCTTTCTGCTCTGCTGCTAACAACGTGACTGCGATTGCTCTCTCTGGCTTTCTGCTTACGAAGGGCTGCTGACCGCTTGACAGAACTTCAGTCGATCAACTTATCAAGTCGTCATCAACGCCCGGGGTTTCTTCTTTAGGCAACTTTCTGTTTTGCTAATTTTGCCAGTCCGTGCTGCACAGTTTCGTCGGCGAGACTGCGCAGCAGAGCCAGAAAAGCTTCAACAAGCTCTTTGATGCGATTGAGATCCTTTCCGTGGCGGCAGACCCATGCACCACGACAGGCAGCATGCAATGTCCTTTCTCGATTTGTGTGGTGCTCGCAACGGGCGATTGTGGTTCCGCTGAGAGTGGGGTTCCATTCCTGCGTTGATTATGCTCTATTAACACCTTCAATTACAGACCTGCTTCCGTGACCTGGCACGTAAGCCCCCTTGCCACGGCAGGGGCAGTAGTACGCTGAGACGCCCAGGTCACTCCACTCGGTGGATCGATCTTCAGTGGCGCATATCTGCTTTTCCACGGCTTTCTGCGTCTCTATCGCGGGTGGCTCCGTCTACATCTAGTCCACCAGGGCCAGGCGTCGTTGTGCTCGCTGCGGTGCAGATTTTGCCGCCTCCACCACCAGTCCGCTCATCTCCACCCACCGTGCTTCCGAGCCTAAAAGGCGCATCTTCTCGAACGATTTTGGTGTTGCTTTCCAGGATGCGGACTTTACAGGCTCATCAAATACGTATCCTTGCTCAAGAATGGATCCGACAGACCGCCTTTTCCAGGATAGTCCAGCTTTCACGAACGAAATGGTCTGGATCCAGTGGCTCGCCCTGGGCCGTGATCTCTTCCGGACGCACATTGGTATCCACTGCTCCAATGAGACCTGGCATCATCATCGATACAGCAGCAAGCCGCGTGTTGAGAGAATGTCACTGATCAGAACCCGCTTGCCACAATCGGATTGCAAGGGGGATAAAGTTACGATGAGCCGGGGATGCGAGGCTTTGTCGACGAGATAGGGTTCTCGAAGGCAACTGGTGCCTTCTCGGCGCGAGAATTTCGCTGAATCGTACATGGACGTCGGAGGGGAGATTTTCAAAGTGTTGGGGGACTGGGGATGTCGCGCTTGGGCACGCGACAGGCTTGACGCTGATGGCTCGGGGCACGAGGCGTTCTCCCACTTTTCGCGGTGTTGATCCGAGCGGAGGTAAATGAGAGCGGGTGAGCGTTGACTAGTCAGTCGTGAGTCATGGCAACGCGCGGAAAACGCGTCGACTGCTCCAACGGCTCTGCAGGACCAACCAATCTGACCAAACACAGGTCGGGAGGCCAGGTCTGACTGTTCGGACAGCAATCACAATTCGCACAGCATGCCGTTAACTCCGTCCCGTTTTGCAGCGTTCAAAGCATGTTTCTCTGCGCGTATGAGACTGAGACCAATGTAAACCAGAGCGATAAACCGAGATAAGTAAGATAATTGAACATGGGGACCGAGCCCAACCATGAAGCGTTTGGCGCCAGAAGATCGATGAGGTGCCGCTAAACAAAACGTGTTGCCAACTGTTTGCCTTGCAGCCTCCAGCCTCACCACCTTCTTCCATTCTTCCCTCTTAACCTCACATCCCACCATCTCCCTCTCCCCGCTCCCCCACCGCCGAGTTACGACCTCACGTATAAACTATCTATACGCAACCCCATCTACTTCAAGCTGATTATTCTCATCGTCTTTATTCCTCGATCATTTGGGAAAGGACGGGGCCTTTAATTAACGGGTGCTTATCTTCCTCACCGAGCACACCGTGTCTCCTTCTGACGCGTATCCTATCTTTGATTCATGCAGCATTAACGACTTTTTCATCCAACGCTCCCGAATCCAGTCACTCTCACGAACGGCGCGCACGCTTGGCCTGCTACGAAAACGAAGGTGAATCGTCATTAGAGGTGCGCTTGTTTCTCGGCCTTGTGTCCGCCACAGTGTCGCTGACGTCGTGCGGTTGCATTCGTCATCTCCACAGAATAGGCCTCTTGGTGACCAACCAATCCATCTACCCGGCCTCGTTTCTAAAATCTCTCTTTCAATCCGCCCCATCCTCATGTCTGCCCATAACGACCCTACCATGACTTCCGATCCAACCACCGCGAATCCCAGATGGCGATTCAACAATAATGGTCAATTGGTGGACTCCCAGGCTGAATCAGCCGAATGGGACCTCGCTGACGAGATTGTTCGCCTCAAAATTGGTGAAGTCTCGGCCGATTCAGAAGATATCCCCATTCGCACGCCCCCAAAGTCAAAGCTTGGCTCGGCGCAGCTTGTAGAAACAAGTCCTCTGGACACGGCATCCATCCCGAGTGTCAACTCTTCTCCGCTTGCCTCCGACCACATCGGCGTTTCGCATTCGCGCGGCTCCTCGACCGACAGTACGGTCTCTAGCTCGCAAGACTCTGTCGCGAGTAACACTATGGTGGCGCCAATCAAGGCCGAAGCGGTGAACGGCGGCATTGGCGCCGGTGACCTCAAGGAACGCCCCCATTCGTTCAGCGGCGGGTTGTCCACTGCGGAGTTACGTCGGTTGCAGCAGGTCGAAGATGCGTCGGAGGGTGTCGATGGCACTGCCCAACAGTGGGCCTCGATGCCACAGCAGTTCGCACCCGAACAGCAACCTCTGTACCCTTCGCTTTCCGGAAACGGTGCAGCTGTCCATCGGCCTCCCCCCTTGGGACCCGCTCAGCTATACGACTACCGAACCGGAGCCTTGCAGAATGCGCCTAGTCGCGAGGACCTTCAAATTGACTACAACATGCAGTCACAGCAACGCAATTTCTCCCCGGGATCCCCAGGGTTCATGCCCGGACGTCCGAACAGCGGTGTGCCAGGCATGGCTTATCGCCAGGCACCTCGAGGGTTCCCACAACCCGGGCTCGTTCCAAGCCCGACTGCGATGGCGTATCCCCCCGGCACCCACGGCCCGCACATGTCACTCGGCAGCTCGCAGCAGCTGTACGAGATGATGCTCCCTGGACACGAATCACACCATCCGGCTGTCTCCCGTGTCCAGCAGCAGCACAACGTTTTCCAGGGCAGACACCACCACTCGACGTCGGACCCGTCTGCGCTCCGGGATGCGGCGGCGCTGGCTTTGCTGAACAGCAACATGCAGGCGTTCAATGCGAATATGTTCCCGGGAGGGATGCCGCCTCCGGCTGGGATGCCAATGTACAACCAGTTCTATGCTGCGCCAGAGGCCTACGGGCGTCCGGATGTTGTGACGGCCCAAGCGATGGCTCGTCTCCAGGCGCAATACACTGGGCCGTATGGCATGCCGCCCTCGATGGGCATCCCCACGGATGGAAGCCTGAGTCCTGTGGGCAGTGCCAATGGTCAGGGACCGAGCGCCAACAACCGGAAACTGGGGCTTTACAAGACTGAGCTGTGCCGCAGCTGGGAAGAAAAGGGTTCTTGCCGTTACGCGGGCAAATGCCAGTTTGCTCATGGGGAGGAAGAGTTGCGAAATGTTCAGCGTCATCCCAAGGTGGGTCCGTCCTCGGATGTTGTGGGCTTGTGTTGACTTGTCTATTCTAGTACAAGACGGAGATCTGCAGGGTTTGTTTATTTGCTCTGCCCTTCTCTCACCGATCTGATGACCATTCAGACCTTCTGGGTTTCGGGGTCGTGCCCCTACGGGAAACGGTGTTGTTTCATTCACACGGAGCTTCCGCCTTCTGGCGAATCAGTGCCCCCTCCGCCACACGCTTCTGACGGACGGGCACGATCCATGAGCACGAACAGTGATCCGAATGAGGGCTCTGTCTCGATCCTGACACGAATCAAGCGAGAACCGGTAGCACAGATGGCCACTCCGACACCGACAGAAGCAACCCCTACTACGGCATTCGCGTTCTCTCGGCCGGCGACAGGATCTCTCAGGGTCGACACGTCGGTGGACGGCTCATCGCTAAAGCAAAACAAGTCCGCCTATCCGACGTTTGCGAGCAACGGGGTCCTGATCCATGCACCGGAGCGCATCGGTTCGAAGTCGCCTGTGCCCGTGACTGCGGGACCGGATCTGGGCCGGCACAACAATGCCAGGATAGAGATTGTTGGCTTCAACCAGGTGATTGAGGGGCTGTTCTATTTTGTGACTACGGTCTGACAAGAGAATTGATTTAGCGATCCAAGGCGGCCACTGGATCCAATACTGCCGTACGCCCAGGAACTCCCCCGTCGAGCTCTGGCGGCCGGGTCAATGGACATGTCAGAGCAGGTTCCGCTGGGAACTGGGGCAGCTTCTCGCGGAGCTCCCACCTCGGCTTTGGTCAGTCCAGCCCGTCGACAGAAGTGGGGTCTTCGCCGTGGTCAACGACTGAGCTTGCCGTGGGATCGTCGCGGCTGCATGAGAAGGCCGCCTGGGCTTGATCAGCTGCCGCTGCTGCTCAAGCTGCAGCGGAGATTCACCACCGCTGCCTCGAACTGATTCTGACCTGTCTTCTTGATTACGACTGCCGCTTGGTTCGGACATTCTTCTAGCTCTGCTTGCTTTCCGGGCTCTTATCTCTCGCATGCAAACATCGTCCACTCGCATACATGTTTTTATTTCTCAATCAATCTCGCGTCGCCAGTTTATTCTTATCCTGTCCAGTAAACCACTAAATAAAAAAGTAGGGCTACAACTACAGATCCTGTAAGATCAGCATAATACAATCAGTATGCGTAGTAGTCTTCCATCCTCTACAACCCAAAATTAAGTCACAGGCCTAGCGTCTTGAGCGCAACCCGGAAAGCAGTCATCCTGGCCTGCGCGTACTTAAGATACTCGAACTCAGGCTCGACGATCTGTCCCTCGACGTCCTCTCTGGCCTGCACGATGCCCCAGACAGCCCACCACGCGTGAGACGCTGCGTTCCACAGCTGGACCTGCTCGTCGAGGCACGGCAGCCGCTCGGAAATCTCGCACTCGGACAATTCCTCTGCGCTGTGCTCGAGGTAAGCGCGGTAAAGATTGTAGCGCTCCGATTCCACCGGGTACCGGCTGAGATCGGGCAGGTGGGGTGTGTCGCTGTGGTAGTTGAACATCCACTCGTTCCAGTGATTCGCGAGATCATAGGCGGCCGGGTTCGGTGCTGCATATTCGAAGTCGACAACAATGAGCTGGGATAGGAGCATCTCGTTAGTCAATCGACTTCTGTCCAGTCAAGCCCGGACGTACCTGACGATGGTCGGGAATCTTCTTCTCCTCCGTCAAGAGCAGCAGGTTTCCGTACTGTGTATCGTTGTGTGCAAAGACACGCCGGCTCCCTTTGGGCAAGTTTTCCAAAGAGGAGAGCCGGGACATGTACAGATCCCACTCGGTCTTGAATCGAGGAAAGTCCAGTTCGCTGCGCAGGGCAGCCGGGAATTCGGCCAGGGCAAGGACATCGTCAGCAGGGGCGATCCAGGAGCGGATATTAGCCTTGACTGCAATCTCCCATCCCTTGCCTTCGATGGCTTCGATGTCGACAGAGTGGAGATCCGCCATCCGAGCTCCGATCCAACGACTGATCTTGGGATCTCGGAGGTCTGCCGCAGTTAAGGTGGTGGACTCGAAGTACTCTTCTACACGGCCATTAGAAAAGGTCCCATACACGCGGGGTCCAAAACGGTATCGCGATGATAACATGTGCAACGTGTGAAGTTCGCGCGGGCGGGAGATCAAAGACCCTGAAGATGCCCCATAAATCCTGAGCAGCACGGTGCGGCATCCGGCGCGTGTGGAAGACACAAAGAACACGGCATTCGTCAGAGACCCCGACACTTTGAAGATGGATACATCGTCAGCTGAGATGTCAGCGGCAGTCCAGGTCGGAACCTTGAGCGATCGCAGACAGTTCAGGACCTTGGTGGCGAATGTTGGCTGTTTGTAATGTCTAGAGAAATGTGCATGAGTGATGGATCTCGACGATGGTGGTCAGACGAGCAGACCAAACCATGGCCGTAGTCAGACTGCTGTCCGTTCAGCGTCACCAGAGCTGCCCGGGTTCTATCGAGTGGTATGGAACTGTTCTCACCTGGCATCCAGTCTGATTTCGGTGTGTCGCAGTCCTTCGGCTTTCACGACCTCCTCGTCCCCCTCGGCAAGAATGATAGAGGAAGAGGAGGCTGACAAAGCACTGGTAAGCATTCCAGCCACAGTATGCAGTGACGTAGTGGATCTTTGTTGGGTGAGCGAGATGACGGGAGAGTTCATGAGAGACATGGTCAAGGCCAAGCAAGAAGGCTTCGCTCACACGACACCTTTCGAAAACTCCAAATGATGGCGTCACCGATACGACATTGGCATTTGATGTGACAGTCAATGTGACATGAACTGACTTGGCGGCATCACTCGTGGCTTATCTTTCGCTGTGTACCTCCGTAGTCCGGACGCATTAAATCCGCCAAGTTGCGCAATGGGTCGCAAACGAGATGCAACCTATCTCTCGCTTCTCCGAGCAGCGCGTGAGACGATCGGGCCGCACGGACTTGCAGCCCGACTTACTCGAATGGTGGTCTCAGTGGCCCTGCCTCTAGTCGAGTCTGGCCCCCCGTTCGCGGTCTACGTAAGTCCGATTCGGCTGCCAAGAGACCCGCGGGACATCTTGCATGGCGAAGCAAGCGAGAAGTCCAAGCTTGCAGGCTGTAGTGATTTTGCAGCCCGATACTGTGACGACAGTGCCTTGTCGCGTTCCTTGGTTTCCCTGCGTTCGGACTGTATTGCGCAGTCTCCACCCTGCAACATATTCGATACTAGACTGATTTGGGATGTAAATCCGAGACTGGGAGGCGCAGATCACTCGGTTGATTGAGTCCGGATATCCTTCATTGACTCTGTAGAATACATGTTGATGGTACGGTAAAGTGGGAATTGCATGTCTGTCATGGCCGATTTGCGGAACGTCGCTAAGGGTTCCCTGATTCGGCAGATTTCTCGTCAGTTTGGATGACCGATTCGGGCCGTCTTCCCCATAGAAGGAGGAGCGACAGCAGCAAGGAGACACCAAGACAGGGTGTACAGAACGTCCAGACAGTCTGCAGCGACGATCAGTCAGCCGTGGATAGCGTTTGAACGGGACGGGATCATCACCTGGATCGATGTTGCGATGATATGCAAGATCTCAAGCTTGTAGGTCTGCGGCTGGAGATCTCGGAGACGGGAGAAGTCAAGAGATGTTCCGCCGCGCTCGAGCAAGTCAGATGGAAGCCGGGCATACGCTCTGGCATCAAAAATCGCGCCTGCAATGGCCTGAAGGAGATAATCAGTCGAGACAGTTCACCCCTCCGGACGAACCAGACACACCAGTCCGACAGTAGAGCCGGTAAAACGGACGAGAAAGAAGGCACTGGTGCCGGCCGCGAGGTCTCTCCGTTTGAGCGTTTGGATGAACACCTGATATGGGGCATGGAAAAGCATCCCGATGCCTATCCCAGCGACCAGCGGGACGACTTCTGCTATGATGGTCGATCTTTCGTTGAGCAGATTCAGCAGTCCTGCCAAAAGATGTTAGTCAATGGCGCACCATTCGATGGCTGAGAAGTGGGCCCACCGAATCCTACAGTTGCGATCAGCAATCCAACGGAGACGACCCAGCGTTGTCCATTGCTTGTCTGTGTCCGCCGCTGCCAGTAGTCCATGAACCAGGCAGCAGGCATCGATGCCAGGGACCCTCCAAGAGAATATGGCAACAGCTTGTAGCCGGCCTCGAGTGGCGTCGAATCGTTGGCAGCCTGGAAGATGCTCGGATCAAGCTCTTCGACAGCCCGGAACACAATATACCTGATAGAACAGGGCAAGATAGAAGGTCCCGGCGGTGAATGCAACGTTGTGAAAGAAGGTGATCCATAGAATGATGACTAGGGCAGTTGAAGAAGGGAAGGCAAACAATAAGAAAGGCGGCGCACTTGTCCTCAGATCACTGAAGGCGGCGGCTGGAAACAGGCAGTCTCGCTTTGTCCTAGTTTCGTATACCCCTCCACAAACGAGCGTGGCCAGTCCAAAGCAGATGAACGACAGAGTCGAGGGGGATGACCCTGTCGAACTTGTAGCGCAAGTCACGGGTGTGACGGGACGGCTTACATCCGTTCTGGGAGGCCAGACTGAATCCAACCACGATGAAACTGCTGCCAATCATAAACAAGACGCTGCATCGAATGAGCGTTTACCAAATGGGAGTAAAAAATTGAGCGTACAGCCCCAGGAAATCGAACGTGCGAAGGAAAGAATCCCATGAAGCATTGGGTGCTTTGCTCAGCGGCACACCGCGAAGCGCGAGAGCGATCACGGCGAAGCCGAAACATCCCACAGGGAGATTGAGATAAACTTAAACATGGTGACAAAGCGCCAAGGTTTTATCATCAACAAGCACTCACAACCATATCTCCAATTCAGGACGCCGGTGCTTCCTGGAAGGATCCCGGTCAGGTCTGAGCCAACGGCATGAATAAGCGAAGCTCACCGCTGAAGAGACCGCCCAGCAGCGGGCCAGCGACGGCGGAGCAGCTCCACGTGACGCTGAGAGCTTGAGACCACTTTGCGCGATCGCGAACGGCGACTATCTCTGCCGTGATGACCCAGACCGAGCCCACGATGCCTCCTGCGCCGCTTCCGGCGACAGCGCGAGCAGCAAGAAGCCTGGGGCGAGGCAAGTAAGAAGAGGCCGGTCATCGGAAAGTGGCCCAAGACTCACATGGGGACATTCTAAAGAGCGAGGAACGATTAGAGAACGGACTGACGTAAGCCAGATGATGACCGGACCTTGGACACGCCACAGAGCAAAGAACCCAGCAGAAAGACACACATGCTCGAGTACAGAACAACCTTAATGCACTCGTCATCGCGATTATGTGACGCAGGTTGCAGGGGCAACTCACCTTTCGCCCGACCAGATCTGAAATCCGCCCGTACAGTGGTTGCAGAGCCGTTTGTGTGAGCATATATGCGATGCCAACCCAGCCGTATTCATCCTGCGACATACGCATCTCACTCGCGATTGTCGGGAGACTGGTCGAGACTATCGTCTGTGGGTACACCGTGTCAAACGCTATAATAGACCTGCGAATCAGCTCGCTTACAGCATCTGTTGTTGCCAGAAACAGAGTCAACGCCGCACTAGCAGAAGATTATCAGCAACTCGAAGTACCAACTGTACGTCGCGTTTGGCACTAACCCGATATGGGCCGCAAGTAAGCGAAGCGTGGAGAGCTGGGGACATGTTGGGCCAAATTCATCGAGCGTCTCGGAGGAACAGGTATCGAGGCTGCGAATGGACGCTGGCTCAGGCTTGTCTTTCTCCACCGACGACGCGTCGTGACCGTGTATGGGCTCGGAGAATGTCTTGAGTGTGGCGACGGAGCACGTCGAGGAAGAGGGCTCGAGAGAGTGCGAGGGCGACAAGGCTGGGGACTGCATTCCGGCGAGCGCTGGTTTCCAAGGCCGAGCAGCGGTCGCGATTTATAGAAAACATTGTACAGCAGTAGACTGCCCACTGGCTTTCATCTCGATTTGCTCGGGTGACATTCGCCAGGCCGAATCTACGAAGAAGTGTTGCTGGATCTGGAGACTCAGATCTCATAGAGGCGAGCTCGCTTAGCGAGATCTCTTCCTCCGTTCCGACTGAATTAGGAGAGGGCAGCAGGCAGTCTGACAGACAATCGCAAAAGAACCCAAGTTAGATCTTACGGACTTCCGGAAAAATATAGAGCCTCGTTGCCTACCGAGATTTTGGCGTCGAGATCTCTGCAGTCAATGAGGATGCGTGTGTAGGACAGTGTAGGCATATTTTTTTCCTGGCCAAGCGCGGGGACAACGCCAGGGCCGCTGGCTCGCAATGTTGCCAAGTGGGCTAAGGCCCCGAAACGACTCGACGCTGCCAACAAGTTCTTCTGGCCAGACAGGGTCGGCAGCCGCAATGGCAGTTCCCCACAAGGAAATGCATTTGTTTGGATTCCTCTGCCCACTCTCGCTTGTACCACGTGGCAGCGCAATCCTCCCATCTCGCCAGGCACTGTGTGAGTGGGCTGTTTGCAGCGACTAATGAAGGGTGTAATGTAGTAGTTAGGTTACTTCTATGCTGTTGCCTTCCGCTTTTCGTCCTGTCCTGTTCGTTCGGCCTCTACAAGAACAACGTCAATGATCCGTGCGCAGCTCGAGACAACACACATGCCCCGAGGGAGGGTGAATCATATTCCGGTGAATTTGCGAACATGGCCCCAGGCTCGATTCAACCATCCCTCCTGTGGGCGAGTGAAAGAGAGCATACCATTGTCATCAGAATCGTCCTTGGGGCCATCCCTGCTCGTGCTTCGCCCCTCAATGTCGTCCGCGTACATTTGTATCAGTTCCCGCTGCCGAGAGGTAAGCGACCTGACATGCGTGGTTAGTGAGCTCAAAACAATGCCGTATTTCCGTCCAACCTGGGTAATTGCACCGAAAAGGCCACAAAGAGATCCCCAACGTCCCGTCCATTAGGTAACGTCACCCCTCGACCTTTCAGAACCATCTCTTCGTCTTGCTGCGTTCCCGACGGAACTCGCACGTCCACGTCCCCGTCCAACGTCGGGACCCGTACTTTGCCACCAAGCATCGCCACATGGATGGGGATCCGCGTCCGGTGATACAGGTTCTTCCCTTGCCGAGTAAAGTCTTTCGAAGGCGTAACGTGTATCCTCACGAGCAGGTCACCCGCGCTCCCCTTGCCCGATATTGGCGCATCCCCTCGTTGGGGAAGCCGCAGTGACATCCCGTCCTCGACACCTGTGCCCAACATCAGTCGCTGTTGAGCCCACAGGATGAAAAAGCGATAACGCACCAGGAGTTATGTCAACTTGCACGGTCGTCTTGGACCGAACCTTTCCAACGCCCCCGCAACTTCCACATTCCGAATTCCGAGGGACCGTGCTCCCGGTGCCCTGGCAGGTGTTGCATGTACTAGCCATCTTGAAGCCGCTGTCGATGACGAAAGTACGCGTTCCCTCGCCTTTACATGTCGGACAGGTCGAGCGCTTGGCACCAGGCTTCAGTCCGCTACCGGAGCAAGGGGCGCAGTCGACGACCGGAGTGATGTTGACCTTTCTTGATGTGCCCTTACAGGCTTCAAGGAAGGTAATGCGCACTGAGACCTCTAAATCACTACCCCGCGAAGCTTGTGCTCGAGCCCCGCCGAAGCCTTGGAACAGCTGGCTAAACAAATCCGACTCTTGTCCGGAAAAGGACCCATTGAAGCCGTGGAAGCCAGAGAACCCGCCGCCGCCACCGCCTCCAAAGCCTGAGAACGCATTTGGGTCGAAGCCAGCCTCCTGCGATGCCGAACCATACTGATCGTACATTTGTCGTTTAGTGTCATCCTTCAATGTCTATAGAAACAGGGTCAAATCGCGTTCACTTTGCGAATCTTTGCCAAACGCACATCGTATGCCGTTTGTATCTCCACAAACTTCTCTTGAGCACCTTTATCCGTACTCGTATCGGGATGATGCTTGCGGGCGAGCTGCTCTGAGAATCAGAAGAAGAAGATGTCGCGGAGTTCGAGTTACTGACCGCAAAGTATGCTTTTTTGATCTGTGCGGCGCTAGCGTCCTTGGCAACACCGAGTACATCATACGGGTTTTTTTGAGCCCGTAACGACGCGGAGGCGTGTATCGAGCGCTTGGTGAAGTCAGATTGTAGAAGTCGCGTTTCAGTGAATCACGCACCCGCTGCGTCGGCCGCGGACAAGGATACGTTATGTTATGAAGACATCTAGGGCGATAGAGGGAGAAGGAGCGCGCGCCCTGGGGACGAAGGGATTGAGAGCAGGAGTGGAGGGCCAGGAACGTAGAGAGTCCCTTTGAACACAGATGCGAGTGCATGTAGATTAGCAGGGACCGAGACCTAGAATACCGACGGAGGGAGAGAAACGCGTAAATTTTGAAGTTGCTGATGTTTGCTCCGATGATGGCGTAAATTGTTGGTCAGCGAACGTTCTCGTACTCTCACGACGACAAGGGCACAATCTGCTACGTTCTGCTAAGTGCCTGTGCGCGCTTTCCACCATGTCTTGCCATACGACACCAGGATTTCCTCGCCTGTGACGTAGTCAACATCGTCTGAGATCAAGTCACCGTGGACCGCGGCACCTTTCTTGATCATTCTCGTGCTCTCTATTCTTATCCTCAACTGGCCAACTCTATCCTCCACGAATGCGGCGTTGGCCCGTTCCTGAGCTGGTACGCCACGGTAATCATTCACGAATCTTGCCTGAAAGCCGTCAATCCCTAACAACGACCCAATTGTATGCGGAGACCTCATTCCCAACACGACTCGCGTCTATTCCGATGCTGACATCGTTGCTTCGGAATAACGAAAGATCGTAATCAGACTCTTCGCGTTCGTCGCAATGAACTTCGCCTGTTTCCCGTCGCTCATTGAGAGGCATATGGGAGCAAGAAACGAAAGCGTGCCAATGTAGTTGATGATGTGAGTGTTTGGGGGGATCTTTCTGGCGGTTTTCTTGGTAGAGCTTGGGTGCAGGTCTACTCTCCCACGTACTTGGTCGCAAAGAGCCCAAATTGGCCGCAAGCAGGATGATCGGAGTCGGATATTCGTTTGATTGCCACGGGCGAAGCGCGAGCGTGCAGTGGAACCGTAGTCTTTTCTCCTTCTATGAACTGGCGCAGTTCTCTTGATACATTAGATGCGTAGATGTAGCTCGCACTGTACTGAACATTGCCGGGCCAGTTGTGGGGTGGCGACATGAGAATTATCCAAATCAGGTTAGGGTTGGAAGACCGCGTTGGTCGTGTTGTGCAATCTGATTCTTGCCTCTCGCGCCCTTGTGCAGTGCTGTCGTTCATTAACGCAAGCATTGCTACCTACTTCGCGGGGTCGCTGTCCTTGTCCGGCCTTATCTCACCCCGAATCCACCGTGTCTACTCTACCGTCAGTCGCATGGGAAGAACACCCACAGTCACCTCCGTTTCTCGCGTTTATCCGGACGTAAACGCGAAACTCGGTACGCCTCAATCATCTGGGAATCGACTTCTGGAATAATCTTGGGCAGGATCATCTTGGCATGAGTACGACAACTTGCAAGTCCAATGGGGCTCGCAGGATCACTACGAGATTGTGCGGAAAGTGGGGCGTGGCAAATACAGCGAGGTTCGCCGGTCCTTTTTTTCTACCGATTCGACGAAACAACGTTCTCCAGGTCTTTGAAGGGGTGAACGTGGCCACGGAGGAGAAATGCATCGTTAAAGTATTGAAACCCGTGAAGAAGAAGAAAATAAAGCGTGAAATTAAAATCCTCCAAAATCTCGCTGGGGGCCCAAACATCGTTGCTCTATTGGACGTTGTCCGAGATCCCGCGTCCAAGATCCCAAGTCTGGTTACGGAATATGTCCAGAACATCGAGTTCAAATTGCTCTATCCTCGTTTCACGGACCTGGATGTGCGATACTACATGTTGGAGCTACTAAAGGTTACGACGATCCCATATCTTTACCTGTTTCTGACTTTCCGTCCAGGCTTTGGACTATTGTCACTCCAAGGGGATAATGCACCGAGATGTCAAACCCCACAACGTTATGATAGACCACGAACATCGGAAGGTATGGCAAGATCCAGTGGTCAAGTTCCGACGTGAACGATTTCCCAGTTGCGCTTGATAGATTGGGGTCTGGCCGAATTCTATCATCCCAAGGTTGGTGTGGTGCCTGTCCGGCATTCATGCAGCCAGGCTGAAAATAGAGTTTCTAGACTGAATACAACGTGCGCGTGGCATCGCGTTATTTCAAAGGCCCAGAATTGCTGGTGGATTTCCAAGAGTACGACTACAGCCTAGATATGTGGAGCTACGGGTGCATGTTTGCCTCGATGGTGCGTCCCACCGATGAGCTGTGGTATGTCCTTTGCTGAAACAGGCGTTCCTAGATCTTCCGGAAGGAACCCTTCTTCCACGGGCACGACAATTACGATCAGCTTGTGAAAATAACCAAGGTCCTCGGCACCGATGAGCTTTACGCCTACATTGACAAGTATAACATCCGTCTGGACCCCCAATACGATGAGCTACTGGGAAGGTGACACGAGCTGAGATCCTTTTCCACGACGGCAATTGACTGTGGGACAGATATCCTAGGAAGCCGTGGACACGCTTCATCACATCGGAGAATCAGCGATACATCTCGAACGAGGCGATCGACCTGTTGGATAAGCTGTTAAGGTACGATCACCAGGAGCGTCTCACTGCGAAGGAGGCACAAGCTCAGCCGTATTTCGGTATGTCCCCCGATGATGTCATACTCTCCGTTTCTCTGACGGCTGCCCAGATCCCGTTCGCACGCCCTCAGATGCGGAAGGCGATTCCCTGTCGGGATGATGCTGTCGATGCTGTCGATTTCTGCGTTGCCTCGTTCTGCATTGCACTGTGTTATCCGATCCCATACCTTTCTGTATACTGAGTACTCTAGACAATCTGCTCTATATTTTCACATGACTGCCACCGCCGATCGCGCTTCCCTGATGAATTCTGCCTTATCTGCACGCTCACATGTTTTGGGTCTTCAGCTGGACGACTGAGAGACTATCTGCGGGAAGAGAAGTTGTCCGAAGCATGGCCGAGGCCCGTTTTGGTCTTCTTGGTGAGTGCTCTTGGATTCTCTTGAAACACATGTCCCAACTCAAGATGCTCAAAAGGCGAAAGAATACTCGGGGGATCTCAAGCGTGCAGAATGTCCTCGCTCGCTGTTTTGTTTCTCGCCGTCTCGTCTGCGGCATCGGCATTCGACAATTCCCGATACGACAATGTTAGTTCGTTCGAGCGCTTTATCCGGCATTTCCCGCCGCTGATTATCACTCTCAGACCGCCGTGTACCATCATAGTTTCGATTGCTCCCGACCGCGGCTGATGTTCCGTTCCCAACAGATACTGGGGGCAGAATTCTGTCGGCGCCATCGCAGGGACGCCTTCCTCGGAGTGGCAGAAACCGATCTCGTTCTACTGCGCGGTGCGGCTAACCGGTGCACAAGCCTTCTCGGGAGGAGGCTGATCATTCAGCATCCCAGGATGATGCCATCGATGTCATTCCTGTGGCCTTTGTGAACGGATTTTTCTCGACGGGCGGGTTGCCGACGATGAATCTGGCCAACGTGCGCACGCGGTGGCTTACCTGCGCGTCCGTGCAAGCACGCTCACGTGCGTTAAACAGAGCTGCAATCCGACGAACAACGCGACGTTCCCCGGCACGAGCCTCCCGGACTGCGCAGGCTTGGCGGCGGACATCGCGGCCTGCCAGGCCGCCGGTAAGCTGGTGAGGATCCAATATTCATCCGCCGCCAGTGGGTGATGGACCAGGTCTGATGTGGCCCGGGCAGGTTACTATCTCGCTTGGCGGCGCGACGGGGGGTGTGGGCTTTGCCTCCAATGCGCAAGGCCAGCAGTTCGCTCAGACGATCTGGGATCTTTTCCTCGGTGTGTCTGCTGCAGCCGTCCAAGCCGGGCCTGGGGGGTCTCACAAAACAGGACAGGCGGCTCCTCGTCCACGCGTCCCTTCGGAAATGCTGTTCTGGACGGGTGTGTGCTTTGCGATCGTCTGATGCATACGATTCTCACTCCTTTTTGTCGAGCGTTGACCTCGAGTAAGCGTGTCGCTTGGCGCTCTGTGCATCTTCTGAAGGCCGTTCCCAGCATCGAAGCTGGAACGGGATCGGGATACACTGCTTTTGTAGATGAGATACGGTCGCTGGCGAGCGATGCCAGCAAGAGGTTTCAGGCTTCGAGTGGTCGCAAGATCGGTCGTGCACTGACAGCGCCTCAGATACTACGTGACTGCTGCTCCCCAATGCGTCTATCCAGATGGAGCACTGGGCAGTGTCCTGAATACGGCGTCTTTTGATGCCATCTATGGCAAGCATTTGACTCTTCGAACGCCGTCTCCCGATCTGAAGAATCCATCAGTGCAATTCTACAACAATCCCTGCGGGTTCGTATCTGCAGTCCGTCATCGCTCACCGATGACTGTCTGTCAGGTTGAACACTTTCAGCAGTGCTTCGGTGGGGGCCCTGGTTTCGCGAGATGATGGCTGTCAGGCGTTGACCCCCCCTTCACAGGGCTGGGATTTCGGCCTGTGGGACGCCTGGGCTCGAACGCTCAGCCCCAACCCCAACGTCAAGGTCTACATCGGGGCACCGGCGTCGGCTTCGGCTGCAGGGTCAGGGTACTCGGATCTCAGCACCCTCAGCAGTATTGCAGTGCAGATGCGGAACAGGCCCGTCCCACCCTTTTTTTCTGTTCATTGTTGTCCGACGTCTCACCATTCAGCACAGTTTCCCTTCTTTCGGCGGTGTGATGCTTTGGGATGCAGTGAGTTGAAGTTTGCATGCATGTCGATCAATGACTCTTATCCCTCTGCCAGTCTCAAGCTTATCGTGCGATTTCCACACTACACCATCTCACGCTTTGACCGGCTGCCTTGCAGAGAACGGCCGATATGACAAGGGCATCAAGGACGCACTCGTCTCCGCAGGAGGGACTGGTTTCACCTTTCCGTCGTGCACAGAACCGCTGTACTCGCCCACAGGCACCTATCCCGGCGGCTCACGTGTGACCTACCAGGGGCAAGTCGTGCCTGTCCTGCAGCACTCGGGACACCCGGCTAATCCTTTTGTCTAGGTACATCTGGCAAGCCAAGTGGTATGCGTCCACGCTCCCGGCTGCCAGCCCCAACAACGACTGGAGCGCAAGTGAGTCGGATACGCCCATCCTCGAGGACTGCCTCTGAGAGCGTTTTCTGTGTGTCCGTAGTCAGCGCCTGCTCGGGCACAGGCGGCAGCAGTGGACCCACTTCTACAACGACGACCGCTTCGACGACGACGACGACGACTTCCCCACCGACAACAACTTCAACCGCCCCAGGGTCCACTCCCACCGGCGATAGCTGTGCCGGAATCCCGGCCTGGACTTCCGCCGCTGTGTTTGTCGGCGGCGATCAGGCGACATACGAGTGAGAGAACGCGTATCCTGACTCGGGGGCTGAACTGATCGAGCTCATCCGCAGAGGGGATCTCTGGACAGCCAAGTGGTACGTGCTCATTCGTGCGACAGTGCCAAGGCGCTGACTTGAGCTCAGGTGGACAGAGAATGATATTCCTGGAGGCGAGTACATATACAATACAGATGCGGAGACGACTGATGCAAAGACAGGTGCTGCTGGTGTCTGGGTAAACGACGGCGCTTGTGCGGCAATGAGCCGAAGATGGTCCAGGTTTTTCCGGAACTAGGCACCCAGATGAGATTATACGAGTGATGCCACTGTTCTTGATTGACCAGTTTGTCGCTTGAAGCCTTCTGGTTTAGGGTCCGCGAACGAGTCGCGAGGCCGTTTTCGATGGGAGTCATGAGGTTTTCCCCTTGTTGGTGCAAGATCTGTCGTCGGCGAATTTGGCTCGGCAGTCGCTGTCTGCCCGTCTTTCGCAGCGTCCTTCACCTTTCGTGGTTTCGGTGGAGGCGGTGGACCTGGGTCATACTGTGGGTTGAACGGCGCCCATGTCATCCCGGAAAGCTCGCAGGGACGTCCACGAAAGGTGTGAAAGCTGTACCAACTCGGGTTCACGGTGTGCGGCAATGCAGGCAACATGCCGAAGAATCGCATGAAAAGGACGAGACCCGCGTGCGCATCTATCTTATTCGTAAGCGCGGGGAAGCTGTGGAGCGAGGCCGAGACCCGCCGTTGGCCGCATCTGAGATATGATTAGTAGCTGCATTGGCACACACAGTCAAAGGGCATGCATACATTCTTGTTGTTCAACACTGAGTTGATTACGCTCCCAATTACTGCGAGTGATCTTGCCTTTGACGAGGAGCCGATCCTCGTATGTGGCGATCAGACGAGCCAGACCGATGGGTTGACTGCTAGATCAGACACAAGGACGGAGACAGCTGATGTGAGACGCACGAGTATGATCCCTTCCATCGTGCATTGTCGACCGTTCTCGCCAGGTAGGACAAGTCTACACAGCCCCGAATATCCACCCTGTAGTCTCTGAACATCTTCGTTGCATCTCCTGCCGAGAGCCTGAGCCCGTGGTCAGAATGGACCGCTTGCGCTCACCTTGGATCCCAACTCCGGCTTTCACGATCAAGGGGTCCTCCAAGAAGGTCTTCAGATTCTTAGGGAACACTGTGAGACAGCATGAGCATTCAGACGGAATAGGAGAGATTTCACGAGCCTCGTATCCGATGGAGGTGAATAAGTAGGATCGAGTCCGCATTGGCCAGTTGCAACAGAGCGACCTAGCGGATGTTCCAGTCTCCACCGCAACTTCGACTGTCTCTGCTGTCACTCACAGGATTTTCAGCACCTCCCTTGACAAATGTCGGTTTCCATTCGATGTCTAGCCCGCAAGGGCCCTGGAATATGGACATTTCGATCTCGGCTTGTGCTGTATCCGTAATATAGACTCGTCGTGGGCACGGGACAGTATTGCGCCATGAGAATTTTATCGTTGGGGGAGGTGGACCAGTAGGTACTGGAACGTCCTTGTCAGGATCGCTCAATGCCGATGCTCGCTCGGCCGCCATGGATAGTCGCAGAGGCGAGACAAGCCTGAAGGGAACTGGGTTGACAGGTGGCTATGCTTGACGTGCCCATCCGATCAATTGGATTCTTGCCCGTCGATTCCAAAAAGAGGCTTGGAGTGTGGTTAGAGATGCCAAGGCTGGGACCCGGCTCTCAGTCGGTCAACTGAGAAGGATCTTACACCGCTCCCATAGATATGAATGACAGAGTGCACACGCGATGTAGATTACACGTCACGAAAGAATTGTTAACGCCAGTCGGTCTCTAAACTCGCCGCCAAAATGACAGCGGCTGCTGCGCCTGGCCCAAGTTCATCTGAAGCCTCTCCCAAGAGTTTTCCGGCCACCGACTAGAGTCACCAGGCCCATCATTTAATCCCAGAACCAAAGCACCGCTAGCGCATTGGTTGATGAAACATTCTCGTACCCGCTGTCGATCCTCGTTCTCAAACAAGGACGAGATGAGAATCTCGACCCGAGAGAGATAGCTGAACGCGGGAAGACGCAAGGTCGCACTAATCTTCTCGACTTTTGCGAAAAAGTGGCACGGACAGCGGAACCGAGAGCGGTACGGCCAACGGAGGAAAGACATTGTCAGCGTCTGGTTGTCGAGCACTCCCGGCGCGACTGTGCCAAGAAGATCGCATAGCGCCATCTCGTCGTGGATGGCCACTTTCAGTGTCGATAGGTTGGTCAGGGGCCCGAGATTGACTGCAGACGCTCAGCGCTCGTTGTAACGTCTCGGCAACATAACAATTCACCAGAGCCACTAGAAGGGCGCAGCATCCAGCGGCGGTCAAATGTTGACCGGTGGTCTTCATAAGCGATGGTAAGTGAAAGATGGCGCAGCTGGGATCCCGTCCGGGCAATTAATTTGTTCAGCGCCTGCACGGGGCCCCATCCGTAATGACTTGGTTGAAGCGAGGTGACATCGAGTGTATGAAGGCCAGAAAGATCGTGCGCCGTGAGGATCCACTTGAAAAACTTGTCTGTTTCGTAACTGGGCAGTCGAACCATCAAAACCTCCAGCTGGGACAGCACACCTGACGTCAGAAGCGGCAGTGACCCTGCATGTGAAATGGCCTTGGCACCACTCTCTTTGGCTCTGGAATACAGGCAGAGCACGCGCAACTTCGGAAGGCGCACGACCATTTCCAACACATCTCCTGAGAACCGATCCAGCGCGTTGTAGACCAGCTCCTCGATCCCACGAAACGTCTCGGCAATCCAGGCCATCTTCAGCGGTTTCATTCGGGCTTCAGTGTGATCCACCAAGATGAGCCGTTGGACCGGTGCCAAGTGAAGCCCATCGAAAACCTTTGCAGCCCAGTCTTCCTCGAGATTGAGCAACAGTCCTCTCACACTCGACACGAATGTGCACAGCTGCGACTGGAGGAGCGCCTGGATCCCGGATACATTGCTGATGAGTCTTCCATCCACCTCATTTCTGAAGTGATGCAGCGCGAGCCGCCCGAACAGATGCCAACGCGATGCTGGAACCCATTGCCGAGACACTAGGCTAGTAGAAAGCAGGCTGGCACGATCGTCGTGCAGAAAGTCAACGACGAGGTCGACTATTTCGGCCGGAGCACCGCTCGCCCCAGGCATCGATGTGGAAGGAAGAACCACGTTCTTACTTGCGGACCGCAAGACTAACATTCGCGATTGCCGAGATAGAACATGTACGTTCATTTAGGCGTGCGCATGTTGATGCTGATCCGAGCGCCGTTTCTCCTGTCATAGAACAAGGCGAGCAGGAAAGCTGAGCACCTGGGTAGTCATTCACGTTGAGCGGAGGCCATGAACCAGTTCTTGATCGATCATGTCGGGATTAACCGGGAGTGTTGCAGCCGGACCGGACCCTAACCCTACAATAATGCTTACGCCAGTCGTCTTCGGGCGGCCGCATGCGGGCCAAGCTATTTGTCTATTCTTGTCTCTGGCCTTTGACTAATGCCAAGTTGCCTCTGGGCCCTGGAGGTAGTCAATGTGTCCGAGCATCGACTCTGAAGGCAACGCGGACCCCCATCTCAACTTCTCCGTAGCGCGAGAATTGACTGGTCTACTGCACTATATCTTTAGGCTAGAGAACTAGCTAGGGCGGACCCTCGAAGAATGACTGCGCTTGACCTCCAACGCTGCTGCGCGGTCTTCTCATGAGCCCAGATCCCCTCGGCGCTGGAAATATCGCACCACTTGACATCCCCTCCACCACGCTTACGATACCGAATTGCGAAAACCTGACCCACTGTCTTCCCCGGATATATCTTGGCTGAATATCTGGATGAACTCGAAGCTTACAAGTGGCGCCGAATCTATGCAAGTTGCTTGGCTCGTATGTAAAAATATCGTGACCATCAGTAGTCACGTACAGCGCCAAGCCCTTTCTATTCTTGTCCTCTTGGCAAAGCACCTATATAAAAGCGCGTCCTCCGATGTAAAGTCAGTCGTAATCCCCGCGATGCAGCACCTCAACTACTCGGAACCTTCTTCCTCGCGTCATGGCCTGGCTTCGCCGCCTCTGGGACATCTGGCATCGTCTGCCAACTCACTTCTGAGCCAGGTGCGTTTGGAGTATAGACCGATGGAATTCTGAGCTCAAACATGGACTAGCCTGCCCCGCCAACTCTCCGAGACATACTAGGAGCTTATAAGCTCAATGGAGATGGCGACCGAGATATGCTCATAGCCATGCTGAATGCAAAGACTGCCGAAGACCAGGTTAGCTTCTCGCCAAATCTTTGCGCATACAAGTTGCTTACGATTACTAGCGAATCTCTGCTCTCGCTGCACTACATCGGACAATGCTAGACGTGTACCACCTGCCGTCACACAGCAGTCATCGCCACGATTATCCCATGTTCAGTCATCCATCACCTCCTCCGCCGCTCGAGGTCCGATCCTCTCGACCAGCTTACCAACACGTGACACCATATCCTCGGCCCTCGTACCGTGCCTCCAGTCCGAATTCTGACCATCGAAGAAAACGTGCCCGAGCTTCCCGGTCTCCCCCGCCTTCAGTGGCAGACCATCGCCATCACCCCATGCGGCGGCCAGAACAGGACGAATTCCCCCCCTCGCCGTCTTCTAGCAGCGATTCGGCAGATTATTCGCCACGGTCTCGTGGCTCCATGACGATAACGTCCCTGCTGTCCACGAGTACAAATGCTGATGGGAGTGCCGACGAGCGAGCTTGATTTGTGTATTTCTGGTATGTCAGCCAAGCAGGGCAAGACTTTCTTGGGATTCTTGGCGTGTATAGTATAGCTTGGATGATAATAAACACATGTGTGAAACGTTCTGGCCTGTCGGCTGTCGTTCTGTGCTCTAATTAGCACTACGTCCCTCCTGCGCTAAGATCCAAACCACCGGAGTCAAGCATCTCAACCAGTGTTAGGCAGGTTTCTAATTATAGCCCGTCAATGCCAAGCATTTTGCCCGCTGTTTAGTTGTGTAAATTAAAGCGCACCTAGAATATCTCGGATTTCTTCCGGGCCATGGAGCATGTGCGGTGACAGGAATCTTATATTGGTCTCCAGAACCAGCTCTTCGGTAGTATCCAGGGTCAGTCTCAGCAACAACTAGAAAACTCATGCACACCCCTTTCGGTTCCACACATGATCGCAAAAGTGGTGGAAGCAGCAGGTTCCGCACGATCAGGTGATAGTGACTGCGTGACTCCATCACACCTTGATCTGTTCCCTCCAACCGCGACATGAGCACCGAACCAGACGAATTCGATCTCATCCCGGACGAGTTTCAAGATGAGCGAATTGATTGGGCTCAACTGCTATCTCAGGGAACTTCTGCTGCTGCTCCCGTGCCATCGTCCTCACCCGAATATTACGCAACGTCCTTGGATGATGATGTCCTCGCTGAGCTTGACATTCTAGATGGAACTGGTGAATACACCATTTTCCTAACCAATCGCATGTTCAATAGCTCATGATTACCGGAGCTGCGCGAGCTCAATCCTCGTCAATGCCGTCCTTTGGTCCGGCGGGCTTAACATCGAGTAAATCTAGACCAAGGTTGCATGCACAATCCAATCTTACGTTCCTTGAGATATCAAGTTGAATTCCGCATCTGCTCGAAAAGTGCTATTTGACTCAAAACGAGTCAATCTCTCCGATTCGCCCCGAAAGAAACGAAGGAAATATTCTCAACCATCAACAAGTCTAATTTCGAGTTTGGAGGACGAGGTCACTTGTGCAATGTACGTGAACTCTGGCTATAAGCTTCACGCTCTGGAACATATGTTCTTCTAGATGTTGTGATCTACTGTATGCATAGGCCTTGATGTACGGATGTCATCTCAATCTCGTCTCCCCACAGAGTGGCAGCGCAAGTGTTGAATCCTTGTGGGCATACTTTCTGTGGTGAATGCGCATGGGAGTGGGTCATGAAACGGGTCAGTGGTCTACTCCTGGCTTTCACGCCACTAAACGTTATGCTAGAGCAACGTCCGCTGTCCATTTTGTCGGAAACGTCTGGCAAACAGTCCGATGACTCCGAATATTGCTCTGAACCACGTCGTCGATTTGCATATCCGAATACGAGCCAGTCAGGATGATAGATGGTGCCGCGGAGGCTCTAGACTTCTGGAGTTCCAGGCGCGGCAAAAGTACGTTCAGCTCACCGCGCACGTCTCCTCTATAAACACTATTGCAGACGGTGGCAAGACTCTTGTGCTACTCGTTTGCTGCGGTTAGCCAACATGAGGAATCGCATCGTGGTGGAAGACGGAGAGGAAAGCGGTTATGCTCCGGGAGACGATTTCGAAGACGACGACGACTTTGTCATCGATGGGCTATGACTGGAGCAAGTTGAGCTTCCTCTTCTACTATTACCTAGTACAAGGTCAATCGATCACGTGGCCGTGTGTGTTCGTGATGGCATGGTAGGAAGGCGCGGTGTCCTGCTTGCTTCAGCACTTCTCCCATGCACGCCATCTTCAATCCGGCGCTGGGCGAAATTCGGAAGATACTCGTTCCTCCCGTGAGCGGTCTCAGTTTACGATTCTCCGCGACACTCGAGGACTGTGACGAACCCGTCAAAATTCAACTTTGGTCAGACATCCCGATCGAAGGTCGTTCTTCAGGCGAGTGGGGCGAACACGATTTCGTATTTTCTTCCTCTTCGCGTCCCCATTCCGCCTCACCTGTGTTTTCCTTGGACGACTGCCTCAATCATGACACCACCACCCTCCATTCTCATCTCTTCATACCACTCACACCGAGTCAGGGAGACTGCTCCCGGACCTTCTCATTCACCTATCGTATACTGCACTCCTCTGGGCGTGTAGAATGGTTAGGGGGTTTCGGGCAAAACGGATCCATACGTCTCGAACTCGCGGAGCAGCTTCCTGTCACTTTAGCGGCGGGCTGGAAGTTCGTGAAGGATCGTGGCCATTGGGAGAACAATGAACGCATAACTTCTCAGCCGCTCGAAGTCGCGAGGGTCTGTGAGCCAACGGATCTGTCGCCCTTCGAATTCTCTTATCCCAGGTGAGTAGAAATGGATATTTAAAGCGAAACATGACGACTCGTTTCTCATCGCTGATCCAGCTTTTTCAATACCCAAGGCAGCCCGGTGCTTATCTTGACACCTCGGCAAAGCTCTAAATTTCTTCTCTTCCCTGTGCCGACTGTTCTATTCGCGGCCAGAAGCCCGGCTCGCTTGTGCTGCGATGCCCAGGGTGTCATTTCAGCCAGTGGAACTGGATCATTGCTCCTCCTCGTGTGCTATTCGAAGGAGGACGCGATTTCCGCAATCCGTGCGGTCGCGTCCCACTGTTCCGACCCTGCTCTGAGCATCCTCCCCGGACCGCACCCAGGCTTTGTCACCAGAATGAAGAATTGCTCTGAACTTGTGCTTATCCCGGCCCTGTCTCCTGTCTCCTTGGTACCATTCGAGACTTCCGAGTTCTTCGCTGCATCAGGCGACTGTCTCGGTCTGTTCTCTCCGACTTTACGCGTCGTTCGTTTTGTCGGTCGCTCCGAGACAGAGGTGATGCTGTCGAGCGGATGCTCTGCTGGTCATTTGTTGCTTTTGCCGGGATATCAATTAGGCCAGCCGGGCTGGCAAATTGCTTTCGTCACAACTGTTGTGAAGCCTCCACCGAGCCCACCGCCCATGAAGTCTGGTGCAGAGTCATTTCTAGCTCTTGCGTTCCGCCCGCGACCCATGTCGTCGATTTGGAGTGCGCTGAGGCGGCACATCCAGACGCTGATCGCCCGCCTATGGGGTCTCTTCTTTCGTAATCGAGCACCTGAGGTACAACCTATCGACGAGCGAACTCCCTTGCTAGCCGAACGACCTGCATTAGAGCTGCATCTGGACGCAGGCGAGACCAGACTCGTGCTTCACAACAGAAACCCGGACTCGCCTCTACCCCGTTTCGCTATAAATGGCCACGAGCTGTCAGTAGAGGCACAAAAACTGCGCAGGGGATACTTCGTTGCATTGGAAACAAGCGGAGGGAATCTGGAGATTTTCGCGTGATTAGTTATTGCGTTTGGATACAGATCATTACATATTCTACATATCATCATCTGGTTCGTGGCGTTCTCTGCCCGTGAATTTCAGTGTGGCTTGAGCCACCAGATCATCCAACACATCGGAAGGAAGATCATATTCAGAGCTACGAACAGAGACAGCATACGCAGCTGGAAGAGGTTAGAGAAGTACGGCGTGATCTCACGGTGCTATTTACCTGCTTCAATCTTCTCCAGAGAGTTTGTAGTAACGCTCTGCTTCTTACGAAGCTCTCTGACATGTGGTACAAATTGCTCAAAGTCTACTACTGGTCAGATCTGGACAGCGGCAGTTTTCGAGATGGACTGACCGGCTTTACATCCTCTGACAAACGCACAGACGTCGTTTGCTTTTGCTCTACCGCCGCGACGGGACAAGTTGGAGATCGCGAATCTCATGAGTTCCCCAGTCAGATCTGACAGCCCGAGAACATAATCCGAGGTCGTCAGAGGAAAGAACTACGCATACAGTGAGTGGTCCCATATAAACAAGATCCAAAGACGCACAGGTCCCTCAGAATCGCAAAGAGACGCTTGCACCTGCTCGAAGGTGATCAACGTACGGTGTTCGAGATAATGGGCAAAGCTAAGCGCTTCAATGTATTCCTACAAAAGCCTGAGCACCAGAAGTGAAAGAAGAAGATGTTATAAGTACCTGCAGACCAGGTGACACTTGTCTTTGATGTCGCCAGAAACGATCTCCCGCCAGTTCTGGGCGCATCTGCGCAAAGAGGGCTCGTGCCTCCACCAGCTTCGAGTACCCGTTTTTTGCTGCGCGACGTGATAGCGCAGCATCATCTTCAGAGGTCTCTTCCAGTACGATTCGAAACAGCAGGAAGATCGCTTTCTTCGATATGTTTGTGACGTCTCGGCTCGCCTGGCAGACATGGGGGCCGTCCAGCACGATTGTTTGAGCGCATCAAAGACCAATGTCACCTTGATCAGACGTTCTCTCCTGTCATTCGCATCGTCTAAATCCCCCCTGAATTCTTCGAAGATGGCGCGTTCGTCAAGCATCGTCGCGGTCAGGATTAATAGTGATTGCCCGGTCTTAGATCACATTCATGGACTGATCGATTAGTCAATGCCGGTGACCATCTACTGGTGCATATGTGGACGTATTTGGCTGATCTCTCTCCCTACTACATACGACCAAGACATTCCACTGGTCGTTAACTTCATCACTCGAGCCAGCGTATCGACATGTTCGAACCGAAACCAGGCTGCCCACTCTGTGGAATTGTTTCCTCCTCTGCCCATGGTCCTGTCAACTCTCCGCGCTCGCCCTCCTTCCCCGTCGGGTCCAGTCAACCAGAAGTGCTCTGGCGTGATGACAACTTTACCGCATATCGCGAGAAATTAAACCCAGTCTCCACCAAGGGTCACGTCATTATTGCGTTCAAGTGCGCTCCATCGTGTTCCTGCGCGTCGACTTACTGACAAGACGCCTAGCCTTCATGTCCCGTCCATCTATACTCTTGTACGTGGACCGCTTATGCTCTTCCTGTTCTGTTCAAGACATCTATCCGTCTCTAGTCTTCCACAGATCTGCCTCTTCTTGTGAATATCAGGAATCTCGCAATTCGGTTATTGACTTCCTTGCTTCCACCCTCTGCGTCGTCTCCTCCTCCACTCAACGCCGCCAATCCCTTGTTTCGGATTGGTTTCATCGCGCCGCCGTTCTCTGACCGCAAGATACCCGTCACAGACCACCTGCATTGTCATGCGTACATAACTCCGGCCGACCAGCTAGGGTGGTGGCGAGGCGTGGCCTACGGACCCATGGCTTGGTATGGCATCGACGATCTGATTGCCGAAATCCGGTGCGCTGAACAGGCGCCTTTCATTCATTTCGGCGCTAACTCCAATGTAGCGAGTCTGTAACGAACAACAGGATCAAGTCTGGCCATGCAAACCGCGCTCAAGCTCCGATAGATATGGTCCCGGACGCAGGCGCGCGTAGCGGGACGGCAAATGGTCTCGAGACGACCGAACCAGGGATTGCGCGGGACTCTGAGGCTGATCTGGAGACTGGGCAGAGAACGCCGTCAGCCCTGAATGGTAGTCCACGGTCGGCCATGCTGTCTCCGCAGGCTGCGATACCCACTATACGCGTTTGATCTCAGCATATCTTCACCATATATCCCGGACTGTGACAGCATTACAATCGCTGAGTTGAATCGCAGTAGTTGGACGATATATATATATATCCATCATTCTGAAATCAGATCCAGCGCTGGCTATTTCAGTGGCTGGACATGTCGGATCAAAGGCTACCACTATCATCGTGACCGATTCGTTGTACCTCGTCACTTGCCGTCATCAGTCCTCCTTGCTGGCCTTTGCTTCCTGCTTATCCAGCTGAACCCAATATCAACATCATGGGGAGGACCTATCGACGGTATCTGGCCGGAGAAAGAATCTATGGATGCTCGACGTGTCGCACTCACCTGGCTACCATCCACTCGATGATATCTAGGGTCCGTTAACCCATGAATGGTGGTGGTGCACATCCAATGTCTTCGCAGGCTTTCAATGGTCAACACGGGAGAGCATACCTATTCGAGGTCGTGTATGCACCCGTTCTTCAATGTTCCCATCTAGGATGCTGCTAATCTGACTTCAATCAGAGTGAACGTCACGGAAGGAGAGCCCAATGATCGTCCAATGACGACAGGAAACCACACTGTTCGGGATATATTCTGTTGCAAGTGTGGGACTACTGTGGGATGGAAATATGCAAGTGCTTTATTGACCCGCCATCGTGCTGCTTCTCGGACTCACTGCTTCGGCTCTTCTCTTCCATCAGGAGAAAGCTTTTGAACAGTCGCAGAAGTACAAGGAGGGAAAGTACATTCTCGAGCGAAATCTCCTCGTGGATGTGCAGTGATCCTATGGCTTGCTCGCCACCTGCGAGTTGTTCCGAGGCTCCTTCCCCACCAATGGACTACGTGACATTGCTTCTCTCCCAACCCCCTGGACTCGTTTTCTGGATGGGTTCTCTCTGACCCCAATGACATCCTCCCCAAGGTGGAGATAGTGCTCTTGTGGGCTTATCTGCGACTCTTGGCGCCATTAGAACATCTAGTGCACGCACATCCTTGACTTCCATCGCGGTAGCCAACTGCTTCGTTCCCGAGGTCGTGTGTCATCTTTGTCGTATTGATTTCGCAATAAACAAAGCACATGCATTATATCCCTGGTCCGCTTCGGCGACATGGCTGCCCAGTGGTCCAAGCACATGTACAAGTCGTTCCTGGAGCACGCAGAGAAAAACAAGGTGGTGTATTGAGAATGTTTCGGTCTATGCCAAGTCTGGCTTCATTGCTATCTGCTCCTGTTGGCGACATCCGGTGCGCGATCTCTGCATCTGCGGGAACTTCAGATCCACTGCACAGATTAGTACAGCAGACTCACACCTTGGCTCCCCAGCTAATGGTAATCCCTGGGTTTTGTTATCTGCGCTACGAGTTGCGTCTTTCCGAAGCCTTGACATCATGCGGTCGTCGACTCGGCGCATGCTTCGGATCAAATAGAGCGGCGATGCCGAAAACTTCCGCTCCTTTGGGTCAACGGCGGCCCTGATCGGTCCCCACGGAGGCACAATAACAACACCAAAGTACTTCCCCAAAGTTGTCTACAGCAGCATATAAGTAAACCCCACCGTTGAATGTATAACTCGCATCCGGTAAAGCACCCCGCTTCATCCCCTCACCCTCCCCTCCTCCCCTCCTCCACCACAAGCCCCAGTGCACTCTCGCCATTGTTTCTTGCTCTCGCACAATGTGTAAGTGCTTTTTTCATCTGTTCGCTAAAAAAACCCCTGACACATCACTCCAGCTACCATGACCGCATCGCGTCCCTTCCACTCATCCCCTCTCTCTGGACAGGCGTGCTCTCCGTCGCCTTCGGCACGTAGTTCTGCGCGTCCTTTCAACCAGTTCCCCACCTCGCGTGGTCTGCGCCCATTTGCCAACATGCCCGTTGCCCCGGCCAAGGGCAAAAAACCAGTGAAGATGATCCAGCCACCCGCGAACCATCGCATGTCTTTCGTACTGGATCTCACTCAAGCCGAATTCAGTCGCCAGTGAACGGAGATGTACAGCGCTGTATCTTATCAGCAAGTCTTGGGAGTGTGTTGCATCAGAGAACCATAGAAGACGACGGTTAAGGGAACGCCCGGGTACCGGGACGCAGGGCACGCCCCCGGCTTCTCGTCACCGTGCATTTTTGGGGAGCAGCTGGATTATTTTGATGCTCGATGTTTGCGGGCTCGCAGTTTGGCGGGCAGCCGTTGGTGGGCGACATGCCCGTCTTCGTAGGATGAAGCCTCTGTCTCCTCACCGCGACATGCTGCTTCGTGTACATATTATACTGGACAACGCGGCAGAAATGATTAAATTTGTAATTTGCACCACGCGGCTCGCCTTGCCTTGCAGCAAGCGCATTCGGAATGAGCGCCTATTGAGCGCCTTCGGCCCTGCGTCAGAGACGTGGTCATCGCTTCTTGTGGACACCGCCATCAGCCGGTGGCTGTAACTGTCCCACGCTGTTGCGGAGAGTCACGGCGGCGTTACAGCGGTTCCCGAAAACCTTGAGACTCACGAAAAAAATATTTTGTACGCATAGACATGATCGATCTTTGATGCCCCCCCTGTCTGCAATAAGCGGCCGAAGCGAGTAAAGATAGTTCTGCCATCCTTGCTAGACTCGTCGACAGTCACCATCATTGAAGACAGGAATGTCGTCTGGACGGTGTGCATCCATTCCTCCCTTGCCATTTCATCTCTTGCAATCCAATCCACGATCTTGTCAAGATACATTTCTGGCAAGTCTTGAAGCAGGGAACTGATATGGTGGAAAGGCATTGAGCCGAGCCGAGCCTAGCTCGCTTCGGCCGCTTATTGCAGACAGGGAGGGCATCAAAGATCGATCGTGTCTACGCATACAAAATTTTTTTTTGTGAGTCTCAAGGTTTTCGGGAACTGCTGTAATTAGCATTGGCTGGAGACAGCCTGAGATTTCGAGGGAAGAAACACAACAGGTACGGTTCTCGAGTGGGCTCAAGGTCTGGCAAGCGTCGGCCGGTCAAAATTTGCTGATGGGGTCCGGTTGTTATGCGTGACTATCACGCTTATGACTTTTTGCTTACTTCCTCCCGCCGACTCGACGCGTGCTTCCTATGATGCGCCTCTCGTTGTCCGCTTTGGCCACCCGTCATCAAAGTAGACTTTGCTGTATAGAATAGGATCAGTATGCAACATCTATAAATATTTTTATGACCATCCAACGGCGCAAATAGTGTTGTCCCAGGTTGGGTTGGGTCAGAGACCGGGTCGGAGTCGGGGTCGGGCTATCTGCGCGACCCGACGACCCGGGTCCAGGAAGCGCGCTATTCTGGATCAAAGCCTGCAAACGTGACAACGCTGTCAATTTTTTTCGCGCCGCGCAAATAACTTCAATATAACAAGGGTAGCCGGTTGAGGCTTTAGATTGGCTCTAGAGGTTGTGGAAGGGACAGAAACGAAGTTGAGGTCATCTAGGACAGATTCGGTCGTACTTTCACGGTCAACTGCAAGTGCTATCAGCGACCACGACCACTATAATATCGAGTGGTCAGTTGTGTACAAGTGTAGAGAGCCAGCCTGCGCATTTGATTCTAATTACGAGATCCCAGTTGCTGACGGAAGGAGTGGCAGCGTCGGGACGGCGGGGGCGACGGCAACGGCAACGACCACCACGTCAGCGTCATGAGTAGGGCGGTCACAGATCTACATCACGGAGTGCCAGCCAAGTCAAAGACCCCACCCACTCAGTGATGGCATCGCTGATTTTCCTTATTCAGACCTTGAGCCCACTCGAGAACCGTAAACAGGGACGTCGATGATGATGAATGCGAGGGGAGAACACGTCAGCTCACCCCGGATTCGCTCGGGACGTAACTTGACATTGCAGAGGCTCGCTCTTAGGCTGGCCCAGCTCAGGTACGGATCGTCGGCCGCTCGGTTCTGCTGTCAGCTCAGGTACCAACAGCGCGCGGCCGTTTGTAGGCGGTGTGCGTGGCTCTGGCCTCTCTGCGTTGTGTGGAATTCCTAGTGGAAGACATCCGTCGGTTTGTTCAGGCATAACAGGGCATAACCGCATTTCCGATCACTTCTGCATTCCTGGTTTATCCGAACGCGTGAACATAAACCTTAAGAGCAGCAGCGAGAGCAGAGCAGTCCAAAGGGGGGACCAAGGATCCCGTGCTGCCACCATAAGCATATATGTAGCAGCGCTCGCAATGAATCAGCATTTGGCTCGAGTGGGAGTCACTGTCCACTACAAAGCAATCTGAGCCTTGGGCTCTTCACATGCTGATGCTTACGTAACAAACAACAACCCACTACTCTGAAATTCCCTTAGCTTCCACCACACCGCCCAGCCGCACGTCCCGTCCTGTGTCTCTTTACGACCCCCTACGAACCGAACGACATCATCTCCGTTTCCTTGCCCGTGGACTCGACCTTATTTGTCTCCTATCTCAGCGTCACCTGTGAAGCCGCTTCCCCACCACTCACGTTCAGCATCCTGCGGCCTTCGAGCCCAGCACTCCCGAGTTTGCAAGCAAAATGGATCAGTGGACCGTCGCCGTCCTCGGGGATGGTGGTGTAGGTAAAACCGCGCTAGCCGTGCAGGTGAGTGCACAGTCGGCTTGATCGCGTTATCCCGGGATTGACTGTGGGTCACTAGTTCACACTTAACTGTTTTGTCGGTGAGTTCCTACCATTTCTACCGACTGAGACTACCCGCTGACGATGGGAACCGTATTCTCGCAGAGGTACCATCGTTCGATACCCATTATCGCATCATCAGCCGCTAAACAGCCCCTGCCATAGACTTACGATCCAACGATAGAAGATGCTTACCGTAAACAATTCGTCGTCGACAACCGCATGTGTTTTGTGGAGGTGATTGACACTGCAGGGCAGGGTATGTGGCTCAGGTCTCGATGTGCTAGCCCAATACTAACCCGATTTGTCACAGAGGAGTATGCGACACTTCGAGATCAATGGGTCCGGTACGAGCGACTTCTCTATCACGATGAGATGTGTATTCAAATTCTCGTTACTACAGAGAAGGCCAAGGATTCATTCTGGTGTATTCGATCGCTTCTCGCTCAACCTTCAACCGGCTCGAGGTCTTCCGTCAATCGGTGCGGAGGGCAAAGCGTGGAGACCCGATCTTGTTGCTTGTGGGCAACAAATGTGACAAGACGTATGAGCGCGAAGTGACGAAAGAGGAGGGAGCCGCCTTAGCCCGGCAATTCGGCTGCGAATTCATCGAGACTTCAGCGAAGACGGCACAAAACGTCGAGCGCGTCTTCACCAGTCTTGTGCGCTCTCTCCGACAAACAAGAAATGTGGAACCTGGTGTAGCACCAACCCCTGGCAGACCGAAGGAAAAGAAGGAAAGGAAGTGCATCATCTTCTAAGGATTTTTTTCTGGGATCGTCGTGTCTACTTAGATTGCTCCTTCCTTTTACCTCCTTCGATGATACCAGTGTTTCCTTGTTTTTGGCTACGCACTCCTCTGCTCTGCATCTCCATCACCTGTTGTTTCGATACACACCCTGTTACACACTGCTTTATCGTGACTTGTACGTCGTACGTGGCTGACACCTCTCAAGTCAGAATGATGTGGCCGTCCCACTACCTTCTCCCTTGGAAACGTCTGGCCTGGGTTTCACGATTGCTTCCAACCCCCCCATGTCTCAAACCTCAAATGAGCTCGCTGGTGATGTAATGAGACTGTGCGACGACGCGGACTTTCTGGTTCGCTCTTCTGTCGATGGTTCGACGTTCGCGGTCAGCCGGCACAGAATGTCTGCTGGCTCACATGTATTCAGTCCGTGCTCTCGCTTCCGATAGTTCGGCAGGCTCATAAGGCTTCTGCCACGCAGGCGACATGTTCACATGCTGCGACTCGGTCTCCTCTCAACACAGATCACACACTCTCGATCTCGACGAATCTCAGGGTTCGCTGACGTCCCTGCTTCGTCTGATCCACTCTCCGCCGTCCCCCCCGACTCAATTCATCCGCAAGCCGCGAGAGGAGAAGGTCAAGACACATCTGCCCGTCCGCTTCGACCTGTCTACAGCAATCCCGTTGCCCATCCTGCGGCTTCTGCTACAACTGGCCGACAAGTATGCGCTGTCAGATCCGGAGTCCCTCAAAGCGTTACGGGAACACCTCTTGGCCTATGCTCCCACCGATGGGCTGGAAGTCTACGGTCTGGGCTTGCGATACTTGGATCTGATCGGAGAGCATGTTGTCAACGAGGCCAGCCAGTATATTTTCCCTCTGCCGACCTACTCTCTGGACCAGATTCAAGTGGTTCCCTCCGTTCATGACCATCATCGCATTCTAAGGCTTCAGAACTTCCGCGCTAAGGCCTTGCAGAAGATCGTAGTCGAAGAAGACTTGTTCCCGCATGGTGAGCAGCCCGACTTAGCACTGCCGCATAGTCTCATCTGCCTTCTCGGTCAGGTTATGGAACGTGCGATACGCATAAGGACCACGCTCTCTCGGAATGGGATCGCGCTTGCTTGGTTCTCGCTCGGAAAGTCGAATCCAGTGAGCAGCGTGCACTCCGCTCGGCTCGCTCGCTTTCTGACACGTTCCAGATACCGATGTAGCGGGCGAAATCGCCGAAAACCTGCTGGACGTCAAGCCCTTCGACCAATGCGAGATCTGCAAGAAGGCCTTGACTGCGGTCGTCGACCTGCTGGCATACAAGTGTCGGAGACTGCCCAGACGGTTGAACGAGATGTCAGCAGACGTATCGGTTCCGCAGACATAAGTCCCAGTTTATCTGATTAGAACAGAACGTCTATAGTGCGAGGGTATCGTAAATGCATTATTGATTATGCCAGAGAAGAGTCTTGAGGTTCTTCCATCGCTCGCTGTCCCGATACAAGTAGGTCATCGAGTTGAAGAGACCAGGTTGAATCGTTTGCCCTCGCTCCTCGAATAGCCACATGATGCTTCCCCAAGCAAGGGCAGCCAGGACAGTGAAGTATCGCGAATCTGGAGGTACGGGCCGAACAGAGTCTCGGGACACGGGAGGAGCAGAGGTCGCGGAAGAGATCCGAGGCAGGAACGACGTGATCACGCGCGACACAACGTAGAGGACGATCTACACGTCGTAAGCTGAACGCTCGCATGGTCATGGGTCCACATACCTGTTCGTTCACCGCTGTCCTTTCTCCGAACACGATATATCCACCCAAGAGGCCAGCCAGGAATGTATCCGAGTTCCGCGGTTTCCCACCGTTTGCCTTGTTCTGAACGAGCATGAAGACTTTGTAGAGCGTCACGAATTTAGCAAGATTGAACGCATGTTGTTTCGTGGCGCGGAAGATGTGAGTGGCACGGGATCTCCAGCTTCAAGATCTCAGTTCAGTTATCGAGGCAGAAGCGGGATGAATGGTCTCGAACGTACTCGCCGCGACCAAATAGTATAGCCATCACAAGCGCATGAGGAAATCGGACTTTGGCGCCATAAACGAAGCCATTGCGGGCGCCCTTGATGATGGCAAGGTACGGCTGGAAACCGGGGTTGGAGAGAATGGAATCGAGCGCAGACGTATCCATCTATGAGGCGCGAATAAACCCGTCGTGGTTGTGGTCGAAGCTGGACTCGGCCCGAGCGTGGCCGCACTAGCTCATATGCATTTATCACATGCTTGCGAACATTTGAAAATCATGTACGGAAAAACTATAATACTAGGCGAGGAAAGTTGGCTTTAGATTGAAAGTCGTCATTCATCGAGAACGTGCCAGCGGTCAACCATTCGAGCTGGATCTCCATCAGCAAACAATCAAACGAATGGCAGTAAACTTGCCCCTTCTTTGTTGGCTTCGCTGGGCGCGTCTGTTTCCGCCTGGATGACAACAAATCTTCGGTAACGCCGCATTATGCTGGGCTGGATCTGTATTCGAGAGAGATCGTCGGATATTTCTGTCTCAATTGAACCCAGCCGTTCGTCTTGGGTCACGTTCAAGTATTTGGCACTGAACACATTCATGCAGTATTCAAGAAAGTCTCTGGGCTCAGTAGGTCGCGCAAGCCAGGTCTCTCGAACCCAGTCGTTGGCTTCTTCGTTCGGAGGCGGAGCCTGGAATACGGACACGTGGCCATTGCCGATAGCTTTCAGTAGCGTCTCGAAGACAAAGGTGCCTCTGGACAGGACTCGTGATTAGTGTGGAAGAGAGAAGCGCAAGACCCACGAATCGAGAGCAGCGAGAGGATCGCTTTGCGAATCCCAAAGCTTTGCGGCCATTCCCAAAACAGAGGGGAGGATGTAACAGGTCCATAGTGGATGTTTAGCGATCAGAAGCATTCGGGTCACAGTCCCCCACGGATCCTCGCAGAGAGATCCAGGGGTGAAGGTCACTACTCCGCCTGCAACAAGTTTAAATTCCTGTTGGATCAAAGCACGGCAGAGAAACCGACCGAGCGGGTATATTTCATGCACACCCCAGTTGTAGCGCGGCACTGTCTCATGCATTCCAAAGGTATAGAAATGAACGCCACAACTTTTGCTTCGCTTTTCCGCGATGCCCGGGAGCTTGCGGATAGTGGCTAGTGCCTTGACATGGACAAAAACGACTCGAGATTCCTTTTTGAACCCTACTCGCTGTGCCTTGCACTGATCGAGAATCTCGACGAGATATTCTGTTTGACGGTGAACGTGATAATCCGGTGCCGACGTCGCTGGTGCCTGTGGATCGAAGGGAGGCCAGATCGCGTAATCGCGATGTGGCTTTTTCATCCACTGATGGAGGCCGGCAGGAAAGTCAAGGATCCGTAATCCGAGATCGTACTTGCTCGGGCGGTGGCTCCTCGAAAGCGAGTTGTTTGCACCGATCATCCCTGTGCCCGGAATCAAGATGGCAATGAACAGACTGGCAGGCATATCCAGAGGAGGTCGGGGAAACGGCGGCGGCGTCCTAAATGCCGTGGGAATCAACAGTAGGCACCGAGTGCCCTCCTTGACTGGAATCAATGCGCCCTGGAGATTATGAATGAACCGCCAGACACAGCTGGAACACACAAACTTGTCTTTTCTTGATCAAGTACTTTTCAATGTGACGCAACTTGATGCCGTCTGACTCTGAGGGTGAGTCGAGACGACTCAGCTGGAACTCCGTTCGACAAGTTTTGAGGTAATGGGCAATGTCCGCCACATCAGAAAACCCCGAGAGCTCGAGCTGGTCAACTGATCCCAATGCATCACTGATAGTCAGCGTTGGGGCTTTGGCTTGGCCCAGAGGTAGAAACGTGTCTTCTAGTAGGATTTCTAAAGCCTCTGCAGCCGGAGAAATGAGCTTTCCGGCCCAACGGAATCGCTTCTGTATCCTACAAAGAGAAGTGAGACTAGCTTCACGGCCGGGATGGATCAAACCTCTCTACGGGTATCCGGGCCTTAGCAGCCAGTCTAGGGTCTACCGTTCTATACGCACTTGAAGATTCTCTATGTCAAGCTGAGCAACAAAAGCAAACAAGGTCGACCTCACGCAGTAGGAGCAGCTGGAGGCGGCCTACGCTAGTCAGTCTTGCATCGAAACATCAACATGCACACGTACTTTGGTTGCGGTAGAGTGATATTTTTAAGAAAGTCTTCTACATCCCTCACGTTTGTTGTGGGAGCGCCTAGTCGCCGGGAAACTCTGAGGGATTTGAGAGGGGCAATCAACTGAAAATCAAGACTGACAATGGGGCCGATTCTATCTCCTGTTGTGGAACAGCATCCAGCGTAGCGGACGTTGGTACATCGGGCAACGGATCAACTTGCATCCCCATATCGTCTGCATCATCGAAAATCGGGTCCGGAGCAGGCTTGGGCCGCTTGGGCAGTGCAAGCCTTGCTGGTGCTGATGAGCTGCTGCTTGCAGCAGGCATGTTACTGCTACTTGCAGCGTCAGATATCTTTGGATATTTTTTGATCTTCATGTGGGAGAGATTCGGGGCAATCCGACGGGGAATGTCGGTAGAATTGGCCTTCTCCAGAGCCAGAGCAGCTTGACCAAGTCTCATCTTGGTGCTGATCCCGACTTGCGGTATTGGAGACGGTACAGCGGGTGGATTCGACGAAGCCGTGGCCCGAGAGGGGAGGGGGGGCCTCGATGTCTTCAAGGTAGTCGCCCCAGGAATTACAGTAGTTTTGCTCGAGGATGGAAATCGCGAGGCTGTCGGAGCAGTTGCTGGCTTAGAGAGAACAGGCAATGATGTCGGTTTTTCTGCCTGTTTGAGGGTTGAAGCCATAGTTTGGGGTGGTGGGATTGGACTTTTCGCTTTGGCAATCTGAACGCTGAGACTGATCTGAGGAGAACCCGGCGGGCTGGGTGGGAACAGTTCTGCGGCCGCTGCCGCTGCCGCAGCGTTGATTGGAGACGCAATTCTCTGTACGACGCTAAAGAGAGAGCTCTCGAGATGTTCCGCGACATACCGGAGCTTTGCTGGTATCGTCCCGTTTTGCGGCTGAAGTGCTTGCGTTGGATTTCGCGCCCTGTAGGACATGGAGGGTGAGAAGCAGTCCGACAGAGATCCGCAAGATCTGCAGCCACACCTTGTCCGAATCTTGTCTTCCTTTCCCTTTCCCTTTCCCTTTGTTCGAAGTTTCCTGAGTGAAATTCTCAGAATTAAGAGATCATAGTCCAATGTATGAACGGACTGGTTGAGACTTTTGGAACCGGGACAAAGGTACTTCCTCCTCCGACTCCGTTTCAGAAGAGGACTCCTGCATTTTCGACTTTTTCTTGGGTGGTGCCGCCACTGTCTTCGATGCAGCTTTGCTCTTTGTGGGAGGCCTGGAGACAGATGCCGCAGATACGCTCCGTGAGGAGGATCCATTTCGCTTGCGCTCTGTCTTTGCCTAGAAATATACATTGAGAGAACACGCAAGAAAGACGTTTACGAGGCTCACCGCTTTCAGTGCCGCGATCTTTGCCTCCTTCCTTCGCTCAGCTCTTTCCTGCTGTCTCCGAGCTTCCTCCTTCTCTTTCGCTAATTCATCTTTTGCCCGTTTACGCTCCTTCCCTGCCTTGGTCAGCATCTGAGAGCCGGTTAGAGCAGTTGTCGACGTACTGATCCACGCCGGTTTCGCCTCGACCTCATAACCCACGGGATAGTCATTGTCATCTGTCCCGACGTTGCTCCAGAAGCTCGTAAGAAGTCTTTGGCATGCTGCGACATTCTCGGCAGGCTCCCATCTGGCGCATCCTCAGTTCAGTATGAGTTCAGGCGAGGGTGGATTACGCACGAATCTTCGTCTTCGTCATAGCCCACCCACTGCAAAGATGGTCAGCACAATCATCTGTAGAGTCAAGTTTCCAAGAACCTTCACGTAGTATTCCTGCAGAAGACATTAGGTACGTGATACATGTCCAGCGTACAACCCTACCCAATTGCCTTGTCTGTGTGGTGAATCAGGTCCAGGATTCACGACTCGAGCTTTCGTTATAACCTCTACAACATAGCCCTCCTCCTCTTCTTCCTCTGATTCATCTCGTTTCCGTTTAGTGTCTTTCCCCATGTTGCTCTGTGTTATTTGATAAGATTGAGATTGGAGAAGCAGGCGCTGATACGTGACACACACCATCTCGTCACGGCTCAGCTCAGACTCTCAGGAAGACTTTCAACATGTCGAAGGCAAAATCCAAACAAGAAGAGGCTCTGGCATTTCTTGACGACCTCGATAACTTTGCACCTCCATCGTCCGACTCTCGCGGGGCCCCTGCCGTCGGTACAACTCAACCTAGCGCGCAGGGTGGTGAAGCCGAGGTTCTAGCATTCATCGACGAAATCACGCAGAAGAGCGCTGAACCGACTCCCCGTACTCAAGTCGAAAGGCCCGCTTCCCGTTCAGGAACTCCGACTCTGCGAAAGAGTACAGAGCGAGTCAAGTTGGGTGGCGGCACTCCCGCTTCTCTCTTGAGGACGCCCTCGAGCTCATCGCTACGGAAAGACGTTACCAGCGCTCCTGTACCGGCTGCTGCTGCTCCAGTTTCTAATGCTGCAGGTTCCACCTCTAGTGGTGCTGCGGGTGGGTGGGGGTGGGGGTCCGTATGGAACAGCGCCTCGGCTGCGATCGCGCAAGCCAAATCCGCCGTCGATGAGCAGGTTAAACATCTTCCGAATAACGAACAAGCGCGTAAATGGGGTGAAGGGGTGATCGAGTACGCGAAGACCGCCCAGCTAGATAAAATCAGTCAGTGAGATCTACCGTCTATACGCCAATTGACCCGCAAATCAGGTCAAGACTTCAAGCGAGTCGGATTGTCGACGCTCACTGATATACTCAACGTTGTTGCCCCTCCGATCTCTGAGCACGAAGTGAGATTACATCTCCCAGTGGTCCTCTACTCCAGTTCGCTCATCCGAACCATTCATCAGGTCATTCAAGTCTGGCTGAGTCACGACATGCGTGGTCATGAGGGTATTGAATCTCTTGTCTACCGTGCCCTTGCGAGAGTAGGTTCTTCATTTGATATTGCACGCTCAGTCTCAATGCTTCATGCAGATTATGGAACAAGTAGAAGGAGGTGACCTGATCGTAAATCGCGGTGATGAATCGAAAGCCAAGGAAAACGCCGCTCCGGGAGAGATTTGAATCCGGTGGACGGACTTGAAGCGGCTGTGAAACTTGCCCAGGTAAGTTGTCATAGTTGTTCCTTTTCAGTTGACCACAACATATGCAGGCCAATCTCGATGAATTGTTCAAGGCAAACGTCCCGATCCACACGGCGCAAACTGCCCAATCATCTGTCCAGACTCCGACAACTTACTCACATGTTTATCTCCGGATCCAACCCTTCTTCGCTTTGTCCTCTCTCAATTCGAATTCACAGTCCCAGCAACTACAGTTCCTTATCCATCTCAGTGACCCGGCCCATTCACTATCACACAGCACTGTAACACAGTGTATTCCGGGATCCTGGCTTTCAGATACGATGTGGGATCGCTATGACTGGGTGGAGGATCTCGTCGCTGAAGCGCTGCGGGTTGGTGTGGAGGTCATCGGGCAAGAATATATCGTGAGTCGAATGGGATGGGGGGATATTAAGATTCCAGTGGACGGCATGGGTGTCGAGAAAGTAGAAGAGGTTAATGGCGAGCCAGGCGAACTCGTCGAGAAACCCCAAGTTGGTGAAGCTTCATGAAACGTTTCTACGTGCCTCCGCTCTTTCTGTATAACACGCACTCTACACATGGATTCTTTGGCTACGCGTAACTAATCAGCTCTTCAAGGCTTCTTGGCTTCCGGTTCGGCTGGAGGAGGAAGAGGCTTCAACTGGTCTGGACGCGGAGCCGTGGTTCCGTCTCCAACTTGTTCCCAGGGAGACAGAGATTCAAAATTGCTGTGGGGGTGGAGTTGTCAGCAGCAAACGGGTAAGGCGACCATCAATATAAACGAACCGGAATGCTTGGGTCAGTTGCAGAGGTTCGTAGACGACGCGCTTGCGCTCTTCGTCATACCGAAGCTCGGTGTACCCCTGCCGCACGTTTAGAGACGTAGAAACAATCACTACGAAACGTACGGTGAGAGGGAAATCTTTGCGGAGGGGGTGACCCTCAAAACCTTGGTGGAATCAGCATTTGAAAAACATGATGCTTATAGAAGGACGTACCGTAATCGGTCAAAATACGGCGACTGTGATGCCAGTGACGACGATGGTCAGTTGGGAACAGAAGAGGATTCTGAAACAGCGCACAGATCAGGATGGCCACTGAAGAATACGCCGTACATGTCCCAAACTTCTCTCTCGTACCTGAGAGTCGATTTGCACAAGCAATAAGAAAAGCGGCGAGATACGTACCAATCTGCGCTCCGGAAAACATTCGCTGCACTAGGTACATGATCTCCTTCGCCGGCATAGGTCTTGACCCTGATCCTTCCTTGCTGCGAGGTGCTAAGCAGATGATATACGACCTCGAATCGCTTGTCGCGCTCCGGGAAGTCCGCCGCCGTCACCTGCATGAGGTACTTGAACTGGCAGCGCGAGTGATCCCGAAGGAATGTGAGCAAAGGAACGATGGCAGAAGCCGGTGCATAGAGAGTGAGCTCGTCACGAGAGACGGAGAACTGCTGGATGAATTTGGGCATGCATTGAGTGAGGTATGATCCGTAGGTGTGAAGCTCGGAGGTCGCCTGCGCGTATTTTTCCAGGGTAGGGTTAGGAGACGTCGGCTCTACAAAGGGGGAAGTGGATGCAAGAGCTCTCGAGGAGTTGTGCAGGGCCCGTGAGCGTACAGCTACAAGCTGCCTTGCGAGCACCTGGCCGATGCGAAGAGACATGGTTTGGTAGCACAGCCACTCGTTCGCGATGTACAAACTTGTTGCTCAGGACCATGACTGAACTCCTCGATTCTCTTCCGTACTATGACAACGACGTAGAACGATATCCTGGGCTGAAAGAAAAAGTTGATCGTGAACTGGCGCGTCAACCAAAGCCGCCAACGGAACTACATCCACGCGTCCCGCCAGAGTACAAACTGTTCGCCGTCAGTAAGAGCTCTATTCTCGAATCCTTGCTGATTTTTCTGCCCTCGTAGAAACATCCTTTACTCCAAGCGGAGCTCGAGCGCGTCGAGGCACATCAAGAATTTCCTCGACTCGATGCGCTCCGTTACCAGCTGCCTGCGCCCTCAGCTCCAGGGACAGATGAAGAATGGCAGGCGGCGCTCGACAATGCGAATGCTCAATTGGAGCATCAGCGAATGCGGTCAGTCTGAACAAACGCTTGCACAGTGCCGTCTCTTATTTCCCAAAGACAAACGAATCTGACGTTACTCCAAACGTATGGGTCTAATGCATGGAGAATTCATAATTATCTCCTCGAGTCGACGGTAAAACAGACGGAGCAGGCGCTTGAGGACTTGAAGCTACTAACCGTGGACGTAAATCGGGAGCGTAAAAACACGCAGACCAAACTCGGCGCCCAGTTGACCAGCCTCGAAACAAGATGGACAGAGCTGATTTCGAATGTCCTTCAGATCGAACTGGCTAATGTAGCACTGGATGCGGAAGTGAACGCATTGAATGCTCGAGAATCGGAGTTGGCAGAGTTGACGAAGTAGGGTAGACGAACATTATCTCGAGTGTATGCATGACTTGTATCAGGGTGTGGTTCAAGACCAACCCAAATTTGTATACGCTTGTGTTTGGCAACCTCCGTTGCAGCACCTTCCAGTGTCGCTACTCATAACCCGCAGTTTCGCAGCGCAAGCCACCTCAGGCTAGGTCTTACCTTCCTATGGCGTACTATTCTTCTTTCACTGAATAACATGCATGTAAAAGGTCTCAAAAGCATTCTACTTCGTGAAAATTTCCATTGGAACTGTCTCTATATCTGGTCTATGGCCGATGAAGACGCCACGAGCTCGAACATCCTACCTCAACTGAACGACGCACCCGAGAGCGCCTCGACTGTAGCGCCGTCTGCGACAGCCTCCGAATCGATAGCCGCGTCAGCCTCCGCACCGGCTATCCGTCCATCACTCGTCCCCCTCGGCGGTTCCAGTTCGCAGACGGCCGCAACACCACCTACGAAAAAATTCAGCTCAGTGAACATCAACAAGAAGTTTCTGGAGAAGAACTCTTCCAGTTCGTCAGCGTCGGGTGCATCGCATATCGCAGCCAGCAACGCTAGTTCAGGCGTGGGGAGCAAAGGGGGGAAATCTATTAGTGTTGCCACACGTATGTCCCTTCTATGCACCTCGCTGCGTTATCATAATCATCGTTCGTTTCTCGACTAGCACGTCCTCAAGTTCCTGCTTCAACTTCACATTCGCGTCTAGTGACCACCAAGCTCACTGTCGCGCCATCATCACAATCTCTCGCTCCGCCAAGCGCCGGCTCGGGCTGGTCACGCTCTCCATCTGCGACACCTGCACCTGTCGCCCAATCCAATGGACCTGTGGACTTCAAGAACGCGCAACTACGACGAGGCGATTCCCTGAACAATGTTGGCCCTGGTGGAAGCGCAGGACCCAATGGACGCGCTGCTTGGGGGAATCCCAAAACTGGGATGAGGCATCCTGACATGGCATCGCAAACCGACTTTCCGACTGCCGCAGAAGGTGCGTGATGTGTTCTCGACCCATTGTCCCCTCACCGATGGATCGCAGCTGCCGTGCCTCGTTCAACGAAGCCATCTCTCTTGGATCGCAATGCTGCAGCGGCTGCAGCGAAGGAGGCGGCAGCAGTCGAAATGGCTCACAAACTCGCACGCATGGAAGAGGCGGACACATTTCGTGGGGTGCATCTGGATCCGAATGCTCATCATTGGGATGATGTGCGTTCAACCACATTGCGATTGATCCACATTCTGACGTTGACCTGACTAGATGGAAGAGGACGACGATAACTTTCTCGATGGCGTTCTCGAGTTCGGTGACGGTCGACAGTACAAAATTGAACCAACCCCAACTACTGCTGAAATGGAAATTCCTCCACCTCCGCCAGCTGCATCGTTGACATTTCCACCATCTCCTCCTCCTCCAACTTCTGCAAAACCAGAAACTGTCGCCAGGCCTGACTCGCGGTCAACACGTTTCACCGATGATGATGATTTCGATCGCTCTTGGCCCCGGTCAAAGCGAGCTTCGCCTGCTGTCTCGACGGGTGATCTCCCCACAGCAGCTGTCGGACCCAGCCAAATCTCACCAGCCGTGTCGTTCAATGAAGGTCGAAGCGGAATGCTTTTCAACGAACGGTCAAACAAATTCGAGCCAGTGAACCGTGGACCGCCAGGCCAAAAACGCGGCGAAGGGGTTTCCCCAACGGAGTCTAGGCCCGGTCGTGACTACGGATTCTCTAGGGCTGAAAGTGACCGTGTCCAGGTACTGCAGAACAATCGAGGTCGTCCCACTTCGTTCCAAGGGAGCAGGCCCCCTTCTGTTGCACCGCCACCTAATGCATGGTCACGTGGGCCAGAGCCCGAATCTCGAGGACGTAGACTGTCCAATATGGGGCCACCCCCAGTGCCCAACTCTGTCGGGAGACAGCTTCCACCACATCTAAGTCCCAATCCTGTTGCTGAGCCGGAAGGAGCCCCTTTGAGGCGGCCCTCGACGTCACGCGACAGTCGGAAGACTCCGGCGTCGTCTGTGGCACCGTCTCCAGTCATTGCTACGGTATCATTAGCGGAACACCCTCTGAGTGGTGCCGACCTCGATGAGGCGCGTAAAGATGTCATGCAGTCGGCTGCAGCAAGGGCCAAAGCGCGTCGGCAGCAAGAAGAACTTGAGCGCGAACAAGAGCGCGAACGAGCAAGGAGGAAGGCAGCTGAGCTCGAGGAGAGGATGAAGGCTCTGGAGGAGAAGAACAAACCACTGTCGCCTGTGATTTCCTTGGAATCTGTGAGTTCAACACTGCTGGTAGTCTTGATCTTTTACCAATCTGTGCTTGTAGGAAGCTGTCAGTCTGATTGAGGCCGCGATCAAAGATGTCAAACCTCCCGCGCTGCAATCCGCACCTCAACCTTTAGATGTTTCTGTTTCGCAGCCTGAGCTGTCCTGGAGAAACAAAACGGTGCCGCCACCCCCCAAGATATCCGCCCGTCCTTCATTCGTTTCGACGCCGACGGCCTTGGAACAGGTCGAGTCGCTTGTGAAAGATACAGAAGAAGAACTGGAGGTTGTGGACTTTGCTGAATTGGGAAAGTTCATGGGTGTCGGTCCAGTGGACACATCGACCATCACTCCGCTACCATTGACTCCTGGTCCTCCCTCGCTCAGTCGGCCAGGTCGGCCGGTTGCAAGCGACTTTTTTGACGATCGGCCTACTCGGACGTTTGAGCTGAATGCCGGAGCACCGACAGATAGAACCAGCGGACCCACCTGGAGGCGACGGAATCCGGACGATGCCGTCATCGATCAGAGCAAAGACCGACCGGCAAAAGATGTCCCTGAGCCGGTCGAATTGGCCGGACATTCCTCTCCATACCTGGCTCGTGCCGTCCGGGCCCCAGGCTCCTTCAAGGAGGCGCCTATGACCGCGTTGGATGAGTTCATGTCGCGCGTGAAAGGCGCCATCGAACAGAACAGCGTCGGCGAGCGGGAAGTTCGACCTGCGGAGCCGCTCGCACCGGCACGTCCAGTCGCCCAGCTGGACCGATGGGCACCACCGCCACGTGAGGAGATCACCACCGCATGCGAGCCTCCTAGCTCCAAGTCTGTCTGGAACACGTTTACTGTCCGCTTACCCAAGGTTTCACGGGTGCTGGGCAAAGACGTCCATGTACCAAAGCGACAGGAATTCGTGCGCTGGGACATTCTTTCGTTTGATCCCCCGGTGGAGGGAATGACTCGCCGCGATTTCACTGTCAACAGCGTCTTGTTCAGACATCCGGGCAAATGGAAGCCCAAGATCAGAGTGGTGTTGCCGCGGCCTCGGTCCAATGGCCCGCGCGTTAATATCCCTGCCCAGCCCAAGAGCGCTGGGTCCGGGCTGTATGTTCGACCGTCCGTTGCAGACAACTTGCCCAACTGGCGCAAACCGCAACCAGAGCAGCCAGAAGCAGGCCTGAATCCAGTCAGCCGGTCGCCACCCCCCCAAATGCCCTCAGATCCGACCGCGAGTTTCACACCCAAAAGCGATGGACCAGATGCATTTGGCCCGGCTCGGCCGCGCTCACGGCCGAAAATGCCACCGGGTTCTTCTGTAGCGTTTTACCGAGAGTCGACGGCTGAGGGATCGGAGGCCGCTCCTGTGAGTTTCATCGTGCACAGTGAGCTGGAGAGTCTGGAAAAGGAGTCAGGTGAACCGGTATGTTAGTTTCTTGTATCCGACCATCTACTCTCATATCCTCAGATTGCCCCTTCTTGGACGCTGACTGTGCCAACCAAGGAAGCGGTTCCAGGGCCCGACAGGGAACTGCTCAAGGCTGTGTGGTCGTCCAACATGCCCGGAATTCACACAGTCAACTCTCTGGAAGCCATCGCAGACGATCTTGGCGCCATCCCCTTCACGCTGCAAGATGTGAAATCAGAAGACGGTGGCACACCCCCACCCACCGCCGTCACTCCAGCCCCGTCACGAATCACGCTCACAGATGTCACACGCGCATTCCAGGTCCCGACGTCGTCCCCTGCACAGCCCCAACGGCCATCCATTTCCCCTCCGTCGACGACAGCGCCCGTCGTCCGTCCTCCAGCGTATTCCCCCTACGCAATGCCTCCGAACCCGATGATGCGGCCGGTGCCGAACTATGGCTATCCACCGATGATGGGATCACCAATGATGGGATCGCCGATGATGTCACCCATGGGCATGTACCCGATGCCTCAGAACCCGAATTCGATGCCCCAGAACCCGATGGCGCCAAGTCCCGGGCCTGGGCGGATGCCTATGAACGGTGCCATCTACAGCGCACCTGTGTGGATGGGACCGCAGATGCGTGCTGGACCATATCCCCCGTACATGCCATATCCCTCGCTCGGGCCACAGCCCACCGCATCCCCGGCGAACGCCGGTCGGGGGCGACCTCCGATGAGCCCCGTCTCGCCATTCCCGGCCAGTCCGATCCTCATGCACGCCCCGGTGGGTGGGTATATGCCCGGTCAGAACGGACATCCCCCAATGCCGCCCAATGGGATGCCCAACGGCCACGCGTACAACCCGCCTCCCTCAAATTCGTTCGCACGCCCCCCTTGGTGAATTAGCATTATTCTCTTTTTCTTCTTTCGTGTGTATATATCAGATTTTGCAACATTTCCGTTGATTCACAAGACATATAAACAATCGACATCTAAGCCGCAGCCAACTGAGCAGCACGCTCGGCCGCATCGTCTAATCCGTCAAACGCGATGATCTTCAGCCCGGAATCCCGGATCATCCTGGAAATTTTTCAGAACATGAGCAGAGATAAGGGAGAAGCACAGACTGCTTGGCCTCGGCTTCTTTGGTGCCCTTCAGACGGACAACGAGAGGAATCTCCAGAGAGAGCTCTTTGGTAGCCTTGATGACACCCTCAGCAATATAATCACAACGCATAATTCCTGGAAGAATAATTATTCAACGAACAGTTTTCAGGTAGAGGATGCTCTCTTACCTCCAAAGATGTTAATGAAGATACATTTCACTTTCGGATCGGCAAGCAAAATCTCAAAAGCCTTCTTGACAGTTTCGGGGGTAGCACCTCTGCGGATATACTTTCAGACAGGGCATGAGACGGCAGAGCAGAGCGTACCCTCCGACGTCAAGGAAATTGGCGGGGTTGCCGCCATGTAAGGAAAGCACGTCCATGGTGGCCATAGCCAATCCAGCCCCGTTTACAAGACATCCGACACTGCCATCCAGCTTGATAAAGTTGAGGTCGTACTTGGCAGCCTCCACTTCAGATGCCTCCTCTTGAGTGATATCACGGAGAGCAAAGACGTCTTGCTGGCGGAAGCTGGCATTGTCGTCGAACCCGAACTTAGCATCCATGCTGCAGACAAGAGATTTCAGCAAAACATCGCGAAAATTAGTGAGATTACAGTATTTACCAGAGGACAGCACCATCTTCGGTCTCAGCCATAGGGTTGATCTCGATTTGGGTAGCATCCTTCTCCTTGAAAATCTTGACAAGGTTGGTGAAGATGTCAGCAGCCTGCTCCTTAGCGCCATCTTTGAACCCGAGCTTAGTGGCCACCCCCAGCGCCTCGGCGTTCGTGAGCCCAGTCTCGTAGTTGATGGGAGTCGTGATGATAGCATCCGGATCCTTCGCTGCGACTTCCTCGATGTTCATACCACCCTGAGCAGACGCAACAAGAACGATGCCCTGAGAAACACGGTCGTTCAAGACAGCGACGTAGTACTCATGTGTCGGGTTGCGGCGCTCCGCCAGCATGACGGCGTTGCACAACCGCCCACCGGCACCAGTTTGCTTGGTGATGAGCTTGGACCCGATCATCTTCGACGCGAAGTCCTGCGCCTGTTCTGGGCTGCAGGATTGTGTGAAACGTCAGTTGGGCATGCCGATCGTGAGAAGGAAGCGCACCTGCTAATCATATGCACACCGCCCTGCAGACCGGTATCGAAGTGGCCCTTTCCTCTTCCGCCGGCAAGGACCTGGGCTTTGATGACCAGTTGGTCCTGGCCTAGAGCGACGGTCAATAACAAGTTCGACGTTACAACGCTGGCGGACGAACCAAAGTTCTTTGCGACATCGAATGCCTCTTCGGGAGTTTTCGCAGCAATGCTCTTCGGGGTAGGGATACCGTACTGTAGGGTAATGAGGCTCCTAGGGCTCTAGGTGAAAGGCAGAATTTACAGAGTTGAGCAATTTCACGGATTGGTATTCGTGGATGGAAAGAAAGCGCCTCTGACCTGCAGACGCAGCCTACGAAATGGATTAGAGACAGAGAAAATGACAGCGCGTCCGGGTAGCGTACCCGTGTAAGGGTGCGGGCTTTCCGGAGGGATGAGAGCATTGCGCGAAGAGGATGTAGGGTCACGTACGGGTCACGTCACACGTACGGAGGCCTGTGTTTTAAGTATAGACTGGCAGGACGCACAACACCGCCGAATAGCGGACATAGACCTAGAGCTCGCCTTAAGGCCACTCCCGGCATATCTTCTCTCCTTCCTTCCTTCCGCCGGCATCAGCATCGGCCAAACAGGACGGTATCTCAGGTGCTTCGCAGGAACTCATTCTTTGCTTGGATCTCCGTGACAAGTCGCCCGACAGCCAGGATCCGACGCCCGCTCAGCCTGAAGAATTCCCGTCGCAGGGTGTGCAACTGGGCTGGACGTGGAGGCAAATGGTGCGGAGTGATCGGCGTAACGCAAGCCATGGAGTGGGCTTGGCTAGAGTCATTCGCACTGGGCCTTCTCAAGACGAACTTCTTTCTTCACGTTCTCTTCGTCGTCTGACAGACTCGGATCCAATCTCCCGTGCCCTGTGAACTTCTTGTCTGAAGTTCCAGGCGTGATGTATTTATTCCCACGGCCATGATACACTCCGCTTCCGCAAGTACGACGTCGAACCTTTCGTTGAACAAAAGGGAGAGCCTCCGAGACGTAGCTTCCCGTGCACCTCTGCCGGGCCATATATTCACTTGTCAGTTCCGTTCCACTGCGATTCGGAGTTCCGGGTCCTTGTATTACCTAATATGGCAGTGGCGGTGCATCGTGAGTATAAAGCGGCGTCCGCCGAGATTTGTACCTCGTCCAGACCCTAGACGACGAGAGAAAGGTTCCTTGTTTTCTCTCAGTCTCTACTCTTCGAGAGACAAGGCCCTGGCAGACGGATCCTCCCCTTGAGTTCGAACGACTTATTTTGTCCCGTGGGTTGCTCGAAATTAGGTGGCAGACACAATCTTGTATCGTACATTTGTTGTATCCGGTCTTTTTTCGAAATCATATTGATCCTCCGCTAAGAGCTCGCGACCTCGGATGCGCAGCAGCGAGGCTGAGTAGAACGCCTTGCGGACAACGCGTTTTTGGTTTGATAGAGCGACTCGTGTTTACTCAACTTGCCTCCTTCCGCCATGCAAACTGCCGTCGAAAACGTGGTCGCTGAATCCAACTCTACGGCCGAGGCGTCGAGCTCTCTGGGTCAGTTGCTGAGCGTGTCGAAAATCGTTCTCCAGCAAGGTTCGCCGTCGTCTATTGTTCCTTGCCGTGAAGGCATCGACTACAGACGCGCCTGCAGGAATTGACCTACTGGACAACCATATCTCGTCAAACGACCAGCTATCCATCCACTCCCAATACCTCCCCGGGTCGACAATCGGTGCGTGCTCCTACTCAGAAATCGCCTCAGACATTTAGCGAGATCAGGGAAGCATCTGCGCCATTCAAGAGATCACTTCGAACTCCTGATGGACTCGATTTGCGATTCGTCTTCCACTCCCCATGTCTTCTCCTATGATGTTAGAAGGCGGAACACTCCCATGGAGCAGGACCAGGGTGCGTCGACCTTCGCTAGATTGTTTCCTCCTAACACAGACACAGGCGCTGCTAAGCAAGCCTTGCTAGAAACTGTCAAGCGATTGGAAACTATCGTTCCGAGCGCGGACCCTCGTACGGCCATGTCTCTGCAAGCAGTGACACCCTATCTCCAGGAATTTGAGACGACCTTTGGGCGAGAGGCAAGTCGATTGGAATGTTGCCTGTCTCATTGTTTCACGAGTATTAGTTATGGTTTGCGGTACTTCACTGTGTTCATCACTGGTCTATGGTTTGTGTACACGGCAACCTGCAGCGCATTGGATCACTGACAGAATGCTCCAGGTCCGCGTCATCGCCGGGGAGCTCGTCAGTTGCTCAGATATCAGACTTCATGGAGACTGATAACACTCGAATAGAAAATCAAGCTCGCAGATGACTTTGGATTCGCTCCCTCCACTCTCGTCTACCAGGGTTCGTCTGGCCTTTCTTCGTCTTCCTGACCCTTGGATCAACGGATGTAGGACGAGAGAGTGCCCCATTAGGAAAAGCGAAAATATAGTGTAGCGTTGTAGCTATTCCTCACTTCCTGATTACCATACTTGCATATACGCCTGTGTACTTACTACTCGCCCTTTTGGGATTCCATTCAGCTGCTTGTCGCGTGCGATCAATGGTGGCGATACACCTAGCTTCATCAACAACCACTCACATCCATCCACCTTCCTTAATTATGAGGCTCTGACGAACGCGACTACAATCATAAAAATGGCACATATGATTCCTCTCGAAGGAGAGACGAACAAGAAGCGTGTTGTGAGCTCGGTTCTGTTTTATTACACGACATTCTGTTGATCGGTACGCTCTCAGTGTTACTTCTTCGATTCCGACATTGGAGGTTTCCATTATGGACCTGGGCACCCGTACGATCTTGCAAAACCTCCACAACTCAGTCGAATCTGATTTTATCCGTGCTTTTAGTATGAAACCCACTCGCATACGAATGTGCCATTCTCTTGTCATGAACTACGGTTTGTACAAGAAAATGGAGATCTTCGCGAGTAATCGACTCTCGGCATCCGTCTCTCTACTTATACAATTCCCAGCGAGCCAAACCTGCGACCAAGCGCGAAATGACGCAATTCCACTCTGATGAATACATCGACTTTCTGAACCGCATCACTCCCAGCAACATGAACTCGTATGTCAAAGAGCAGCACAAATGTCTGTCGACTCTCTTTTTAGAATGTGCATTGTCGAACCTCCCTCCCCAGATAACGTGGGCGATGACTGCCCGGTGTTTGATGGCTTGTTCGAATACTGTTCGATCTCTGCCGGAGGCTCGATGGGTAAATCATCTTTGCTTTAATCGGCGTAATTCTTGCTTGATATTCCTCCAGAGGGAGCTGCTCGATTGAGTCGAGACAAGTGTGATATTGCGATCAATTGGGCTGGCGGGCTTCATCATGCGAAGAAAACAGAAGCGAGCGGTTTCTGCTACGTCAATGGTGCTCTATCATTGATATTGGAGGGCAGTCATGTGCTGACCACCGCACAGACATTGTCTTAGGCATCCTCGAACTTCTTCGGTACATCACGTGTCACTCTACGAATTGTCTTGTGCTGACCTCCGGTGCAGATATCATACCCGCGTTTTGTACATCGACATTGATGTCCATCATGGAGATGGCGTTGAGGAAGCCTTTTATACGACTGATCGCGTTATGACTGTTAGTTTCCACAAGTACGGAGAATACTTCCCTGGAACAGGCGAACTCAGAGTGCGGCTCCACGTTTTCGACGGTCTCGTATGCTGACGAATCGTTTGCCAGGATATTGGGGTCATGAAGGGCAAGAACTATGCCCTCAACTTCCCTCTACGCGACGGAATTTCGGACGAGAACTACAAATCTGTTTTCGAGCCTGTGATCCAACAAGTGATGGATACATATGATCCGTCAGCCATTGTACTGCAGTGCGGGACAGACTCACTCTCCGGTGATAAATTGGGCTGTCTTAATTTGTCTATGCGAGGTATGTTCATCCTTGTGATCAAACGGACTTCCACTTGACCCCACACAGGCCATGCGAACTGTGTCAAGTTCGTCAAGTCGTTCAATCGGCCGCTACTCTTGCTTGGAGGAGGTGGATATACCATGCGTAATGTGAGTCGGGCATGGGCTTATGAGACGGGATTGGCTGCCGGAGTCGAACTTGGGCCTGGTGCGTCAATTGTATTCAAACTGGAGCACGCGGCTGAACTTGCCCAACCAGAGATCCCGGTCAACGAATACTACGAGTACTTTGGACCCGACTATGAGCTGGATGTCAAGTCATCGAATACCGACGACCTGAACACCCCAGCATATCTTGATCGGGTGAAACGCATCGTCATGGAGAATCTGCGTCACACTGGAGGTCCACCAAGTGTCCAGATGAGTGGTATCCAGCCTTCTATAATTTCGACCGACTGGAACTCATCGTCATGCAGACATCCCCTCTCTGCCAATCGACATGGAATTGGATGATCCTAACCGAGACGAAGATCTCATTCCTGCTGATACGCGCCGACACCGCAGACTGCTAGATTCTCGAAGGCAAGCTGACGGAGAACTGTCCGACTCAGATGACGAGGGCGACGGCGGTCGCACGAACCATGCCAATCACAGACTTGCCGACAGCACCACTCGTTCGGCAGGAAATGAGGCTGCAGCAGGCCGCAAATTCGGCATCATGGCATCTGGGCCCTCTGCATCAGGTGCCGGGCCCAGTGGCCGCACGAGAGTTCTGTCCTCGGGGTCTGTGCCCCAGATGGATGTCGATAGTACAGCCAGTACTCCACCCTCGCAGAATGGTACCGCCACTGCCATGGTAGTAGATAGCACTGGCACGTCCTCTTAGCTTTCGATGTTTTTGTGCCGTTGTACTTATCCCTGTATATGTTGTCGTATCTTGAATCTTCTTACGCATCAGATAGTCTTGGATAGGTTGCCGAGGTACGTACGCCTTCAGCTCGGCCACCGCCCGAATATTCACTTTCGGGTGACATCCGCGTTCCTTTCTCCTCTTTGATGTAAAACGTAGCTGTCATCCAATCACGCCGCTTTGTTCTCTGAACTGTGCCCCATTGCGATCATCGCAGTCATGTTTTCCGCCCACATTACTCGCACTGGACACTTTGCTTGAACACTGAAATCTTGAGAAATGAAATCGATGGTTTCCCAACTTCTCAGTGATCTGCAGGCGAGCCGGAAGAATGGATTAATGACATATCACCGTTACGTCGACGGATTAACCTGCTTCTACTGTACCCTATAAAGACGCAGCTCGATACCTTTCCATCGCTACATTCAAGCTCTTTCCATCATGGTGACTTCTATCGATCAAGCTCGCTGCATCCTCGTTGTCGGCGCTACCTCCGGGATCGGACGCGCGCTTGCGCTCGCTATCTCTGAGCTGCCGAGCAAGCCCACCGTGATCGCTGCTGGAAGAAGAGCAGATCGCCTGGCTGAACTTGCCGCCAAGGGCCTGAAGACTGTCCAGCTCGACGTCACTGAGGATGATGCGGCGTTGAAGACCAAGGTCGACGCTTTGATCGCCCAGTACCCTACTGTATGTGTACCGGACGCGACATTTCCGGTATCCCGAATCTGAACCACGTCCAGCTCGACGGAGTCTTGCTGTGCTCAGGGATCCAATACCAGCAGAACTTCTTGGGCGAGGTCAAGCTTCAGGGTACGCGGCTTGTCTCCGATCTCGTTGCTGCTGCCTCTGACATCTGAATTGCAGAAATGAAGAAAGAAGTGCAGGTCAACTACTTGGCGGTGGTGACCCTCATCACGTTGTTCTTGCCGCACTTCCTGAAGCTTTCGGTGAGCACCATGCCATGCCCTTCCCGCAATTTGCTCAATCGCAACCGTAGGGCGAAGGACTGCCGTCCTGGATCATCCCTGTTTCCTCAGGCTTGGGCATCCTGCCTTCTAGCCAGATGCCCAACTACTCTGCGACTAAGGCCGCCCTGCGCAGCTTCACGATCTCTCTGCGCGACCAGCTGACTGAGACCAAGGTCGGTGTCATCGACATCATCCCGCCGTAAGTGGCCTGGCTATATGCGTGCCTTCAGCACTGATTCAAGTCCAATTCCAGCCTGGTCGAGTCTGAGCTGCACGATGGTGCGTCTTTTTGCAGTGGCGGGCAACGAATTCTCCGTGCTGATATGCTTTGACAGAACAAGGCACTACCGCATTCCTGTCGAAGATCTGGATGCCGCTGGTGGACTACACAGCCCACACGCTCAAGGGCCTGCGCGAAGGAAAGACAGATATCGGAGCGGGCATGTCCGAGAAGGGCGTCGAGCGTCTCATCGCTGCTGGGTTCAACGTCCCCATGCCCATTCCCAAATTCCACTAATTAGTGTCACTGCGAGTGCCCCGAATGTAATAATCACATGAAATGATAAACAGAAATCCCGTAGCAAGTGTCGAATGATGCAGCGCATCTTAGCGATTGGGTTCGTTTCGGAAACGGTCTCGAAGCAGATCGCTTCGGATTTCCTGCACCTGCCAGCAGCAATGCGAAATTGGAAGGGTGATACAACGTGCTGTCGTCAGAATGCGCCAGAAAGCAATGGTTTCTGGAATCTCAGTAGCATGATCACTATAACCTGCCTGCCACCGAGTGAGCTGACCGGGTGACTCCAGCTCGAGAAGATGCACTGGCTGCCAGCCTTCCGAAGCTCCAGACCATCCATGAGATCCCCGTCCACATATGTCAGTAACCTCGTGCTTCGTCGACAAAGGGTAGAGTTTGTGGCGCAGAAAAATGCAGCGAGGGCCAAGAGTTGTCCTTGTGGCCGCGTCGCGAGCAGGGATTCAGATGGGCGGACACTTTGATTTGCCGAGAGACCAGCCGGTCTTCTGAGACGAAGCTGAGTCTTGAAGAGTTCCCAGTGGGACAAGCAAGCGATACGGCTCTTTCGGAAATTGTCCAGGATCCGAACAATTGCATGGAGTTCTCTCCGTGGATGTATTGGAGAGGGATTGATCATGGTGAGCTGAGCAGGGCGAGCGAGACGATGTCACAACGCGTGATATGTGACACAACGCGTCAGTAGTGTCACTCCGCCAAGGTCTCTGCTGTGCTTGTGATGTCGCCGACAAGAATTCGTCCTGTCCTATGGCCCAGTGCACGTACAGGTAGCAGTTGAATTCGCCGGTAAAAAGCAATTCTTGTGGATACAAAGCGCACAACAGACAATTGTCACAGTGAGGAGGATAATATCAGCACCTGGATATGTAGACATACAACTGATCAGGTACCACCGGAATGAACAAAGTTTCGTAGGCACACACTTCTTACATACAGATTAAATCAGAGCAGGAGATTCAAGATTGTAGAAGTACGGGCTGTCACGGTCTGTGCCGCAGTTTCAACTTCCATTGGTTCGTGCAGGTAATGGCTCCAGATGTTTTTACCTCGGCAATCGCTTCGAGGTCATCTCCAGGCTTGAATTCAGCTCACCGAATATCTTGAAGTCTTTTGGAGATTAACTGTCCGACGGCGGCTATTCCAGGATGTATAGTATTTGCGGAGCGCTGGCTCGCCTCGTCTCGCACGGCGGCACTTACCGAAACCACGCCAGCGAAACACGATGCATTTCCACGGTCTCGGATGGGGTCGCCGGTTTACGTACTACAGCTGCATGGACATCGCCCCAGTCTCCGCACTCGGGTGTCTTCCGTGTTCTCTCCTGCCCTCTGTAAAATATTACTGTCATCCAATCACTCTGCCGAGGTTTCCTGCACTTTGACCTTTCGCGATCATCGCAGGCATGTTCAACCCTCTCGGGTCAAGAGCTTACTGTGCAATCTTTCGATGCTTTAACAAAATAAGGCCTATTCAATGGAAGGCGAAGAACAAGACAATTCAAACGCGAGATTTCCTAGATTTATCTCTCTGTGCCATCGCATACAAACTGCGCTGACAATGTGCGGCACACAGCCAGTGATCGCATCGTTTCTTACGCCCGCAATGTCGAACATGGTGTAAATCCCAGCATACTTCATCCTGCTTCTTATCCTGCTTCCCCACCAATCACCGTGAGAGTTGCATGCAACTGCATCGCTTGCCAACTGCAATATAATGACATACCAGCCTTACGTCGACGGATTAATCTGCTGCTGCCCTATAAAGACGCTCTTCGAAACCTCGGTGCCATCGCTACATCCAAGCTGTTCTTACCATGGCGACTTCCATCGATCAAGCTCGCTGCATCCTCGTTGTCGGCGCTACCTCCGGGATCGGACGCGCGCTTGCGCTCGCTATCTCTGACCTGCCGAGCAAGCCCACCGTGATCGCTGCTGGAAGAAGAGCAGATCGCCTGGCTGAACTTGCCGCCAAGGGCCTGAAGACTGTCCAGCTCGACGTCACTGAGGATGATGCGGCGTTGAAGACCAAGGTCGATGCCCTGATCGCGCAGTACCCCACTGTATGTGTGACACCCGCGATATCTGCGTCATCCTGAATCTGAACCTCATCCAGCTTGACGGGGTCTTGCTGTGCTCGGGCATCCAATACCAGCAGAACTTCCTGCGCGAGATCGCGCTTTCAGGTATGCGCCTGTTTCCCATATTTTAGCTGCCACCGATCCAAAACATGAACTGCAGATGTGAAGAAGGAAGTACAGGTCAACTACATGGCGGTGATCACGCTCATCACGATGTTCCTGCCACACTTCCTCAAGCTCTCGGTGAGCACTGTCCTATCCCATCGGAGCCGCGGCATGCTCAATCGCAATGCTAGGGCGCTGGTCTGCCTTCCTGGATCATCCCCGTCTCTTCAGGCTTGGGCTTGCTTCCTTCTAGCCAGATGCCCAACTACTGCGCGACCAAGGCTGCACTGCGCAGCTTCACAATCTCTCTGCGCCGACAGCTGCTCGAGACCAAGGTCAGCGTCATCGAAATCATCCCACCGTAAGTCGCTCGTCCGGCTATATGCGCGTTTTCGGGACTGATCCGAGCCCGCCTGCAGCCTTGTCGAGTCCGAGCTGCACGATGGTTCGTCTCTCCATGGTGGCGGGTATGCCGAGCTGACGTGACCTGACAGACCAAGGCACGACCGCGTTCCTGTCGAAGATCTGGATGCCGCTGGCGGACTACACGGCGCACACGCTCAAGGGTCTGCGCGAAGGAAAGACGGACATCGGAGCGGGCACGTCCGAGAAGGATGTCGAGCGGTTCATTGCTGCTGGTCTCAATGCGCCGGTGCCAGTTCGCAAGTTCGACTGATTGACTAGTACAAATGTACCAATGTAAACATGACATGACATGGGGATCGCTCCGCCGTACTTGGAGAGTGATATAGAACGTATCAGCAAGGTTGTGAACGAGTCGATATCTGGTTCTCGAACTGCATTTGTTTCACAATGAATCTTGGGCTTTGGAGTGCATACGACATCCCTGCGAGGCGTGATGATGAAATTAGAGAGCAGTATCATATATTCACCAGCTCCTCTACCGGAGCCAGGCTGATGTATTCCATCAGGCAAAGCATTTACAAGAGAGGCAAGCATCTCGACGAAAGGCTTCGAATATATACGACTTGAGTTGATACAATGGACAAAGTGGATAGAAGGAGCGTGGTCAGACTAGATTCTCCAGTAATGCGAAAGCAGACAGATGCAGCGAGCGTCGGTTGGTCACTAGGTCTTGGGGATGTGCAGATTGATGGCTTTACCAGCCGCATCAGAACTGCACCCGACACAGGCAGCACAGCAGGCTCACCTCTGAACCAATTTAATGCATCAGAAGGTGTCGGCGCATCAAAGTACAGAATCGCCTTGTTATCTACCAACCGCAGGGCTGGAAAAAGGTCAGACCGCCGCAAGCGCACGGGAGAGCGCAGGAGCCCACCATTGCCATGCACAATGCTCGCAGGCTGCGGCAGCGTCTGCATGCGCAACACAGCCCACAGATCCACGGCGCACTGGGGATCCTGTCCTTCCGACGGATCCCGACAGAGAACAAGCAGATCGTTACACAAAATGCCGACCAGGGGCCGCGGCGTCAGTTCTGGTGCTAGACAGTCAACTTGGACCGTGCACGGATCTCCTTGCGCGTTGAGAGCCTCGAAGGAGACCATCGCCTTGCGCACAACACGTGTCAACAGCAGATGCCCATCCATGATGAGCCGCCGGTGGGGCTGCACCAAGGGACTCGGGAATCGTCCTCGGATTCGTGCCTGCCACTGCACCAGTTTCTGACGCGATTCAGATTCACGTTTGCCCTCGTTCATGTTGTTGGCCAAAAGAGAGATCTCAGCCAACGAGCGGTCTAACGGATCGTCCATGTACTCGAAAGTGGGCGGTGTCGCTCGCAGCAGCTCTTCAAGCTGCATGTCATTCAGTACAGTCAGTTGGAGAAAAAGAACAGTCCGCCCACCAGCAATCGATACCGCGGAATGCGCTGTACAGGAAGCAGTAGATAACCCTCCAGATTCAGTTGAGAATGTCGAGGGTTGATCTGACACCGCTTCATGAAAGTTCGCAGCCGTTTGCGTTGGCTTGTGGACAGAGCAGGCAGCCCAGGTGCGACACTGCTTTCTGGGGAAACGGGATTCGAGACGGCAGAGAGAGCAAGACCGAGACCGGCCAATTGAGAAGTAGAGGGGGTTATTGCAGGGGTCGAACTGACAGGTGCCGCTGCTCTCGTCCAACTCTGGACTCGCTGTACAGCACTGTCAAAGTTGCTGCACGGCATCATCAGTCAGTGCGAAATACGCGACAGGTGACTCGCGGCTCACTTGATGTAAGTAGAATACATGCGCATAAACGCAGCGTGTTTGAGGAACATGCTGCCGATAGCTTTGGCAACGGTCAGCGACAACTGACCGTCTGCATCGGCTTCGGCAAGATCCGCACTCGATTTCATGATGGGTGCAGCGGCGATCTCCAGTGCGGGCAGGAAGCTGTCTTTGTGGAAAGAAAAGAGTGCCTCGATGCCCGCAAACGCGACTTTCCGCTCGGAGGCAGGGACAACCGTTTCTTTGCTTGAGCTGCCGAGCACGTTGACGGGGGCAGAGCCTGGTTTGATGTAGATATCCACCAGCTCATGCAGTCCCTTGACATAGGTCCGCTCCGTTCTGCTACCCGGTTAGTGTCTGTTCGAAGGGCTGTGTGATGACGACGCACACGACGATTTCCCGAACCACCATAGCGCGTTTGCCCTTGTCATCCTTGTACTTGCGCTCGTCGCTACCCGATCCACTGCTGTCCGTGGTGGCTACGCTATTCGTTTGCGTCGATCCTCGCATGCTAGTCATAGAATCGAGCGACCGCAACTGCCCGGATTCGGTAGAGCTGCCCGTAGAAGCCATGGAAGCCTCTCGCTCGAGTCCTGTTGGTCTTCTCTGGCGCATTCCCACGACAAGCTCCTCTCCGCCCTGGCCGTACGTTCCCAATGCGGCAGCCTGCTGCGAAACCCCCAAGTCGTTCATGTCCTTGAGGTAGGCCATCACACTTCGCAAAGCCCGCTGGTATGCATCTCTTGCCCGGTCCTCCTCCCGGCGCATCCAGTTCTCGCCAGCGACCCCGACCGGACTGGGCAGCGGGGTCCCATCAGCTTCGATGTCACCGGTCACAGTGACGTTGGGCATGAATGCCGAGGCATCGGGGATGGGAATGTTGAGGCCCCCATGAGGCACTGCGTCCAGCGGCAGGAAACTGCGTCGTTTGGTGGTCCGTGGTGTGGGCCCCGGGGCAAGCAGTCCGGATGCACCAGAAGCCGGTGCCGTGAACATGCTATCCAACCTCGATTCCGACTCGACAGAGACTGTGGGCGGTGCGCTGCTGTGGAAAGAATCCAGCGCTCCAGTCGTGGATATCCTCATGTTGATTTGCGGTATGCCATTCGACGGCCCCGAAAGCAGGGGCGCAGTGCCTGGCGCCCTAATCATCCCAGGGCGAGGCGGAGAAGGCCGCGGCGACGCTGGATCTGGCTTCATCTTCCCCATTGACATCTTCTTCAGGAAGCCCCAGCGACTTTTTTCCTTGCCGTCTTTGCCAACTCGGATCGTCGTGGAAGATTCGTTGCGGCTGGGAGACGGATGTTCGGTCTGGGAAACACGATTGGGAGCATTCCACATCGAGTTGGTCAAAGGAGGTCGTCCATTCGCTGGAGAGTAGGTCACCGGACTCACGCCCAGTGTGGTGGAAGGCCCGACACTACCAAATCGCTTCTGCGACGGGTGTATGTCTTGCAGAAGATTGGTGCTGGAGCGAGACGTGCTGGCCGTAGGCGCTTCGAGATGACTCAATCCCAGGCCCTGCCTCAGTTCGCCAGCACTCTTCATCCTACGAACTTCAGCAGGGCGATCGACGAAGTAGCCCACATCCTCGTTTTCTGGCTGAGGTGTTCCATGTCGCGAGACCACTGGGTTAGCACGATTGGGTGTCGTTCTCGTCCGGGTCAACCCGCCTCTTGTCCCATCACCAGGCGAGCGTGATCGTGCCATATCCGGGGTGATTGTGTGATCTTCATCTATGGTGTTCTGAAATCTGCTCGAACTGGGACCTGAGCTGGGAGGCTCAGATTGTTCGTCGTCAGTCGACGTTTCAGCGGACGAAGGAGAGTGCATCGATGTCGGGAAAGTCGGCGTCGAGAGCGGATAAATCGGAGTAGAAGGAACTTTGGCGAGTAAAGGCTCGACCAGAGCTTTCCAAGGGCCCTGGAATGGATTGCCATCTACGTAGAGCGTCTGCAGATCTGGCAGCACCGCCAACCAACTGGGCAATGCATGCATCTTGTTCCGCCGCACGCTGATTGTGTGCAACTTGTCGCAGTCCGCCAATGCGTCTGGCAGGGTAGACAGACCCGTGGAGTCCGCGATGAGTACGCGGAGATGCACGAGGTCAGCGAGGAAAACCGGTAGAACCCGAAGTGGATTTGAAGCAATGTTAAGCTCTTCAAGGCAGATACACAGCGCAAGGGTCGGGGGTAGAGCGCTGAGGAAGTTGGCTGAGATGTCTAATGCAAGAAGTGAGGTGCAGATCTGCGGGACGACCGCGGTAAGGAAGGCCGGCAAACTGTTGGGGGAGCCGCAAGAGTTGAGCAAAAGGTGGGTCGTGCCTGTTAACGTTATAGCGTAATCAACATGAGCTGTAGGGCGGACGCACCTGGTTGCACAGGCAACTCTGATAACACAACGCCCTCGCCCTTGACGATAAGACCCCGCCCTTCATCGGCCACTAAGGCCGCCGCAGTGCGTTCCTCGCTTTCCTCGTCATCTCGGTCATCATCGTCAAGCAACAGATCGTCCGCATCCGTATCTTCTTCACTCGCGCCAAATTCATCCCGCTCATCCAACGCCTGCTGCCATGACATGTCGTAACTCTTTTTCGATGTCAGGCGTGGATGAGGTTGGTCGTTGCTGACGCTTCCAGCACCGACGGACGAGGATCGAGATCTGGAGGTGGTCGAATAGGAAGCAGACCAGCGAGACTGGTCACCTGGAGCGCGGACTGCATCGTTTGACATAAGCTGTACCACAGAGTCGGATGTGATCCCAACAGCGAATTGACCAACTCCAGGGCTCAAATCTTCATTTGAGGCGATACGGACGTTGCTGTTGGGGGAGGTGGGGGAGGCGACGCTGCCATTGCTCTGGGTCGTGTAGGCGGACGACCTCGTAGATGCCGACGACGAGGAAGAGAGCGCTGGGGTCGAGGAAGTGAGGGATTGCTGTTGCGGACGGTATGGCAGATGATAGTCGAAAGCCGATGGGTCTCGCGGTTGGTAACCGTAGAGTGCGATATTTTTGTTCGATTCCGGGTTCATGGGTGAATTGAGAAGTATTTGGGCTCCAGATACTGCCGCATTCGAGCTCATCTCTGGTCGAAATGGGACTGAATCAGTGGAGCCGGCGGTGCCGACAGAGTCGCTGGTATCTGAACAAGAGAAGCGTCAGGAGCAGGGAACGGGATTAAGGGACAAACATAATGGCAAACACCGGCACGTACGGTCGGACTGAGGAATTCGTCGGAGATATTCTCCAAGATAATATTCTTCGCTGGAATTGTCGTCGTCCAGGTCCTCGAAATTCGATTCATCCGACAGTGAGATCCACGATCCGCGATTGTGAGTCGCCATCGTCGTCGTCTGAAGTCTGAACCAGTCTCTTCAAATCGCCATCAGAATTCACCGCTTGTGCTCCACGTGCGGACCAGGGCCATCAGATTCCCCAATTGTAGTTTCCGAGCCCGACTCTTTTGTCTCTCGACCCCAACGAGCGTTTGCAAGGACATGTATTTCTTGTCTCGCACGGAATCCCGCCGTGCGCGCCACTGCTTGCGAACTTTCGACGTCAAATCCAATTTTAGTACTGTCAACATACAGGCTGTCTGACGTGACTGTAAAGTGAAATTGCGATCCTCGGTCTCCTGAGGTCTGGGTCACAAGATAACCGCACCCGAAACTTTACAAGCACTGTATTCTGTGATACCGGACTTTTAGAAATCATACACATCCGGGCGGTCGCTCTGGAATCCGACCCGTTTGATGGTTTTCTTTTTCGGTGGTTTTCTCTCTTCAAGCAGCTGGATTTCGACTGCCGATTCCACCTGAAGCTCGACTGCAACCCGAGGACTCGCCGCGCCAGTGTTCTGAACATCTGGCCTGATAGCTGTCACCGGTTTCTCAGCTGTTCTCCGCTCGCCGACGCCGCCTTCAACGTCCAGATGGACTGTTTCGAACACCAGCTTTCTTCGAGTGCACTTGAAACCCAGATTGTTCTCGCCTGTCCCGTTCATTGCTCCTCTCAGCACTGACAATCTGTCACTTGCGGGCACCAGACCGGTCGGCGCTGGCAGATTGTGAACCCGCAGCAAGCCGTGATGCGTCGGGAAAGCGGCGGTCAACGTGGAATTTCCTGAGGAATGCCGTTACCTGATGGCTGCTTGTAGTCATGTCCAGATACTCACCCGCAAAAGCATCCATGGATATCGCAGCATCCGCAAACCAGCCAATCTTTTGCTGCCACCCAGAGTCGTCCCGACTGTACTCTGCTCCAAGAGTGCAACAAGAGAACGCGGAATCGTGCCTGCGCACCAGTGCACGGAGATCGAACAGAAATCGCAGCACCACCTGTTCGCGCATAGATAAACATCTTAGTTCATAGATGGGAATGTATGTCACCCACCCGTGGTCCGACATCTCCCCACCATGGCGACGCAAACCCGGGAACACACAGACGCGTTTGACCAGATCTTCGAGACTCTTGGCTCAGGAAGGCACTGATGTGCTGGAGAACATTGTGCGGGTTGTCAATGGGAATGAGACACAGACGGCCTTCACGCAGAGACTCGGAGACCACTTCGGCAGGTATTCGCGCTGTCAAGTCAAAAGGCGCAGGAGCATCGACGGTAGAAGCGGCTGTTGTCGATGTCGTTGTCTGGAATCGCTTCATCCCTTCATATCTCCAGGCGATCTTAATCTTCTCGTGACTTTCGCTTTCCTCCTTGTCTGTCTCGTCGGCAATTGTCCCGGGCAATGACCACATACAGCTCCGGACCCATTCTTCATCACCGACAACACAGAGTCTCTGTGATCGCGAAAAGAGACCCTGAGCTACAAAATATTTCGCGACTAGATCGCTGTACTCCGTGTGGACGTTTGGCGCTGAGATAACGAGTGAAGTAGACGGTGGGAGTCCGCCACCTAGTATGTCATCTAGAGACGAGATTCCAGTCGAGATAGATCGTGTTGACGGGGAAGGCTGGGATGTCGCGCTGACCTGCTTTTGTGCGCGTTTGAAGGACATGACAAGGAAAGGCACAAAGGATCAGATTAGATTAGAGGACGAATTTCGAGTGACGTCAGCATCTCCCGCTTGTGCTTGACAACATCCTCATCAAACGTATTCCAGTCGCACGGCCGAGAACAAAAATTTGCAAGCCTTCCACAAATATCCATCCTTATGGTCCCTCCTCCTGCGAAACGGAGACGGATGGCCGATTTTGGTGCACCCAACGAGGATGATGCACCCTCACCTGCCAATAATCAGCCTAATCCGGCTGCATTGACCACTCGATCCTCACGCTCCACACACCTCCCACCGCTCAGTGCTTTATGCTCGCATATTTTTGCTCGCCATTTTATTCGTTTACGATCGAATGATGCGTTGTGGCAGAAGCTTTCGCCTCTGCTAGCCGTGCTACCGGACCCATTGCTGCACCCTCTACTCGAAAACCTCACAAAGGAGTGTCCTACTTACCTGAAACATGAATTTCTTGTCTCGTACTTCTTCAAAGGCGCACGTTTGACCTTATCTGAAGCGTTGCCTGGTGTGCAAACCCAGACTATCCGAGCGATTGAGCGGTTTCCGGATTTATCCGACCTCGAGCTATCCGGATTTGCCAAAATTCCTGACAGTGCATTCGCTGGCCCTCTGGGAAAGCTTCCTCATCTGCGGAGACTAGTTTTAAGGTCGGTAGTCCTGTCTGGTATCTTCTACACTCCAATCCAGTCGACGCAGGGGATGTTCACTTGTGGGGCAGAAGAGCCTGGCGGCCTTATCAAAACATTGCACAGACCTTCAGGAACTGAATCTGAACTACACATCGGTAACTCCAGCTGCCCTTCTTTCGGTGCTGCTTGTTGCAGGCGCCAAATTGGAAGTTCTGAAGGTTGCCGGGATCTCAAGTTGGGTCGTTATCCATCCATTCCGTCCATGACTCGAATGCTAATCAACCATACAGACGGACGGTACTTTCGCGAAATTAATGGTTGAAGAGCTCTCATTGCCCGCGCTTCGAACACTCAAACTGGCGCACCTGCATATATCCGACAGTTCCATACACGGACTCCTGAAACGGTGCCCTCGCATTTCTCGACTCGACGTCTCTTTCACTTCATCTCGCCAATCGCTCGGTCCCATTCAACTGCCGCCCCTGCAGAAACTCATGCTCACAGCCACGAAGATACCGCCGGCATCTCTCCTCAGCTTCCTTCCTCATCACTCCAGCCTGACTACGCTGTCACTCGGGGCCCTTGGATCCTCCGGACCGGGCTCGGTTGCCATCGATTCTGGGCTTTCGTTGACGGATTCTGTGCTGCGAAGTTTGATTCCCGTACTACGAGAATTAAGGAACCTGGAGAATGTCAGCTTAGTCGGCAATGTGAAACTGGGTGCTACCTCAGCGCAGCCGCTGGTCGATTTCGTAGGACAGGTGGGCAGGCGCTGCAAGGTGAGAGGCTTCTAGTATATTGACTTCATAATTGATTTGCTATGATACAGTGGCTGAATCTCTCGGCCCTCTCTTCCTTACGCTCATATCATCTCGCCATGTTGGTTCCCGACGACGACGAGCCCCCTCCAACAATCCAAACTCTCCTCCTCAATAACACCGCGATCGATGACGAAGCTGCACCCTTCTTGGCAGCCTGTGTGTCCTTGCGCTGGCTGGAGGTGGCCGAGACAAAGATCACGAAGGAGGGTCTGTTTACAGTGCTTAATTCGTGCCCAGACCTGAACACTTTGGGACTGAAGAGTTGTCGCGGAGTGAATGTGGCTGATCGACGGCGCTTTTTCGAGGTATGGGAGGAGGAACATCTCAATTGAGTGATGGGGTATCGAAATAAACTATGTAGTACATGCACAAATCGAAATTATGAGAATAAACACCACAAGTTCTCAGCCCAGCGTGAGATGACTCGAGATGGAAAGTGAAGATCTATTGCCGACCTAGAGACACCCGAAGAGGAAGTCACGCGCGGCACTTTATTCGGGGGCGAAGTGACCGCGCAGTCCTCGAGATCGTTTCTTTTTCGCTTCCTTGGCAGAGACGCAGGAGGACATATCGTCTCGGACGACGGAACGCAAGTTAAAGTGGGTATCTTCGTCACGAAAGTTGGCCCGGAGACATCGATGGAGACCAGTTCCAATGGCCTCGCTGGAATCGCAGGCACTTTGAATTCCGGTGAAGTCAAGCGCCTAGATGTTCTTCGATTGGAAAGTCCGTGCTTTTCCAGCTTTTCCAGGGCGTCACAAAAGTTGTCTATCGCGGATCGCAAGCCTTCGGGAGTCTGGCCAGGTACCACAAAACGCTGCGGCCGCAAAGGTGCCGCGCCGACCCATTTATTCCATTCCCTGGGACTCAGAGGCGGGACATCGATGTCCTCCTGCGATGGAAGCTCGGGCAGACCCCCATCTCTGAACTGGTTCCTTCGCACGAGGCGAATCGCGCGCTGCATCTTTTGCTCTTCCAGACGCCGCGCGCCTTTGTAATCCAACTTGAACTTGACTTTCCGCATTTCAAGCCGCAAGTCGTCTGCTGACGCAGCTTTGAGTTGGAGGGCTGGGTTGGGTTTCAAGGCTCGGCTTTCTTGGAAGTCAATCAGCGTAACACGCGCATCGCCGCCAATGAGCATATGCCGCAGCTCCACATCTCCGTGCCACACGCCTGCCGCGTGCAGTCTCTCGTATGCCGCGATACAACGCCTCTTGAGAACATCAGGCATATCTGGAGAGGCTTCAATCCAGAATGAATGGTGTGGCGGTTCCATTGCGACGTCGATGGCCCCAACGCAAGTATATACGTTGATGATAAACGGCACGATAATGCCTTGGAGCGGTTTGAGCTGGCGTTTATATAGGCCCAGCTGGGCAACGGGTTCAGTCTCAAAGGCACTAGACAAATCATAGAGCGCACCTCGGAAAAGAACCCTCGCCAAGGGTACTTCGTCAGCCACCTGAGGCTAAGTAAGTGGAATATCCAACAATCAGGATAGACAGTAACATACAACTTGGATATGCATTTCACAGGCCGTCCACCGACATGACCCGTTTTAAAAAGTGCTTCACACATGGCACCCGCTAAGAGACACGTCAGCGACTATTTGAAGTTGACACTGGGTCATTTTCTCACAGGACAAGGGAATAGCGGGCTCAGATTCCACGAAAGCCAAGTCTGAGGCCCACCCCCACTTCCCATGCGGCCGATATATGGTGTTGTTCAGCGTGCGCTGGTAGCATGTGGGAATAGTTTGGGCATCCCATGGCGGTATCGTCGCAGGGGGCCTTCCCCACTCAACAGGAAGCTCCGTCGCGTCAGACTCATCCAAGAGACACTCCAGCTCCGAGATGTAGAGGCGTTCGCATAACGATTCGAAAAATGAGGAACTGTAGTCATCCCTGCGCGAGAGCCGGTCAATAGCAAAAGTTCGCTCAGTTGGGGGCTCGAGGTTCGATGTGGGTGGTACGGCGTAGTGCGGAAGATTTCGAAGGTTATGAGCCACTACAGGGAGGATTTGGGGAGACATCGAGCGCGAATGGACAAAGCATGGCGGCCATGTACATTATATGGTCTTGTACTTTGTGCTCGATCAAGAACAAGGCGGGGTGAGGCGTGTGACCGTCACCGATAAGATTCGATCACCAATCGATTGGCGAATCATCTCGGCGGTTCCGCTCGTGGCTATGCCTGATTTATAATCTGCTCCGACACCTGACTATACAGTTTGCCCCCAACGCTTGACCGCTCCTCGCCCTCCCAAAAACAGCGACCAACATGGTACGCTCGTCGTGCTGCCACCTATCCGCCCTGTGACTAATTGCCTCTGGGTAGACTCTCGCCGTCGACCTCCTTAACCCGTCCGCCGAACTCGACAAGCGCCAGCACAAGCTCAAGCGTCTTGTACAATCGCCCAACTCGTACTTCATGGACGTCAAGTGCCCCGGTGCGTCTGCTTTGGTTTTCGGGGGACCTCAGTGGTCTCATGATCTTTAGGCTGCTTCACCATCACCACTGTCTTCTCGCACGCCCACACTGTCGTTCTCTGTGGCTCTTGCGCAAGCGTTCTGTGCCAGCCCACTGGTGGTAAGGCCCGTTTGACGGAAGGTGTGTATAGCACAAAACAGCCCCTGGGTGTATCAGACACTGACTGCTCGATCTTCAGGATGCTCGTTCCGTAGGAAAAACTAAGCGATAGCGCACTTGCAATCATCGATTGTCCTCGCATATTTACATTTGGCTTAGCATTTTCATCGCATCTTCCTCGACTATTCCGATCATCGTCCCTCGCCCGAATGCTGCTCTCACATGTCATGCCCCATGTACAGTCTATGTAAGACCCACTCAAAAGTATGCCTTGCTATGGAAAACTGGTCGCGTGCTGTCTGATACAACGCTCCGTCCATTAATGCAGAATACAATTTGTAAGTAAGGTCTATGTATGTCTATAACTTGGCTTCTTGTGGTCCTTGTCTGTCGGCACGAATGACGCCTTCCTGTGTCGTCACCGCAACAAGAGTCCCAGATTCGGTGTAAACCTGATACATGCTATCTGAGAGTACTGGATGGCGGATGATAAAGCCGTTACATACCTGGCCGTACACAGCTCCTCGCCCTGACGCAGCTCGAGGACAGGTCATCTAAGAGTGATTGAGGACAGTGTGTCCATGTTAGATGAGATGAACTGACGACATAAAGTAACCAGTCTCCGCAGTGGAATGAATCGCTGCGGTTGTTAACGAAGGAAAAGAACAAGAACCCAGGAGCACCCACTCGAAGAAGGATATTGAATGAGAGATGGTTGACTGACGAAATGTCAGTAGCGAACACAGCGAAAAGACTAATCCCACTTGCTGTCATGCTGGTCGAGTCTGGACCAGTGCCAAATCGTTTCAGTCCGGATGTCCGAGAAACAACGAGGAGCCTGTTGTTTTCAGAATGCGGACTGACAACGACATGGACCATCACAACTTACAGATAGAGGTCGGAGAGGTAGCTGAGAATGCACTGAATGAGGGTCAATTACACTAGACAGAGTTGTAAAGTTCAAGCCAAACCTTCTGGAATGGTGCATCCCAGGGTAGCGCGTCTCGCGCCTTCATCCAATACATATATCGTACCATTCCTTTGATGCTTGCATCGGCCTCGACGGCACTCTTGATCGCGATCGGACTTCTGGTACGTTCCTGCTTTAGCGTTGAGTGTTGCCGCAAGGGTCGAGGGCAAGGCACTAACGCTGATCACTTCTCTGTAGATTTGGGCCACTCTGGGATGGAGATTCTCCTGGTTGAGCAAGGCCGAGAACCGGTGCTCCTCTAGTTCACATGCGTCCGGCTTGGGCACGATCGGCATACTCCATTCGACGTTCGGCTGCCAGGGCTCCGGTTTGTGGAATGAGCAAATCATCATGAAGACGACGCGGCCATTCTGTAGGGCCTTGACGTTGCGCGTCACGTAGGAACGTCCGTCCCGGATGCGCTCGACAAGGTAGACGATAGGTGTCGACACAGAGGCACTGAGAAGAAAGTAGCACTGGAGGGAGATGGGACGTCAGGCAGAGCAAGAAAGAATCGGGGAGTTGCTGACATGGAGCGACTGTGGTCACTTTAGTACGGGTGAATCGGATGGTGTAGCGACTAGCCTACATGTAACCCATACTTTGGATCGACTGTGTTCGTCGCAGATACCAAGGCTTGACTGATAACCTGACTTTTGTCATACATGTTTAGCCTTTGAATCGGAACAGGACGTGGCACGACTGTAACATACCCTCCAAAGACTCCTCGAGCTCTCATGGGCAGCCACAGTGTTTTGGACCGAAATAAGTCTACCTCAAGCCGCTCTACTTCAAGCGCGGTTGAGATTTCTTCGTGCCAGGCGGACGGCGTTGTTTCCGGAGTGGTCATCTTCGAGAGTAGAATGGCTGGAAGGACGAAATAGACAAGTACAATTTATACGCGCACGGAAGCGGAAACGAGAAGCCCGGCTTGTGATATCCGGCTAGCCGGTAGGTAAGCCGCCAACAGTCCATTAAATTCCGTGAGCGACCTCCCCCGCTTGCCGTGCGATTCTCTCGCAAATAGAACTACCAGAGCCGGTGTCCAGGGGTGCATGCGGTCTTCGAATGGACGCTGACACAAACATATGTGAAGAGACGGATTTGCGATCAAGCCCGCAGATGTGAAAGACGATACGACGTAAGATTAGAGTTCTTCAAAATCTACAGTAAATCCACACTCGTGGCATACTTGCTGGCCGGACTCTCCTCTATCTGTCCTGGATGGCCCAAAGACATGCTTGTGCTCGGAATCTTTCCTGCGCTGCCACGACGATTCCTTCGTCCTCCTTCGCAGGTCCCGAAGGCTGTCCTCGAACTTGCGATTCTTCTTCTTGCTCTTCTCAGCGACCCGCTTCTCATATTCAGCGTCCAGAGCTTCAGGCGATCCCCATTTCTTCCAGGCGAATTCTTCGACTTGGTATCGCACGTAGAGCATCATGTTTGCAAAAGTGGACTTGTGCGGATTGGCTTTCAGCATATGTGGTAGAACTTCCTCGTCGCGGAGTTCAGCTGGAGCCACGCGTCAGTGTTCACACATCAACAGAGGTGGAGCCGCATACGATCGGTAAGCAGATAATCCTTGCCCAAAGTTCAGAGAACATTCTGTAATGATGAAAGAAAGAGGATTTACCTGCTTGCACTCAGTCTTCGTCAATAGACTGTATTTTTCCGGATTGTCGTTCTGACAATTCTTGCACACCAGACACCCGAACGTCTTGCGGTAAGCATGGTCGATAGAAATGGTCCCACATTCTCGGCACTTTGGATTCAGATCAGGGTCCAAGAAAACAGCTGGTGTGTGCGGCAACCTTGATTAGAGACCGACGAAGATCATACATGGGCACGTACGGGGTTCCATGTTCTTCTGTATTCTCTGTCGCTCCCGTTCCTTCTCTTTCCTGATCAATTCTTCGTCCACCTCCTGACCATCCTCTACCAGGAAACCGCCTTTGGAGTTGACCATCTTCGAAAGATCATATTCAAAGTACTTTCCAAAGCGGACGTTGGGAGCGAGGGGCTTTGGCTTGGACGGCCCTGCAGCAGTCGGGGAGTTCGAGGTCGCAGGTGTGACAGAAAGCGGTCTCTTGTTGTTGGCGTTGGGGAGAGTGCTTCCCTGGGTTTCCCATTCTCGATCCTTCTGACGTGCCTTGGCTGCAACAGTCAAAAACCATACGATCTTCAGCGTATGGTTTACCTCTCAAGCGATTGAGTTCTACCAGCTTGACTTGCTCCGGCGTCAGCGGTAGGCTAGGGGATGCAGTCGTTCTCGGAGGAGTCACTGGGCGGTTCATTGTGATGGGGGCGGAGGGGAATGATTAATGACTGGCCGCGCGTGGGGTCACAGAACATGTGACCAACCCTCTGTGACTCTGATGCTGGGCATGCAGCGCGAATTTAGACACGGACCACGGAGTGTGTATTGATAGCACGACGCAGCTTGGTAAAAAATGCAACACGGTACAGCAAATTGTGAGAAAGAAATAAACAAAGAAAGTGACTGCATCAATGCGCGGAAATGCAAGGAGAATGAATGCAAGGAACTGTTGTACACCAGCGGGAAGTGCGAAAAGAAACGGGGGCAGGTCCGTGCCTGGTTAAAAATGCTAACGTGCGAGTTCGTGACACAGCCGTGAACATAAAAACACATTTCATTATGCATGATCAGGTCACAAACCATATCACTCATTGCACACCAATAAAACCACGAACATCCACCTTCGAGAACGCCGTCGTGGTTGGTGTGGGCGCCAATCCGATGAAGGAACGCGTTCGGCCATCGGACCGGAACGTTGACACCCGAGGCGTCAACTGGCTGGGGAACGGCACACCATCTCCCATAGTGGACGTTAGCGTCATTGCAGAGGGCGTCCGAGTCGTCAGCGTCGGCGACGGCGGAAACACAAACAATGTCTGTGAGGGTGTCGCAAGCGGTGTGATGGACTGGTGTTTGGGTTTCAGCAGGTTGCTTCGCAGATGCAGAGGCGGAGGAACAGGCTTCTTCGACTCAGTCCTCGTCCTCGGAAGAACCAGCAAAGTCGGCGCTGTCGTCCTGCGAGCAGTTCGCTTGACCTTGTTGTCCTCGTCGTCAACCACAATTCGGATCGGAGACGAGGGAACAGCCGGTAATATTCCGATAGGAGCTGGGCGTCGCTTCGTTTTAGCCGGCGGAAGATCGAACGAGCTCCGCATGGCCGTCATCGGCGGCTTGGGCAACGTAAACGACGTTTTCCAGACCGGTGCCGAGGGCGGGGGCCGAACTGGTCGGCGAGGTGTCTCATGAGATCGAGCATCGTCCTCGGGTGAGCTCGTCGAATCAGGCTCGGCACTCGAGACCCTGTCTTCGTCGAAGCCACCGCCAATACCAAGCAACTCTTGTTCTTCGTCTTCTTCAACCAAATCCTCGCTGAAGACGCTGCTGCCATTCGTCATGTTGCTGGCAATGGATCCAGCGCGCTTGCGGGCATATCGATTGCGCCAAGCGGCACCCATCCCAACACCGGATCCCGAAGATGCAACCGAGGACGCCGATGCTTTGCGAGCCAGCACCCGATCCTCCATAGCCTTGTCCAAAGCCTGAGCCTCACGCATGACTGCAGCACTTTCCTGGTCATTCTCGTCATCCGTCGGGATTTCATCTAGAAGCCGACGCTGCCGTCCCCATTCTTCGTCCTCGTCAGCCATTGTTGACTCTGATCCCGACAACTCTCCGTTGTCACCTTTCAGCACTTTCTCGTACTCCAACAATTGATAGATCAGGCTAGCGAGTCGGCAAGTTAGAGAAGCCGGAGGAAGGGAGAGGTAAAAACACGTACGACATGTTCGGCCCCACCCATTTGCTTTTTTCTTTCACGAATGTATACGCTCCTTGCATTCCTTTCAAAGCCCAAATCTCGGAGGGTACCGAGGGCGAGCGTTCGGCTGCCGCTCGCATGACCAGAGCGATCACCATAGTGGCAGATCTTGAAATGCCACATTGACAACTGTGAAGGATGTCAATGGATCATATGCTGGATATGTGACAAGATACACGCACTGGATCAATACGCCCTCGCCTCGGTCCAAAGCCGCATCCACAAAGTACATCGCTTCGGGGAACCCGTGCTCAACGAGATCCTGCTGCCCATGGGACCACTGCAGCTTCAGATAGTGCATCGCCGGCCGTCCGCTGGACAGATGTGCCGGGAAGAAAGTCGGATCCGAGCCCTTGGGCACCTTGGACAGATTTGGAGTGGATGCGAATGCACGCAGTGCTTGGGATTGAGGCGAATCGAAGGACGTGAGTACCTCCTTGGCAACGTTTAGCACTGACTTGATGCCGCGATTCCGCAACCCGACAAAATCCTTGGCATTATCCTCTGAACCCAACCAGACGCCGGGGAATATCTGGATAGGTCCATCGGCGTAAGGCAGCGTGGGCGATCCGTCCTCGACTTTGCGAAAACCCTTGTTCCCCATTGGGTTGGCACTGGCCGGTAATGAGACGATGGACGGACGACGAGACTTCGCCGAATGACTGGGCTCCTGCTGCACGGAAGAACTCGCTACGCTGGTGGCACTGGCAGGCCCGAGTGAAAGAAGCGATGCGGTGGAGGAATGGCCGGACCCCAAGTTCAGAGAAAGTTTTTTCATGTTCTGAAGCGACCTCGGCTTGTTGGGGCGGTTGAATGGGGGATAGTCGGCTTCTGATGCTGCGGAGGATAAGGCGGAGGCAGAGCTATCCCCGGTGGCAAGGGCGATGTGCGGCAAGTCTACCGGAGTGTCGATGCGGAGGAAGGAAGGAGGGCCCCGTTTACGAGGAGACATCATGGCCATCGAAGGCTGCGGACAGAGCAGAAGCCTTGTGTTTTAGGCGTGGAAAGAGGCAGGAGCGAGCAATACAACACGCGCAGCGCGACCGTGGAAGAAAGACTGGGGAATAAAAAGAGCAAAAGGAAGAGAGCAGAGGAAATCGGCTCTGCGGGATTGGGGGAGCCGACGCACAGGCACTACGCTACCGGGGACGGTAGCACGGAAAACCAACAAGAGCTTGGTGCCGATGGTAAGAGCCAAGTCAACTACTTTATTTGGATATCAACATGCCATCACCAGCCTGTGTCAACGGGCTTGTCCAGATCCGTCGTCAGGTCAGACAGGGTCAGACTCTTTCATTTCCCCGCGCCAAGTTGTTAGCATAGCCTCTACAATATATCGGTAAATAGCTCTCGTGCTTTCGGTGAATCTTACACTTCGTCCCCAATGCTTATGCTCATCGGTTGCCATGTGCTCCAGCCTCCCGCCGCCCGGTTGCCGGAAGATAACATTCACCTGATCTCACGCACCGCACGGAAATCCGGGGCTTGTTCCGGACTGTTCCGGACCGTCCCAGCCTCAGGTACCGTGTGTGTGACATTATCATCATAGTCACGGGGCTGGACCGGCCGGCCGGCCGAGGCTATGGCACGATTTTATGCCTAACCCCGATCAACTTGCATTCTTGGCTTCGCTATTCGGCGGTTTCTTTACCCTCGTCTATCTCTCCAATATCCTCAAAGCAGCCCTCGTGCGTGCCGGATACGACTACCGTCATCTCATTCTCCTCGGAACGCCGCGAAAAGACGACCCAACAAAGTACTACGGAATGGACTTTTCTAAAGATCTAGTCACACTGATGTCCAACCCGGTCGTCATTGCGAGCGGTGCTGTCGCCGTCGTAACACTGCTCTGGTTGGTACTGGGCAAAAAGGGTACGAGGGGCTCCTCATTGACGCGTCGCTTCTGACTCTGTTCGCAGGTGGTCGCAAAGTTTTGACGAAGGAATGGCAAGAGTTCCCCCTCGAGAAGAAGATCCAAATTTCTCCGAACACTGCGATGTGAGAGCGTCCCTCGCTTCATTGAACAAGACTGAACCATAAACAGTTACCGGTTCTCCCTTCCGCGCCCAACAGACACACTTGGACTGCCCACGGGAAAGCACATCTCAGTTGGTGCTGTCATCAATGGCAAGGACCTGTCGCGCAGCTATACACCTGTCAGCAGTAACGATCAGTTGGGATCGTTTGACCTGCTCATCAAGGTGTGCTGGCTGTATCGACCACGGACCGGTCACTGACGTTTTTTCCAGTCATACGAGAAGGGCAACATCTCAAAACACTTTACGACTCTGAAACTCGGCGATAACTTGCGTGTCAAAGGTCCGCGGGGGAACTTTGATTACACGTCTGGCTTGACTGGCGCGTTGGGAATGATCGCTGGAGGAAGCGGAATCACGCCGATGTATCAAATCATTAACGCCGTCCTCAAGAATCCCAGCGACTCTACCAAGCTTGCTCTGATCTATGCCAATGTCTCTGAGGAAGACATTCTGATGCGTGCCGAGCTGGATCAGTTGGCAGCAGCTCACCCCAGCCGGTTCACTGTCTACTACGTGCTCAACACCCCGCCAGCTGTCTGGGCTGGTGGCGTTGGTTTCGTCACCAAGGAACAAATTCAAACGTATTTGCCGACACCAACTGCTGACGCTAAGATCCTTATGTGTGGTCGGTGTGGTTTGCCCTCTGTGCGAATTCGAGTTGACAAATATATCGCAGGACCACCGCCTATGCTTACCGCAATGAAGTAAGTGAACCCCTTCATTTCGGTAACTTGAAACTGATCGTTTCTAGAAAACATTTGGATGAATTGAGTTTCCCCGCACCTCGGACCATCAGCAAACTCGAGGACAAGGTAATCTAAGCCGTTGCATGAACTGTTCCCATTCTTATCTCGGTCCAGGTTTTCCTTTTCTAGGGTTACTTTACAGTAAGTAGAATATCACGGCTTGTTCGGAGACATCAGGAAGCTTTGTTGCACTTACCGGTCATTCACGGACTTGCTGGGTGTCATTTTGAGGTCGTTGACGGCCCAAGCCGGCAACCAAGCACGCTCATCTCGCGGAGATTGCGTGATGTAAGCTGAGTAACATCACGTTCACGTGACTCTAATCGGAAACGCGATATACCCGGGTCGCGCATAAAATCACCAGAATAACAGGAGTCTCCTCGCCCTGATTTCTTCCTCTTCTTCCATGGTTAAAACACTATATGCGTTTGGAGCCTCTGTGTGGGCTGCTGCCTCGGAACTCGCCGTGTTGGTCCCGCGCGCATTTTATCGTCCAGCCACCCTGATCCCAAAAACAGCGCGCAGCTCGGCTGCACCGACGCCGATGTCACCGTCCAAACCGTCAATCTCGCCGAAGGAGAGAACTTGCAACCGTGGTTCCTGAAGCTCGTTGGTCCCTGTGTGCTCCGATTGTTCCGGGACAGTCTCAATTAAGGATCGCAGAATCCGAAAGGAACGCTCCCCACGTTGGAATGCGACGGAAACGTCTACACGGATACTTCGTCTGTGGTTGCCAAGCTCGTCAAGGACGCGCCGACGAAGGTCAAAACGGGTTCGAGCTTCATTCAAACTATCCACGAGGATAAGTACGATCCCAACTTCGTTCTTTTCCTATCCGTGCGTTGTTCACAAACCTCCTCGCGTCCTTCATTGACCACCCCGCTCAGCGAGACGAGGATGAACTTGCCGCGAAGAAGAGCTCGATTGCGATCCCGTTCCTCACTAATCGTGCGTTTGACAGTGATGACGACGAGGATGAGCTGATTTATCGTTACCTATAGGTCAAGCTGTGATGGAGAAGTACTCGAAGGCACCTGAAGGAGCCGTCTTCAAGCAATTTTACGACGCTAAGATGCAAGACAATCAAGGCAAGTTCGGTGACACATAGCGTATACTCATTCACAAAGTTCACTGCAGGTTTGCTCAGTATCATCAAGGGTGATGCACCTGAGGAGCATAATGCTGCATTCTTTGCTCAGTCGAAAGCCCACTACAAGAACCTGCAATATGCGATCCAAGAACTACTTCCAAGCGTCCTGCCTGAGCGTGGCTTCATCGGAGGGGACATTCCCGGCGAGGATGACTTCCATCTGGCCGCCTGGTTGACCCGACTGGCAGCAGCGAGTGGGGCAAAGACAGCTGATGAGGCCTTGCCTGCGTTGGAGGCATTCTACGGGGCTCCTGTTCCAGTGAAGGTCAAGTCCTACTGGAACTCCTGGGTCGAGTTGCCAAGTTGGAAGAAGATCTACGGGGCAGGCCTTTACTAGTTTTGTATATCATCAGTTGCGTTGACGTGTCATGATTCTGTGGATTCGGAAAATTCGGTCAGGGAGGGCTCAAGGGCCTCGAGTCGACAGTCGTTCAAGCTGGACGTATATCAGCGGGGAAGCTGTTCGACATATGACCACGACGCACCTGCGTTTAATTTCTGCAGCAGACTGGAAGCCAAGGACGAATTCTTCTTCAGTGGGTTCTTCCGCTGAGTAGCGAGCTAGCTGGATAGCCGAGTCATAGTAATGTAACGGCGTGAACTCTTCCTCGTCAGAATTCAACAGCGGCAGGATGAACCGAAAGTGATGGAGCATTCTGACGTGGGGCTTGAGAGTAGGATGTGACGGCATCACCAAGCGTGCGAGAACATCTGCAAGCAAAACGGTCAGAGAGCACAGGCATGCAAACATAGGACACCGCACCGATCTCAGGGATCGTATCCAGAAGAGTGCGTCGGAAATGCACACCTTCGTACTTCGAGCCTAGGGTCGTTCAGCTTACTTAGACAGCAGTGAGATGAACTTGAACACCACATACCGGGCCGGCCCCATCCTGGATGGCACACATCCGTCGGTAGGGAGTCATGTGCTACCAAACAAGTGCGGATGTACTCTTGCGTGATATACTCATGAACAGACTTCACAGGATCAGACGAAACGGAAAAATCATGCGATAAACGGTGTGCGCACGTTCGGAATATCTCCACGCCGCAGTATTCGATGTGCCTTCGTAATCCGTTGCATGCGCAGGTGCACAGCTAGTCGCCGTTTGACGCAGAAGAGCAACGATATAATTAGCTGGTTGCGTTTAGACCCTGATTTTCCTCGTACTTGGGACGCCGATACGCACGACGAAGACATACGACCCTCCTATGATGACGGCATTGAAGTTTCCCGTCCACGTCTGATTGGGTGAATGGCGCACGGCTTGCGCAAGGAGCGCAACGCAAGACAGAGCAACTGCGATACAGATGAGAAAGAGAAGACACAGCTGAACAAGTTTCAGGAGGATTCTGAAGAGCTTGCGCATGGTCGCCAAACACAAGAGCTAAAGCCAGTGCTTGTAGCGCAAATGTGATGCCATCAGACTGATATTCGCGTGTAGTCACACTCACGTGCGTGAAGACTTTTCTCTTGTTGTCGTGTATGCGCGTTCAATGTCGCGTTGATATTAACTTGTGCATTCCAGGCTAACATCGTTCAGTCTCGCTGAAGAACGCGGGCTCTTGGACGGGACATCAAATGCCCTTCTAATAGCTCTGATGGCCAAAAATCCACATGACTTGAGAGTGAACCAAGTAGCATGGTATCAAAAGGATGTCCGAGTTCCCAAATACTTCTTAAGCATAAAAATACACCCATACAACACTGTAATGGTATTGAAATTGCAGCCCATCCCAGCTGGACTATCAACATGGCACCAGAGTCTCGAATCAAAGGAATGGACGGCCGACAACAACCACGGCCACAACCCAGCATCACAACCTCTACTTCTGAACATTGGCTCTGCAGCAGATCAGCACGTGAGCAGAGATAGAAGAGAGAGATTTCCGTACCCGAATTCGCCTTCGACGTTGCCCTGCACGGAGTATTCGCATACATAGTATTGAGCAGACTGATCGTCATCAGACAGTGGATATTTAGATCGAGATAAGCACTTACGCCGAAGCCAGGGAAGATGTCGGGGCAAGTTTGAACTAGAGAATGGTAAGTTATTCTGCACGTCCCGTAGTCCCTTGAATTTACCAGCACAACCGATCTGGGTGCTCGCTTTCCACACGACCTGGGTAAAGTGCGAAGCTTTCGGGTTGTTTGGGTCGAAATCGGCTGATGTTTATCAGGTCAGCAATGCGGGAGAACCTCCACGAAGGACAATACGCACAAACTTCGTCCGTCCACGCCTTGACAGCATCCGCGATGGGGAACGAACCAGTTCCGGCCGCAAGATTTTCTACAAGTTCAAAATCAGCGGAGTGCAAGATAATACAGAGGACTTTATCGCACCTCCAAGGGGTCCGAGAGTGCCGCCAGAGTGAGTGTTGGTGCACTTGTCCGCCCAGAACTGGGCCTTGGAGGCAGCAGCATTGCTCCAAGCGACAGGAACCGCGCCATGCTGAGACCGGATCGAGTTGTGAGCGGTAAGATAAGCCTGGACATCGGCATTCGACGCCCGACTGCCATTGCCTCCGCCATTGTTGCTGGAATTCGCATTCCCTGCATTGCTCGTGTTCGCCGAGTTGAGCTTGAGTTGCGCGGCAGTCTTGGTGGGGGCAGCTGCAGTAGACGTCGTAGTCTGCTGTTGCGTGGTTGATGAAGTGGTCGAGGTCGTCTTTGGCGGCGGCGGAGGGGGCTTGGATGTCGTCGCAGGGGGCGTCGTGTGCGTCGTGGACGTAGTGGATGTTGTGGACGAGGAGGTGGTAGTTTTCTGTGTGGAAGTCGAGGAGGTCGTGGTCTTCGAAGAGGTTGTCGTGTGGGTAGAAGTCGACGAGATGCTCGTCGAAGTGACAGATGAGGAAGTGGTCGATGACGAAGTCGAGCTGAAAGTCGATGACGAAGTGGTGACAGCCTCAGTGGCCAGTCCGCCATGGATGAGCTTCGTTGCCGCCTCGGTTGCCGAGGAAGAGGCTGATGTAGAAGTGCTGGCCACGGAGCTGGTCGCACTAACGCATCACGTCAGATAACCTCTGTTTTCGAGACAGGCAGAGGAGCCGCGCACCTCTGTTCGCCGCATGCACTAGCAATGTAATCGCTCATCGAGTCCGTGCTTGGTCGCATCACTGAGCCCCACGCGTCGGTGCCCATCATCATACCGGGCCAACCTGAACCGTCAGGAAAAGGCGAAAGCAAGGATGCGGGTTCAGACTCACCCCATTTTTGACCGCACATCTGTATGCAGTCTCCAACCTGTTTGTACTTCGAAGCACACGCGGGACCAGCGAGCGAGTTGGGGAGAAGACCGATAACCAAAACCAAAGAAATGAGACGCGCCATGAGAGAAAAAGAGGGTGGGGAGAAAGAACGAAAGATTGGGAGTCCCTGACGACGTTGAGGTTCCAGTAAAGTTCCAGCTTGCGATATGAATACAGACCCACATGGGGTGATGCCGAACCGATCACTGATGCAGATGGTCTCGGTCTCCAATTTGGTTCTGGGCACGCGCTCGCCGCCGCCAACACCAGTGCTCAAACTGTTTCGTCGGGATGCAACCACCTCACTACGTTCTTGTCCGCCAACAAAACTCGCTCACACCGTCTTCTGCATTACCACTTGTTCACGCTTCAGTTCAATACCAGTACACGGACGACACGCCCCACTCGCTCGTGCCCAACCAAGGCGAGCAAGTGCTTGTGCTCGACTATGATCCACACTCGGAGACTCTGCCAACGATCCAAAGCATTTCTCCTTCGGTTGCGGTCACCGATGTCTCCGTGGAGGAAGCCCCGGGTGCAGCAGCTGCTGCCGCTGATGAAGGCGACCCAGAGCGCAACGATCGTATGTTCATCATTGAAACCACGAGCGCAACAGACAAGTCTGTGGTGTCTATTTTAGGCGCTCGCGTATTTACGTTTCGGAACGACAGATCCATGGAGGGCTCCCTGAGTGAGCGGAGACCGGCGCTGACCGTGCTATCACAGTTCAAACAACGGTAGGCGCTACATTCTGCGCTGATCAAGCCACTTATCGCCGGGCTTAGCAACGCAGTCCTGCGCAAGGCGTTGTTGTACCCGGGGCCTACCAGACCGTCGGGTGAATCTTGATTCCCGTAATTATATAGTATGAAGCACAACATACAATGTAGAATAATTAACCATGTACTAATACTAAAGTGAAATCACTCAGACCAGTCCTCTTCAGGGCCCGCACGCAGGAGATCGAGGCTGTCCATATCCCCGAGATGCATCTCATGCTCCGGGCGCAATGAAAGGCTGCGGGGGCTGCCGAACATAGACGCGTCCGGGTCGGTCGTCACACTGGAGGCAATAGACTTATTGGCACGGTGAGTGCGAACAGGCGGGTCCGGGGAGACCCGAGGGAATACCAGAGTGGGCGATCCCGGTATCCCGACAGACAGAGCAGAACGCTCATCAAAGTCACTCGAAGTGCCCCCATCCTCGTGCAGGAGAAGAGACATATTCGCCGGCGGAAGGGGAAAAACAGACGAGGACGAGCTCAGCCGCTTGCGCGGGACAGCAAGGTGGTAGTGCGAGTCCTCTGAGACGTCTCCGTCCCGGCTCCGGGGAGACTCGTTCGGTCGAGAACCAGACTCGTTGGACCGATGAGCCCGACGGAATGCCTCGGTGCTGACTGGGCCTCGAGGAGAAGCGCCCAGTCGAAGCTGAAGCTTCAGTTGGCCAGCTTCCTCCCGCAGTTCAGTCAATATTTCATGCAGAACACGATTCTCGCGTTCTAGAGGCTCGATCCGGTCTAATTGCAGCTCGAGCTTGTTGATGCGCTCCCGGAGTTCCGAGTTTTCGTCGCGAAGTATTTTCGTCGTCCGCTGGGAATCGGATAGAGCGCTGAGCAGCGCACCGGTCTCAAGTGAGTGTTTGTCCTTGAGTTCCCTGAGCTCGTCGGGCTCCCACGATGCCCCGGAGACTGATGTGGGTGCGGTCGACGCCGATCTCGGGGTGTCTCTGCTCGACAGCGTCAACGTCGGGCTTTCCATGAGCTGGCTGCCAGCACTGCCAAAGTAACTTGCACTGCCGCTTCCTCTTCTGCGACTGATCGTGCCGGAGGATGGCGGGCCAAGACGAGACGCACTACGTGAAGGGGGGGTCTCATCCGAATCGGGCAAGAGACCTGCTGCCCGGAACGCTTTCGCAGTCCGAGGCCCCAGCCATTCCGGCCGATTCGATAAGCTGGTTCCGGGTCGCATATCCCTGAATGGAGACGCAAAGCGACTCGGAGATGTGTTCTTCTCGTCCACACTCATGCTCCGTCGGCGCGTCCTTCGCATCTTCAGGTTCCATGAAGATGCGCTGCCTGCAACCGAGAAGTCGCGATCCGGTGAATCGTCAGGATCGACACGACGCTGGATGTCCAGTGACGGCCTGTGCCGCGCTGTATCGAATGAACTCCGCGATCCAGCCACTGACGGCGGCCGCAAGTCATGTGATGAACCATCCCAGCCCTCAGACTGTAGCATTCGTGCGAGCATCGGCCGTCGTGATACAACTTGCGGCGTAGTCATCGATGTCGGCTGTGTTCGTCGAGGAGCCGGTGTCGACGAAGCAGGCAGAGGTTGAGAAACGGGGGATGGGGGCATCGACAGAGGAGAAGGCGGCGGTCGCTGAGTCGATGCACCGGTGCTGGACGAACCTGAGACAGACCGTCGGACAGCAGTCGTCGGGGGAGAAGGATGTTGTGCAGGGCGTAATCTTGGTCGAGAAGACTGGTGCTGAGCTCTAAGGCTAGAGGGAGCAGAGTTGCCTGTGTCCATGGCTTCCCCATCCTTGGGTTTGAGAGTTTCATTTGTATCAGAGGCTGCTATCCGGTTCGGACTGAGCAGAGCTGCGAGGTCGGGGTCCAGTGCACTCAAGTTGAAGCTGTCGTCCCCTGCACGAGCTAATTGATGAGATTCGCTCTCGATCTCAAGCCAGTTCTGGGTTCCGGAAGCAGCTGACTCTTGCGCCTTCAATGCATCCATGACTTGGGCATCCAGTTGGGAAGTGGACAAGTCCAATGCGGAAGACTCGTCAGCAACGAGTTTGTGGTCGGAAGAAGCAGAGGGCAAGGGTGAGCCAGATGGAGACGAGTATGAAGAGGCAGAGGCTGAAGGTAAGTGTTTCGAGATTCCGGACGAGTCTGCCTCGATGATCGTCGAGAGATCGGGTAGGGGAGAGGGTGTTCTGATGAAAGAATTGTTGGCAACTATAATGACGACCGTTCCTTAGAAACAGACACAAGACGCGAGCATATACAAGAACATACCTGTAGGAAGCTGGTCCAGGCTCTTCCTCGTGTCCAACATATTCCTTCTTCCCCCTTGACAAAACAAGAGTTTTAGCTTTTCAGAGACATGATATTGATATAGAACACACAGGATGGGTCTTGAGCGCCGGTAGCATTGTTCGGAGACCCCAGATCCAACGACGTGGCCTTTGCACTTGTCGAGAGGTCCCTCGTCCCAGCTGCCCCCAGTGAAATAGACTTTCGGATGGGGATATCGACGGATTGTTTACGAGACGCTTGATCGATAACCATGACCGGAAGCTCCGTCACAGACGCAGAGACATTCCTATCCCGGTGCATCGAGCGCCGCGAGAAGGACGCGAAACGAGAACCACTCGGGTGTGGTGATGAGGCACCAGGACTGGAGGGCGTACTTTTCGGGCCGAACGGGAGTAGGGAACGCAAGGAGCGGAATCCTGAAGGTGGATGTCCATTGGTCGGAGGTGAGGAGGATCCCGGTGTAGAAAGAGATGGGCGCCTGGCCGTGGGGAGCAGTGAAGGTTTGGCGGATTTGGTCTGGACGGCGGAAGGAGTGTGGGGAGAGCGTGGTGAAGCCATGTGAGTGTCGGAGGTCAATAGTTAATCAGCAGTTCATACTACGGAAGCAAGAGTGGCCCGGAGAGAGATTGGCAGTCGGTCCTTTGCGAGACTCGGTGTGTGAGACAAAGGTTCGTTTGATGCAGCGTACTGTTCCTGCGATCAATTCCATCAACGGCTTTAGCCGAGGCCGAAGAACCGATTAGCGCTGGTTCAGTTTGGAATTCCGCATCCGCGGATGTTTAAATTCGACTTGTAGTGCTCATTTCGCAGTGTCGCATAGAGCGCCTATCGTAAATCAATTCCCAGTAGTAGTAAGAAAACACGTTACTACTGACAGTCAGCAATCTGGAAAATCAGACTTGCAGCCCGATCATGCATTCCCCAGTCCATGTGTGCTGTAACGTTGCTCTATCAGAGCCTAATCAGAGTTGGTTGCGACGAAGCACCGCACCTGCAGCGAAAGCAATCAGTGGCTGTGCCCACTATTCCTTACCACCCGCCGATCATCGAAACTGTTCAAATCAACATTGTGGTCACTTGTGTACTCGTCCTTCGCCGCCATGTTCATTAAAATACTCATTTTCATCATGGATTATCCCACGCATGTGGCAGCAGAGTCCGCGGCACACGTCATAAAATTCCATAATTCCCTGGACTTGCTTGACGGCACCGTCAAAAGGAGGAAAGAGTATGAGCTCCTGTTTGTCGATGAACCCATACGCTCGGTCGATCTGAATGTTCTTGTCTTCGACACGATTGTGGCCCCCACTCGGTTGGATGAAGCGGAGCATGGGCTGCTCGTTCTACCGGGAGCAAAGCTGACAGTCGGCACGACGTATTTCGGTCCATCAGAGAATGAACATCGCAAAGCCGAATCTTCGTCACTTTTACTGGCCGCTGCAACAGATGTCGGCTTTTTCTTTAATTGTGATCTCTCCGCGACTAATATCGAGACGTTGTCTGTGAAACCGGTCAGCGCCTGCTGCATAGTACCAAGTTCCGTGGCTGATTACTCTATCTAGTATAAACGCTGTGCCTCTCTCGCAAGAGGGAAAGACACCCCGAAACAATGATGGACAGCCCTGCATCTTGGATTGTGGACGTCTTTGGCAGTCTAGTCGCGTTGCCGTGAGTTTCCAGGCCAGAATAAGAACAAGCAGATTTTGACTTGCCCATGATTTCCGGTGTCGGAGATCATCACGCCTTGGCTCAAAGCCCGGAAGCCGGCACTTGCAACAGAGATTTTGCAGAGAGTCTGAAATCTATGTTCGACGTCATGGGGGCGATCGACCGGATTCACCCTGCGCTGGTAGTGAAACATGACGTATCTACAGGGAGGTTGCTGCCATGTCTTTCGTGCCCGAAAACGCCACCATTCCTGTGCCCCAGATGAACTATCGGCATCTGCTGCCGGCCGGAGGACCGGTGATAACCATGTGCTTGGTCGTATACGATCTACGAATGCCAGGACACTTTCAGCTTCAGGGACATTTGGAACCTGCGGTCCTACGTCAAAGCTCCACGCCATACCGGCTGACCCTGGTACATTGGGAAATCTGGAAGACGGCACCGTTTCCGGTCTGATGGTTTAACCACGAAGAACGCATGTTTGATTCGTTTTCTAGTTGCGAACGATATGGGGAGTGGTTATCGTTCGTAGAACGGAATTCTCTACATAGATCCAGCCCGAAGCCAGAAAGAAAAGACGCGGATTGGCACATGAGTCTTCACTCACGGAGACCTGAATGTTTCGAACATCATCCTCGACGGTAAGAACATTTTTGTGGCTCATAGACTGGGGCTACGCTGGCTGCTATCCCTTGCGTTAGAGCCCATGGCCATGCAATGGGTTGACGGAGCCAAAAGACATCGTCGTATGCCTCGTTCATGGTCCGCTTGGATCCCTTTCATTTGCGTCTCAGCAGCAGCACAATTTAGACACCGGCCATATCTCAGCTGGTACTTCGGAAGGCTAACTTATTGAAATTCAAGTAAACGTGCGAATGATGCGAGCCGGCGAAGTCGTACGAGGCGCATTCACGAAGGAGATCAGAGTTCGTGGGACCGCGGAAGAGGATTCGGAGCAGAGGGTTATCAGCCCGACCTTTCGATATATTGATGTCTTCAAGTGACATCGCGGATCCACGCTGCGAATGTCACTTCTACCCCACAAAGAAGGACACGCAAACGACGTGTACGCAGCAGGAGGCCGAGTGGAGTATCCATTCTCTAAGTAATCCAATGCGTAAGCTCCATAGACGAATCTAGTTCTGTTTTTCTGCTGCGTTGCCCCTAGCAGCGCGTTGAAGCGAACTCTGAAGGATGTCAGAAGGGGAGAGGTCCTGGTAGCAACACCTAAGCAGCTAGGACGGGTCGACGAAGATCCTGAGAACCACGAGGAAAGGACATGAACCCCTACAAGCCACCATCATCTTTAGAAACGCAGGAAGTCATCGATCGTATACCATTGAATTAGAGTGAAGCACGTCTTGGTGTTCACTATGATGTTCTGCAACAGATATCATCAATACAACCAATCTAATAGTTGTCCTGTACATCACGAGGATACATATACGGAGGAACGAGCTACCGCCGTGCCTTCTTGCCGCTGCGACTCTTCCCGCCGCCCGCTTGCGCGGGTGCAGGCTGCGCTTTGGGGGCATCTTCACTAACGAGAGCAGACAATCTACGATCATAAGCGTTTCATCGCGACCACAGTGTGTTCGTGCTCACCCCGCTTTGAGATCCCCGCTTGCCATCGCACTCTGCATGCTCGAGACACGCGCCTGCTGTTCCCGGAATTCCTTCATCGTCTCCGGGTCGAGATTTTTCTGAGCAGCCATTAGGATCAGAGGCAAGAAAACACCGGAGCACGATGACCAACCGTGAGATAAGGCATGGCGAACACCATGAGACCCCCGAAAACGAGCATGAGCATCATCGGATTCTGGAACATCCCGACCAGATTGAATGACTGCGGTGGCACGTAGTACTCGAGTTTTGCCCTCGGGGAAAGCGAGATTTGTGGCAGTAGTATCGTCGAAGGAGGATTCAGAGGTGTTCCCGGAGAGTACGGTCGGATTTCGACGCTCGAGCCGTCTGGAATGTCTATGCGTAACTTGGGGTGCATAAGTGTTGTTGCCCAGTCTGATCGAATACAGGGCCCACATTGTCGAACAGGAAGTCACGAGAAACGACAGAGAGGATATATGTTCCAACCGGAACGTCGGGACTGCAGAGAATATCTTAAAATGGACTGGGACAACAGATTCGTATACACACATAGTGAAACTTCCGTCACGAAGGACGTTGGCCTTATGGCTTCCGGAGTCCAGGATGACTTGCGCTGAGCCCAAAGACTTCAGGTCTACCCCGATCCTCAGTCTACGGTAAGAGTGTCTGCGAACGAGGATTGCGCACCCGGCCATGCTTCATTGAACTGCAGGCGGCCTGACACGTCCGCAGCGAAGACTGCGCTCCATAGGCTACACCAAGCAGGTCTCAGATAAGTGCAGAGATCGACGCGACTGAGACTGACCTGACGGCCGCGAGAATAAGCGCGTAGAATTTCATCGTGTCAGCACGCAAGTTAGCAGCAGAGATCGGCGCGTCAACACAGGTCAACACATCTCTTCTCTCGACATCACTCATCATGAGACAAAAGCGCGCAAAGGCATATCGGAAGCTCATGGCTCTCTACTCCATGTCATTCGGCTTTCGACAGCCCTATCAAGTCCTTGGTATACAAAAACTCCCTGGGACTATGCAGCACACGCTCAATCTAGAGTCCAGTGGACTCTGAAATGTGCCAACTGGCTGCAGACTCGAAAACCGAACTCGGAAAACAAATCTCGACTGCTCTTCAAGGCGAGACGAAGCCCAGTAAGCGGCCATAGATGCCTGTCGAATCGCACGCTCAGTTATGGCGCAAGCCACTGTCTAGTGATCACTCAATGCTGCATCCACGAGCTGTATCTGCGCGGTAAATCGCATCAGCCCGCTGTCGACCTCGCGAAACTATTCGAGCGAAGGAAGTGTAATCATCGCGAACCGATACCGGGGGACGAGTGTCTAGCGAGTGTCGTTGGTGCGTGGACGCCTCGTCCAGTAATCTACGATCAATCATAACTTTGTCTGCAGGGGAAATGAACAAGCACCGCTACGTCGTCGCGACACAATCCCAGACCCTGCGCTCGCAACTGCGGAGTATACCCGGTGTTCCGATTCTGCACATCAACCGTTCCGTTATGATCTTGGAACCTCCAAGCGACGCTACACTGCGAAGCAAAGCACTCGTATGGATTCTTCCATCCGTTGTCTTGTCTCGCTGTTTGACAACCACATCCCACAGACTGAAGAAAAGGCTTTGCATGCGACAGGATCCGAAAAACCGCAATCGGATGCCGGGCCTGTTCCCAAGAAGCGCAAAGGGCCGAAAGGGCCTAATCCACTTAGCGTGAAGAAGAAAAAGCCCGATCCTAAACCGGCGGCTACAACAAAACCAAGGAGTAGTGAAACTGCGATAGTAGGAGAGAAGAGAAAGCGAGAGGATGTAAAGGAAGCACAGGAATCGCAAGCTGAGCCTGAGATGAAAAAGAAACGCAAAAGAAGAAGAAAGGCCACGGACACAGATGCTTCTGTAACCCAGTCTGTAGACTAATATATTCACCCGTCCCTCGTTACCGTGTCTCAATAGTCCTTACTCGTACTCAGTTGACGAAAAGATGCAACCCAATGAATGTTGTTAAATTGCGACGTGTGATAGTAGGATTACAGATTACAAAACGATGCGAGAAGCCCTCAGTTGCCGCCGCGGAGACGCAAGACAAGGTGGAGGGTCGACTCCTTCTGAATGTTGTAGTCAGAGAGAGTACGGCCATCCTCAAGCTGCTTGCCGGCGAAGATCAGGCGCTGCTGGTCGGGAGGGATACCCTCCTTGTCCTGAATCTTCGCCTTCACGTTGTCGATCGTGTCCGAGGACTCGACCTCCAGCGTGATCGTCTTTCCCGTGAGTGTCTTCACGAAAATCTGCATTCCACCACGCAACCGGAGGACGAGGTGGAGAGTGGATTCCTTCTGGATGTTGTAGTCCGAAAGGGTCCGACCGTCCTCGAGTTGCTTGCCGGCGAAAATCAGACGTTGCTGATCAGGAGGAATGCCTTCCTTGTCCTGGATCTTCGCCTTCACGTTGTCGATGGTGTCAGACGACTCGACCTCGAGGGTAATGGTCTTGCCCGTCAAGGTCTTGACGAAGATCTGCATACCACCACGCAGACGAAGGACGAGATGAAGGGTGGACTCCTTCTGAATGTTGTAGTCGGAAAGGGTACGGCCATCCTCAAGCTGCTTGCCCGCGAAGATCAACCGCTGTTGGTCGGGAGGGATACCCTCCTTGTCCTGGATCTTGGCCTTCACGTTATCGATCGTGTCCGAGGACTCGACCTCCAACGTGATGGTCTTGCCGGTCAAGGTCTTGACAAAGATCTGCATTCCACCACGGAGTCGGAGAACTAGGGCCGACATAAGTAACCGGATTACGGAAGGGACCTAGGCCACGCACCAAGGTGAAGGGTGGACTCCTTCTGGATGTTGTAGTCGGACAGCGTGCGACCATCCTCGAGCTGCTTGCCGGCAAAGATGAGACGCTGCTGGTCAGGCGGGATGCCCTCCTTGTCCTGGATCTTTGCCTTGACATTGTCGATGGTGTCGGAGGACTCGACCTCAAGGGTGATGGTCTTGCCGGTCAGAGTCTTGACGAAGATCTGCATACCACCACGCAGACGGAGGACTGATAGGGACGTGAGTAAGGGACAGGCGGCGAGCATCATGGTAACGACGTACCAAGGTGCAAGGTAGACTCTTTCTGAATGTTGTAATCCGAGAGAGTGCGACCGTCCTCGAGCTGCTTGCCGGCGAAGATAAGACGTTGCTGGTCAGGGGGGATACTGTTGGCCTATTAGCACCGGGCGAGACGAGGCCTGATACGGTTGCCACTCACCCCTCCTTGTCTTGGATCTTGGCCTTGACATTGTCGATGGTGTCTGAGGATTCGACCTCGAGGGTGATGGTCTTTCCGGTGAGGGTCTTAACGAAGATTTGCATTATGAAGAGGTGGGTGTGTGAGGGAGAAAGGTGTGGGTTGAGATAAGGAGACAGGTGGGGGTGTCTTATATACCCAGGGATACCGATCACATGTGATCATAATGACTCAAGCACAGCATCACACGGAATAGCCCAGAATTGCCGGGAACAAATGACCAAGGGATACTACTCTGTTACAGTCATGCTTATGCATCGGCAACCGCAGTCTCGGGGCTATCTGTCATGCTTGGGTCGCTGCGGTCAAACCAAAGTCGGATGCTCAAATCCTTCTCCATCGCTGCGGATGCGATAATGGCCTTGGTCGGGTGCGCCTATCTTGGAATCAATACCTAGCCGAGAAATAATGGGGCGCGGAACAAACCGCCACTGCCAGTACGACATCTGTTTCCTTAGTCACACAACTGACTAACAGCGAGGGAGAAAGCATGCACCTCGATGACCTCCCAGCACCTGCAGCACCTGGCGTGTCTGCAGATCCCAAATGTACACTTTGGAATCTTCACTCCCACTCACGACATGTTTCGTGGCAGTGTTCGTGAAACACGCAAATATACAATACGTTCTGTTGGTATGGCCGGTGTACGTCTTGACACAGCGAGAGGCGTGATAACTCCACAGCCGGATCGTCGAGTCTTGCGTCGAGGCCAGAACAAACTTTGAATTCGGCGTGAACAGCACATGAGAGCTGAAGGCCAATCAGCTCAGGCTCCCGGAAAGCGATAAGGAAACAGACCAGATCGGATTGTCGTCATCAACCAACGTCTTCAAGCATTGCCCGGATTCAGCGTCCCAGATGCGTCTTCGTGAGAATGAGTGCTCTCTGTCCGAAGTGAAAAAGGCCCAGCTCACATTAGCCCATCCATGGCACATGATACAATAAGCGTTCCGTCGTGATTAAAGCTTACCGCAGTCACAGGATCAGAGTGAGCAGGAAGTACTTTGAGAGCTTTTGCTGAACAAATCATGAGCGTGCTTAGAGAGCGATAGAACAGACCAGCAAATGCCTCTTGCGATATCCCAGATCCTCACTGTCTCATCGAATCCTCCTGAGACCAAGAGATTAGATGCCGGATTGTAGTTCACGCAGAAGACGAAGTTGGTATGTCCCAGAAGCGTCTTGATCTCAGTTCCCTACATACGGCGGAAGGTTAATGCCAATGAATACACTCATAACCCAAACGCACTGACCACTTTCATGTCCCACACGCGTATCGTTTTGTCGTCTGATGCAGAGGCCAGATAATCGCCGTCAACCGACCAAGAAATATCAGATACGCCTTCAGTGTGGCCCACTAGTGTGCGCAAAACACCACCGGAGTACGCGTCCCAGACTTTGATGACCTTGTCCGCGCCTACCTTTCGATCCGACTGATTATCATTGAAGCCCGGGATCGGCGCGCGACAAACCTGACGAGGCGAGCTTACTCCCATCTGGGCTAAACTTCAGGGAAGATATAGACTTGGTATGGCCACTGAGACTGAACGCGAGTTTGTACTGGGGGCCAGAGGGTGTCGCTGGAGAAGGAGTAGGAGGTATCTCTCTAGACGAAGAGCTCGTCCCTGCTTCCTTCGCGTCCGGGGAGATCGGGGCATTCGGACGCGTAGAATCGACATCCATGGACTCAACTGCGGCGTCCATTTTGTAGTGGACGCGAGGAAAATAGATCGTCACGTGCCCACAATTTTTCGTCGACATCTCTCATCTTGCTGCTATCATACGCAATGGCTGCTGCTTGGGTCTCACCTGCAACGCGCACAGATCTCATCGAAGACCTTGTTTCCGGCGTCGGTCAGTCAATCTAGGGCAGGTGTTATTATCAAACTGAGAGGGATCAAATAGACAGATACAACCCATCGAACGTTGGAATCCTCGAAGATTACCTCTACCACCAAATCCGTAGTCAGGAATACGACTGTCTGGCTAACCTCGCGATTCTAAAACTGTACCAATTCAATCCCGACCTGTACAATCCCGATGTTGTCGTCAACATCCTCCTCAAAGCCCTCACCGCTTCCCCACTTCCCGACTTCAACCTGTGTATCAGTCTACTCGATGAGAGGCCGATCAACGCCACCCTCGACGAACCCGACCCACTTCCCACCCTCCTCCCTGCCTTGAAGCAGCTCCACGACCTGTTGTACCGATGTCGTTTCCCCGCTTTCTGGCAGGTGTACAACTCGGACGAGCTGGAGACGCTCCGAGACAACTACACTGTGGAAGTGTCGGGGTTCGAAGATGCCGTGCGAGAGGTTGTCATTCGTGCGGTGAAGGCCACGTTCACGAGTATCTCCACTGAGCGGTTAGGATCCTACCTCAATCTGAGTGGTTCGTTCACTTCCTTGCGTATCAAATTATTGACATCTTATCCTCTGCAGGCACGGATCTCGCCGGGTTCGTCTCGAAGAAGGAGTGGAAAGTCGAGTCCGATGTTGTGACTATTCCCCCAAATCCCGACAACCAAATCGAATCGGTTGTCCTCCAAGAAAATATCAAGCTTCCCCGTATGCATTCCCTCGAATCAGAATTGAGTGGTTGCTGATGCATCTTGCAGAGCTAACAAAGGTCATAGCACACGGTGCCAACTAGTACTTTGTATTTCCTGTACTTGCAGAACTCGGCGAACGAATGGCATTATGATTGGAATTACACGAAGGATACAGGTCTATTACGAACAATCTGTTCAAGGGGCTGGTGCTGATGTGGCCTTCCGATTTGTCCACAGCATATAAGGTTCTCTCGATACATCGTAGCCTGAAGCAGCCTTGGCGCGTGTGCTGCGTCGGGCTTCGGGCAGGCGGGCAGAAGCATTGATGTCCTGGGCGTGGATGAGTACAACTGCTCGACGGAACGATGCCGCAACGCACAGCCATACGACGTTTCACTCCAGAAAGAATGTGTGGCCACCATTTTGTCAGGGAGCCCTTCAATGCGACTTCACGATTCCCTTTCGAATTGAGCCAAGCCATGAACTCATCCAACTGCACGTAGAGCGTCAGACTGCGTTCTCCCTCACTGGCCACCAGATACTCACCTCCTCCTGGTCGGAGAACACTGCCCAGTCAGAAGGCCCCAGCATGCCTTCGATCCCTTCTTCTTCTTTACGGCGCTCCTCGACGTTATCCTCAGTCCTGTTCTTCAGCAGTTCCAGGTCCAGCTCGCTGGGGCCCTGGATGAAGACTCTCCCTGCTCCGTATTGGCTCACGCCGCCATTGTTTACCAGCGAGCCAGAGCCAATGCCGTCGAACCACCAGACCCGATTGAAGAACCGATCTTTCCCCAGAGGCCGGACCCGTACAGTGGACAAAAGCTTGCGGAAATCACGCTCTATGCCTTCGAGTCGGCGCTCCAACTTGTTTATCTCTTCGTCTAACCGCCTGTGGTCTGCCGTGGCCTGCTTGAGCGAGGCTTGCTTCGCTCGTGCTGTGTCTCGTTTCGTCGGCTTCATTTTCTTGGGTGCTGGCTCCTCTCCTGGAACGTCTGAAAGATCGCTCGAGTCAGGCAGCACCACTTCTGGCTCTGGCACATCTGCCCCGTTCTCTTTCATTTCCGCGCGTAGAACGTTCATTTCCTCAGCACTGGACAAAGATGAGTTGGACTCCAAGGAATAAATGCAAAGCTGTGCTGACTATTGCTTTTTGAGCCGATTGACCTCAATCTTTTCTTTTCGCAATGCTGTCAACTGCTCCTCGCACAGCTCCAAATGACCATGGACAGCTTTACTTGATGTGGCAAGGTTCGCCATGAATGACAGGATGGCGATTCGGTCAGCAGCAGGCAAAGAGTGGTATCTTTCCGCTGGAGACGAGACCACTTGAAGCGTGGGTGTTAACAACGAAGGACATGCTTCAGAGGAGGGGTCTGGGGCGAATAACAGTCTCGTCAAGACCTGACGAATTGTCGGAAAGTTGGTCAAAGTCGCGTGCTGCATTTGAAATTCAGAACAAGCGGCGCGGTGAAGACTGTAGCGTACGTCTTTCAGACAGCCGAAAAGGGCATCTTCCCATCCACTGCGATTGTCGGAATGTCGCAGTGGGACTCTCTCCCAATTGTTGCCAACTTCAGCCATTGCTGCGGTCAGCTCGTCCAAGGAAATCCCGAACACGATCTCGTCCATGCCAGTCTCTCGATTATGCCCAAGCAGCGAGAGCAATGCGCTGTGTCGAATGAACGGGACTGTCCGTAAGTTGTAGACAAGCGAGGCATGAATCTCGCCCAACATCGGACATGGAGCCTCTGCCACAGTGTGCTGGATTCCGTGCTCAAACTCGTCGAGCGTTATTGGAGACAAGTTCAAAGCTTGCCTATTGTCTGTCATCAGCTCATAGTTCCTATCTTATGTAAAGAAAAAAAGATACCCGAACACCACGAGGAAGTTCCAGGCCATGAGGAAGGATTCGAATGTACCAGGACTATCGTTGAAGGGAAGAGCAATACGATTAGGCACTGGTCGTTTGACCTTGACACCAGCTTTCTTTTCCTTGTCAGTTATTCGCACGTCAAGGTCCTCAGTAGGGTAGCGTATCGGTTTCCTCTTCTTCTTCTCGGCCGCTAGACGTTCAGCCTCTTCCTTTGCTGCTTTCTGTTTTTCGGCCTTCTCAGCATTTTCACGCTCCCGTTTAGCGGCTACGGTCCGAATCAGCCGTCTGAAGCATGTTTTAGAGGCAGGTAGTAGAAACCTTTCTCTTCTTGCGCTGCTGTGAGCTTCTTCTGTCGCTTCGTGGGCGGTTGCTCTTTGTCGTCCCAGACCTTCTTGCGCTTGTCACTTTCGCCTTTCTTCACAGTCTCCACGTTCTTCTTGGTCTGCTCGGGCATGTGGTATTCCACTCCAAAGCGTTGAGCGACAAGCGTTTTCACTGTCCACGGTGAGGCGACAGCGGGGTCGCGATCGACACAATCACGGATGAATCGCCTCAATATCGATTTGGAGAACGCCAGACGATCTCGGCTGAGCAAATGGAATCAGCGGTGCCTCACAGCATTCGCTCAAGACATATACCTAAGCGCACCGCATTGAACTTCACGCAAACTGTCGACAGCAGAAGGATCCTGCTCGGCATTCTTCGCGGCAGCTTTCTGCTTGGAGTCCTTTTCAGGCTCGAAGAGGTGCACCCAGTAGTAGTACAATGCTGGATCGTCTCTGGCATTCGCCTCCTTGGCTGGCTCTTTGAGATCACCGACGATAGCATGGGGTGGCTCGTCGACCGCTATCGGCTCTGATGATGAACACCCTTGGCCGGATTTGAATGCCTCGCGTGCGTCAGGTTTGTCGTTGTATTTGGGTGGGAAGACTTTGCGGATTTCAGCGTGATACCTGTTTGTGGATGAGAACGGGGGACGAGATGCACGAGAGAAACGCACTTGACTCCCGCCAGGTCAACGAGAACCTCTGCAGCGTGATTGTGAGAGAGAAACGCGATCATCGACAGTTGTCATACGCACTTTCGCATGGGAAGTATCGGTCTTTGAATCGTTCGTAGACAGCTTCAACCAGATGATCCAGTCGTCCAACAACCTCTGCAGAAGGGGGAGACGTTAGAGACATGCGACGCGACAAGAGACAAACGCACGCCATTGAACAGCTTTGAGGACCGATCCCTTGAGAGCTTCAGGAAAGCGAGAGTGCAGGGTGCGCGCTTCTTGCATTTCACTCTGGACGGCCTGGAAGTAGTCGAGCCCGCTTTTGCCGGTGACGTCGCACTGGAACTGCTTTTGGCGGTAGAACGACATCCGCGCAGCATATGCCCTGCAACAGACGCTGAGGACGCGCGGTGTGGATGTGTACGCTGGAACGCACTCGTATGTCTCGAAAATTTCGCCCGTTTGCTGCAGAAAGAAGACATCTTTGGTGGGGTTGGTCTTGACTACTTCCAGGAGGGCCGGTGAGGGCTCCGTGAGGACGACTTTCTTGCGGCGACAGGTGGGCATAGTGAACAGGGGAGGTGGGGCTAACAGCCCAGGAGGAGGAAGAGACGGTCGAAGGAGGGGGACTAGATGTGCAGGAGGGAGTGACTAGGGAGAATCCGGGACGGGTGTATGGTAAGAGGAGGGGGGAGGCAAATGATGGGTCATATACCGGAAGGAGCCCAGCCTTGGACCTCTCGAGACAAGACGGCTCACTTGCCTCGCTTCCGTCCCGGGTTTCCCACCTTTCATCCACAGTCTGCCCACGTCAACACTCGTGCAGGAGTACTGCGGAAAATATACCGGGACAGATATGCAGCGCGTGGTTAGATTGCATTAATTCGAGTAGTGGCTTTTGTCAAGGCTGGAGCAGAGCGTGTCACAACTCATGACCGAAAATTGGGCAAATTGTTGCTTATACGCCCGACGCTGGCGACTCGGCTCTAGGATTACTTGCTTCCCCCTCTTCACTAGGGTGTTCTAATCCGTTTCTCTATCCACCCGATGATTTTCTGACCAGTCTGCGCGTCAATCGCTCATCGGCCCACACGTGACCACATCTAAGGATTCGAGGCGAGGGTCAAAGCGTCGAGCGTTGGCGATGAGGAAGCTCACGGTCTGTCCGCCTACGCGTAAAAATGGCCGCATATTTTATGCGCTACTTTGACACGGAATAAAACGCGAATCCGGTGTCTACATTAACAGTACAAAGAATTCGTAAAATCGTGGAATCATAACCAGTCAATATCAAAGGTATGTCAGTAATGAATGAATGCAGGGCATGGAAGTCCGTGGGTAGTAAGTACATGGTTCAACCTCGCAATCGAAGACGATCCCTGAGTCTGGTCTTGGGCTTCGACTGCTTCGAGTCGGTGGTCGCGCTTTTGACCAAATCGATTGCGTTTCTCGTGTCAGCGTCACTGACGACCTGACTGCTGCCTTCTGACTTGGAAGCAGTGGGCGACTTCCCCTTTGCTTCGACCGCATCCATCACGGCGATCGCCTTGGCTGCCGGAGTCGCTTTCCGGCTGTGGTCAGACGGAGCTGGAGTGGCTGGGGACGGCGCGACTGGAGAACTGTCCCCCGGTCCAGGTTGTCCGTCTATGTCGACAAGGACCCAACCCTTCCCGCCATCGGCGGGCACAGGTGGAGTTTCGCTGGCGGCTATGAGTCCGACCAAGCCTGCTTCGCTTTTTCGTAGTGTAACGTCTGGGCTCTGGACGTCGGGGGAATTGACTCTGGGAACTTGCTGAACATCAGGGGTGGGCAAATCATGCTCGTCTAAGTCGTCATCCTCCTCATCTTCTTCATCCTCCTCGTCGTCTTCCTCCTCTTCCTCCTCTTCTTCGGAGAAGGGTTCTTCTGTGATGGGCGTCGACTGCCATCCGCCTGGAATATTAGGAGCAGCCGATTCACGTTCGTCTCCCGTCCACTTTATGGGTATAGCAGTTGCGTATGTCGAATTAGTGGCGTCAGAAAAGGTTGTGTCTCTGAAGGCGCTCGAACCCAAAAGTGGTCCACTGTACGACAGGGAATCCGTACCCGAAGGGTGATCGTGTAAGAATACTCCATGCGGGCTCTCCTCTCTTGGGGGTGTTGCATTGGGATGTGGAGACGACCTCGGCGACGGTGAATGTGACCCAGAGCCGAGCGACGGTGGATTAGAACGTGATTGGAATCGCTCGTGCGGAAGATCCGTTGGCCGTGGAGGGGCGTTGTGTGGTCCAAACGGAGAAGTCGCATAGAACACGTCAGGAGTTCGACCAGATGCCCCGACTCCCGTCAAATCGTCGCCACCCTCAGAAATGACGCTGGGCAGGTGAGCCCGGACTGGCTCAGCTACCGGAAGCCGCTCCTCGCCCTCGTAAGCTGACACAGGAACTTGAGCTCGGGGTGCCGGCTTTCGCAGCAGCTTGGAATTCCGAAGGCCGGATCCTTGGCTATCCGGACTATCGGTCGCTGCTCGAGCATGTGTGTACGTCGTGCCCGAATTCGTGGCAACAGGCTCAGACGCCAATCGGCGGTGAAGAGATTGCTGACTCTGCAGAGCATTCGGACTGCTGGCGCCGAATCGGTTGAGGGATGTCGATGGGGATCCCTGCATCGAAGGCTCGGAGAGAGGGGCCAGTCCAGTAAATATCCACAGATCCTTCACACGCGAACGCTTGGTCAGAGTAATTGACGCGACGAGAGAGAATGAGTGGACATCCAGAGATGAAAGCAGCGCTAGAATATGACGAAGAGAATCGGTGGCAAAGGTATCCTCGTGGAACCCTGCGACAGATTTAATCGCTGGTTAGGAACGTTAATGGAGGACTTACATTTATAGCCCTTCAGTTTGAACTCGTAGCAATTGTCCCAGACCTTTTTCTCCGACACCACGGAGATGGCGCTGCTGGAGAGCCGGAAGGAGACGAGGGGCTTAGAGATCGGGAGAAAGGACGGGAAAATGCCATTGCGAGGCGGTCGTCGCTTTCGCGACCATAGTCCATGGTGGATACATAGCTAGGGGTTTGGTGAGAAAAGGATGACAGAGGTGGACGAAAGGCATGCCTATAACCATGTTGGTATATCACAGCAAGGATGTCAGTGAGTAGTTTCTCGGAAGGCAGGCTCTTGGGGCTTGACCACGGCTTTGCAGTGAGGGTAAGTTCGCATATCTGCTGTTCGATATCTTCGCGTAGGGCGCAGGCGAGTTTCTTATGTTCGAGAAGTCGGCGCACTGAGTTGACGACGGGAAGTGGGAAGGAATAAAGCTTGATGCTGCTAGTGCCCGCGATGGCGACAAGGGAGAAGGAGTTGAGGGTAGGAGACGGGTCGCGAATGAATTCCGGTCGAGGCGTGAAATGTGTTTCAGATGACATTAGAGACATGGGGAGTGTGGTATAGTGAGAAAAGCTCAGATGGAAGAAAGAAGAGAAATGTGGAAACCGCTTGCAAGTCGTCTGTGCGCGTAAGAACGTGCTAAGCCACCTACGTCATGTTGATGGATGCGCATAGCCACCGAGTACCATACGTCATTGATCTTCTCCGGTCGGTCCCGGTTTCACTCTGTTTCTGGCATCTGCTTCCATGTCTCAGAACAACAGCAACCAACAGACCAGCTGCGAATCTTCTTGAGAAAGAGTCTATGCTTATGTAATCTTCGACTTGCGTGACAACCACACGGACAGATGCTCAACTTTCATGAGCACGCCACAACACCGGGGAAACCGTAGGAATACAAGTGTGACCTGCCAACAGATTTGATTCAGGGCCTGATGTAATGTAGGATGCGGACCCCGGACACTAGCTCAACGCGGTCATGTGACTCAGGAAGTATCCGCGTCGGTCTGGACCCGAATAGGGGCCGTGAGCAGGCGATCTACGGTCCGGATTCGGTCCGGAGCAGAGGGCACACGGACCGCTCCCCTGGCTTGGTTAAAGACTGATCATCCGAGATTACACTGCGTTCTCTTCCTCCCGTTCAAACGATGGCCAGCTCCACTAAACTCAATGTCCTCATGTGTGAGCGTTCTGAATGAAGCGCTCTCTGCTTGCATCTAACGTATCTAGGTGGTACCGTACGTTCGATTGTCTTTTGAATTCCCCCCACGTCGAACGATTAGCTAGGGAGAGTACACCACCGGATGGGTGGGTTCCGGTGCATCGAAATCGGACAAGAAAGTGTGTATCCTTAGGTTCTTCTGGATTCTGCTGACCCCGCATCTCTAGTTAGGAGTAAGCATTGAATGCTCCAGTATATTCTTCTATTCCCGACCAATCTGCAGGTCGTTGGCCTCACATTGTTTGATCTTCGTCGCCTCGGAAAGGTGCGCCCTCAGAGCTCCTAAGCGATCGCTTGCTGAGTCTCTGTTGGCAGGTCGACCAACTCGGCATGGTCGGGGTGAACGGCGGCAAATTCCCAGCTATTCGGCAGCACCTCGCGGAGAATATTGGCGGCGCATACAAAGATATGGATTTGAGGTGGGTTCCGCGGGATTCGGTGGGACACGCCGCGTTGTAACTGCTTCTTTCACCAGCTTCGACGAATTCCCGAAAGGTGGCAAGGTCGATCCCGAGGCATGTGAGTGCCGATTCTCGCCATTTCTGCAGCGATTGGACTCAAGTATTACAAAAGATAAAGAAGCGATTGACAAGCTCTCCCCTGGCGATGCTGCCATCGTCTTCACACCCGATTGTATGTGCCTTGGCACCAGAAGGAGGCTGATTGACTGACTGCTCGCGTCTAAAGCCACCCATTTCCCGATCGCCAAGTACGCAATCGAACGGGGAATCCACGTCCTCATCACAAAACCGGCAACGCAGTTGCTCTCGCACCACAACGAGCTGATCGCTCTGGCCAAGAAGCACAATGTTATCTGTTCGTCCCGTTTGTCGCGGTCGAAGTGTCCCAAATGAGACTGAGTATCCTTTAGGTTTCGTTGAGCACCACAAACGGTGTGGAATGCTCATATTTGTGCTCAACAAAATATTGAACGGAGAATCAGGTTCGACCCGGTCTACAGCGACGCCAAGGCGCGCGCTGCGACTCTGGGTGAATTCAATTTCTTCAGTGCCTGGATGAGCCAGCCCAAGGCCCAGCTGGAGACCTTCCGTGCATGGGCTGGCAAGGACTCGGACATCAGGTCATTTAGTGCTGTCCGATATGTTACCGACATCTGACCGGCCTCCAGCTACTATCTCTCTTCGCACCACATTGATGTGTGCTGCTGGATGCTGCAGGACCGGGCCGTGCCGACGCGGGTCGTCGCCAGCGCTGCAGCCGGGATTGCCACCGGGGAGCCGTACAACTGTGTGCCGCAGACGGAGGACACGATCACGCTCATGGTCGACTGGGAATCGACGACGAGCTCGCGGCACCGCGGCACCGGCGTGTACACTGCAAGCTGGACAGCCCCCCTCAAGGCCGGGGTGCATTCGGCCCAGCAGTTCTACTACATGGGCGAGAAGGTGTGTCTCTTGCTTACATTGAGGCAAATGCGTAATCGACGTTCCTCAGGGTGACATCAACGTCGACCAAGCCCACCGGGGATACGATGTCACGGTCGACGACGTCGGAAAGACGTGGTACAACCCGTTCTAGTGAGCGAGCATATCCTGCCAGGTCTTCGAGTGAAATAGTGATCCGGATCACACAGCATGAAATACTCGCCCTCGGAGAGCGGCCACTTTGACGGCCAGCGCGGATACGGCTACATCTCGATCGAGAAGTTCGTTGATGCTGCGCGAAGTGTGAATGCCAAGACGGCAACTCCTGAAGACTATGACAAACACGGGCTGCCGACCATCGCCAACACCGTCCTTACCACCGCCATCTTGCACGCGGGAAGAATCAGCCTCGACGAGAAGCGGCCAGTCGGCATTAAACAGGAGGGTGACCAGTGGATTCTCGTGTAATGTAAAGATAAAGGCCAAAGATAGACATTCTCTGTTTCTTGATCTGTAATCATGGAACCGTACCAGAAAACACATGGCTCGGGCGCAATTCAGACCAGTATGCGGCCCCGTCTTGATTGATACGTTTACCCGACGGCTTGCAAGTGGACACACAGAATCAAGAAGAGCAGTCCCATGTGACACCTTTGTGTCACCGTTCTCACCGCTTTCCTGTTCGGGACATTCGGAGTAGCTTTTGGACGACGACAGATTGCATTCTTTGCAAGATGTATGTACAGGGCGGATTGTAAGGGATTTATAAAGACGAATATTGTGCAGGGAAGACTACCAAATGCGAAAGAACGCCGAGGGAAGGGTGGGTACTTTTGCACCGAGGAACGCGGTGGGGTCAAGACGGAGAAAGTATGTATCATAAAATGAAGAATAAAGTATAAGGAGGGAGCAAGGGGTACAAGCTGTCGTCTTTGGTGCAGGAATGATGAAAATGATGGTGGATGATGGATGAATGCATAGGACGAGAGCGAAGGAGAGTGTAAGCCGGTCATTTATAGTGCACGCCCGCGAAAAATATAGGGGCAAATCCATGCCCGGGTCGCTGGACCCGACGCAGACTGGCAGGGGATAGTGGTTCCCGTCAAAGCGACAGAGACTGCGCGATACACCAAGCGAACGTTATTCGCGATAGATTGTGCACCTGCCAGAATAGGATGTTTCGACGACGACGACGACGAGAGGAAATTGCGAGTGACAGTGGTGGATGCATGCTAGTGGAGAGAGTGGAAAAAAGTGCGATGTCGGCGACGACGTGTATGCTGTTGTTATTACATTTTGCTGGTAAACTTTTGACGGCGGATACAATGACGGAGTTCGAGATGCTATGGCACCATGGCCCGGGGAGAAACGTTCAGATTCTGTAGAACCGGTCGGCAAGTCACGAAGTCGTGCGGCAAGAACTGCTCAGGCGCCGTCTCAATTCGGTGCTTGTTCACTGCAGGCTCAAACACCGATGGCAGGTTTTCCTTATCCGTGTGCGTGAACCCGCCAAACGGATCGGTCGGGAAACCGGCGCTGGCTGGCGTGTTCGGAGTCATCGGAAAGTCGTCGGAGCGATCCGACGCACAACTCGACGTACTCATGGGGGTGGCTACAGTGGAAGGGGGAGAACGGATTGGCGTCATCGGCAGCGGCGTCGAACGAACATAGCGACCGCCTTGAAGATAGTACTGGACAACGAAGGTGGCCGCTTTCGAGTAGAACGCGTAGGAGTACTTCTTCACAAGCGTTTCCGACAGGTCGTTCACGTGTTTCGATAGACGGCTGTCCAAATGGCCAACCACTTCGAAGCATTCGTCGGTCTCCTCCCATGTACGTCGCGGCTTTTCACAGAGGAAGCGAGCAAGCGTAAGGGCGGCCAAAGCGATAGTGGACGGAGAGTACTTCACGAACTCGCGATAGAACAGCGTGATTTCCATCAGGAAGCGGGCGACATGCTGGACCTTGATATCCTCCACGCAAGGCCCCGTGCACATCAAACGCAACCACGCCTCGGCAGTGGGGTGACCGAGCGTCCACTGGATCGTCGAGAGAACATGCCCTTCCATCTGAAGAAACGCTGACGTGTCGTAGGTGTCTCGGCATATTTGCGCGAGCTCAGTCACGGACGGGACGCGTTCCTTTGCATCTTCGAACTTGGCCGCAATCCAAAGGGCAGCACAGCCAACGAGCTGATAATGCTTGATATACACGACACGCCGCGAGACGTAGCGGTCGATGATATTGAGGGTGAGATACAAGGTTTCGGGTCGTAGGCGGAAGGTGAAGTGAATTTCGACTAGGAAGTCGACCAGGCAAGGACGCATGTGCCACCGGATTTCCGGTTGCTGGTCCATGGACTGGAGAGAACACGTTGTGAAACGCTGAAAGCAGAAGTGTTTGAACATGGCGAGTTCATGAGATGAGGAAACCTAGACGGCTGACCTCCATCTCGTGCATATAGTGGCGAATCTCCTCCCGGTACTCGTCCTCGAGCAAGACACCATCTCTTCGCAACGCTTGAAGCTGAGCCTCGCGCTGGCGTTGATGGGCGAGGCTGGCCTTGGCTGACCGTGGCGTCTTACGGACGGGCCCATGTGCAGGAAGCAATAAGGGTGTCTTGTGGGAGGACTTTGTGACACCGTGAGGAGATGGCCGTTTCTTGGGATAGACGAGGGAGTTTCGAGAGTGCTTGTGCAGGGCTGTGACGTCTTTCATGGTCGCAGGCGAGAGAGAGCTGGAGGACGGAGGTTCAGTACTTGACGCACAGGACATGGTAAGGAGGATGAGGAAACAGAGATAAACACAACGACGACATGGAAATCAGAGACCCACACCCACGAAGACACAAAAAGCCGGGAAACGACATGATAAGGGACGATAAACAGAACGAGATGATAGAACTAAGAAAGGAAAAAGGTGCTGCTTGTTGCTGCCGACTCACCCACGACGTTCTACAAAGCATACGACAGCGCCGGTCGCGCAAGGAAAGTCGTGGAGAACGTGGGAGTCGTTATGGGAGACGCGGCCGCCGGCAACAATGGATGGAATGAAAATGCCACCAGCAAGCACGACGACGCAGAGGTCAAGAGGAAAAGGGAAGAAAGTATATAAACAAAGTGTGCCGGGGTCCGAGGTTCATTCCATCACATCACCCGAAGCTCGATTTGGATGGGCGATGGACGGCTCGATTAGGGAATGTGAAGGGCGTGAAGAGCTGTGTGAACGGGTTGCACAATCACAACTCGTGTCCCAGTCCACAAGGCTGTTCCGCCACGTTTTACATCGCACACCAACAATATCCTCTTTGACAAAGTAAAATCTCACCTCGAGCCTGCAATGAATCAGCATTAGTCGAAGACAAAGCAAGGAAGACGTACAATTGCAACTTGAAGGGAGGGGCCTCGGCCACAAGGCAATTAAGGAATGAAAGAATGACTGGGGTGAGACAAATTATGGCCCACGAAGCGAATCGTGTGCACGGGTGTAGGATGGGGGGGAAAGGGAGGAAGGGGAAAGATGAAGGCGCGCGAGCGGAAAAGGTCGCGTCGGAGGAGGGATGCGGGCTTTTGAAGGGACGAGGGATGCAGCGCGGAAAGAGCGTGGCCGCGTAGGTAGGTCTATAACAAGGGCGAGCTGTCTCGCGGTCGGTCTGACTTTTGATACTCGAGAACACGTTCCCTGCCTGCAGGCAGAGAACTCCTTTCGTCTGCTTGGGAACAGCTGGATCGTACCGGTTAGTCACAGATAGATGAGATGCAACGCTTCGAGACGTAATCCATACCAGCAGACTTCCTGGTCGTGCTTCCAGCCGCTCTGAATGGTTGAGATCTCGCTGGCAGTGCATCTGTCTGTGTCTACGGTTCAGGCATAAATTACAGTCTCAGGGCGCCCCGCAACGCGCACACAGGACCGATGTTTCCCATCCCCTCCGATCAATTCACATCTTATCTGTCCATCGGGCCATGTTCTCTTCACGCCCGTCACTCTAAGTCCACGCCGGTTTCGTAGGCACTAGCGTAGTTGACCGGAGAGCTTGCAAGGGACTTAGTCTAGCTGCGCCCGTTGAAACAGGCTCGACAGTGTAATATTAAATGCCGCTTTTTCCTGGCCGAATAGAGCCTGCCAACGCCGACGCACCTCGGACTGGGCTTGCCAACAGCCAGGGAATGACATGCGTCGAATCATCAGAACGCGAATCCCAAGAGAATTTTGCATCTCAGAATCGGTGCCTTCCCGCGCATATATGCACATCCCTCCATCCGAATCACTGATTGAAGACGTGCGCTGGCTTGCTTTGTATTAAACAAGCAGCAGAGGTAGTGCGACGAGGACGTCGTAAGCAAGGCTACTTACAAGGAGGAACCCCGCGTTCCGCCGGATTTAGGGTTACGCTCTCCGCGCGGTCGTCCCGATCGAAGTGCCCTGGCGGTGGCTCCCCGCGCTACAATATTTCCCATGCGTCGACTCCTTGGCAGCCCTTAGCCTGTTGTGGAGCGCCGACTCTGGTGGTGTGTCTCGGAGATAAGCGAGTCGTCATCAGTGACATATGGGAGCAGTACGAGGGAGCATCTTCGGCACATCTCCTGATCATCATTTCCGTCCGCCCAGGCGACGCCCACTGTCGCAGCGAGCGTCGCGCGAGACCAGGTGCGCAGGCCCAGAATTCTGAAAGTATTGATCGGGAGTTCACAGGCGCCGGTGATAGCGATGCAGCGAAATGCAATTGTCAAATGCCAAAATATTGGGAAGATAACGGTACGAAGTATGTATTATTACAAGGCATCTAGTTACTCTCGGTGCGTTTGAGCGCCGCCCATGAGAAGAGCCATCAAGTCGCTGGCCTGCGACTGGTGCTGGTGCAACATGTGTTGCGGAATCTGGTGATGATGCTGCGGCTGGTGCTGCTGCTGGTGGTGGGAGAGTTGCTGCTGGTGCTGGTGTTGGTGGTGCTGAGAAAGCTGCTGCTGATGATGAAGTCGCTCCTGCTGGATCCGTTCTTGCTGGATCCGCTCTTGCTGGATCCTGATAGCTCGCTCTTGCTGCATTTGCTGCAGTTGCCGTTCCTTCAGTAGTTGCTGCTGCTGCTGCTGGAGGATCTGGGACTGAGACCCAAAGCCACCAAGCATCCGAGCGTTGGCCACCATGTCGAGATTGGGGTGATGCTGCTGGACACGCAAATGGGGCTGCGCGGCAAAACTGTTGAACTGAGGGGGCGGCGCATTCGGATGCACTCCGTTGTGAGGAAGCCCAGGCATTCCCATGTACTGTGCGCTGTCCAGAGGCGGCCGGCCCCCAAGATTAGCCAGTCCAGTAGGAATGCCCCGGGCCTGACCATTGCCGATCGGCGATGTCCCTCGGAATTGTCCCTGCATCCCCAGCCCGTTGTTGCGTCCCCCTGGTTGGCCGAACCCAGACGGCAGTGCTTGTGGATTATACACGTGGTTTTGCTGGGGAGCAACGCGTGGTTGTCCAAAATGCATTGCTTCGTCGAGCGACTCCGGGAACATTCCCCCATTCTGAGCGCCACGCGGGACGGCGGGCCGAAGACCCGGTACCATCCCATCGGGGACGAAATTGCGGTCGTCCAGACGGCTGTCGTATAATGAGTCCATGCGATGATTGATGTTCAATTGTTGCAGTTGTTGTTGCGTGTGTTGCATCTGCTGGTGCTGCTGTTGTTGCAAGAGCTGCAGATTCGGAATAGCTCTCGGGGTCTATAAAATCGCCTTGAGAAACCACCGAGCGTCCCGAACAGATGCTTACGTGCGCAGAGTTATTCAGTTTCGACAAGAGACCGTCCATCGCAGATTGGGCTTGCACTGGGCGCTGACTCGGACCGGGCGAGGTCGACGTAAATCCAATCGGGCTTTGAGGATCACCCCGTTTGGGCTCAGAGAAGAATTTAGCCATGCGACTACCTTTGTTACCGGAATAGCCATTCGCTGGATCATAAGCGTCCGGATACAAGCCGGCTTCGGTAACCAGGCCGGACTGTCGATCAACACGACCCCCAGCAAAAGGCGTCTGATCACGTGGCTCCATCCCAAAGCCCATTCGCGATTGCTCGTCAAAGTGCGTGAAGCCTGCTCGCATCGACTCAGTCGGCGTGGGTGGAGCTGGAGTCGCGGTCGGCAAAGCTGAAGTTATTTCGGGTGTGACTGATTTCCCTGTCGGCCGCGTTCCCAGGGCGAGAAGACGAGATCCAGATGGAGGGTTGAAAGTTTCGGGTGAATTGATCTTCTCCGGGCCCGCGTTCGCAGTGGTTTTCGGGAAGAATCGGGACGATGTCTGAATTTGATGTTCTTGGGGTTCACCTTTGCCCAAAATTGTGGACAAAAGTGAATTGGGATCAAGAGAAGTGACGTTGGAATCGACGGCCGAAGGCGCGATCACGGAAACGTGGTCCGATACGGCCACTCCGTCTGGGGGAGGAGGTTGGTAAGTCCCTGTGGCCAATTTCATTACAAAATCAAGACGGAATGATACTGGAACTCACCTTGAGAAGGTTTCGCGTGGATTCCCGGAGGCGGAGGCAATGCATCTTGACTGGGCTCTTCGGCAGCGGTCTTCATCAACATTCTGAACATCTCAATCTCGTTGAGCGGCTTGTTGGACGTTACATCCGGGAGAGCGGCAGGCTCCGGTTCCGCTTTGGCGGGAATAGCCGCGGCTATTGCATCGCTCTTTTCCTTTTCTTTGAGACCCTTCTTCCAGGCTTGGATGCCGTCGAGTTCACCGTCAGTCCCGCGCCCGACGATCCCACCCGGGGAGTCAGGCACGTAGGTCTCCATCCAAGCAGGTTCTTTCTCCTTTTCCCTCTCGCGCTCACGACGCTCTTCCTTGGCATCGTCACCTCCAGCTCTCCGATCGCGATGATTTCGCTTGGTGCGATTCTCCCTTTCTTCCACGACCGTCCAACGTCGGTCTGAGTCACCGTTTTCTTGCTGTGCTTTGTCGGTCGCGGCTTGACGCTCGTTCGCCCGCCTCGTCGCAACACGTTCATCCCTCCTGCCGTCGTCGCGCCATCTGCGAGTGTCCTCCTCGTCTTTGTCTCCCGCTCGATCATGATCGCGCTCTCGGCGCTGATCTTCTCTCCGCCGTCGGTGGTCACCAGGCTCTCTTTCATCGTCACGTTCGCGTCGCGAAGAAGAATGATCACGCCTTGGCCTCGAAGAGTCACGAACTCGGGAACGTGGTCGCTCACGGTCAGGACGAGCGTTATCTGACCCTAGGTCGGTATATAAATGCCAAGGAGGAATGGTGTGCAAAAGAGACTAACGTTCAGGGCGCGTAGAGTTGCCTGTGATTGGTGATTCAGACTCGGAATGTTTGTTATCCACGGATGTGTGACGCACCTCTTCGCCAGTCGTCATTCGTCTCACCAATCTTCTTCTTCGTGCCATCTCTTGGCTCCCCTCGGCGCGTCCCGGTCAGTGCAGATGCACCTCGAAGAGAAGATTCGATCAAGTGAGGGGCGATATCTCTTTCCTTGTTTCGTAAGCCCGGCGCAGCGAGTCGATCGCGATCAAACTTGTCAGATAGCTGGACAAAAAGCTAAGCGAAACGACAGAAGGAGAGGAAGCAGAGTCGGAGCGCACATTCCTGAGTCTCTCACCCTCCTTGTCCCCTTTCTCCAGATCGCGGTCACGGTCCCGCAAAGGATGATGTTTGAAGTTTCCCATTTGCGAGGGTTGCGTCATCGTCGAGCGAAAGGTGGTTCGCACCGGGGAATCTAGAGTAACTAAGTGAGCACGGACGACATTCCTCACTGGTCTAAATAGAACAAACCGCTATCTTCGGCCTCCCTTCTGAAGCTATGACAGAGTAAGGTCAGATGGAAAAGTCATAGGGTCTACGATGTAGAACCCACCGTCTTTCCCTGCCGCCATTAGGAGTTGCAGATTCGACGTCTTTCTTACTTGACTCGTGTTCCCTGCAAGGTTCTCTGAGAAACGGATGGTGGTGGTGGGGCTGATGTCTTCATACCCGAACCAGTGTTTGAGTTCCGGCATGCCGGGAGGAGGTGCGACTAAAGGAGACCGATTGAGGTGCAGGAGCTGGGGACGAGTATAAACCATTAGAGGTCTGGGTGGCGTTGTATGCGGCGGAATGGGAGTAGGGTCGACTGTGGTTCTTGCTCAGAGCTTTCGTTTTGAGGGGCATCGTGCACGACAGCGGGGACAAGAGGGTTGGCGGATGAGGGATTGGGAGAGACATGAATTTGTGCAGAGGAATTGATTGCTTCGTCGTTGGCGGGCATCTCTTGGGTCGCGTTGGCGAAAGCGAGCAGGTGTGCTTGTTACCCCTTGTGACTGGTCACCATTTTCACCAGAAACTACAACTACCGTCTGGGACCACTCTTGTCTTGCCTTGTTACTGACAGTTGATCAAGAACGCCGTGTTGTCTTATGCTCAGCTGGGGTGCATGGTCTTGACTCTTCGACATTTTATTCTGAAGCAAGAAGTCTTCAACTTGTATCGCCACGCCATACGAAGTGTCAGTCGGCTCGCGATGACGAAAAATGAAAGCAAAGCTAACTTGCTCCCGTAGTCCAGAGGTTCTCTGTCTTTTTTGCTGTTCTTCTACCACAACCTCAATATCCTTAAAGCGATCCCTGACCCCGCAACTAGGAAAGAAACAATCCAATGGATCAGGGCAGATTTTGAACGGAACCGCCACCTCACCGACGTTGTAAGTCGCTCTGACCCACCCTGAAGCGGTAATAATGGTCTTTTGCAGGCTCTCATCCAAGACAAGATCAAGATGGGACGCAGAGAACTCAAGCAAATGCTTCCTGCGTTCTCGATTCTAGGGTGATCGAATTCAGTTCAAACTGGCTATGAATACAGTTTTATTCTCGTAGTACATTCCTGTGCGCAACGCGCAGAAATATCACGCTGATGTCCGCATCTAATCTTATCTGCGATCATGATTATATCGGGCCGGTTCGTGGCTTGCCCCTTCGATCCCTGACTGACGCTGTGTAACAAGCTTCGTGGGCGTCAAATTTCCTGTGACTGCGTGCGATTGAGCAGCTTCATCTAGCCCCGCACCATGGGTATCGAAAACATTGCCATGAACATCTACATGCAGGGGATCGGCTCTCTGTCAAGAAACGTGACGTTCGATACTCCGCTCGGAGCAAACTCACGGACTGATTAGTCATCAGCTTGATGCTGCACTATCCAAGATTCTGCATAATCCACCATATTCTTTGCTGGCTTCTGAAACTGGACCTGTGAATTATGATATCCACCTTTTCAGTTTCCGTACCAACCCCGGGACCTCACAATGGCACTGGAACTCTGACTGTTCTGAGAAGCGTCGGAATCCAGTTCCTCAGCGACTTTTGTCAAGCGAGATGGGCCTGAAGCCCCAAAACAGTTGAAACTGGGCGGCCGACGCATTTCTTTCACACTGGGAAAAGTCGCTGTGCGACCGGAGGCGGTGGACCGCACCGAGCGATTCCTGTACACCGCGGCAGTGGTCTTGGCGCGACGGGAGAGAGACAAGCGGCTGCTGCTGGATGGACGTATCGGGTAGTAACTGTCGTGTGTCCGAGAGTCGAGCTAACTCTACCGTAGAGCTGACGTCCTACAAACACACGTGTTCTCAGTCGAATGGCAGGCCGATCTGGCCGCGAGCGGTGTCTTGTCCGTAAACCAGGAGCGCAGAGAGTTCAGACTGACGTTCACCGTGACGCATCCCTATGAACTGACCTACCACGTGGCCATCCCATTCTCCAGGATCAACTCGATTCTGGCACATTCGCAGCAAGGGTCCATCTTGTTCTTTGATCTGGCTGATCCACCCAACTTTGAATCTTCGAGCAACATTTCATCCAAGCGAACACGGCTGTCCTTGCTTCCCATTGGGGACCACGAGAGATTGGCGCCGTACATATCGCTTGCCCTTCGAATCGCCTGCAGAAATGCAAAAGCCTCAGGCCTATTCCGGCAACTGGCTAGAACCGCAGCCTCAAAAAGGTTCATGACACGGAACTTCCCGTCGAACGTCGCGCTTTATTCAGGCAGGATGTTCTCCAGTTGGTCCATACCAAGATCCAGAACCTTCCAGACCGAAGCTCTGAATTTGTCGGATGCGCGGGAGCTGTTATCCTGCCTCATATCGTGGCTCTGGTCAGGGCGAGCTCATGCTTCGGACTTTCTCCGTCACTTCGTACGTGGTGCATCTCGCTTCGGCATAGTCCATTTCAAGGACACACACAAACGATCCATCGACCGTCAGTCAGATACGTGACTGTCTCCGATGTAAGTCACTGTATCGCCTTCTAGCACATAACAGTAGTCGTCATGGCCTCTCTCAGTGTCGATGACTGAATCTAAACATTCAGAACGTTCGAATCGAATCATCCGTTCGTTCTCTCCTCGGTTTCACGAATCGTTCCTTCGAGTAAGGTACAATCTCATGCGATTGTTGTGTTTGGACATGACTGATCGTGTCTTGGAAGCTTCTTGGATGAAGGCGGGATGCAGTATCGATTTGACCGTGAGGTTGACTGCGTAGCATTCACAAGACTTCGAGTTGGCGCGTTTCTCATTGACCGAGAGTTGACCATCGCAGGGAGAGATTTCGATTTTCTGGCATATTCACAATCCGGCTCAAGGAGCATGCTGTTTGGTCAGTTTATTCTTGTCCACGTGTCACTCAAGGATCTGACTCTTTCCGCAGGTTTGTGCGCCCATTCAGGACACAAATCAAAAGCTCATCAATGCTGCACACATCATCAACACCATCGGGACGTTCGACCCCGAGCTCACGCACTGCCCTGCTCGCTACGCTGCCCGCATTTCGCAGGCCTTCACGGCCACTGATTCAACATCACTAAAGGTGGACGAAGTCATTTATCTGTACGACATGTCGGTCCCATCCGGAAAGTACCATTTCACAGACGGTGTTGGGACTATGAGCTTGGGATTGGCCCAGTCGATCTGGGCTGAGCTCAGACCAACACGGCGCAGAAACCGGCGCTTGGTCAACAATGCGCTCCGTGCTGTCCAGATACGATTCCAAGGCTCTAAAGGTACGCTCTCCTGGTACATGTGGTTGTCCTCAAGAGCACATCTTCAGGCATGTTCTCCGTGGATTACAAGCTCAAAGGCCATGTCTTTTGCCTGCGACCGTCTATGATCAAATTCAGTGCTCCACACTCGACCACCATCGAAATTGCCATGACATTCGATAAGCCTGGTCCCAACTATCTGAATAGGCCTCTCATCATGATCCTCGGTGGATCCTGGTATCTAGATCGATCGGTCGTAACCTATTTTTTGTCGTCAGAGGGCCTCGGAGTCGATTGCGAGATATTCAAGGCATGCATTTCAACTGATTTTTGCAACACAATGTCACGAATTCTTTGGCAGACATTTCAAGACCAAAGCTCGCATCCCGATACCAGCTCAGGTCACATTAGTGGGTGTGGCTGACGTGCACAATTACCTCAAAGAAGGGGAGATATTCGCCTGTACCCGGGAGGTGGACAGCGAAAACCCTTGAGTATCTCGAAGGCGAGATCTTGATCTCGCGATCGCCCACCGCGCATCCAGGGATGTGAGGATAGTGCATGCGATGGGGAAACCGCCGGAAGGCAGCCCATTCGAGCATGAGCCATTGCCAAACACTGTCGTTTTCTCCGCGCTAGGTCGGTGGCGCTACGCTTCCGCCACCCGATTGATGCATTTTGCAACAGGAGAGCGGCCGTGTCCCAGTATGCTAGGCGGAGGAGATTTGGACGGCGACACGTATCATCTGATCCCTCAGGAGAAACACCCTGAGTGACTACCAGTTGCCCATATGCCATCGACTGAACCTGACTGCGGCGCATACTGTAGGCTCCGTCCCAGTCGCATCTGTCCTCCGGCAGAATATGCCCTTCCCCTCAAAAACTAGTGGCTCGCCCGAGCACCTCTGCAGATATTGGGGAATTCGTTATCGAATACATCAACAGTGATGTCAGTCACCGGATCGCAGACTTTTACTTAGCTCTGACCAACTTGCCAGGCTGTCGGAATAGTCGCCACAAACTGGCTGCTCATTGTAGACCAATCCCCCCATCATATCTTTGATCGGGATTGTCTCAAACTTGCGAAATTGCACTCGGACGCCGACGAGTATCCCAAAAGCGGACAAGTTGAGACTCTCCGTCCTATTCGTCCATCTGTCGATTTTTACAACTCCCGCAGCGGGTGGCGGTCGAAACCATTCCCAAACCAAAGTCACGCTCCAAAACAGACTGGCATGCACCCGAGCTGCATGCGAACATGGGCTAGTATGGAATTAGAAAAGGGCGGCGCCCAGCTTATGACCAGGCAGATGAGTACTATCCCAGCCAGCGAGCCATTGGGAAACTTTTCCGAGCCATCGATTTGGGCGAAATCCAGGCAGACTCGTTATCTCCGGCAGACTCGGTATCTCCGGCGGAACGGCGTCGGCTGCGAGCAGGGGCTCGACCTCGTCGCGACATACAAGTCTTGACCAGTGCCCTCGAGCAAACCCGGATAGAAGATCCTATCCTGCACGCCCTTAGACCGATCGTCAAGCGACACACTCGCGTCGGAACAGATAAAGGCCATCGGATTTTTCGTGACATCGCACAGATCTTCAGCCGTTACACCTCGGAGCTGCAATCCATCTGTGTCCTCGCACACGGTATCGCACGGGCGAGCTGCCCTCCTCTCCGAGGAGAAGGCGGTTGTGGGCACAATCATTGCCAAGACTTCTCAGCCACGGAAGAGATCTGTGCGTGCCACTTTCTGAACTGCCGGCTAGATCTCACCGGGCCATCTATCCAGAACCTGATCTCCACTCCGCGAGAAAGGACGGACATGCTTGTCCAGGGCGTCAAGGAAGAGCAGCTGGAGGATGACGCCGTGGGATGGGCCGAGGTGTTGCGCCGTGGCTGGCTATCTCTCGAGCTGGCTGTCACTGAGCGGAATGCATTTGGCGCACAAAGTTTCATATGGATTGCACTGGCAGTCATTTTGAAACAGTGAAGGAGCTGGAAGATGAGGCCAGGATTACTGAACGAATGACCGCCGGAACTCGTCACGCAATGTGATCCTAGTCCTCGTTCCTGAGCAATCCTTCTAGCCAGCGCGTATACTGTACACGATAGAACACAAAACAACAATACATTATGCTTGATTCCTGAGAACTGTTACCATACGTTAACGATTTTCTCGAAAAGAAGTAGCTTGAACTCACTCAGAATAACAGAATCACCTCTGGATCACGGTCAGAATCAAACCCTCGAGCGTGGACCAAGGGTACATACCGGAGGAACATCTTGCTGATGAACCGGTCCTTGTTCACGGGCTTCTTGTTGTTGCCTTTTGGTACTTCTGTCCACATCTAGATGCGGTTGTGGGTCTAAAATATCCGTGAACGCGGCATAACACACCTCTTTCACATTTTCGAGGACCTTGGAACAGAGTCAATTCCAGTCAGACTTGAGCATCTAGAAGACGCACCATGTTGCTGTGTCTATCGAATGCTTTGACCCGAGCCAAGAGTTTTTTGTCGTTCCGCAAGGAAATCAGGACTTGAGCATGGTTTCGGACGGCTTGTTGAAGTACGGACAGAGGGCCTTGCGAGATCTCGTGTTCCTCTAACTGACGAAGCTGAGCTTCGTCCAGCTCGGATTTCGGGACGTGGACGTATTGACTATGAAAGCGATTAGTGCCCAGTCCAGTGGAAAGGCGCGTGTCTTCACCTCATAAGTGGAGGATGAAGCAGGGAGCGTGCTGGTGTTTGGCTCAATCACGATCGCCTAACAAAGTGTTTTCCAGATTGGGAAAAATATCATTCTCCTCCGTCCATGGGTCGTTTGCGGCAAAAAGGAAAGGCTGGCGCAGCGAAGGCATACGTTACTCGCTCGGCGGCCATTAAAAAGCTTCAGTGCTCTCTAGCGGATTTCCGTCGGCTATGCATCCTCAAGGGTATGCTTGAGCTCAATGTTTCTTGAATCGGCTCTTACTTTTTGACTGCAGGTATCTTCCCCCGGGAACCCAAAAGCAGGAAGCGGGCTAACAAGGGATCGTCCGCCCCGACATCCTTCTACTACGCCAAAGACATCGCCTACCTTGCCCATGAACCAGTATTGAAAAAATTGCGAGAACACAAGGCTTTCGCCAAAAAACTTTCTCGAGCACTGGGACGGGGAGAGTGGGGAGACGCGAAGACATTGGAGGAGAACAAGCCGGTGTACAGATTGGACCATATCATCAAGGAGCGGTGCGTCGCGATTCACCTTCCTCTAACTTGCATTTCAATCGGAAGCTTAAGATATCCAACCTTCATCGACGCCGTCCGGGACATCGACGATGCGCTTTGCATGGCCTTCTTGTTTGCTTCATTACCTTCCAATCCTCGACTGCCTGCATCTCTGACGGAGAACTGTGCTCGTCTCGCTGCAGAGTGGCAGCTGTACGTGATGCACACACGATCGCTGCGCAAAGTTTTCCTTTCCATTAAGGGTGTGTATTACCAGGCGGAAGTCTGTGATCAGACCGTAACATGGCTTGTGCCCTATCAATTTACCCAGACTGTGCGCGCTTCCCTGGTATTCTCTGCGCTCTGATTGAACTTAAGATTTGCAGATCCCTTCAGATGTGGACGTTCGTGTCATGCTCACATTCCTCGAGCTCTACCAAACCCTTCTCGGCTTCGTATGCTTCAAGCTGTATACCGATGTTGGTCTCGTCTACCCGCCCCCCTTGGACAATACCAAGGACGAAACTGGAGCCGGGGTCGGTGCTTTCAATCTGCAAAACGCGGGTCAGGTGACTGCGCCATCGGTTTCGAAGACCAAGGTCGTCGAGGTCGAGGGCCGCAAGATCTCGAGCAAGGATGTCCGTCAGGCAATCAAGAGCATGGCTGGTGCAGAGACAGATGAGGCGGAGGACACCATTCCCGATGCGAATGAAATGGATGTGGATGAAGCTGACGAGGAGTTCGTACCCCAACAATCCACATCGGAGCCCCAGACGACAGCCCCGTTACCGACTCTGAAGGCATTGGAGGCTCTCCCTCAAAGCCTGACGACGTCACTCTTCTCCCCATACTCGTTTTGGCTTTCAAGGGAAACGTCAAGGCCAATCTTCGAATTTCTCATCCGTTCGTTTGGTGGCCGAATAGGCTGGCCTTCATCCTCTGGCAGCGGCTCTCCCTTCGACGAGTCAGACGAGTCGATCACCCACGTCATCATCGACCGACCTGTGGTTGAAAGGACAAATGAGACCGCAGAAGAGCGGGAGCGACGGCTGAGGAGAAAATACGTCCAGCCCCAGTGGGTTGTCGATTGCATCAATGCTGGGAAGATCCTGCTCGAGGAACCCTATTTGCAGGGCAGCACGCTGCCCCCTCACCTGAGTCCCTTTGGGGAGTACCAGGGCGCGTATGATCCGAGCTCTGCTGCCGCTGTCGGTGTCGAGGAGGACCTCGAGAGTGAGGTTGAAGATGATGCCGTCATGGAGGAGGACGAAGATCAGAGTGCTGAAAAGTCAGCCTTACGCGCAGCTGCCGCTGCCACGGACGACGCAGCTCTTCGTGCAGCCGAACTCGCGGCTGAGGCTGCCGGCGTCGACTACGGCGATTTCGAGAAGGAGGTCCGCAAGTCCCGCAAGAAGACAAGTGCGCCCAAGGAGACTGGCGACGAAGCTGAGAAGGACATGAACAAGATGATGATGAGCAACAAACAAAAGAAGCTGTACGAGAAGATGAAGTACAGTCAGAACAAGAAAACAGCTGAGGTACTGCATGCCACTTCGACCCTGGATTCATCACTGATCGCTCTTTGCAGCGTACAAATCTGGAGGAAAAGAAGCGCAAGTTAGTGAAGAACGCGCGGCGGGAGGCCAAAGCAGGCTAGATACAGTAGACTTGTCGTATTCCTCCATTCATTCTCTCGCTGTGGTGGCCGTGCCTGAGACTGGAACCGGCAGCCGTCTGACGTATCTGGACTGACGAATGCGGTAACTTTGATGCCACCGCTTGTCAGGCTACTGCCGTTCCTGGTCTGCCACTTCCTTGCTTGTCTACTGCATGGGTCGTTTCTCTCTCGGGCAGGGCAACGCTCAAGATGCTCCTCCACCGTACAAGGACGCTTCGCCCCCGCTCCTTGTCACCGAAACGACGACAACGACTCAAGTCCTGACGACGACAACTACCCATACCACTCATTTCTTTTCGCTCCCGCTCTGGAAGAAGCGACCATTAGTGGCGAGCTCCTCGTCCCCAACGAATAGGGACAGCGTGGAACGCAGACCAACGGAGGATGGAAGGCTGCGGCGAGAGCGCTTCTCGGAGAAAGATCTTCCTCCCACCCCTCCAGAGGATCCATTTGTGCCCGATACACCGAGACCCCGCAACGACTCGGCCCATTCATACCGTGACGACTCACCTGTACCCTCCCTATCCGCAAGCATCAGTTCTAGGAAGTCCCTCGCCTCATCGCAACCAACCGCGATCCTTGCGCGAGCATCATTTGGCCTTGGTCTCCCTCATGCGTTGCGCGACCCATCGTCCTCGGCGTCCTCGACAACCTCCGACATTAACACCGTCGCATTCCTTACGCCACCTGAAATGGACTCGCGTCGGAGGTCTATACAGACTCCACGCCGTGCCAAAAGCTCAACTAAGCTTCGGGCGATGTCGTCTCTATATGAGCCGGGGATGGAGTTGGAGGGATCGCACTCGGAGGGTGCAAAAGGCCGGATTCGCGGTGTTTCACTGGGCAATACCGCAATTCTGAATTCGGGCTACCCTGATATCAAGGGCAAAGGGAAGGAAGTGGAGGAAGCGGCCCCGTCCCCGATGCCCAAGCCAGCGCTCGTCCGAAGAGCCTCCTTCTGGTCGCGCAAGAAGTCTACTCCTGCAGATACCGCGCTACCGGCCCATGTAGAGCAGCTGTACCTGCAGCCCTCGCCGCCTCCAACATTACCTTCCGTTTCACCGCTGAGCCCGTTTACGTTTGACGATTTACATATGACATCGTCATCTTCTCGCACTAAGCATTCTCGCGGGCTATCGAGAAGCCACTCCGAGCGGTCCAATGTCATGGCACAGCCTTCTCCGATGACAGAAATGGCGCAACCGATCCTGCGCAAGCCATCGCGCCGACCGGCTACAGCGGACCCGTCCACTCGCAGCCCGACCACCTTGTTGAACTCTACACCGTCGCAACCACCTCCACTTCCACCACAACCTGATTCGTCGACGCTGTCTCCCGGGCCCAGTCGCCGCCCGCGCTCTCAGACGAATCCTCCGTTACTTCACAGATTGTCGCTGAATCTATTTTCCTCATCAAACTCGCCGTCTGCGCTGTCCCAGAGCCCCTTACACGATTCACCGATCAGCTCACCCATGGACTCTCCTCGGGCTTCTTTGCACAAGCCTGTCGTGATTCCAAAACCAGAAACAGAGCACGAGTCTCCCGAGATCTATCTCAATCGTTTACTGCAAGCGGTCAGCAAGGCCGAAGTGGCCGGGATCCTGGCGTCGAGGTGTGTCACGAATTTGCCGTTTTAGGATCTTTGACTGATACCAGCAGTCCCGATCCTTTCTATGCCCAAGCGCTCCGGGCGTACATAGGTCATTTTGCTTTTGCTGAGGACCCGCTCGACATCGCTCTACGCAAGCTGCTGATGCACGTCGGACTTCCTCGGGAGACGCAGCAGATCGACCGAGTGATGGAAGCTTTTGCTAGTCGGTACCGCGAATGCAACCCGAATCTCTTCACCTCGGAAGGTACTAGAACATCTTTTTGACCCTGCAGCCCACTAACTCGAAGCGCAGACCATCCCTACATCCTCGCGTTCAGTCTGATCATGCTCCATACCGATGCCTTCAACAAATCTAACAAGCGAAAGATGACCAAAGCCGACTATATCAAGAATACCAAACTTCCCGGCATCCATGCCGAGGTCCTCGATGTTAGTGCATGCTTTCTCGCATAGCGAAACGCCGTGCTCATCCGAACGTAGTGCTTTTACGA